AGAGACATTTCTAGATTGTCAACGGGTTCCAGGCGACACAGTGAGCTGTGCATTCGTGACAGCAGCGATACAACATTTGCACCGACGCTGTTGCGCGCGCGTTCTCGCTGCATGGCTGGGCTGGGCTGGCTGCTGTGTCATTGAGCGCAGAGTGCCCTTGGCGTGCAATGCAATGCGTAGCTCCGGATCGACAAGGGAGAAAGTCACAAGCAGTAGTTCAGCCAGCTGACGGACCTCGTTCGGATTCGACAGCACAGCTTCTAGCCACCCTTGCAGCCAGGTCACACCTAGGAAGGGTTCGCTTGCCGCAGCCCAGCTTGCTGTAATCCTCCCGTCAGAATTGCAACTCTGCGCCTTACGCCGTCGTGTGTCACGACCCTTCTCACCAACATTGGGGATGCGTTGGTACGCTTCATCGTTGGGCAAACGGCATTAGCAGTCTGCTACCTGAAGCCATCATACTGCGCGGCTAACTTTGACTCGGAAATCCACCAAGATGAATAAGGCGTGCATGTAAACAGGAACGACACGGCCTCGCATGCGACGTGCGCTTCTGGCTGTTGGGCTGCTCTCATGTCTCGGCTCGAGCCTTGTTCGATTTGCCTCTTATTAATAAACAAGGCTCAGATCTCGTCGCCTCATTCGCTCGCTTGCATTGCTGCCGACCACGCTGTCGAAGATGACAAGCCTGATGCAGCATCCGATGCTTCTGCAGGTGATCGGGCAAGCCACCGTATTGTTGATCCTCGAAGACAGTCAATACCGCGGAACGCGAGCCATCCTCGGTAAGTGCTAATGCTGTGATCGATATATTTGGCTACATCTTCGGTCCTTGTTTTCTCCGACTTTGCGACCTACATCACACCGTGCCGGCCGCACACACTGATCGACTCCATCTTGTCGGATGAGTTGGCTGTCCCCTTCCGATCGTAAGCGCAGCTGGAGCCGGCGGGACCGCGAGTCAATTCTGCGACTCTGGAGGCAGGCCTTACAGGTCCGGACGCGGATCTTCCGCTGAACAGCGCGAGCCCCTGTCAGATTGTTGGCGGATGGTGCTCCTAGTCGTCATGAATCGGCCATCCCGAGCTTGGCCTCATCTTCCGTTTCGATTTGTCACAGCGTTTTCCTGTAGCAGATTGTTTCTGCAGATGTACGAAATGAACCTGTGCTCGACGTCGGTGATATGCATCGCGATCCATGCTCTGTCTTGTTTTGTTCGCCGAACCTCATTTGAGTGGGTTCAATCAGGCACGGTCCCTCCGACTCATTTCGTATCTATGCAGCAGCCGGGTCCGGCCCCACTTCACAACCTCCGACTCGGCAACCTGCCCTCAATCAAGAGAATCTGTATAAGAGCCGAGCCAAGATACATGTGTGCGAGTTTGCCTGCCTTGAGACTTGATTCTCCACACCTTTGCCACCACGGAGATAGACTCTCTTGGTGATGCAAACTGGCCGAGCAAGATGGTCAGAGTCGGATGCGAGCTCGACAAGGGACGGGTAGCGATGCGGCTGGCAAGCTGTATTCGGATAGGTTTTGGTGTCGTTTCTGCCACATTGGGCCCGTCGATCAATCCTACTTGCCATTCCGGTTCTATCGCTAAGGAAGGCAGGGCCGGTGGAGACAGCCGCAAGAGGAATCTCGATGGGCAACATCGAGGCAACTCACAAGTTGCAGACGACATCACCATGGAAGACGACCTCTCAACCCCCTTGAACCACAGCTCTCCTTCTGATCAGACTCCATTGAGTTCGGATGCTGGTTCGTCGCTTCCTTCATCGACTGACTCTTCCTCAAGTTCTTCCAGCGATCCGTTGTCACCGTCCACATCCCACGCAGACGCCGACAACAACCCTGGCTCTTCAGGATCGTCCTATACCAATCCTCTATCTCTCGCAGCTGGAATCTCGAGCAGCCCTATTGCGTCAACTACCACCACAACACCGTCGAACTCCACAGCTCTGCCTACAGTCACCTTGGGATACCCACCCATCCCGACCGCGTCCAATCTAGACCAGGGAGGGCTTAATTCGACTCTGTCCAATACATCTCCTACACAAAACCCACCGTCATCCGGAACGTCGTCCTCACGAACTAAGTCGATAGCTGTCGGAGTCACCGTACCTATGATCACCATCGCTATCGGTTTGATAGCGTTTTGGGTACTGGTCAAAAGACGACGGCGCGGCAGGGAGAGGGATGCGGAGAAAGCAGATGATAGGAACGTCGATGGGAACGAAACGCCGGGTGCGGAGACGCAAGCGAACACAGAAACGAAGGAGGCGGAATTAATCTTTGGATCGCTCGAACAGGACATCAAGCCGACGGATAGAGTGCGTGAAGTCCAGGACAGGGGCGGGTCGGATGAAGGTTCGCATGCGTCTAGATCGACTGTACGATTCCGGGTCGACGAGGCGAAAGCGGCAAATTTGCCAAACGAGCAGGTCCCGGTCTCGCCGTCAATCGCGCAAGTTCCCCTACCGCAGGGCGGCGGAGGAAATGACATGCTTGCAACCGGCACTCCGAACATCACCAGGGTCAGATCGAAGCGCAAACCCGTACCCAAGCTGGTCGAGACTACAGCCGAGGCACACGAAACGCATCCGGATGTAAAGCGCTAATGTCAGCAATACAGGTCGTGGTGCGATCAAGTTGAGCGTGTGGGTATTATCGCTGTCAATGCGAGTGAACCTGTGACGATGTGTATCGATCCGAGTTGATGCCAGCTGCCAAGAGGTACTGTACAAGCGGAGATGAATAAAAAGCGGCAGCGGATCGGGTGCGGGCAAGGTGATGCCGCAAGAGATGCCGTGCTCGCGCGAGCGCGATGCGGCGATTGCGATGCAGGGTCCAATTTTCTTCGCTGTCCGCAATGCCCAAAAAAAAGGGCAGGCAGTTCACCAGTCTGATCTTTGTGAAGACCGGTAGACCAAGATGCCCGCAGCAAAATTGTGGTACCCGCTATCGAGAGGGGAAGGGTTAACTTTTCTTGCTTCTCGTCGTTGATCATTTCCGCTTTTCGTCGTACAGATAGGTGTGAGGGGACAGTATCTTTCTTCAATTCTGAAGTGTATCGGCGACGGTCGAGGCGATCTTCCGAACCCTGCTAGGAAGGGCTCCACGTCAACGATTCGACTAGGCAGCGATCAGAATGTCGTCCTCCTCATCCTCATCCCCATCCTCGTCCTCCTGGACAGGCTGGTCGGCCACCTCACCCTCTACCTCCTCCTCCGCACCAGCATCCACACCACCCCTCGACTGGCTACCGGACACCTCACCACGCTACATCTGCGCCGACTGCGGTGCACACCTCGCTCTCCAAGTAAGCCTTACCCGCTTCATCCCCCTCTATAACCCTCCACTGACGCTCCCTTCCTGTTTTGCATTCTAGGACGAACTCATCTCGAAATCTTTCAGCGGTCGGGACGGCAAAGCGTACCTCTTCTCCTCCACGCTCAACACCACGCTCGGCGCCAAAGAAGATCGACACCTGCTAACGGGCATCCACACCGTGTGCGATCTGACGTGCAGAGGTTGCGGCAAAACCCTGGGGTGGTACTACTGGAAGGCGTGGGAACAGAGTCAGAAGTACAAGGAGGGGAAGTGGATCATGGAAAAGGTCAATTTGGAGAAGGTGAATGCTTGGTAAAAAGGGCAGGGAAGGAGCGCGCTTGTTGTTGTGGTTCGGGGGGTTTTGGTGTTCTTCGCATCTGCATCTTGCAACTCTCTGTTTTGGGTTCCTTGGCTGACACAGTTTGAGCTCGTTACGCTTGATGTCGAGACACAGGAATGAGTCGATATACCATTCACAGCATCGCCGTCACTACATCATCCTAAACACCGCACCTACAAACCACTCATCCCAATCCCACTACCCCTGAACAAAGTGATGCGCTTATCCTTCCCACCCGCGACCACCTCCTGACCGTCCTTCGACCAGTCCAACCCCAACACGCCCCTCTCACCCTTCGTCGCTACACTTGCATCCAACGTGAACAAGGCCTTCTTGCTGCTCCTCGCGTCCCACACCTTGACGCCCGATTCCAACCCGCTTGCGCTTGCGAACAGATTCGAGTCCAACGGATGCGCGGCCAGCGCGTCCACAGGTCCGCGATGTGCGTTGTTGATGCTCACGCCCAACGTCGCGGGTCCAGCAGTAGCGGATGTAGACGAGCGAATGTCGAAAAGATGAATCGCGCGATCCATCGATCCCACCGCGAGGGTAGAAGGTGAAAGCTGCGTCATGGAAAGCATCGGTCGCGTCTCCGCTGTGGAACAGGGTAACGAGAGAGACGTGTGGGTGATCCCACCCGAGCAGAGATCCCAGCCCTTGAGCAAGCCGTTGTAGCCGATGCTCCAGGCTCGATTGCTGTTCTTACCTGAGGATGTGCGTTCGAACAGCACAGCGGTGACGCGCGAGGAAGGGTGGGAGACGTTCTTGGCTCCCGTGACGGTGTGTGCGGTGGGTTGGGCGTGGTAGAGGATCATGGTGGGGTCGATGAAGCCTGGTTTGATGGTGGAAGAGGCTTTGGAGATGGACTTGCTTGCGTTGGTGGAGGTTTTTCGGCGTTTCGAGGTGGATTCTTGTTCGTCTTGATCCGAGTCGTCGTCGGAATCCATGGCGGCAGCGGAGGGACTGCTGACGAGATCGTCCCAGACAGCAACGATACCATCCCAACCACCACTCAGCACGCTGACTCCCTGAGGTCCCTGAGCAGTATCTACCGCACCGACGGGTGCATTGTGCGCCTCACCCTGCCACTTTCTTGCGCTCTTCCACGCATCGTCCACCTGCTCTACACTCCACAGCTGCACCCTACCATCCATACCACCCGTCACCAACGCATCGCCATTGGGAGTCCACCTGGCACTCGTCAGACTCGTGTTTCTACCACCCTGCACCGTGGCCTTGTTGATCGTGCTCAGCGTGTGCAACGCCTCCGTCGGGTTTGAGGGCGAAAACAGTCGGACGGAACCATCGTAACTGCTCGTCATGTAGATCTTTGCTGGAGCGAAGGAGCAGTCGACGGATGCGACCCAGTCGTCGTGTTCGAAGGCTGCGAGTCGTGTGGGTGGAAGCGTAGAGCGCACGTACTCGATGGTGAGGGTGGATTCGGAGGTGAGTCCGCCAGATTCGAGGTATTCGCCGAGCGTGGAGCGGAGGAGCGAAGAGTCGATGATGAAGTCGAACGGTACCGCAGCAGACGTGCTCTCGGCGTCGGAGGTGGAAGATACGAGCTTGTTGACGAGCGTCGAGAGGTGGGTTCGTCGCCACGAGACGGGGACCATGTAAGGGCCGGTAGGGATGGCATACTGGTCGAGAGAGGTGGTGAGGATGATGGGCACTGTCTGCTCTGCCGGAGCAGCAGCAGCCGATGATGATGCTGCACTCAGAGAGTGCGAGTCGTAGTCGTTGATCGCACTCATCGTGTGAGATGTAAGCTTGCGAAAGAGGCTGTTGTGAAGACGATGGTGAGGTGACGAGGAACGATTCTCAACAACAAAGTGCAATTTTCTTCTTCTCACCAAAATTTCTTCTTTTAACAAAAAACAAAAAAGATAAACAGAGCTCCGACTCCCGAAATTGTTCTTCATTGCTGCAGCTCTCCACGCTCGTACAACGCACGGACGATGACACTACCATCAATGCTTGCGTGGCATCATCTCCTTGTTAACACTACCTCAGTTGCATGACTGAGGGCAGAAGATCTCCTCAGAGCATGGGAGGTGCTGGCACACGCAGATCGACAATCACCGGCCTGCAACGAGGAAGAACAAGAAGTCAGCGCCGTCAGTCCCGTGTTTCCCTATGAGTGAGACTGTCACAGAGTACTTACTTGCATACGACTGTATACGAGACTGTTCACCGTCATCGTCAGCGTATCAGCAATTAGGAGGGTCAGCGTCGAGCCTCAGTCCCTGTTGATGTTGTCTGACCAGAGCACACTCACATTTGCGGTGGTTGTTCCACATGTCCTGATCGTACTCCACCAACGCAGCGTTGACGAGCACCGTCTCGTCCCCCTCCCCGTCGTGCTGCAACACAGACACGCCTCTCGCCTCATGGATGTGTCCGAACACGTGCAGCTTCGGTCTGATCCCACCCTCCTCCTTGTTCGCCTGCAACTTTCTCATCAGCTCTTCGCATCCCACCGGTGTTCCATCGTGAATCTTGTCCAGACCACCCAGGCTGTGTGGTGGAGTGTGCGTGACCAGCAGATCCACATCCTCCGGGATATCTTTGTGAACCTCTCTCGCCTGGGGTCCACGTTTGTAGTTCCACGCCCAATCTTCGAATTCGGGCGACCAGGGACTGCCCCACACCTTCCAGCTGTAGTGCTTGGTTTCCTTGCGGTCGATGGCGAAGGACCATGCTTCGTTGTCCAGGTACTTGAGACGGGCGTCGGCGAGGTTTTTGCTGCCGAGAATACGACGTGTAAGTGCAACGTCGTCCGGCGAGTCTTGGACGTTGTATGCAGCGTTGAGTTGACGTCCACGGGTCTCGTAGAAGTTGTCGACGGTGCAGGCCGAAAAGTCATGGTTACCGCAGGTGAAGATCTTGTGTGCGTGAGGCAGCGTCTTCAGCCATTCCACCTGAGCGGAAAAGTCGTCGGGCTGTCCCAAGGTTGTAAGATCTCCAGCGTGGAGCAAGACATCCCCAAAAGGTATAGCGGTGGTCTGGGAATGCGTGTCAGAGATTAGTACAAATCGTACCCATTCAGGGCCTGGTACTGCAGGTGGCGACGAGACGTCGTATTCAGTGTAGACGCGCGTATCGTGCTTCGAGCTTGAGGTGACCGATGTCATTGTCGTCTGCAAGCCAGAAAGTTGTTTGGTGTAGGTGCGAGTAGGGTGATGAGCAAAGGCAAGGTTGAGGTTGGCAGATAAGGTGATAGCCGCCGGTTCACGGGACCCCGAGACACTCGAAATCTGGCTCGTGCATCTCGCGGCTGTGAACCCTGGACCATTTGCGATCCACACTCTCACACAACTAACACATAAGAATCGCGTTGAGTGTATATGCGAGCAAGGGACGTCAAGACAAATAGTACAAATACATACGATGCAATCAAGAAGGGCGGAACAAACAGAACGGTGCAAGCAAGGAAACGAGGCATGCTGTAGGAGAGAACGAGAAAGTGTGACGAGCGCGATCAAAAGTAGACCCGAATCGCCTGGTTCAGGTAGCTCTCCGTCGGACAATAAGGACACTTGAACCGCCCATTGCCCTTGGCCAGTTTGGTCAACGTCTCCAAGCAGAGTACGTGACCGCACGCCAACATCATGGGTGGATTCTGCTCTGTACCCTGTTCCTTTGACACAGGGCACGCAAAGATCGAGTGGAAGCGCAGCCTTTGTGGCAGCGGAATCTCGATGGGCAACTCATCCGCCTGACTCCATTCGTTGCCTCTCTCCTTCATCACCGCCTTGACCTTGATGATCTTGTTGAGCGCGCCGCCAGCACCCACTTCGACGCCGATCGAGAGCGGCGCATCCTTGGCGATCTTATTTCGTGCGCAAAATTCGAGTCGGAACATGGGCTCCAGCAGCGGTGCATGCACCAGATTGGCATCTAGAAGCGGACGATACACCAGCGGTACTGTGGGGATGAGGTGCTCGACGGGCACAGAGTCAAAGCCTTCTGGTCCGTACGCCGGTGCTGGGATGAATGCGGGAAGATAAGCGAGCAACGTGAAGAGACGTTGGATCTCTGTCAGGTGGGTGCTACGGAAAGGCTTGAAATGTTCGCGACCGTACGCAAGGGCTCGCTCGACGTTGGTGTTGGCCAGCGACGCCAGTGCGAGATCCGGCGTGACCGTGCGGGCGTCGCCGTGAAACGACGCTGCGTTGGCTGACGTGGAGCCTGCATTGAGCTGATCGATCGAAGCGCTCATCATCTCGACGTTCTCCCCATCCGGATCCCGGTTGGCGATCGCTTCGTCGCTGCCCGGTAAGATGGCACCGGCGGCGATGCGGATGAACTGGCTCCTGTGCAGCGCGAACTCGAGCCCACTCTTCCTGGTCTGCAGCCACGCTCTCTCTTGCTCTGCCCAGCTGATGGCCGGACGCAAGTCGCCTCGAGACATGGCAGCCGCGACATTGTGCAATTGCACGTACAGAGCCTCGGTCTGCGGGGACAGGGGCAGCTTGGCCTCTGCTGCAAACTTGTAGCTTGTCGACCAGTCTCCATTCCTCTGCAGATGGTTAAATATGACACGCTCGAGCGCATTTTGAGCTTCTGTTGACGAAAACAGCGAAGGATCGGCGACGCCATCGATGGGGATGGGGAACTTTTTGTCGAGCGCCTTTGTGGATTTGGAGAGTGCCGCATGAAACTCTTTCTGGCGGTCGAGGATGGATTTCTGCGCCGTTTCGACCAAGGCTTTGAGCTCTGCGAGGAGCACCGCCGGGTTCGGAGGCGATGACGAAGATGCCGCTGAGCTGGCGATGGTAGCTTTGGCAGCCTCGACTTGGGCGATGAGCTTGTCGATCGAGTCGTGCACCGAGGGTTGCGTGGCGGCTGCTTTGGCGGATACCGAGTTGGAGTGCAAGCCGGGCGCACGCTTGGCGAGCTGCTCGAGTGACTTTTGCACTGCCTCCATGGTTCACGCGCTTAATGGAACGAAGAGTGTATATAGAAGCCAAATGGTAACGTGGTTGCAGGAACTCGACGCGGCGCTGCGTGGTCTTTCCTGAACGAGACGGCGAATCCTCCCCGGGTATGCGGATGGAAGACTGTGCCGTCGCTCGACAAGAAAAGCGATGAATGTGAATGCTCGCTGTCGTATCTGAGTCGATGCCAGGTGTGAACGAGACAGAGGTGTGAATGCAACATGTGAGTTAAACGACTATGGCCGAGATATGCGCTCGTCACGGTGCTTGGTCAAGGCGCTGTGCTAAGTGCTCGTTGAAACCGCAAGAGACTGGATTTGCAACCACCTTTCTTTTTGGTGGGCGGGCTGACTGAAATGAGCTGCAGTCCCTGCAGCCTCGCATATTTCGCAATGGACACTGCCCACGCGCCTCGTAGCAACCAACATTTTCAAGATCCGACTTCAACCGCAACTACAAGTACAAAGCATCGTGTGGAGCAGTCGAGCTCCAAGACCCTGATCCGCCATCGCCCATCGTCCGCAATGCTCACAACCCCTCACGTTTGATCCGCTCGTTCGTATCTGTCGCAAAGGAACGATGTACCGCACTGCACGCACAACAGATCATGCTCAGCCTTCAATACGCTCTCATGTCCAGAGAAACAAAGATTTTGTGATTGTAGATCAGCGTCATTGCTCGACAAAACACTCCTCAATCCACTACGACGTATCGACTCTTGATCGGCCTCTTCTTGACCGTGCCCGTCTTGGCCCCTCCCGGCGGCGGCGGAGGACCACCAAAGCTGGATCCTGCCGGCGTCGACGACCCTGACCCTCTTCCTGGCGGCGCTGCACCACCCATCGGCGGCTGCGAGGCAGGTGGCATCGAGTGATCCGCAAGGTTGCTCCTCGCCCTGTTCAGGCTTCCCATTCCAGGCGGTCCGCGGCTCGGTGCCAGTCCAGAACTGCCTTCGTCGTTGTCTTCGCTGATCGGAGGCGTCGCTCGTCCCATCGTGTAGCTGCCCGATGAAGAGCCGCGCATGGGTGGGGCACTCGACGCTCCCGCGCTGCGATCCGGCTGCGAGGCTGGGCTGGCCGATTGGGCTCGCGGAGGCGGGGGTGGCGGCGTGCTAGCTGCGCCGCCGCTGTCACCCACTTTCTTGTTGACCCAGCGCTTGAGCTCCTTGTCGTACACGAAGCTTGTCTCTTCGCCCAGGTGCGCCTTCTTCGCCTTGGCCTGCGCCTGCTGAGCCGCGCTGTCCGTGCTCGGACTGCGGCCCCAGATCCGACCAAACCACGACGCAGACGGCTTGAGCTCCTGCCTCTTTTCGTCGCCGCCTCCTCCCGCATTGCTGGCCGAGTCGTCTTTCTTGCTATCGGCGTCACTTTGCCTGGACGTATTTGCAGCAGCAGACGAGCTCGCGACGCTGTCTCTGCGCGATGCATCGCCTACCTCGGATTGTGGTCCATCCGCTGCGTTGCCCGTCGCTCTGCGACTGCTCGAATTGCCGAGTCCGAGATCGTCGTCGTCTTCCTCGTCCTCCTGGACGCCATCATTGCGACCGTAGGACGGTGCGTACTGGTTGCTTTGCGACTGCGGCTGCGGCGTTCGGCTGTTGGACGAAAGTGCATCGAATGGCGAGACAAAGCCACCTTCGTCGCCGCCCTCAAGAGCGTCTCCGCCACCAACGTTGCTGACAAACTGCGGCTTTTGGGCTCCATGCGGATCGTAGCCGTAGAACGGAGTAGCTCCGTGAGAAGGAGCTGCGTAGCCGTTCGCATCGCCTGCATCTTCGGCACCCGTCTCTGCGACCTGCGAATCGTCTCCGTACGTGCCGCCGTATCCACCGTAGCTGCTGCTGCCATAGCCACCGTAGTCACCGTAGCCCCCATAAGCCGACTCGGACCCAGCCGCTGCACCTCCAGCGTCGGTGCTGGGACGCCGAGAGCTGTCTGCATCGTATGTGCCCTGCCCGACGCTGCCATGCCACGGCGGAGTGTCAGCAGCAAAGCTCGTCTCGCCCGCGCCGCCGTACGTCGACGATGCGGCCGAAAATGCTGAGGCCTGGGCATTGTGGCCCGCGCCGTAAGCAGAGCCAGCATGGAGACCCGCACCGTAGCCGTGCGATGACCGAGCCGCCTCAGAGCTTGACCTGACACTGTCACGGTCGTGGTTGCTTGCCGCTTCGCTGCCATTGGCATTGCCCGCTGGCCTCGGCTGTGGCCAGTCACTGTACGGGTCCGAGTTGAGCGGTCGCATCGAAAGCGCCGTAGAAGCGCGATGCTTTGGCGAAGCGGCACGTTTGGTGGCATTGCGGAAGTCCATCGCCGAACCAGAGCGCGATGTCGGCACGCTAGGCGATCCCGTCCTGAGCTCGTTGAACGATGGCTGCCTCGTCATGCCACCCGACGCCGCATCCGGAGTGATGGCGCTGTAGTGCGAGAAGGGACCGAGACTCGACGACACGGAGCCCTTGCTGTTCTTGTTGGGCGAGTCGGCGTCCGCGGCTCCCTCCTCTCCGGCGATGAACTTGGTGAAGCGGCCCTCCAGCGCGCCCCAGACACCGTCCAGCGTGGGCCTCTGCATCTTGCGCGTCACCCAGTTGCCCCCGGGACCCGCTTGCGGTGCGCCGACGAGCCGGTCGGAAAGCTGCTTGGACTGCGATAGCAAAGTCGAGTGGAGGTAGGGGGAAGCTTTGCTCTGCTTTAGACACTGCGCAATCGCTTCGCAGTATCGCTGCGCCTTGCCCACCTCGCCGAGATCAGCAAGCTGCTGAGCATGCACGAGCTTGTAGGCCTGCAAGTGAGCGATGCCAGGGAAGGGCTCTTGGCCTTTCACAGTCGGCACCAGTCCCTGAGCAAATTCGAGCACCTCGGACATTAAGATGCTGTCGAGGTCCTGCGCGAAGGCGGCAGATGTCTTGGGGCTCGACAACCCCAGCAGGGTGAAGCGCGCGCCGTTCGTGTCCGCACCACCGATCGGCGACGTCTGAGGCGACAGCAGATAGCAGAAATGCGCTGCCTCGATCAGCCCACGCGTGCAGAGGCCGTCACCGATGGCCGTCAAGGCTGCCGAGTCGCTGGCACTGCGATTGCTCGCTACGATCGCAGCGGACTCCTTCCAGCTGGGAAGTACCGCGGATGTCGTGTTCGAGTCGACCGGCGTTGGCTGCAAAGCGCCCATCTGACCGAGCTGCGTCTTGGTCCGGAAGAGATCAAAGATCGATGCCGGGTCCTGACCTGAAAAGACGTTGTACGCCACCTTGAGCCCCTGCAGATCTCCCTGGCCTTGGTTGACGAGCGATATTTCTGCAGCGCCCACTTCGTTCTCGATAAATTCGCTGACGACCTGCTTCCAACAATCCTTGTCGACGCAGCTGGCGATGGTCATAGCGTGCGCCCACATCTTTTGAGCGACGGCGTACTCGACAGCTTCCCTCCGTTCGCCGCGCAGCAGCATGCCTTGCACCTTTTGCAAGAAGCCGGTGCGTAGCTCGTGCGAGGTGACGACATCGCCCTCTGCACCGCCGTCTGGTGTCGCGGAGGTCACCGACATGGCGAAGGCTCCCGAGGATGCGGTTTCGCGCGTCTCGGGTGCAACAATCAGAGATCTGACTCCTTGCTCGAAAGCGGCTGAGCTCGTCTGGCCGTCATTTTCGACGAGCAGTCTCAGCAGCCGCAGGAGCAGCACCTTGTCCTCGGTCCTGCGAGCTTCGAGCTCTCCATCCTGTTCGACCGCAGCTCCTTTGTTGAAGCCCGTGGACGACGTCGAGAAGGAGGGGCGTCGTCGTAGGTATCCGACACCAGCAGAAAGGTCCTGAACGCGCTCGTCGAGATGCTTGATCACCGCCGCCTTCTTGCTCTTACCGGAGGCTGCAGCGCCCGTGGCCCTCGACAGCACATTGGTCCCAGCAGCTCCTTCGAAGACAGGACCTGGAAACGTCAGCGGATCAAAGGCCGATGCGTATGCTGACGACGGCACCAGCGATGAGAGCGCCTGTACGTTGATCTGGGTTGGGTAACTCGAGGCATTGTACGAGTAGGATCCATACGCGTTGCCGGAGCCGCTGGCGCCGTTGGCTCCCTGTGCGTCGGAAGAGCCGCGCGAGGTGGGAAAGTAGCTGACGAGCTTGCCTCCGATGCCGAAGCTGGCGATCGGAATGGTTGCACCGCGCCTCGTTTCGAGCATGTCTGCGCTCGCTTCTGATGCAGATTGGGAGCGTGCGTCGCTCGCAGCACTGGGCGCTACTTGTCCTGTTCCTGCTGTGCTGGAGGCGTACTGATCATGCGGCGCATAAGGCGAGGGAGGTGCGCCGTACGCGTTGACGTTGCCGTACTGCTGCGGTGAGATTGCGCGCTTGTTTTCGTCAAAGTAGTTGGCCTCTGCGGACTGGTCATCGATATATTGAGTCTGTCCGAGGGTGTCCGACGTGCCGGCCTCAACCCCTCGTTCAACGTGTGCATGGCCGTTGGCTGCATCGTATGGATCGGCAGAGCGATCACTGACTGGAGGCGGGCCATAGCCCCCGTACATGGGTTGCTGGTGTTGATTGTTTCCAAAGGTACTGTTCGAGACCGCGGAGGGACTGTATGGATCCTGCACAGTATCGTTGCCAATCGTCGACGAGTTGGCACCGAGCCAGCTGCCTTGCTCACCGTGAGCGGCAAGGGGCGTCCTTGCCTGAGGATCGTCTTCGCCGGGCGCTGAGGCTGCAAAGGTCTGGGGCGGTCCGTAGGCTTCGGTCGAAAGCGCGTAAGGATCCTCGTTGGCGTGTTGTGCGGAGCTATAGGCCTGCTGAGTAGACTCGTGACTGAGCGAGTAAGGATTGTATTCAGTCGTTGCGGGTGCCTGTTCGCCACCTTCTTCGTCCCAGCTGTTCCAGTTGGAGCTCTCGCGGGCAGCATCGGTCTGATCGTAGTCGTAGCCACCTTCTGCGTCGTACTGACCAGTCTCGGCATCTCCATAGCCTGGGCCATGCGACCCGGCGTGGTCCGCCGCTTGTGGAGTGGATCCGTCTTCTTCTGCTGCATAGCCGATCTCGGCATGCGAGCTTGGCATTTCCTCGTTCTGCTGATCCTGATAAAGGTTCAGATCGCCAAACGCATTGGCCGCCTCGTCGACGGCATCGTGCGGCTGATCGCCAGAGAGTTGGTGTTCCACCTCGCGCATCGAGGTCTCGACCTCGTCTGCAGCCTCTGCGTCATAGCCGTTGCCATGCTCTGATTCGTCCGTGACAGTGAGTGTGGGCAAAGACTCGTCTCCAGCATTCAATGCAGGAGGCGTAGCTGCTGCCTGCTCGAGCGAGTCGACCCATGCAGAAGGCGGGGCTTTGTACGTGGCTGGTGGGGTGTCTGTGGATCCTAGCAAGGCTTGTGCTCGTTTCTGAGGTGTTTGGACACCGTTCGACGGCGCAGATGCCAGGTCTTGCTGGCTTTCCTCCTCTAGCGAGACGGCCGACGAAGAGCGCGTCGGCATTGGCGGAGCCTCCAGAGTGGCGGACGAAGCAGAACTAGTCGCAGCATGAGCATTGCGCGAAGCGGAGCGGGAGGGGCCTCTGGGAGGACCGCGAGGCGGTCCCTGCGGTGGACCCTTGGGAGGCGGTGGAAGGCTGCTAGCTGTGGCAGTCGAGGACGAAGGTGCAGCAGGGCTGGCCGTGGTGGCAGGTGGATCGTACGGGCTCGGTGCACGCGCAAGACTCTGATGGCTTTGGTGTACATTTGCGCCTTGCAGATCGCCGTATGCACCAGCGCTGAGGCTCGATCCGTTGGTTTGCCCGTAGCCGGCGTCGTGTGAGTAGTCTTGGCCTGAGTGTCCCTGTTGCTGCGACTGCTGAGGCTGCTGAGATGGTGCGTATGGATTGTAGGCATCACTTTGCTGTTGCGAGTAGGGATCAGTTGCCGAGGGCTGCTGAGCGTAGTTGTCGCTGCCGTACGTTGAATACGGATCAGCGCTGTATTGGTCCTGCGAGCTTTGCCCAGCAGTTGCAGCTGTATCGTACGCCTGTTCGCCTGCAGAGGCATCGTATGCGTAGCTCTGGCCCTCGTCGTAGCCTGCATATGTGGCAGAGGCGTCCGTGCTCGCTTGGTAGGCAGGATTGGCTGCGTACGCATTAGCGTCGTAGCCTTGCTGAGCCATTTCTCTTGCATCGTCGGCAGACGGAGCAGCCGCGTAAGGATCCGCTGCAGCGTAACTGGCGATATTTCCATTGCCTGACTGGTCGTAGCCGTATTGATCGGCATGAGTATCCTGTTGCTGCCCGTAGCCTGACTGCGAGTAATCTTGATGTGCGAAATGCTGCTGAGCGTGTTCCTGCTGATCGTAGCCATGCTGATCGTAGCCCTGTTGATTGTAGCTTTGCTGACCGTAGCCTTGCTGGTCATAGCCTTGCTGATCGTACCCCTGCTGGCTGTGATTCTGCGGGTCGTAGCTTGGCTGCTGATCGTAGCTCTGTTGCTGATCGTAGCTTTGCTGTTGATCGTAGCTTTGCTGTTGATCGTACCCTTGCTGCTGACCATAAACCTGCTGCTCATCGTACCCCTGCTGCTGATAGTCGTAGCCGGATTGCTGATCGTAATTCTGCTGATGTTGTGAGTAGTCGTACCCTGGATGTTGCTGGTCGTAGCTGTAGGCTTGCTGCTGTTGGTCGTAGTCATAGCCTTGATGATACTGTTGCTGCTGATCATAAGATTCTTGCTCGTGGCCAACAATTTCGGAGCCAGCACTTGCAATGGGCCGACCGTAAGCATCGTACTGGGTCTCTGCAAAAGGTTCGTTGGCAGCCTGATTTTCCCCCTGATTCGGCCATGATAGGGAGCCTTGACCACCGGCCTCTGCAGCGAATGGATCGGCTGGATGAGAAGATGTGCCGTCTTCGTTGACGTGTGCAGCTGCTGCTTGGCCATGTTGCTCGGCTCCCTGGGCGAGCCAATCGTCCTGGTAGCTCGAGTCGCCAAACAGACCTCCTGGCGATGCTGGGCCTGATGAATGAGCGCTTGCCTTTCCGTCGGTGCCGGGCACTGTCAATCCATCTGTCGCAGGTGGGAGAGCCGCAGGATTCGCCGACGGCTGAGCAAGGCCTGACGATGCGGACTCGCTTCCGAAGAGGGATGTGACTGGATCAGCAGCTGAAGCCGAGCCTTTCAAATCGCCGTGAGTGTTGCCTGCACTGGACGAACCGAAGAGGTCCGGCTCCTCTTCAGCTTCGGTGAGCTGTCCGAGAGAGCTGGTGCCGTTGGAGGCGGCGATGCTGGAGAAAGGGTCATCGTCGCCGGCAGAGCCGAAGAGGGAAGCGGCAATTCCGACACTCGGTTTGGGAGCATGTCCCCTCTTGAAAGATGTTGTCGAGGGTAGTTGAAGAGACGAAGTGTCGACGGCGTCTTTCTCGGTGGTTGTTGGGGAAGCGGCGTCAGAAGCAGCGGTAGGCTGTGGAACCTCGTCTGCGACCGCCTTGTCGTCGATCTTGGATGGTGGGCTGCTCATGATGGAGGAGGATCGTAAGTTTGACCGTGAGTCGATCGACCGAACGACCTGTGCGCGAAGACGTATCGGTGTGTCGTGAATGGATCAAGTCATGAAACGAATTATAGCACGGGGAAGATCTGAGCGACTTGCGATGCTAGACCGGAGCAGGCGGTCGTGATCGTAAAAGCGGCAAGGTGATCCAGGAACGCAGCGATGTCGTTGGGTCTTGAACGATGCGGGTGAGCGCGTTGCCCCAGTGAAACGTATCCCTGGCACGATGGTGGACGAGAGGTGGAGCCAGCTTCAATGACGACCGAAGCGTATCGTTGCGTCGCGTTGCCATGTGCATTTGCTGAAAGTCAGTGCACGAGTCTCTCTTTGCTCTCACACCGCCGGTGCCGGGCCAATGAGCGGTACAAAAGAGGTGCTGCAGTCTCGGTGTATGTTTGACTTTGACTCTCGGGCCACGTCGAAGCGAAATTCTGGCTTCCTTTCGCCATTTGTAAGCCTGATGTGTTCATGTGAAGCTAGGAATGTCTGCAAATGAGGCTCTCACATCTCGAAAGGGAAGAAATGGCAACTCAGCCTCCACCTTGCTTGCCCTTCCTAGCGACTGTGACCTACCTTGCTAGACCATGGACCCTCCTGCTTCTCTTGCTTCTACGATATCGCGGAACAATACCACTTCACGTTTCACACAATGGCGGCAATCGCCTCGTCCTCTTCCGTGACAATCGACGATATGGACGCAGCCGACCGAGCCTGGGCAATCCAGGAGAACAGGTTCCGCGCCAGAGCACGACTCCGCCTCCAGGCAAGGGCTCGCAAACCCCGAACGCTTCCGGGCAGCAAACCTGCCTCCACCGCTACGGCATCGAATGTACAACAGGCACAACCTTCCGGATTGAATGTGCCGTCGATCGGACCCAACGCCAACCTCCGTTCGGTGCCGGCAACTAGTCGTAACGCGCAGCTTGATGCTGCTCAGCTCAAAGTGGTCGGAAGCAAGGGCAACGTCGCACGCACACGCAAGACCGACGATGGAGAGATTCCCTTGCAGCGGGACAAAGCGCTCGGCGACTACATCGAGTTCGACCTATCCAAGCTTCACAACAGCAAAGGAGGTTTCCTGATCGACGATGAAGATCCTACCGGATCGCGCAAGACCTTGGACGATCTGCGCAAAGAAAAGGAACGCGAGAAGCAGCGCATGCGCGACTACGCCGAACCAGGCATCTCACTCGACCTGCAATCCAGGCCCACCTGCGAGAGCTGCGGAAGCCCCGAAATCGTCGACCACCCGTTCAAGCGTGTCTTTGGCATCTACGTCTGTCACAAGTGCGAACGCGAAAAGCCCGAGGTCTACTCGCTCTTGACCAAGACAGAAGTCAAGGAAGACTACCTCTTGACCGACGCCGAGCTCAAAGACGAAGAGCTGCTGCCGCATCTTCTCAAGGCCAATCCTCACAAAGCGACCTACTCCAACATGATGCTCTTCTGTCGCAAGCAGGTCGAAGAGTTCGCCTTTGGTCCCGGCAAATGGGGCTCCGAAGCAGGTCTAGACGAAGAGTTCGAGCGAAGAGAGGAGGAAAAGGCGAAGAAGAGGGGTAAGAAGTTCCAGCAGGGCTTGGCCGATCTCAGGAAGCGCACGAGGGACAACGTGTGGCAGAGGAGGAAGGATGACGAACACGTCCACGAGTGGGAGGAAGTTGATTTGAGGGGGAAGGCAGTTCAGAGGTGTACTCAGTGTGGCTACGCCGTGGAGGTCGAGGTGTTCTAGGCAAGAATCCGCTGCTACACGATGGATAAGACAAGCCAGATGGAATGTGCAGTAGATTGAATGTATGATATGCGATGCAGTCTTATGGGAAGATCTCGGCCATCATGAGGGCCACGGTGCTCGACCAGCCTGTGAAGGGATAACCCCTTTGACCGTGGCCGTCGGTTGGATTGTACTGTTCGAAGACGTAGCCTGTCCTGGCGTACTCTTTGAACGTGTTGTCCACCACGTTGCTTCGCAGCTTTTCGTAGATCTCGCGTGCCTTTTGTTGGTGCGGACCCGACGTCGTGGCGTACTTGTTTCTCAATGCTCGTAAGCTGAGGTAGCTCATGTGCACCCACACGGGACCGCGCCAGTAGTTGTCTCCCTGACCAAAGTGTTCGTCTTTGGGGCTGAGCGATCGGATGCCGTATGGTGACCAGAGCTGCTCAGGGTCCGAGAGGAGATCCAAAACGTGGCCCAGATGAGGCGAGTCCGCATCCAGCAGTTCGAGCATGAAGGGGAACAACGAGACGTAGCCAGCGTGGCAGACGTGATACGATTGATCGTGCTCGTCGACGCTCGCATCGCAGTACATCTTGTTCTCTTCGCTCCAGTGCAGGTCTTCCAGGTTGGCGACGATGTCCGAGTAGTGTCGCGTGTACTCCTCCACGTCGTCTTCCTTGTCGAGTACGCGTGCGATCTTGGCCATGGTATCGGCGAACGAGCCCATCCACGAATGCAGGTCGACGTGAAGCTCGCCTGTGTGTGCGACGGGTGCACGTGGGAAATCGTCGAGACCGCTGGTCAGGACATGCTCCTTGGTACGGCCACGCCATCGATACGCTTCGTGCTTCGAGGTGGCTTCGCGATCCCATTCGCGGATCTCTCCGCGCTGCGTGCGACGGAACCAACGGTAGTGTCGACGCAGCTTGGGGTAGATCTCGCGCAGGAACGTTTGACCGAGTGCTGCCGAGGCAAGCATCTTTTCCGAGACGGGCGCGGTGTCGAGGGCTTCAAAGTCGGACAACGTCTGTTGACTGCCGAGCGAGGCGACGCTGAGTCCCGACTTTTCGATCCGCGCAACGAGTCGGTCCACGTAGGCGCTGACGGCCAAGATCAGCGTCGGCGGGTTGCCGTACTGGGGGTACTGCGTCTGGAAGCCGTCGGGAACACGAGACCGAGCCTCGTCGCCAAGGATCTGTTCACGAGCCACCCAGCCGTCCTGGTCGATCAGTCGGATCCAGCTCCGTAGAATATCGAGACTGAGGTCGTTGTCCCATGCGCCGATGTGAGCCAGATGGAAGCCTTCATCCCAGTAGAAGCCACGCGGGAAGATGTTCCTGCACGGAGTTGCAGTGAAGAGCTGTCCTGGCTCGGTAGGCTGCGGATTGGCTTGGCCGTGGACATCCGGATCGTAGACACCGGAGCCCGTCTCGGCATCGTACTCGTGCCTGAAGGAGCGATCGACGATGGACGAGCCATGGTAAAAACCGATGCCGCCCGTGATGGATGAGGTGAGGTCGCGTGCAAACTCGATCTGCTGTGCCGAGTAATTTTTGCTGCCGAGATGAAGAGCCTGCTCGAAGCGTGCGTCGTATGCATCGCGAGAGGCTCTGAGCGCCTGAGTCAGTCCGGCTGACGAGAGGCGTTCGCCTTTCGGTGTGGAAGCGCTGTCGTAAAAGATATCGAAGGTAAAGTTGCCGGTGAACGACTTCTGGACGGCAAAGATGGTGGAACCGGGAGCGACCTGGTCCGAGAGACTGAGGGTGAGAGCGGGATCAGGCATCTTGTCTTGACCGTGGGTCTGCGCGGCTTCCTGCAAGCGAATCATTAGGTCGTTCTGGATGATCTCCTTGGACTTCCATACTGCTTCGATGGGGACGCGCTTGCCAAAAACGTGGGACTTGCCTACGGTCTCGGCATAGTCGTCGGCGGTGGCAGATCCGCTGGGACGCGTGACGAACTGATTGTCACCCGCATTTGCGTTGCCGTGAGCGGCCGTCGGCTCTTCGATACGGAGGATAAAGTCGCCGAGGCCCGGAACGGACCCAGCGAGACGAATTGGCTCCTCGCGCTGAATGCCGTGACCTGGATCCATCTCGGTTTCTAGACCGAGCTCGCTCGTGAGGCTTTCGATGGCGGTGTACCAGAAGGTTGTGAGCGATGCGGGTTTCGTTGCGTCGATGACAGTACCGGAGATACGAGCGCCCCAGCTGCCCCCGTTCTTGTTGGCGGTGTCGACCTTGACGAAGCTGGTCTCGAGGCGATAGTTGTTCTCGTTGTCGTTGATTTCCTGCACGCCAAACTCACGGCCGTCGTGGTACTTCCAGGTGAAGCCCTTCATACCATCCTGGTCGCTGCACTGGTGTCGAATGTGCTGGAAATCGGTGTAGTCCTGCAAGCCGAACCAGGCGAGACCGGTGAGGAGCGAATCTGGAAGGCGAGGACGGAGGCCAAAGTAGATCTGTGGACGATAGGTTCCCCACAGTAGCGATGCGTCGGCTTCGGCTCGCGCCAGCTCCAATTCGGGCGATAGTGAGATGGCCTCGACGTCGTCTGTGTCGATGTCGTCGTCCACGTCGTCATCGTCTTGTGCCTGGGCGCGATGCGGAGCGACGAGGAGAAGCAGGAGCAACGATGCTGCTATGATGGCCAGAAAGGCTCTTAGACGTGCCCTCGACCGGGCCGCGGTGTTGTTGCGCCTCATCGATGATCTGGCCACGAGGTGCTTGACACATAAGTGAGTAGTCGAACGTCGTGGAGTAGGCCGGAGAGCGTCGGACAACTCAGCTAGAAAACGTGGAGGCAATCTTCCAAGCTGTGGCCTGTGCGGCAGCAAGGCCAGAGAATATGAACAGCAATGTTAGGCCTTACTAGACCTGGCAGTCGGCATCGAGATGTGAGAAATCCGGGTTCACTGCCTTGGACCAGCTTTGCTGCACGGCAGCCATCCACTTGGTTGCAACTCATGCCAAATGTAAGATCCGAGTCTGAAACATCGGAGTGCGCATCTGTTTGTGTTGATCAGCCCCGTACCTTGCCGGGTAGTGAATGCACTTCGTCGCGCGAGTGATGGAGGCCAGAAATGCACCCTGCGGGTTGGCCTGAGTGTCTCGGTGTCGAACTCGGTGTTGCATTTCAAAGCCTGGACGCTGTAACGCGTCCACACGCCCATGCGCTGTCGATCCTTCGAAAGCCAACATCTGGACCAACCAACTCAAACTGGAAGGAAGATTCGAATGCAGCGTGGCCAATCCAATCTGCCATCATGCGGTCAAGTCATGCATGCAAATCTGGCCGCACCCTTCTGCATCAAGAAGACCCGCGGGCTGAAAACCAGAGTGTCGATCCTCCTCCTCCTCTCCGTCGCGACTTTCTGCCTTGGTTCGCTCGTGCATTCCCTCGTTGCGAGCTCGATGATGATATCACATTTTTCCTTCTTCCTGGGCCTCGGGCGCGCGGCCTTGAGTTCGCCTTTGGCAACGCACAATGCCTTGCCGCGCGCCGTATTGCTGCCAAGACTTGTTCAGAACTGCTCCTCACCAACCATCAACGGCGGAGCTCCGGCACATCTGAAGCAGCTCGAGACGATGCGTTGAGAGATGGAGACTGCTTTCATTGGATGGTCTCCTATAGCTCGCAAGCAAGGTTGCTGGTGCTCTTCGGTCTTTGACTCTAACCTCTTGCTTCGGAGCGTCTGTTGATTCTTCTCCGAGCCCCGCTTTTTGGTTGCTCTGGCCCTGTCTCTGTGCCTCGAAAAGGATCGAAATATTATAACTACGCGTGCGCTGCTGCAGCAGTCCAATTTCCCACTTTGGACAAAACGTGGATCGCTCGCTGCACTCTGAGAGCCAGCCGGCCGGCCAGCCAGCCAGCGAGCGCGATGTTGCATTGCGCCGTGCGTGTCAGTGTGTGTGCGTGTGTGTTTCTCGCAAGGAGCAGCATCACCCTAGCTCCTTTCCGTCTCTTTTGCCCACTTTCCATCTTTCCCATCTCACCATCCTCCGTTCGTCGCACTGTCCGCTGCCCATCGAACTAACAGCCGACACCACCAGTACGAATCCTTCTACTGGCTGCTTGTCATAAGAACGCCCCTCCTTTGGTGGTCGTAACACTGGATCGGTCGCCATCGATTCGCTTTCAGCGTACTTCGCGCCGACCACGCTCGCCAGGAAGGAACAGCTTGCCCTGGACACTCAATCCCACAGGGATCCCCAATACAGCGTCGCGCCAGCTGTCATCGTCGCTGTCACGGTCTCGCTGCGTTCAAGCCAGCATCGCGCGTCGGAACAGCCGCACCACCACCCCCATCACATCGACGAGACCGTCTCGTTCACGGAACCGTCCACGGAACCCTTCCGATCCCGTCATTCGTCCTTCTTCCCTTTCCCCATGCTCGCGCAGCAACGTCCAACGCCGCCAATGTCTGGACCTTCGTTCTTCTCCCAGATCTCGTCCTTCTTCGGAGGCAGCGCCGATGGCTCTTCTCGAAACTCTCCTTCGCGCCGCACCACCGCATTTGGCTCTGGCTTCGGCTCATCCTCGCGCAGGGGTCCTCCTCAGGCGCTCAACGCAAACGCTTGGTCGCTTCCGTACAGCTCCAGCAACAACATCCCACACTCTCCCGCCTACCTCCAAAATGGCATCGCCTCGCCCGCCGACAGCCAGTATCCGCCTGCCTCGGGCATCGCTCGTGCATCTTCGCCCTACGGCAATGAGCACGTCTCTGCCATCTCCACCAGCTCTGTCGCCGAGTTCAGCAACATGTATCCCACCGCTTCCACCTCGACTCTCACCGCTGGTCCAGCTAGCCGCTCGGTGAGCGTCTCCGCCGGAGGATCCGTCCCCACTAGCGCCTATCCTCCCATGCGTCATACCTGGAAGCGCATCCGCAAGTGGGCCCACAAAAACTATCCCGAGATCTCCGACACGCTCAACTGGCCCTGCTCCGAAGAGGCGCTCGACGAGCTGGAGATGACCATCGGGTACGCCCTGCCCAGCTGTGTGCGCGAGTCGTACCTTACCTACGATGGTCAGGAGCTCGAATCGAACCAGTCGTGCCAGGACGGTCTGTTCTTCGGCGCAGCGCTCTTGAGCCTGGAGCAGATCGCCGAGGAGTGGAAGTTTTGGCGCGCAGTCGACGAGGACCCCGAAACGGCCGCCAACCCGCAGGTGCGCAACCTCATGGCGAGCTGCCCGAACAAGTGGATTCGCGCCGAATATTCGTGCCGCGGCTGGATCCCTCTCATCACGGACCACGCTGGAAACTACATTGGCGTCGATCTCAGCCCACATCCCGCAGGAGGAGGATCGCCTGGTCAGGTCATCATCTTTGGCAGGGACTTTGATACCAAGGTTGTATGTTGGAAGGGCGAAGGGGCAGGCGGATGGGGACGATTCCTGCAGATGTTTGCTGACGAACTCGAAGCCGGTGCATTCTGGACGCTCGAAGACCCGAACTCGGGCAGCGACGACGAAGAGGATATGATCGGCTACGAAGGCTATTTTAGCGGTGGAGGCGCCGGTGCTGGTCAGGGCGGCGGTGATCGCGGAGGAGAAGGCGCTGCCGGCTTCCGTCTTGCGGGCGAGTACAAGGGATGGCCTGTGCTGGAAGCATGGGCGGATCGCTCGGTGCGCCTGTGGGAGTCGGTCGGATTGGCGCCGGGCAAGCCGCAGGGGACTCCGCACCTGCAGCAGAAGCCTCTGCCCGAATCGGTGGTGGACCGACAGTCGCACCATCTCGACATACTCGGAGGCGACACGGGCACGCCGCCTGCGCTGCACGCTGTCGACGAGAACGGCGAGGCGATCGAAGCCGAGGCAAGCGGATCCAGCCGCAACCCAGCGGTGGGCAGGGAAATCGAGGGCGAAGTGTCGGTGGATGGACCGGCACACCCGTTGGCCGACGCTTCGCTCGGCGGAGATACGAGCGTCGAGATCCTTCTCGCTGCAGCTGACGAGAGCTCGCCCGTCGATGCCAACGGTGGCGATGCTTCGATCACCAGCGGAAACGAGAGCATCGATGCGAATCTGACTCCTACCAACAGCACACGTCGCGTATCCGGAATGCTCTCGCCTCCGCTTCCCGAGACCAAGGCGTCGCTGCGCAAGCAAAAGCAGCGGGAGGAAGGATGGGGATCGCCCATGCTCGGCTCTGCATCGCCCTCGATGGGTGGTGGACAGCCACGCCGACCGGTGCGACCGGCGCCTGCTCCGGCGGCCATGCTGGATCTGCCCACCTTCGAGGACGTCAAGGCGATTCAAGCGGCAGCGCTCGCCGACGACGGCAAATCGCACAGCGTTCAGTTCGATTCGCAGCAGGGACGTAGTTCGTTTGGCAGCCTAGGGTTCCGCGACTTTGCGGGCAAGATCGGTGCTGCTGGAATGGTCAACGGCAACGGTGTGACGAGTCCTCGCGTGGGCGATGGAAAGCGATCCGAGTCGGTGGAGTTGGAGACGAGGACGAGTGTAGAGCAGAGGGGAGGGGGAACTTCGAGCCACATTGTGGGGCAGAGAGGTAGAGCGAGAGGGTTGGGGTTGGAGACGGACGTTGAGGCGACGGCGGATAGGCTGGCAGGTATGAAGGTGAAGCCGCAGCAGCCGTCGTTGATTGATGCGAATTCGGCTCCGGGCTCGCCCATGTTGAGGGGTGAGGCGGAGGTGCCGGCTGCGCTTGCGTAGAGGAGTGGCAGATCAAGTGCATTACTGAATGAACGATTTTTGAACAGAGGTTGGGGAGTGAAGCGCGCGCGTGTGTGTGGGAAGGGGTCAACGGAGTGAGTTGTGTCTCAGTGGTTGGTGGTGAAGTGCTCGACAGAGGCGCACGATGTTGAACGGAGTGAATGTATCAAAACTGGTATTCGAGAAAGTGCGTGTGCTATTGCGAGAACATTCGTGTAGATGGTGCCGTTGTGGTGCATTCTACTTGCCGTGGTTGGGGAAGCATTCTGCGAGGGTCTGTATATGCCAAAAGAGTGTTGCAGAGCAAGGTTCAGTGGTCTTTCCCTTGAGATTCTCATGTGGCATGTCTGCGGACTCACCTTGTTATGACGGTCCTGGGCGTGTTGTACCAGCGCAGGTTCGCGGACGGTGAGGAGGAACGTCTGACGGCAGGTCATGCACATGACGTTTTTGGCGGCTTCGTTGATCTTTTTCTGCGACTTAGCGTCTCCTCCTGCGGCCTTTGCGTTTCGCTCTCGCTTCTGCTGTGCTCTGGAGGGGTTTGATCGGAAGGGGAAACGGATCAAGAAAGCATGTGTTAATGTCTTGTCATCACCTTGCTCCGAAGGTGGCCGAAACGACGACGACTTACTTTGCGCCGTTACCCATCGTGAGGTGTCGTTCGAATCGTTGATGAGAAGAGATGAAGGTAGGGCAGGATGGAAAGGAGTGATGGTCGGATAGAAACGAAGAAAGCAAGTTCGATAGTGTCGTGTGTTTGTCTGCAGAAGAGCACGTTTTTCTCTATCAAGACCCTGAAATCCCTGAGCCCGCCTGCAAGTTTTCTTCTGAGACCCAGCGGTAAATCTAACAGCTCAAGCCCCTCGCTAGTCGACTTAACACTGCGGAAGCACGCGTCAAAGTGTTGTTCTTAACGGAAAGGAATGCGCACAATCCACTTTGCCTTTCGCACATTTCCACCATCTTGCCTCATCCGCACTTGCTCTTCTTCTCGAAGACGAGGAGGCGACAGCTTCAAGATGATCGCATCCGGATCAACGCCCAATACTCATACCCGTCGATCGAAGCGCAGACGGCACACACGCTGGCCGACCTTCCTCACCCTCGCCTCGCTCATCGCAGTTTCCCTGACGACCCCTGCCCACGCTGCACCCTCAACAACAGACTCCAACATCGCCGGCACACCATCCGAATCGCTGCACGAGACGCTCCTCCTCAAACCGCTCCGTGACGGTCGCGTCCTCTCCTCGTTCGAGTTCACCCTCTCCTCCACCTCCTCCTCCACGTCCAACTTCCGCCTGCTTCCACGAGCGCTCCTCCAACCCGTCCAACACTTTGGTGTTTCGGAAGTGCATCTCTCGCTCAACTCCGGGAGATGGAAGTATGACAGCTGGGGATCTCCGGTGACGCTTCTGAAGCGAAGAGGCGGGTATGCGGAGGAGGTAGGGGAGATGGGGAAAGTGAGGGTGGGGGAGGAGAGCGTTGGAACGGGGGCAGAGTTGTGGGCACGATTCGATAACGGGCAGGACAGTGCGGAGAGCTGGAAAGGACTGACGAGCGCATTGGCGGGGCTGTTCTGTACCAGCTTGGATGCGTTGGATGAGAGGCAGACGGTGCAACCGCATCATGCCTTCTCGTCGAGCACGAGTGGCGGAAAAACACTGCACGCGCTGCTGCCGACAGAGGGAGTCTGCACGGAAAACTTGACGCCCTTCCTCAAGCTTTTACCCTGCAAGAACTCGGCTGGGCTGGCGACGCTTCTCAATCCTTTGTCGCTGTTCAGCGCCACCTTTCATGGCTTGGCGATCCACGTAACGAGACTTCCTTCAAGAGTATACATGGACAACGGAAGAGAGGAAGACGGAGGATGGCAGGTCAAGCTCACGTTCACCTCGGTCTTCTCCCCTGCGGTGACGCGTGACGTCAGCATCCGAAACTGGTCCATCGGCTCCCTCTTCGGCAGGACGCTCGACACTCGTTGTCCGCTGGCCGATTCGAGTCTGGTCCGGATCTTGAAGCCTGACGAAACGGAGGGTGGGGCAAAGTACCAGATCGGTCCGCTCCCGCCTTTTCCGACGTGTACGCGGCCTGGAGATGAACGTCACTGCCACACCAGTCAAAAGGTCGGAAAGGGTGGGAGGAAGCGGTACGAACACTTTCCCGTACTGGAAGAACAGGACGAAGTGACGGACGAGCTGGCTGCTTCGGGATTGTTGGCCTTCGAGACGGAAGAGGAGACACGGGAGTACGAGCAGCGGTTGAAGACTCGATGGGCAACATACCTGGACACGGTCGATGGGGAGTACCTCCATGACCTTTCGCAGGGGCCTGCGAAACGTGATGGCCCTCTGGACGTCAAGATGAGCTGGCCGCACGAGACGCGTTTCACCTATCCCTCTTCCAACAACACCGGTACCGCCGAGCAAGTGATCCAAGTCGACCGAACGCTCATCGGCTCCGGGCAGGAGCGAACAACTTTGCAAGTGACGCTCACCAACAACGACGGTCGACTAGCCCAACGCGTACTGTGGTACGAAAGTCTCGGCTACTTTGTTCAGCCGTACCTGCATACTCTGCGGCATTCGATCGAGTATCTTCCCTCTTCGACCAGTGCAGGGGAAGACGAGTTGCTTAGAGGCGTAGCAGACTACACGGATCCGGTGGAAGAGCTCATCTATCAGCCGACACGCGGCAAGAGGGGTGGTAGGAAACCTTTTGTGATGGAAGCGGTGGTGAGGTTGCCAGCGAAGAGCAGGGTGGTGTTGACGGTGGAGTTGAAGAAGTCGTTCGTGGCGTACAGTCAGCATCCGCCGGATGCGCATAGGGGTTTCGATTTGAGTGGGGGAATTGTGTTTCCCATTGCGGCGGTGGATCCGAGGGAGGAGTTGAGGAGACACTCGGGCAAGCATACCACTGATCGAAAGCAGCTTCAGCCTCCTATCGATCGCACGTCCTGGCAAGATCTATTGGTTCGCTTCGCAAAGACATCTGGCCTGTTCGAATCCAACGCTAAACCAAAACCCATCACAACCAACAAGAACACTCCCATCCGATTCTCCAAAACTCAAACCCGAATCTACACCCTTCCCCGTCTCGTCGAGTTGGCAACTCCCGACTTCTCGTTCGTCTACACCAACATCATCTTCACAAGCACCGTCATGGCGCTCTTCTTCGGAAGCTCGTTGAACACTGTGCTCCGCACATTCACCGATTTCGTCCTCTAGAAGACGCGATGCGAAACAAGAAAGGTGGGACTTTGAATTGTAGCTTACTGTACAAAAAAGGCTTCCATTGATTCACGGATGTGTGTGTGTGTGTCACTTGACATTGTTCGATATTGTTGCAAAAAGACGAGACGATTACAGGTTGCGTGGTGTACAGTTTTTGAGTGGACAGAGAAGATGCGACGAGAGAGTGGGAAGTAGACTCAGCCGCCCCATTCGAAGCATTCGCTGACGACGTTGACGATGCCTCGCGCGTCGCCGCGTCGAACTTTGGACGGATCCACCTGCTTGCTGACGATGCTGCGAAGCACAATGTCGAGCGACTTTGGTCCGCACCCTGCGACGAGCGTTCGTCCCTGGCTAGCGTCGACCTCCTGTCGGATGATGCGATCCAACTTTGGATGGCCGGGCTGTGCAAGCTCAGCGACGACGCGCAGATCGAGATCTTCTTCGGCATCTAGATCGATCGGTGCATCGTCCAGTGGCGATTTCGGCGACGGAACCGGCGGAATGCCAGTGTTGAGCAGATTGAGCGAGGAAGATCCGGCGCGACCTCTGCCACCTAGACCTCCACGGCGGCCACTCTCCAGATCCTCGGCGTCTCGGAAGTCGGAGCGGAGCGGATACTCGCTGCCGTAGGGAGTGGCGAGTGGCGATGGCGACAGGCGTGGAGTGCTAGCCCCGGAAGCTGCACCGAAAGGCGGAGGTGGAGCCAATTCGCCGTGCGACGACCCAGGCCGAGACGGACTGGGCGAGACGGAAGCGGACGATGGTTCGACGCTCGAGTCTGCCGTGCTGTGCGGCGGCAGGAGCAAACCGGCAGAGTATGGAGGGTAGAGCTGCCTCCTGTCGTTGCTCCCTTGTCGAGACTGTTCTGCCTGCTCAGGGGACCAGGTACTCTCTCCAAAGCCGTTGCCGCTGAGCAGTCTGCCTCTCGAATCGCCGAGATCTTGTTCGGGGGCGTGGTGCGGTCGCAAGTCGCTGCCAGGGCCTCTCGGGCCCGGGGGCCAGGGCCCATCTGAGGGCCGACGATCCGTCTCGTAGGGCTGTGGCCTACGAATGCCATTGCGCTCCTCATACATGGCTCGCTGAGCTTCAAGCACCTGTTCGTCTCGGTTGAGCTCTGCGTTGGCCTGCCTAGCGCCTCGGCCGCCTTTGCGCTTGATCGTGTTGCGTCGGGTCTTTGCGCGGCGCAACTTTCCTTCGGATCGGATGCGCTTGTTCATCTCTTCCTCCATGGCGGTAGGTGCACTCTGGTCCTCGCCATCGAAGTGCGTGAGATCGTAGGCTGTGATGTCGTACTCGTCCTGTTCGGGCCCTTCTGTAAAGCGGGCGGCCCGAGACATGCTGGCATCTCCGGTGTTCCGGCCTGCGAAGCTATCGTAACTGGGACCATCAAATTCGGATTTCTGCGTACCGTCGTAGGTTCGTCCTCCAGCCGACCCGCGTCTCGGGGCACCGGGCAGTGCCGAATGGTGGTTGAAGTGCGTCACGAACAGGTCGACCTGCAAGAGCTCCGGAGGCACCATTTCGATGCACCTGCGGAGGGCGGCCGCAACCCACTGGAGATGCGAAAATTCACGCATGATCCACACAAAGCGAACGCGGCGGGTCAGGAACCTCCTTCCTCCCTTGCCGCCCTTGCCAACCTCTTTGGCACCCACCATGCATGCGCAGAGATGCTCGAGGACAGACATGCCAAAGCTGACACCGGATCCGCCGCATACGATGACGACGGTCGAATGAATGCCCCAATGTGTTCGATCCGCCGAGCCGTATGGACCGTCGACGATGGCTCGGATGTGGACGCCTGTGGTATCCTTGCCAAGAGTGGGGACCATGGACGTGCCGGGCATGCCATACATGCCAGCGCCCTGGTGCGCGTCGGCGGCAGCTTGAATCTGCATCTGCCGCTTCTTGGCGACAAAGTTCCAAAGATGACGGGTGAAGCCATGTCGGCATCGGACGAGCAAGACCATGGTGCGCTCCTCGCCCTTGACCTTCTGTGCGCGAGCGAGGCCCTTTTCGGCATCGGCATCGACAAACTCGGTGGCGACGGGGAAGTCGGCGTCGTGTGCCGATGCTATGGTAAAAGGGTGGGATTCCCAAAAACGGACGCTGGGTACATTGAGATAGACCCACTGACCCGGCTTCCAAGACATCTTGTTTGGCGTCCGTAGCGTGAGACGCAGCGTCTTGCCGGGCAACAGCTGCACAAACGCGAAACCTGGTCGGATGACGGCAGCCACGTCGGAAGACATTGCAGGACGCGGCCTGAGCTGACGCGCGACTGAGCTAGACGTGACGCTGAACATGGTGGACGGCCTCGTCGAAAGCACTGTAGAGGATTCGCTCCGCCATTGGCCGTCCTTCCTCGATGCGATTTGCGAGTCTGGTGCTGTGGGAGGAAGACGAGGCTCGGGTGGATCTTGGAGCGCATACTTGACGTCGTAGCTTGCTTCTTTTGCGTACTGCTGTGGGAGAGGGGGCAAAGGTTCCATGGGTGGTGGTGGTGGCGGGTAAACGTCGGCGTTGGACAGACGCGATGGGATATAGTCTTGGATGAGGTCATTGACAGGATCGTATCGAGCACTGAAGCGCGTCGCTCTCCTCTGCAAGTCTACAGCCTGACTCTGGGACGACAGCTCGTCGCGTCCATCAAGAGGGTGTCGTGCGGCTCCTGTAGCCAGTGGATCTCGCGCTGATTCGCTAGTAGGTGGACTTGGGATCTTGCGTGATTCGTTGTCTTGGGCGGAGCCGATGAGCGTGAGTTCGTATTCGGAAGGTGCGTGCTTATGAGACGAAGACGAGCTCGTGACGGTACCGTGACCTCGAGTCGAGGCAGTGGATGGTCTGGCGCCAGTACTGGAGGGACCGAAAACCCGGTCTGGGCCCATGTACACGTGGTGAGAGCCGAAATACGGGTTGCGATGATCGGTGCGCTGCTGGTGCTGTTGATGCGGTGGAGGCAGGGACGGTCGCGGAGCATATCGCTGCGGTGGTCCCGACCACGTGCCAGAGTGAGAGTGTGGCATGTGAGGCTTTGGAGCGAGAGCAAATTGGGGCTTGCGACCGGCGAAACCAAGGCCGTTGATCCAAGCCACCTTGAGCGCCCTGGTGAGACGCTCTGCGACCCACCAGGCGAGTGGAATGTACATCCATTGTGCCAGTGGAGGATGGTGCAGCATGGCGGTGATGATGAAGCCGGCGACAGTGACGACATGAGCAATGTAGAACCATTCGTAAAAGCGACTGCGGATGGGTCCGACGGAGAGGACGATCATGGCGGTGAGGAAGCCGTACGAGACCCAACCCCAGCGGAATTTGGTCCACATGAAGACAAAGGACCAGACGGGCTCGCCGATGCGCGTGTCTTTGTTCAGCTGAATGCACCACGTGACGAGGTGGGCGGTGCCAAAGAGCCAGATGATCCTGCCTCCCCACTTGTGCAGGAAGGAGAGCCGATCGAACGAGTAGCCGCCAAAGAAGCGTGTCGAGAGTAGCGCAAAGGGCACCTGTTTGAGGGCCATGATGAGAACGATGGGAACGAGGCCCATGGTGATGTCACCGGTGCGGTCGCCAGTAGTCCACCAGGTGCGGTATGGCAAGGTGTTGTACGGCGGATAGGTGGTAACGGAAGGATAGCTGCCCTGTCCCCACTGGACACGCTTGTGCAACGTTTGCAAGGCTCGACGGGAGAGGCCGGCCATGTTGGTGGTTTGCGAAGGCCAGCTCTGGGAAAAGTCGAAGACGCCATAGTTGGGGCCGATGAAGTCGGCGCCAACGAGCGTCAGGACGATGGGTACTGCGAGCATGAAGAAGAGCAGGACGAGTCGACCGAAGCTGGGAAACGTAAAGATGCGTCGAGTTGCCAGCGGTGCGTAAGCACGGCTGAAGCCCTTGCTGTCCTTCTGGATGAGGTTGCCATGAATGTCGACGCGCTTGCCGAGCTTGTAAACGCGATTCTTGGTAGCCCACCGCTTCCACAATGCGCCAATGTAGGATCTGTCGCCGAAGCCAAGCATGTGAAATGTGCCGAGCACGAGGCAGACGACGATGGTGACGAACCACAAGAGGTAGACGTAGCGATAGGACGAGGCGGGAAGCATGTGTGCAGGAAAGTAGCCCTGCAGGTACTGGTACTTGAGCTGGTCGGGATCAAAGCAAGAGCCAGAGCACCCGCCGCCGGAGCCAGAGCCGGAGCTTGCACCAGGTGAGTAAGCCCCGCCAGACGAGCTGACGCCGGGGGAGTAGGACGACATGGTGGTGTTCGACTTGGCCTCCGCCGCTTGCGAAGGTGGCAAGGCTTCTCGATGTATGCTTCAAGCCAGTATACGAGTAGATTTCGTGCTAGGTGAATTGTACGTCGGGACGGGTTTCGTCTAGCCGCAAACCTCTGGGAGGTGCTTCAACATCGATTCCAGCTGCGCGGCCTACTGCGCGGCGGTGGCTGGTTGCTAGAAGGTACGTTACCACGCGCAGACGAAGCGGTCGACGAGTACGCCAAGCTGTATTCACGTCGAAAGAGGTTCCGGTCGAGAAGTCGCCGTCGGTTCGCGTAGGCAGGCAATCAGGGAAGGTAAACCGCACCGAATGTAGTTGGACAGACTGGAGCGGCAATTGTGGCAGCCGCGGCAAGAAGAGTAGGGTGGCGATGGCGATGGGAAAGGCGAAGGTGGAGTGTGATGAGGGCGTGGTCGGAAGGCAAGATGTGTGCTAGCGTCGAGGGTGGATACCTCCACGGAAGATCGGGCTGGACAAAAGTTGAGGCTGCGAGGTTTGATCCGTGACTGAAGTGTGACAGCATCCAAATTCGTGCATCAGACCGCGTGGAGACTGCAGACAGCCGCAGCAAGGCACAGCTGAGCGGCGCAGAAATGAGATTTTGAACGAGAAGAGAGCTTCTGCGAGTCTTGGCGGGGCTGAAGGAGGGAAGTGCTCTTCTTTGCAGAGATGGTTCGTCGTATCTGCGCGAAGTGCGCGAACAGCACGAACAGCATGGACAGCGAACACCTTTCACTATTTGATCCCGAGTCCGAGGCCAAGAAGCACTCACAAAATTTCGGACGATCGCCGAGCTGACTGACACTTTACGGCACTAGGCTGTTCGGCTCGGCTCGATTCGAAATGGAGAAAATATTTCTTTATTAAAAATCATAAAAAGTTGCCAAGCCCCGGCAATGGACAAGAAAGGAGAGCGTGACGGCATCACGCCGACCCGCACTTTTGCAGTGTGTGACATCGCTGTGTGGTTTTCTGCTTATTCGACGCGATCTGGCGTTGGTGAACCCTGTTCTGCTGCATCTTTCGACCATGCATGCTCACTCGGCGAATTTCGCAGGTCGACGCGTTTCCGACGCCACCCAATGTGCATTTTGCGTTCAAGGCATGCTGTCTTTTTGACCGGCACGGCCGATCCGAGATTGCAGAACTTGAACAGAAGCTGCGTGAGGTTGTCTGCGGCCCACGAACGATGACAGTCCACATGTTTCAGAAACCTTGAGCGGAATCTGTCCGACCGCCGGCGCCAGAGTACCAATGGAACCCAGGCACGTCGAGCAGTATTCTAGACGTTGAACAAGACTTAGCGGCGCACGCACCGGCCATTTCCGAAACACATTGGCAGACCGTTTGAGTCGCAGCCAGCGTTCCTTGCAGCAACCTCGGCTGGGCAATGCACGATGCACTCTGCACGAGCCTCGTCCAAGCCATCGTGCCCACATCGCATGGATAGAGGCTAAGGTGGTGGAGCAGAGGCGTGCCCACATCGCATAGACAGAGGCTAGGGTGGTGGAGCAGCGGTCTTGCGGCTCATAAGATCGGCAGGATTCGGAAACGGATGAAAGCTGCCGTGCGCTGTCAAGTCTTGAGTGTTTCGTGTGGCATTGGCCTTCGCAGACTCAAACAGACACAAGTTGCTTCCTCAGTGATAAGTTATGCTGATCTACCTGCATTATGACTTTTTGAGTGGATAAATTTGGGTGAACGTCATGTGCCGTGACGGCTCACTCCTTCTTCTTGGTCGAAGTACTCTTGCGACTGGATCGTCTGACAGTAGACTCGCGTTCCTTGTCCGCCTTGCCCTTCTTCTCATCCTTGTCCTTCTCCTCTTCCTCTCCATCCGTCCAGTTCCACACCTCCTTGAACTCTCCGCGAAGCGCAGCAGTCAGGAAGACAGCACCGGTGCATGCGGGACTCAGGTAGAGCAGAGCGGGTTGGGCCGCCTTGAAAAAGTGCATCACGCCCATGGTCGTGGCAAGACCGGCAACGTATGCGGCGAGCGTAGCTTTGAAATAAGGCTTGTCGTAGCGAGTATAAGACTTGGTGAAGCTCGACGAAGGCTTGGCTTCGCTGGCAACGAGCTGGTCGTATCGGAGTGCGAGCGCAACAAAGATGCCTGGGATCACAATGTCGCCGAGTCCAAGCATGGTGAACTGGAGTTTTGGCAGCGGTTCTCGCGCTTGAATCGCCCACAAGGCCTCGAGGATGTTCTTGGGCCAGACGATCTTGATGGGAGCGTCGAAGTTGCGGGCGACCGAGACCATGACCGGGGTAGCAAACACCCAAAAGATGTCGTACACGAATAGACCGCCGAGCATGATGGCGCCGGTGCGGAACGAGTCGAGCGACATGAGCGCAATGGCGTTGAGCGCCAAGGAGAGCGCGAGCAAGTTGCTGATGATCCAGTTCTTGGTGACAAGATACACTCCCACCAGCAGAGCCGAGACGATGATGAGCGCAACGTCGACGTGGGTGAAGGAGAGCTTGAAAAGGCGACCGTGTCCACGCTGGTCGAGGTAAAGCCGAAAGTTGGGCAGCTTCTTCCACAAAGCGCGGCCCACGATGGCGCGAGTGGTGGTTACGAGCGCCTGGCTGAGTGCAAGACAGCCGACGAAGCCAAAGTAGAAGCTCAGCAGCAGATTGACGTACTTTTTGTTGAGGTACTTGAAGATGAGGAAGAGTCCGAATAGCACGGCCGAGCCCATGATGGGGAACCACATGGCATCGGACGAAGTGACTCTGTCGAGCACGTCGTCGTCCTCATCCGACTCCGAGTCGGAATCACTGTCAGAGTCAGAGTCGTCCGAAGCTCGGCTGGACTTGCGCTTCTTCTTGACCGCCTTGAGCAGATCTCGAGTCGTCTTGGGCGTCTTGAGGGACGAGAAGGAGCCAAAGTAGATGGGAGCTACGGCGCCGGCCATAAGAACGCCGTAGGCGATGAAGAGATCTCTGTCGCCCGACATGATGGGTAGTGAGGTAGTGCAGATGGTCTTTCTCGAAATTCGGGTCAGGCTGTGACAGATGGTGTCCAGTGTGCAGTCAGTCGAGGCAAATGCTCAAGATGTGATGCTGGAGAGAGACCAGTGAAGAGGGGCGATATCGACGACGTGTCCAAATGAAGCAGCGGTGTGAGCTTCGCAATCAGATGAGTCGAGGTTCAAATTTTTGGATGGTCGCTGGACTATTGCAGCGAGAACCTTGGCACTGAAGATGTTGTCGGAGCCTGGGCCGACGATGAAGAGGTGATGATGGTACCCGGTCAGTAAGCGGTGAGCGCAGTCGTACAACATATCCAAGAAGAAATCGGCTTTGGAGACCAACACTCGTTGCTCTGCTGCACGCGAAACAACTGAAGACGTGGAAGCGCGATATACTGAAATGTTAGGTTCCCTCGACCAATCGGGAGATCGGAGCTCGGTCTCAGTGTCAGAAAGATCTCTCGATCCAAAGAATTCGCTGGAAAGTTAGGCAGGGACAACAGCCTTTCGCTTAGATGGTGAATGGAAGCTTTTCGAAGGTCCGTTTGCAATTTTCGGTTGAGCCGGTCTCTCTCTCTCTCACACAGCAGCCACATTTGGCTGCCTCGGTCATGCCAGTCATGCGGCGAGTCGAATCCAGATGCCACTAGAAGTGCGCTCTGAACCTCGATCCTTGTCATCATGGCACTTCAGGGCCTGAGCAGATAGATGTACCATCGCCTAGATGGGATGGCAGGCTGCGATTCTGATGGGGCTACGCGGCGTCAGTATAAGTGTTATCCAGCCGATTCTTCGAAATCGCGAAAATGTGTGATTTTGCCGGACCTTTTTAGGTGAGAGCGGAGATTCTGCGGCTGGCAAGTACGTGAAATTTTGGTTTCGTGATTTGACAGGAGGCGCTGGTTTGCTGCGCTTCAAAGAATCTTTCGAGGTGTCGCTTGACTCGTGCATTCATTCGACCAGACTGCTTTCATCTTGGGATCGCATCTTCCTCTTCCGCCCATCATCATCACACACATCCTGAACACATCCTTTGTGGTTCTCGAATACCCCTCGTCTCGTTCAAAAGCGCTGTCACACGGTCAGACGCATCCTCATTCACTTTCATCCGGCTTTCTTATCGCCTCTGCACTGGCCAGCCGATCTTCAGATTCATTTCGCAACCATTGACCCGCAACCGCATTCGCATTCGATTCCTTCCACGCCCATCCCGATCAAGCCAGCGTGCACAGTAAAAAGCTTAGTAGCGACACATTCACACACATCGAGCTGCCATCATGGTCAAGGAGACAAAGTTTTACGACCTCCTCGAGGTCTCACCCACCGCCTCTGAAGCGGAGCTCAAGAAGTGAGTATATGCATCTGGCGCGCAGCAAGCCCGGCTGTGCTTGATTGCACTTCTGTCAATGCAATCTGCGAACTTTCGTACTGACATTTTGCACTTTTGCAATTCGCAGGGCCTACCGTAAGAAGGCATTGAAGGAGCACCCGGACAAGGGTGGTGACCAAGAACGATTCAAGAACATCACCGCAGCATACGAAGTCCTCTCGGACCCCGAGAAGCGCGATCTCTATGATCGATTCGGCGAGCAGGGTCTTGACCAACAAGGAATGGGTGGCGGCATGGACCCCCAGGACCTCTTCTCGCAGCTCTTCGGTGGCGGAGGCGGTGGTTTCTTCGGTGGCGGAGGCGGACGTCCCCGCGGCCCCCGCAAGGGCAAGGATCTCGTTCACCGTGTCAAAGTATCGCTCGAGGAGCTCTACGTCGGCAAGGTAACCAAGCTTGCCCTCCAGAAGCACGTTCTCTGCAAAAAGTGCGATGGTCGCGGTGGCAAGGAAGGTGCCGTCAAGACATGTGGCGGATGCAACGGTCAAGGTATCAAGGTCGTCCTCCGCCAGCTCGGTCCCATGGTCCAGCAGATGCAGCAGACCTGCCCCGAGTGCCAGGGTCAGGGTGAGATCATCAACGCCAAGGACCGCTGCAAGGAGTGCAACGGCAAGAAGATCAACCAGGAGCGCAAGGTCCTCGAGGTGCGCATCGACAAGGGTATGGAGGATGGCCAGCAGATCACGTTCAAGGAAGAGGCAGACCAGGCACCCAACACCATTCCAGGCGATGTGGTCATTGTCATTGACGAGAAGCCCCACCCTCGCTTCAAACGCAGGAAGAACGACCTCTTCATCGAAGTAGAGGTCGACCTCCTCACTGCCCTCGGCGGTGGTAAGATCCTTATCGAGCACCTCGATGATCATGCACTTTCGGTCGACATCCCCGCCGGAGAGGTGATCAAGCCCGGCGACGTCAAGGTGCTCCGTGGTCAGGGTATGCCCAGCTACCGACACCACGAGCTCGGCGATCTCTACGTCAACCTCAGTGTCGCCTTCCCCGAGTCGATCGATGTCAACAACATTCCTCTGCTTGAGAAGGCGCTGCCACCACGCAACGCCTTGCCCAAGACCAAGAAGGAGATCGACGTCGAAGATGTCCAGATGGACGAGCTCGACGAGCGTGAGGCTCGCAACGTCAAGCCCAACGGCGCCGGTGGTCATCCAGGCATGGACGATGACGATGAGGATGGACAGGGCGCAAGCAATATCCAGTGCGCGCAGTCCTGATGTCCGCGTGGTGTTTGTTCAGTCTTTGTCCTGCAATGTAGATTTGTTTGTTTCAGCATTTGGTGGCGGGTGGGTGCCATGTGTTGTGTTCAGCCTCAAGCATTTATTGTGGAACAGAGCGGATGAAGCGCAACAAGCCACTGTCGCGGATTCAGAGCTGTCACGCGGGACGGTGCCTCGATAACATGTCTTTGTGCTGGTGTGAGATCGAGTCGTTACAAAGATAAATTGTTTCGGTGGTCCCGCGGTTCGTTCTCTCAGGTACCGCGCAACGTTGGTGGAGCAAGGCTACTGGATGAGCGCACTATGCTGTTCTCTCATGACTCTTCTGGACCCACGCTGTTCAAAGATTGAGATGCTTTAGAAACACGCAGACACGTTCCAAGGAGCAGTAGTCCACATTATTATGGGAGTTAGGGATTTCCATCGATGAGACGATCAAAGACATCGTTGATAAAGCAAGGTGCTCAACCGGTAGCGTACTTCTTGAGGCTGTCGAGGGAGCCATTCCAGTAGTCTTGGTCACCGGCTGTAGTTCGCAGTGTATCAAGATCATGTCAGTCCTCAGCTCATCATCAGCACTGTCTACGTGAAGCGAATACTTACGGTATTTTCCAGAGTCGGCGTACTGCCAGAAGGACCAGTAACTGAATCCCGTAGGAATCTTAGGCGAGCTAACGCCATAGTTGGCGACCCAAAGAGCGTAGTTGCTAGCAAAGGCGCTGGAAGCAACGCACTGGTTCCACCAACCAGCGCCGGTGTAGAGGGTAGGGTAGCGACCGGTGGCGGCGTGGTAGGTGTTGCCAAAATCGGAGATCCAGCTGACCATCTGGCTTTGGGAGAGACCGTAGCAGGTGGCAACTCCGGAGGAGGACTCGAGGTCCAAAGCTCCGGGAAGGGTTCGTCCGTCGGACGACCAGCCTCCACCGTTCTTGAGGAAAAAGCTGGCTTGAGCGGAACCGGAGGAGGAGTCGGGTCGGGCGAAGTGGTAGGCTCCGCGGATGAGACCGGCGTTCGTGGCGGCGTCGTACTGCGACGAGAAGGATGAGGACTTGAAGGAGGTGCCTTCGGTGGCCTTGATATAGGTGAACTTTGCGCCCGCTGCGTAAGCGCCGCTCATGTCAGCGTTGGACTGGTATCCAGCTGCGATGTAAGGTTGGAGGGATGGTCGTGTCAGTCAAAAGGTATACCGGACGAAGGGGTGTTGAGAGACACGAGGGGACTCACAGACATCGAACCCGTCAACGTAAGCTCGCTTCTCGAGAGGAGCAGACTGGACGCAGGAGAGGAGGGCGGCAATGCTGCCGACAAGGGCGGTAGCGGAGAACTTCATCTTGATGTCTTGCTGTTGCTGGTTAGAGTAGGTGTCCTGAATGAGAGAAAGGTATGAGGACGAATCCGAGCGGCTTCTTATACCTTTGATGTGCACAGCGAGCTCTACAGCAGACCTGTTGCAGCCTCGTTGAGGCTAGCATGTCCAAGCATATCTGCATCTGAAAGCCCGCTCCTCTTGCTTCGCCGCTCGACACCCTGCACGGCGAGAGTACTGCAAGCCTGTGGATGCAATCTTCTCAACGATGCGCACCAACAGTTCGGGAGACGGATATGCCTTGTGTCGGGTAATGTCGAGCCGAGATAACAAGCTCAGAACCCATAACCTTTTGCCGACGTTAAGCGACCGCTTCTTGCGGTGGGCAAAGTGACCGTTCCTGTGTTAGTCTGACCCCGTCAAGAGGAAGCCTTAGCGGATCTTAGGCCTCGTTCCGTCGCTGCGGTGACTGGCCCACATTGATCCGCGCGCAGGAATAGTGCAATGTCCTTGCGGAAGTGTGAATTGATGTCATGTTCGCAAAGCCCTTTCGTGCACATCCGACAACGTAAGTGAGAAGCAACAGCAACTCGGACTGAATTTGCATCGTTGACATGCTGCCCGAGGCGAGCTCAACGTGGACTAGTCTGGTTACAACGTGCATCTCGCCAAGCCAAGGTGCGTACCATGATGAGGCAAGATGCGCTGCGCAAGGCGATCAGGGTCAGCGTGGGGTGATCGTGGAACCGATCTCTTCGGCTGCGAGCGTGGAAAGCAGCCGTTCCGAACGTCGGTCTGCACAAAGGTGTGATGGGACCAAGTTCGGCGTTTTAGAACATCAAAGCCAGTCGCCGTGTACAGGTGCCGGCGGCGACGTATCGCGGCTTCGGCATCCAAGCAGGCTTACAGCGCGGGTTGCCGCAACAGCAATTCGGAAGATCAGCACCCGCTCGCTTAGCGCTTCTCCCGACACGTTTTCCTGCCGCCTTGACTTCGTTCCCGGTCGTACGTGATGGCTCTCTGCTGTGATGCTGCACCACATTTTCGGCTTTTGTGGCCTTCGTCCTCGGGGTCAACAAAGTCACACGCCAATCTCAGCTGTTTGTTGCCCACCAACGCCATTTCTCAACACAACCAGACTGACCATGTGGAAGCGCGTACTTGGACAGCAGCGCCAGCTACGAGGTATTTCAACAAATGAAAGCGTGGCAGCCAACGGCCTCTCGAAAGCTGGCCCCTCGTTTCAAAGCAGTGACTTGGCCTGCGTGCCTTCATCATGACCTTACCAGCATCATGACCTTAGGTTCCAGCATTGAGCAATCTACGAGCAATACAGCAGGCTCAAGAACGTGCAAGTGCCTCGTGTATACAGCATCACCTCGGCTAGATGCGAAGCTTGTTTTTAGCTTGGTCTCGCCTATCAGACCGAGTCCGACTTCCGAACCGTCCGCCGCCACCGAAGCCAGATGTAGCAACGCTTCGCTCACTGTATGCAACTCACACGTCAGGCTGCAGCAGATCACCGACACGGTAGAAAGCGCAGCTTTGGTGGCCGATGATGTCCAGTTTGGCCATGCTACACTGGACGTGGGCGCCACAAACAACGACGATGCTGAAACCCCACTTCGCCTGACTCACCCCGCCTGTTTACGCATCCCATTACCTTTCATCGTACAATCCAACAGCTGCCGCAGTACAAACAACGTGCGGCAGAGCTGAGCATGGCAGTCTGCTCAGCACTCTGGCCTGCCTTGCTTGGCATGATCGCCTTGGCCCAGCATCCGGTGCAAACCCGCACTTGGCGATCCGAGATGGTACCCAAGCTCACCGAGCATCGCGGCCAAACGTGGCCCTTCTGGCATCTTGCCCATCCGAAGTCCGCATTAATGCCTTCGCTTGATAGCGTCAGCGGCGATTCGCAGGCAGCGCAACGCTCGTCGATCGCCGCTGAGGGACTTGAGTGACTCTGAAGCCAATCCCGCAGCACAGCTTCTCGGTGAGTCTTTTGCAGCGCCTCCAGCGATGACGATGCACCTGATGAAGTCTCCTCCAGACGGCAGGACAGTAGGTACAGAAGCTGTCGCTGCTGCTGTCGTGACACTTGGTCCGTCCGTGATTGCCGCCGTTGCTCGTTCTCTGGTTCGGACGCCGCCGTCAAGGCGGTCCAACGATTCTCAGTGGTCGAAGCGAGCTGATCTCTAAACGTCTTCTGTTGTCCGCACGTGTACAGCATGGTGAGAATCGATCGCGCAAGCGGGTAGGGGAGCGCGCCGGAAGCGACCCGCTGCAGCGCTTCGTCGACGAGCGACTCGGGGTCCGGATTGTCGCAGCGGATCACCTCCATCTGATAGCAGACGGACTCCGATACATTGTAGCCCAGAAATGCGACGCGTTCGTTCGTACGGATTGCGCCTACCGTCAAAGCTGCAGAAAGGCTGGAACCGGGCTCTGGCGTGTAGCTCAGGAAGGCTTGATGGAGGTCGTATTTTCTTTGCAGAACCTCGGTCAATGGTGGATACCCTGAGAGTCTGCGAGGCTCTATTGGCGGCACATGAATCGGAGCTGACTGACTCTGTTCAGCCTGCGTTGAGAGAATGCGATGCTCGCGCAAGTCTTGTCGCACGACGTTGATGCTGTGCCGTGAGTCGAAGCAATCGCTGATGCAAATGGTTGGAGAATATGGATCCGAATTGCTGTTCGTGCTTGTGTCAAGAACGTATGATGTCGTTTGCCCAGTCTTGACGTCGTAGACGTGAATGCGGCCAATGGTCGAGTAGATGAGTTGGTGCTGGCGCCACTGCCAGGCCGTGATCGTGCAACGGTCGGAGCTGACAGGCGCCCCCTCGGAAGGTCTGACACTGGCACCACCCTCAATGACAAAGAAGTCGCAAAGCTTGACACTATCCGAGTCTTGGAATGCAATCTTTGCGAGAGCATTCGCGTCGTTCTCTCCCATCGATGGTGAGACCAGCAGTTTCTCGATAGCTGTGCTGCTGACAGGCGTCGCCGACATGAAGGTGCAATGACCAGAGATGGCGGCGCATCGCCAGACGCCGATGTGCCCCGATCGAGTGCCGGCGACGATGTAGGTGGCTTGCGGTCCTGTAGACGACAGCGTCTGGGTGCTGGCAGTCGGGTCGTGCACTTTGGACCAAGATGCACAGATGACTTCGGTAGCCAGCTGCTTTTTACGGAGCAGCGCGCGTGATCGGCTGAAGACCTCTTTGTCAGCGTCACCGAGCTGGATAGCATTGAGCTGGACAGATGCGGCGATGGGATCAAGGCTGATGGCATGGAGAAGTTTCCATTCCCCCGTCCAAGCATTGACAGGAGCGCCGAGGATGAATAGGTCGAGCTCCGAGGTGGTAGCTAAGATAAGGCAGCTTTGGCTCGGACCCATGCCCGGCTTTGACCAGCTTGCTGAAGTCCATTGGACGCTCAAGAAGCGCACATCGACTGAGGAGTGGTCCGATTCGAGCAATGTTCTGCGTCGTAAGGAAGTTTCGTGCTCCAGAAACGTCTTGACGTTGATTTGGGCCACTGAATGCGGGAAGCGGTCTTGCCAGTCCGGATGACATTCAACGTCTTGAGTGCGGCTTTGCCCCGCTAGAGTTGGATGCAGGCCAGTCAAGGGAGACAGCACGACGATGGCATCATCGGTGACTACTAGCGCTTGACCCAGCTCCGACCATTCGAGGTTGCCAAGTTGTGACGAGCCTGATGAGAGAGCGATTGAGCAAGCGCGGATCCTCTCGCGAGCCTCAGATGGCTGCTTTGCCGTCCCGTTTTGAGCTGACGTTGACGGCTTGGTCATCTTCGGCGGGCTCACCTTCGCATTGCGGGGACCCTAAGCACCGCACAGACCGTATGCTGATGGCAGAGGATGGCAGGAGAGGACCCTTTCTCGGCTCTCGCCAAAGTGTTGTTCTGCAGTCCAAACGCGCCGCGTGACAGCTCCACTTTTCCCTTCGGGAGGTCTGAAATTTTTGGGCCGCCTTCAGGGGGGCACGGACACTCGGAAGCACATCCTTTGGCTGTGACGTTCGCCGTTGAACCGGAACAACAACAGCACTCTCATCACATCAACACGACCACGCCGAAGCAGAGCACTTTACGGTTCACCCTTGACGAGCTCAGCAGTGCTGCTGTCTGCGAAAGGCGGCGATGCACGCTAGTCGGCAAAGTTGAAGAAATCGCACTGCATAGCCCGCACGTTTCGGGTGACCCGCGACCTGGACGAGGCTTTGACGGAATGAGCGACCCTCTGACCGCCACGATCTCGGCTCTGCCTGCTCGAAGAAGCCAGCCGAGTTCAAATACGGGCACTTCTGATGCTTCCTTGAGCTCAAGATGGGCCTCGCTCTTGAGAGGAAGCGCTACCTCACCTATGGAAACACTCCGGGCTCGCGGTGTCGACGGCAAGATCGCAACCGACAACGATGCAGCCCTCCGATGGTTGCAGTGGAAGATGTACCTCGTCGCGGATCTCTCCCACATTCCTTCTTCCTGGAATGCCGTCCAGCAACGCGACAGAGAAGCATACAACGAGCTGCGCTGCCGTCTACTTCGTGCTCCAGATGGCAACTATCCGCCCGAGGTTGGCTTCGACGGCACCCACACCAGCCTCGACTCTTCGTCCTCACATTCATCATCAGACTCTATCGCTTCTCAAAGCAGGTCCTCTGTGGTCAACGACCTTGCCGTCAACAATCCGCTCAGTCTCGACGACTCGAATCCTTGGAAGGCTTACTACACGACGCTAGAGACAAGAAGGGTCATCCTCCAAGACGTCGAACGGACGTTTCCCGATCTCGAACTCTTCCGTCAAGCCCGCGTTCAGCAGTCTCTGACCAACATTCTCTTCTTGTGGTGCCTCGAGAACGACGATGTGGGCTATAGACAGGGCATGCACGAGCTAGCAGCTGTCCTTTGGAAGGTCCGAGCCGAAGCCGCTGTCGACTATACAAGCCGCACAGCTGTCTCTTCCTCCCAAGCTTTGGCACAAAGCACAGTCGAAAGCGCATTCGAACATGCGCTTGCGCGCGTCTTTGTCGAACACGACGTCTACACGCTGTTCCGCGCTTTGATGAGAAGCGCCAAAGCGTGGTACGTCTGGCGTGATGTCTCTCATCGGCCACTTCCGATCGTCGCAAAGTGCGAACACGTCCTCGAGCTCTTACGGCACATCGACCCGGCCTTGGCTCAGCATCTGGGCAGTCTCGGCATCGAACCTCAGATCTTTTGCCTTCGATGGATCCGCATGATCTTCACACGCGAATTTGTGCTGGAAGATGCGCTCGCCATCTGGGACGGTCTCTTTGCTTCCGGGAATTCTCTGGATCTCGTCGATTATATCTGCATTGCCATGCTTCTTCGCATCCGCAACCAGCTGCTCGCAGGCGACCACAGTTCCGCCTTGCAGAGTCTGTTGCGATACCCCGCCGAAGCACAGGTGCAACCCAGCCTTCTGGTCAAGCAGGCCATCTTCTTGCGAGATAACGGACGACAGCCCAGCACAGGTGTCGCTGTCGTGATGCAGAATCGCGACCTCCTGGGCATCCACGTGCGCTCCGTCGACGATCATGGCGAAAGCAATGGCGTACAACGTTCTGAAAGCACCTCGCCGTCAAATCGGTACAGCGCGCAAAAATTTGCCACGGTCGGCAGGTCCCCTTCCGCGAGTGGTTCCAGACCGTCTCCGTGGGCTCGCTTGTCAAACCAAGCGACGGCCAACAGTACACCGAACAGTACACCTACAGGTCAGCACCGCAGTAGACCCGATCCAAGACGCTGGCAGTCGGCTGTCACACCTGCAGATCCCTTGGGCGCATCCTCGGACCCTGTACGAAATGCCGATGTCAACGGACCGAGAGCTTTTGGCATAAATCCATCCTCTTATCTCCCGGAAGGCATAGGCGACCTGGCCAAAGGATGGTACGAACGTGCAGAGCTTCCGCAAGGCCTGAACAGCGCGCTAGCCAATGTCTCTAGGACGGTCGCAGCTGCGGCTGCGGCCGGTGTCGCCGGAGCATACGGCACGAACAAGACAGAGTCTTCTGGATTCCCCTCTGGATTCGAACAGGCCTTCAACGAACAGACTGGCGGACGGGGAGGAGCATCGCCCAGCACTGTTGGACATGCAGCGTCGGCTGGAGCCAAATCAAGGCCGTCGATCGATGTTGCAGCAGAGCCGACATCCCCGTCAGCCCAGCGTCCAGCCGCACAGCTATCTGAGCCGCTCCGCAAAGTCACCGCTGCCAACAAGGCCATCGGCTCTGCTCTCTCAGCCTGCATCGAGGTCTTGGAGCAGAGCTGGCTCGACCGAAGCGCGATCGTGCACACAAAGCCCTCGGACGACCTCGAGCAAAGTGACCTCAACACGCTCATGAGCTTCACCGCGCTCAAGCACATTCGTGACGTCCTCGAGGGTACCGCTACTGAGTTCGATCCTGCAACGCTGCCAGCGCCTGTCCTACAACGCGTACATCCGCAAGATCGAGTGCCACCCAATGCGATCGAAAATGTCGTCAAGCAGAAAGGGGAGCGGGACATCCAAGTTCCGACTTCAGCGAAGCCGGAAACGCCTTCTACAGCCGGGGTTGCCGTTCCGCAACGGAAGACGACTTCACCGCTACCCATGTCGCTCCCCGAGTACGCGCGGTATGGCCGTCAGATGATCCTGCCCGACTTTGGTCTTCCAGCTCAACTGCGTCTCCGCGATGCGAAAGTCCTCGTCGTTGGAGCTGGTGGGCTCGGCTGCCCTGCCGTCCAGTATCTTGCCGCTGCCGGCGTGGGACAGATCTCCATCCTTGACCACGACGTGGTCGAGCCCTCCAATCTGGCCCGCCAGATCCTGCATAGCGACGCCACCGTGGGTATGCACAAAGCAGTCTCTGCCGCCAAAGCAGCGGAGCAGATCAACCCCTACATCAATGCGGTGCCGCTGTCCGAGGCAATCAGCGCAGCTAATGCACGTCAGATGATGCGTGGTCACGATCTTGTCTTGGACTGCACAGACAATCCGCTGACCCGATATCTCATCTCAGACGCAGCTGTGCTGGAATGTGTTCAAGTCGTGTCCGGCGCAGCTCAGGGATACGATGGCCAGCTAGTCGTACTGCATAAGCGCATCAAGGCTGAGTTCGCCGGTCCAAAGGCCTCTGCGACGAGCGGTGTGCATCGCGGTCCGTGCTACCGCTGCATCTTCCCCAAAGCGCCTCGGCCAGACGAAGTCACCAATTGCGAGGATGGAGGAGTGCTCGGTGGCGTCACCGGCTTGGTCGGGACGATGCAAGCCCTGGAGGCGGTCAAGATTCTCGCAGGGATCGGAGAAGACACTCCACCCATGCTGACCCTCGTATCTCCGCTCACGGCGACACCCTTCCGATGTGTCAGGATCCGACCGCGTCGTGTCGCCTCCTGTCGATCTTGTGGCGACCCAGCGCAAGTTCCTGAGCCGATGATCTCCAACCTCGAGACAGAAGACTACGTCTCGTTCTGCGGTCTCAATGGTCCTCCCTCGAACGGAGCTGCGATCGCAAGGACAGCCGCCGGATCGATGGCTCCATCGGCTTTGATCGTAGACGTGCGACCAGCGGTCGAGTATGGCATCACAAAGCTAGACGGCTCGCTCAACATTCCCATCCAGAGATTGCTCAAGAATCCAGGCGATGCATGGGACAAGATTCGAGAAGCTCAACATCGGACATCGTCCAGAGACGTCCTGGTGGTTTGCAAAAAGGGAAACGACTCGCAGCTGGCTGTTCGGTCGCTCACAGAGCATCAAAAGCAGCTTGCGGAGCGGGCTGAACGGGAAGCGAGAGAGGCCAAAGCAGCGCCATCCGACCCTCTGCAAGGATTCGCCAACACGGGCGAGCGGAAGCAAGCCGTCACAGCCCTGCAGATCTCCGACCTCATCGGCGGTCTGCGTGCTTACAGCAAGGAGAAAGACCCGACCTTTCCCATCTACTGATTGCATCAGACGTAAAAAGCAACCATCGGCAACTTTGGTATCTGCCTTCGCAAAACGATGTTATTACACTATGTGGTATGATAGCCAAGAGTCGCGAATAGTGAGAGGTGACGAAGGAACGTCGGTCGTAGAAAAGCTACATCGCGGAAGGGGCGAGGCCAGCGACTTGCGCTGCGGAAACAGCATCATCGTGGCCCTTCTTTTGGCTGCGCAAATCCTGGATCGGCTGCGCACCGGAGCGAGATGTCTCTTGAGCGAGACCACCGAGACCAGAGACACCGTGGGTCGATTGAGCGAGACGCGCTCCGCCGTTTGGCGAAGCTGCAGCGCCCGCTCGGTAAGCCAGACTTGGATCCGGGCTTGTAGGGAAGGCTAGGCCACCGAATCCGAGCGCAGGCGAGCCGCTCGGCCTTGGACTGTTTCGTGGTGGTAAGCCGCCGAACCCAATGGCCGGACTGCTGCTGGGAGGCGGTCGTGCGGAAGGCATCGCTTGCTGACCCTGCTGCCCTCCCGCCGCGGGTCCGCCAGCCCGACCCTGCATCTCGTAGAAGTTGAAATCCTGCAACAAGCTCGTCTTTGCACTGTAGTCGGCCATGATCCTCAACACCTCCCGTCCTGCTTCTGGCGTCAGTTCCTGCGTATCGCGCGACTGCGTGACCGGCTTGCACTCGGGCGTGTTGGTGAGCCGGATGTGTCGGAGCTGATTGTTCGGAAGGTCCTTGACGTAGATCCATCGCACTTTGAAGGTGCCTTTCCACTTGCCGTCTTGCGCCCAGACGTTGCTCGAGGTAGCATAGTCGAGAGGCGTGAGCATCTGCGCCATTCCACAAAAGTGGCCGGACGCATTGACAGAGTAGAAGAGGTAGATGGGACCATTCTGCGCGCTCTCCCGGAACGCCTTGTCGAGGCGTTGGTTGCCCTTGTCGGTGGAGGCCCAGATTTCGTATTTGAGCGACTTGTGCACGTCATCTTCGGTGTACGACTTGATGACGAAGAAGCGGGCGTTCACTGGAGCCAGGTCGAACGTGCCGGGTGCCGGGTTGTATCCCTTCTGAAGCGCCAACGAAGTGGGATCGACGGGCGTAAGCGGTTTGGTGCCTTCTGTGGTCCCACCTGCCGGTGCACCTCCCGCCGGCGGTCGCGGCGGCAGGGCCTGTGAATGCATTGGTGGACGGAACGACGGAGAAGATTGCTGTACGGAGAATGGCTGACCACGCGATGGCAATTGACCCATGGCGCCCATAGGTGGAGAGCTCGGCATGGCTCCGCCTCGCAGCTGTTGTCCGATGGAATGGATGGGTCCACCGAGATCGATCGGCTGCATCCCGAACAGGTGCGGCTCCTGCGGAGCGTGTGCATTGCTTCGAGCACCAAGTTGAGCTTGAAGGATGGCATTGCGCTGCTGCTCCTGCGCCAAAGCCAGGCTCAGAGCCATAACATTGGGGTCCATACCGGAAGCTCCATAGGGACCAACATGTGGCTGCTGCGGCCAGCGTTGAGAGTCGGAAGCAGCACCTCTCGCAGCGAAACCGGCGTCGTGACGGCCTACTATGTTGTCCTTGTCCAGCCAGCCGCCGGCGGGAGCTGCAGTGAATGGACCATGTCGAGGATTCGAGATAGCATCGAGGGTAGGATCGCTCGACTGGTGACGAGCGTGCGCGTGACCGATGGGCGGCACGAAGGCGGCAGCCGACGTAGGACCAGCGTCTGCTCCAGTACGCTGCCCACGTTGCAGGGCGTCTCGATTGGTCACAAGTTGAGGCAGCTTCCTGCCGTTCACGGGGCCACCATCGATGGCACCCTCATCGAGTGCGCTCGAATCCGAAATCGTCGAGCGAACATGTCGGTCTTGAGCATCTTGGGTTGCTAGAGCAGCAGAACCAGTGATATCCATGTTCGAGAGGTGCGTGGTGAGGTCACCAATGGGAGGGGAAGAGCGGTCCATCGTGGAATGCGCACGATGATGGGCGGGATCGAAGTTCTGCGATGGAAAGGAAGCGGCGAAGCGCGACGGCGATCCTATCGGAGCCTGCGCCGGTTGATTCCATGGCGCCTTGGAGTAGCTCGACGGCATCACCGGACTGTTGGTGGCAGAAAAGCTCGTCGGGTGACGGGCTGGGCTGAGAGCGGAATCCGTTCGTGGAGAGTAAGGCGAGGCGGATGGGTCGACCGCGTCCGCTGCGTACCTACGAAGCAGATCGCTGGAACGAGTCGCCAAGCGGTGCGCTGCGGGGCGTCCTGCGTGATGGTTAAGGGATTGATGACGACGTACGAGATTGGCCGAGCCCGGCAAGGCTTGGTTGTCGGTGAGTGCAGCCTGGTCAAACAGCCCAGCGGCGCTGGTGCTTCCATTGTTGTGGTGGAGGTCCAGGAAAGGGTCAGGTCGAGCGATGGGCGAGGCTGGATGGGATAAGGTGGCTGGCGCACCGAGCTGACCGTGCGAGAAGAGCGTAGAAGACCAAGGGTGATCGTTTTGCAATGGGAGGCTGTTCAGGGCATGTGGATCCTGGTGATGTTCGTCGCCGAGAGCATTGCTCGATTGAATGAGTTTCTCCCAATCGTGATCGTCCAGATCGGAGCCTCCAGTGATGGCCGAGAGACTATTGAACAGGCTGCTGCGGCCCTGAGTTGCGCTGCTGGGAAGGTTGGATGCCACCTTGGTCGAGTGACGGCTTGGCAACGAAAGATTTCTAGAGACGCTCGTCTTCGAGTAGAGAGCCTGCAGCGGTGTCAGCGATGACACGTGATCTGTCGTTCCGGACCTGGTCGACGGTGACGCAAGCAGATCAAGGGAGGCATCGTCCGTGAAGGAGGGGGAGCCGTGGCGCGCGTCGATCCAAGTGTCACCGCCGACAGAAGTGGTTTGCGATGCAGACCGATCCGGTGAACCGTGATCTTCAGGTTGCTCGAAGTGCTTCTCGAGGCGAGGCTTGCCGTGATGACGAGCGCCGTGGATAGTGTGATTGCGACGAACGCCAGCACCGGATGAAGGGGCAGGCGGTGGACTGCGCATGCCGCCCGAGACAGTGCCCCACCTGTTCGCGGCAGCAGAACCGTTTGCGTCGGCGTCGGACGACGAGCCGCCTTGCAAAGGTGGAGAGACAGACATGATGCCAACGACTGAGCCGAGAACAGACTAGGCCGTCGGGGTGGCTGGGCAGAGAGATGGGTGTGTTTGGTAGAGGCGGAAGAGACCGTGATTCGCCGTGTGACGAGATGATCGTAGACGCAGATCCTAGAATGGTGCGGTGGGATGCAGCAATGTACGAAAGGCGTGGATCGTCGTGAGAGTCGGTATCGCGGTCAGTGCCGAGCCAAGTGGAGGAAGAGAGAAGGTCCTATGCGAAAGAAGGCATGTGAGCATGTGCTGATAGCATGTCGTGCGTTCGAAGTCGAGTATGGAACGATCGAAATGAGAAGGCGTGGGAAAAGTCGGCACTGGATCGCTAGTGGAGTCTCGACGAGCGACTCGCGAAGGGTAGAGCAGCGGACTGGAAGTCGAGAAGCCGGGCTGCGATGCGTTGCAATGAAGTGTCGACTGGAAATGAAGATACTTGGCACCTCGGTGGGAGCGGAAAGCGTGTAGAACAAATCCGTCAAGGGCTCGATCCAAGGTCTTGAGGGACGAAATTGGCCGTGTTGTAGAATCCTCGACAGCAAAGCTTGCTGGAGATGCGATCGAGCCAGTGATCCTGGGTAGACCCTGATACGTTGAAAGGCGGATCGCAGTGTGGCCACGAGATATGCCGGCTCGTATCTCTCGGCCCTGCTCTTCGGGTGGAGGGGTAGCCACGGCCTGAGTCAGACCTGAATGGACACGATGTTGGCGAGAGTGATGAGGTCAAGAGAAGAGAAGGCTTCAATCAAAATTAGTCGATGTCTCCAGGTGAACTCCAGCTCAGGGCTCGGCAGACGCCGACCAGATGAGTGAGAAAAGCCGCACAGCCGACACAGCCTAAGGAAACAGACCCAAAAAAAAGGGTCCAAGCGTGCAAACTGCATTTACCGCCTGATTAATTTTAATACTTTTATGAGAAATGGATCACCCGGTCGATGAGTCCCTCAGCACAAAACAGATGGCGCTCCTCATGGCGACGGCGGAGCTGCCCGCAGGCATGTGCCTTGCCTGTTCGATCGTTCACAGAGGCTTGAACTATGCTTCAAGATGACGAGTCGTGCGTATCTACTGCGTATGCGTTATATGTGTATGCTACAGTGAATGAGATATGTGAATGGGATCATGAGAAAGGGCGATGGTTCCACCAGGTCGTGAGGTGGCCTCTTTCTAAGCTGGAATCGGAGGCTGCGCACTACGATATCTGCAGATCAAGGTCTTCTGGCAGAGACGAAATCCATCGAGAAAACAAGAGCTTACGACTGCTGATGCTGCTTCTCGGGATCCTCCTTGGCTGCTGCGTCCTTCTTGGCTTGTCTGAGACCGTTGCGGTCGAAAGCACTGGTGGTGTTGAGACTGTCTTCGGGCAGCTTGCCTTCCTTTTCCAGCTCCTCGCGGACTTTGAGATCCATAGCAGGCGCAAACTTGCTCCAGCCGCGAATCTTGCTGCCGTACACGTAAAAGATGTACGGGCATGGTGTCATAGCCAGTGCCACAAAGCCTAGCAGCGAACCAGCCCAGTTAGCGCCGAGTCCTTGCCAAAGCTGGCGCGAAAACAAGGGGAAGGCGGCACCAACAGCCGATCGAACGATCGTGTTGGCAGCGAGAGCGGATGCGGCGTAGACAGTGTAGCAATCTACGATGTAGGCGAGCAAAGAAATGAAGACCAGAGTGAAACTCATCCCGATTGGAATGAGTGCAAGCGCCGGCACGTACCAAGGTACCGATGTATACTGACCCGTCCATCCGAACCAGAAGGCGCCAAGAACAAGGATAGGACCGGCGATCATCGAGCCCCACAACCTCTCCTCGGGAGGTGGCATGTTGTGCCAGAAAGGTGTGAGCTGTTTGTATCGGAGCGACAGGAAAATATTAATGATGCCACCGATGGTCGTCCCTAGCCCGACAGCAATGAAGATGAGTCCGGACTCGCCCAAGTTGAAACCTCGCTTCATTTCGAAGACGATAGGAACAGCCTCGAACAGGCCGTAGAGGATACCGTACACGATCGATAGGTAGATCGTGATGAGCACCAGGATGGGCTCCTGCGTGAGGATCTCGAAGGGTCGCAGCAAAGTTCGGTGTGCGATACCACCGATGGACCAGTCGCTCTTCTCGTGAGGAGCATAGACTTGCTTGTTGGCTTCTGGGTCCAGCTTGCGCAGTCGCTTGGCTTTTCGCATCAGCAGCACCGGCGCGAAGGTCTCGGGCAAGAAAAGGAGGATGGCGAGCCAGCATACGCCAGCGAAGATCATCATCACCCAGAATACCCAGCGCCAGCCCAAATAGGACTGGGTCACAAACCCGCCGACGATAGGACCTAGTACAGGCCCAATGAACACTGCGCAAGAGAAGAGGCTCATGGCGAAGCCACGGCCGACTGGATCCCACATGTCGGCGATGACACCGCCGCAGATGGTGAGAGGTGCAGCTGCGCAGACGCCGCTGATGAAGCGAGTAACGAAGAGGGTCTCGGGGTTCTTGGCGAGCGCCTGGCCGAGGATGAAGAGCGTGTACATGAGCATGGCGATGCTCATGATGAGCTTGCGACCCACCAGCTCGGACATTGTAGACCAGAGGATGGGTCCCAAACAGTAGCCGGCGAGGAAGAGCGAGGTGATGAGCGTGGCAGTGACAGTGCCGATTTGGAATTCCTGCGTCAGTTGCTGGGTAGCCGAAGACGGGGCCGAAGAGGCGAAAGTGACATTGACGGTGAACATCGAGACGAGCACGGTGAGTGCCCATTTCCTCCTGAGCGACCAGTTTTGAGGATTCTCCGGATCGTCCGGACCTTCCCATTCGACTTGGTTCGGATCCTGCGATTCATCTGGGTTGCCGCGAGGGCGGCCCTGCTCAGAGTCATGGTCGTCATCGTCACTTTGGCTGCGGCGGCTCTGCTCATGCTTTGGCTTCGTATGTGTGGGTGACGAAGGCACGCGCGTGCCGCTGTCGCTATCGTCGGCGGGGCTTGCAGGCTCGTATGCGTGATCTTGGGGGTCGTGCGGGTCCGAGCCTCCGTATCGCGCTGTCCTTCGGAAGATGGTCTCCGCCTCTTGATCGAGCTCTGCGGTCTCGGAATTTGGTTGTTGCGCCTTGGGGTTGGCTTGTTGGTGTGGTCTTGATGATGTGCCGTGCGGCGTCTGGCCTTTGACCAGTTTTCCGGCTTCGTGGAGCCACCCGCGCTTCGGCGCATGGAGACTGCGCCTCGTATGCTGAGCAGATTGGTCCTGTCGGCCGTCTACGCCCGCAGGGCGCTCGGAGTGTTGCGACATTTCAACGAGGGGATCGAGCTCTCAAGGTGCAACTAGCTCTGAAGGCTCGTCAGAGGGATGTTACTGGGATGATGGTGGAACAGCAAAGAGATGTTTCCGTCGAGGTCGAAACTGAACAGTTGGAGCGCAAGTAGCTGACTCTTCATCTGCGAAGAACAAGTAAGTCAGGGTGCGTCTCGCCTTGGTCAGGGACCGGCGGTGATGCGGTTAGCTACGTCAGAGCAGCTACGATTCCGCATGTTGAGTCAGAGTAAGCAGGCGTTCAGAACGGACCAAATTCCCGTCACACTCGGCGAATTCTTTGCTGAGTGGAAAGTAGACGAGGAGTCCACACAGCACAGAGGAATGTGCAATTCTTCATCAAGCCGGACAGTGTACCGTACTGGTCGGTAGAATCATGCAGTTGCGCTCCCGCATGGATGATGCATAACCGCTGCAGGGAAGTGGCGTCATCCTCATCCTCAGCTCGGCAACTGGAAAGCGAGGCAATCCCTTTATGGCGCTTACACCGCGAAGAACAAGGCACGCCAGCGAGACAGGACCAATTGAAATCTGAGCGCCTGCAGTAAGATTGCGGCCATCGACATCGGAGAATTGTTCGGGGCCATCTCCCCCGTACACTTCGACTCAATATTGAGGCTAAGAACTGACGAGCCGCATGGTCGCTCGATCGATCAAGTAAGCTTCACGGATTTGTACAAGGGCCTTCTGCGCAGAGCAAAGCGAGCGCTGTGTGACAGCTGAGGCGGAGATGAATTCTTCCGGCACATGAAATTTCGGCTTTTTTTCGCATCGAAACCCTGCGTCATCGCTCGTTTGATCCGATTTTTGGAATGCCGGCTGTTCCTTTTGACACCACCTTCGTATAACAAAATCTGCGAGAGATTGATGGTTGAGGCCCACGATCCGCGCAGGCAGAACCTGGGCAGAGACGAAGAGGGTCGACTGTCATGCTATTTGAGTCATGGCTCCAGAGCAGAGAAAGGAGATCAGGCAATGGCGGGCAAGTCGAAGAGTGCGGTCGCGAGGCGCGGATTATCCGCGGCTACCACGAGCAGCGGGCTTGGACGGCGTTCCGACAGAGGTGCACCGCTTGAGCTCGAGAATTCGAGCAGGCATCCCCGCTGCACTGACAGTTGATTGATGACCGCGGATCGAGTTACCAACCATCGGGCTGTCCTACAAGCACCCGATGGTCAAACGCTGTCACAACGGAAGTCAAAGTGTTTGTGTCTTCGCTGTGCGGTCATGCAAAGCGCGCTTAGAGTAAGTCGCGGCATGTGTCGATCCTGTTGGCCCTGACGCGTCCTAACGAGCTCAAGTGGAGGCTAGACGTCAGGATCGACGCGCGGATGCGTGCCTGCATCAAACGCAATTCTGCGTACGTCTAAGCAACCAGGCTCGGCTCATCCCCCACCGGAGGCAAGGGGTCGCCTCCTCCAATCACGACACAGTGGGGCTGTAGACCCACTAGATCCACGCTAGGCTGGCTCCTCGGTCCTTCTGGTCAGAGGAAATAGAGCGTTCGGGCTTGCATATGGCTCGAGACCGTGCATAGGGTTTTCCTCGAGACGGTGCTAGCACGTGCGCGATTGCGACATTTTCGGTCTTGGGCTTCGTTGAGGCGCTCTTGAATGCGAGCAACCCTCTAGCTCTGTTAAGCAGGATTGCTACTGGTCGCAGCAGACCACTTCGAACAATCCATCTTGACGGCATGTTTCAGCGGGGGACGTAAGTCAGCTACAGCGGAAGGAATATCCGCGGAAGCAGTTCCTAACGTGATCACCTAACGAGGCAAGACCCCAGGGAAGACGCGTCGGGGTTTGCTGTTTCCAGCTGATTCTTGCAACAAGCTGAAACTGCTTATGAAGCGCAACTCGAACTTGGACCGACCCGAGGCGTGTGTACAGGATACCGTCAGAGACTATCAGCTTCCGCCGGGGGAACGAGATGATGTCGTATTGCAACTTCGACGTGATCGCGCGTGGCATGGCTGCAGCGACGGAAGCGATTTCCAAAGCTTGTGGTGCGCCAGTCTCGGCGAGCAACTACCCACCGACCAGGCTGCTCATTCAACGATCCAGGCCGGCTTCTGGTGTGTGCAGCATTCCATTCTTATCCAGATCTCACGCCGACAGGCGCACGTTCTAGGCAGAGAACAACCCGTGGCAGTGTGGGCACTGCGTGTCTGTTGCGGCGGAATGGTGTGAGATCAATCTGCTGGTGGAAGCGGACAGTCTGATCTTCGATGTGGGGCCGGAATGGCTCGTTTCACCCGTCAACTCAGAGCACAGCCCGGATCTCTCCTGGCGATAAGGGCCGCGGAAAGTGCGTCGGGCTAAACTGCAATGCAATGAGGGCTATGAACACTCAGGGCTTTTGAGACGAGCATGGCTGCACGAGGGGCACAAAGAAGCTTAGCTGAGAATCAAGGGTCTTGCTCGTAATTCTTGCCGCAAATCCTGGCACTAGCAAGGGGATTGGACGGTCGCGTACAGAGGCCGAGGATCACGCGTTGGGTGCTCTGTGCTGCGGGCTCTTGAGAAACAGATAGGAGCCAAGAGAGACTGGGAACCCGAGACTGAGTTGATCAAAGCTGCTGGTTTCAAGCCGCGTACATTTGCGTCGAATTTCAGATCCTCGTTTTCTCTCTCGGCGGAATCGCTGTCTTGGTGGATCCTGCGTTCCGGTTGGAAGCGCGTGTGGTCGCGGTCTTTCAATGGAGGTGGAGTAAAAAGGCGCCAAGCAGAGCCGTGCGTTGTGCCTTCGGAAGAAACTTCAGACCATTTTTGTTTATTTCTGGTGACCTCTCTTATCGAGCTGAGATCAGATGAGGACGAGCCAGTATGCTGGCCAGCTTGGCGGGAATACCGCTCTGTCAGGTCCAACCTGTGCAACGCGAACGCCGCCTCGTGCTCAGCTGGCGGCGCTGCGCGGGCACCGGCACCTCGACTGACAGATAGCTTACCGAAGAGTGTCCGTGGAGGTCGAATGCACGATTGCACCTTGAGAACGTAACCAAAAAAAGAAAAGGCTGAGCTCTTTCCGGGGTTACCCACTTCCCCATCCGCATACATACATCGTGTACGAGGATAACGATCCCCCTCACCAGCTTCTCCCACTGTAGACAGCAGTTCTCGACGGACCCATCACATTGTCAAGTGTGTATATATTCCCGCAATCGTTCCACGACTCGACAAGAGCAACAGCAGCAGCTCTACTCGAGTATCACGCATCCTTCTCCCTTCCGAACGAGGATTATCGAATCATCCTGTATCTCATTACGCAATCGTTGCGTTAGAAGGCAAGGGTCAATCTATCCAGAGGAGCTACCGCGCTTGGATTTCTTGTTTCTCGTTTCTACAAGCTCGCACGTCTTGCGGCAGGTACGCAAGACGAATTCGACAGCACCGCAAAGCGCCTTTCCAAGGACACTCGTCGATCGGCAGACCCGACTCTGCACAGACGATACAGTCACACTCACACTATAGACATGATGCAGACCAAGACCGACTACTTTGGTCCGGAATCGCCAATGAGTGGGCCATCTAGCGGCGGAGCAAGCCCCTCGACATCTGCCATGCTGAGCCCCGGATCAAGCTCAGTGGGAGCTTCGCAGCTCTCCCTACTCGCTCTCAACTCGGAGAGGAATTCGCCCTCCACGTCGGCCTGCACATCCGTCAGCGATCTCTCTTCGGAGGTGGACAAGCTTTCTTTCGACAATGCCAAGACGAGCCGCGTTGCGGGCGAAGCCGTTCAAGACGCGAATGCCAACGAGGAGCCAGAAAGCAATACCGAGGATAGCGAGGCAGCAGCCGTGGAAGCAGAGAACCGCCGAGTTGAGGAGGAGCTCGACTCGGCTCTGGCGTTCGGAACACAGATCGTGCAGCGGGAAGCCCGTGCGCTCGCGATGGCAGCCAGGCGCCTCTCAAGGCATTCTGCGCAGCAAGATGGTTTCCGTCAAGCTGTACGCCTCGTGATGCGTGCAACGACCGGAGAGCGAGGCGGAAAAGTGGTCCTGACAGGTGTCGGAAAGAGCGGCATCATTGCCAAGAAGCTATCGGCCACCTTCCTCTCGCTCGGCACGCCCTCCATGTTCCTCCACCCAACGGAAGCGTTGCACGGCGACCTCGGACTGCTCACGCCACACCGCGACGTGGTCATCGCACTGTCGCATTCGGGATCGTCTCCGGAGATCCTTGCGCTGGTACCGCACCTCAACGCCCGCAGGTGTCCCATCATTGCGTTGGTCGGAAAGCGCGACAGCGCGCTCGTCAAGGCGTCTGACGCTTGGATCGACTGCGCGACGGGCAAAGACGATCCTGATTCCGACTCGGAAGAAGAAGCCGAGGACGAGGAGGCAGTTGCATCGGATGTGGCCGATGGCGTCGAGCAGGTGAGCCTTTCCGCCGGCGGTCAGGCCGCTCTTCGAAGCTCGAGCGAGCCAGCCGCCAATGGTGCTGCTTCTCATTCGCACGCGATCGTTGGAGCGCGTCGGGCGACCATGCCTCAGTGCGACACCTGCGACTGCGGCAAGTCAAGGCAGCGTACGAGGACAAGACGGAACAGGGCTCCGCGACCTACCACCGACGAGGCGTGGGACGACGTTCCAGCACCCAGCAGCAGCACAACAGTGGCTTTGGCGATGGGCGATGCACTCGCCTTCTCAGTCACACGTGCCAAAGGGCTGGGCAGAGACATGTTTGCTTTCAACCATCCTGGCGGCAAGCTTGGTGCTGACTTCCGTTTGCAGGGCCAATCGGTGCCTCTGCAGACCTACGATCCGAAGGGCACCGAGAGTGCGGTAGCAACGCCGATCGCCGCTTGAGCGAGAGGCGAACCTCGATATGAGCCGTAAACCTCCTTGTCACTCTCTGTGATCTCACACCCGTTCGTTGGCTTGCTTCCGTTCAACGATTGTAACACGTATTTAATCTATAGAACAATCACTCCTCTTTTTCGGCATCATGTCGATGGATTTTGACCTCGCCTGTTGTGTGTATTGCAATGAATCATGGACAGGCCCTGTGGCACAGCGGGCGGGTCCTTAAACGTTGACCATCTCGTCGCCTGTATCCGTGCGCGCCTCTTCTACGCCCAGCATGGCTAGGATCGCACGTCCGAGTTTGAGCCCGTCGTGCGGCTTTTTCGCATTGACCAACGAGCGTTCCCTAAGCTCGCCCGTTACGATGCCCATCTCGGTACGGACCTCGATGATGTTTTCGACGATCTCACGGTCGAACTCTGGATGACCCTGGAAGGTCAGTACGTGGAGCGAGCGCAAGGGATGTGGGCCAGAAGAAGCGGTCTCTGAGTCTTCGATGTCGAAGGCCATGTAGGCGGAGGTCTGAGCGGTGGAGGGAAGAGGTGGTGCTTCCGTCGGGTACTTGAGAATGAGCGATTGGATAGGGGACACCTCTGTCGATGCGAGGTTCTCGAAACTCTCGCCACCAAAGTCGGGCGGAACATCGACGACGTGGTCTTTGTGGACTTGCTGGATGGCCATCTGATCGCCATCCGAGGGTCCGTCGTAGCCGAGCAATTCGCGTCCATGTTCCGTGAGAGTGCAGGAGTGCGTTCCAAGCTCCCAGCCCTTGGGATTGGAAGTGACTACGCCGTCGAAGGCGCGCGAAAGTATCTGGTGACCGTAGCAGATGCCTATGAGACGGACCAGAGGGTGATTCTCGGCGGTCGATCGCAGGAACGCTGCGAGCTTCTTCGTCCACTCCAGGTCAAGATATGCGGACGAGGCGCTACCCGTGATCATGACTGCGTCCCACAGTCCATCGCCAAGCTGCCCCTCGTCCGGATACTCCATCTTGTTGACGACATCGTAGCATCGGATGTGCAATTCGACGTGAGGCTGCCACGGATGGCGCTTGATCGTATTGAGCGACTCTTGAAGGAAGCGTGGATAGATCTTGGTATAGTTGCCTCGAACTGCCACGACCGGCGGAGGTGGTGTGTCGGCCACCAGCAGCGCAATCGAAACGACTTTCTTCTTTCGTTGCTGCTCTTGCGCCATGTTGGAGAGCCGTCGAGATGTCGGTTGGTGGAGGTGAAGCTAGACGATCAAGAGAATGACATGCGCTTATCTTCGCTGAGTCGGAAGCGAGGATTTAGCCGCGGAAAAGGCTTATTTGTTTGGAATCTGTCAGGAATTGGCCGAGTTGATCGCCGTGCCTCAGCCGCTTCGCCTCTACCACTCCAGGACGGCACAGCAGCGTCGCACGTCACAGCTTTCATTGGCATCTCAAGAAAAAGACTAATCTATTGCAGGAGCACTTGGCGCCACACATTGAGACAGCTGCGAATCCCAGACGAAAGGGGAATAGAGCAGAGGAAATATGAGGTGAGTCAGGCCTCCAACGGACGCGCTGACCAGGTATCAATAGGAGTCGGGAAGTGGATGAACCCTTCAGGGTCAAAGTAGAAGTGCGATGGAAAGGACTAGGCCGATGCTGAGGCGGCAGCGCCCGTGGAAGGTGTGGTGGTACCGCTGACCTTCTTGTCCTTTTTGCCCCTCTTCTTGTTCTTGCCGGCTGCTTCGGCGACGAGTCGTTCGAGCTCGCGTCGCTCGTCGTCGCTCTCGTCGGGCTGAACCGCCTTGTAGATCATCCCGAGGAACAAGATGGCTTGCGCGCGGTTGAAGAGCACCTTGTCGCTGACACCCTTTTCGTTGAGAACCTTGTCGCACACCTGTCGGAGGATGCCCGAGATCTCGAATCGAGTGCCTCTCCAGGTAGCCAGCAGCATCTTGCCGCTCATGTCTTGCTCGAGAGCGCGCAACTCGTCCTCCGGAATCTCTCCCTTCTCCTGGCGGCGCGCAAGCTCGTCCATGGATGCCTTGACGTTGAGCGCGGAGCCAAGCATGCCCCACGTCTCCTTTACCACCGCACCGCGCTCCTTCATGCGGCTCATGAAGCCGCCAAAGCCGAGCATGCTATGCTTCTTGGTCTTGATCCATGTGGTGGCCTTCATGACGTAGATGTTGCCGATAGCATGGAGGAGCTCGACACCAAACGACTCAAGCTTGAGATCCTCGGCCTCCTCCTTCATCTTGCGCTCGAAGATCTGCGTCTGCGAGTCGTCCTTGTCGCCGGGCTTGCGTGCGTCGACAAAGGGTCGGATGCGCTCCTTGAGCTTTTCGGCGAGATCCTCGACTCGCTTGCGTTCGTTCTCCTCCTTCTCCTTTTCGAGCTCCTCGAGTTTGGCCTTCTGCTCTGGTGTCAGCTTTTGCTTCTGCTTTGCATCCTCCTTCTTCTTCGCTTCGGCGATCTCCTCCGACGTCGCTCCGGCCTCAGCAGCTTTTCGTGCAGCAGCGTCTCCAGCCGTTGCTGCATCTGCAGGCAGATCGGTCTTGATGGCATCGACGGCGGCGGGGGTTTCGGAAGGATTTGCCTTTTTGTGCTCCGCCTTCATCTGGGCTTCGAGTTCCTCCTTCTCCTCCTCCGTCATCATAATCTCGGACGCCTTGCCAAAGTCTTTGATCAGGCTGATCTCGCCGATGAGGTCCATGAAGCGTTCACCGCCGAACAAGCTGCCAAACATGTCGGTGGCCTCTTTGAGTCCGACTTCGTCTGTGGGCTTCTTCTTTCCGTACTTGTCGTAGTCGGCACGCAGGTGGTTGTCGCTCAGAACGCGATATGCTTCGCCAATCATCTTGAAGGTCTCCTCGTCACCTCCTTTGTCCGGATGATTCTTGATGGCCGCCTTGCGGTACGCCTTTTTGAGGTCGAGATCGGAAGCGTCGCCGCGAACGCCGAGGAGGTCGTAGTATTCCATGTCGGCGATCTTGGCACCGTCTCGCGAAATGTCGCGCGCAGTAGTCGGCTCAGCAGCGGCAGCACCAGCTGCGGCCGGCGCCGGTGCGGATGTGGATGCTGCGTCCGCCATTTTATGATACGCCGTTCCGGCTATCGATGATGTAGGGGGATTTGGGCGGCTTGCTTTTGGTAGCAAGTGATTGCTCGAATGCGAGAAACGTTTCTAAGAATGGCTCGCACGCAATGAGGGAAGGGTAGTTACGGTCGGGTCGTCGAAACAGCGTGTTCGATGATGGTGGAGCCAATGGTGGTGCGAGGTTGATCGGAAGGAGATGACGATCCGCTCGGCTTGGCAAACTCTGTCGGCCCGTCACTAATGCTCGTCCACAAAAAAATAAGCGCGGCCCGTCAATCCCTGGGCTGGGCTGTGCATCTTCTTTTTGTCTGTACGATGAAATCACACACAACACGCGCACAAGCCGTCCAACGCTCCGCAGGCGAGACAGTCTCAAAATTTCTCTCCGACCCTTCTAACTCGAAAAGATGGTCGTGCAGTGCTCATTTCCGGGCGCTGCGCAAGTGATTGCCCTCAAGCGCCAAGACCGCATTGGCAGGCGCAGCACTTTTTCGCGGACCCAGGGAAGTATATATTCCTGTGGGCCTGCCGCATCCCACCCTTCCGCAAATCACTCTTCTGGCCTATTGTACGTGGACCCCCTACGCCAGCTCAGCTCTTTTCTAGTGGACAATGTTGCTGACTGCATCCGCCTTTCTTTCTCCTTCTGGCAATTCCTAACCTCGTACAGGGCTTAGATCATGTGTAGTATCTGTTCTAAATAGATTGACATCTATTTCTCCTCGCTCCGGCGAGGATTATTTTGTCATACACTTTTTCCTAGCGGGAGATCACCGTTCAGATGCTTGCATCTCGGGATCTCGAGGATGTCCTTGGCCCTACACTTCTGCCTTGAGACGTCCGCCGACCCTTCTCTTTTTTGTTTCTTCTGGATTACGTAAGCGTGTGTCATCGATCGCGCCCTGAAGAGCGACATGTGTCAGTCCGTGATGTAAAAGGGGGATATGAAACAAACGTGTGGTGCAGAAAAGAGTGGCACAAATCAAGGCGTCGAAAATAACCCCACAGCAAGAACGGCATGTCCCGCACCTACTGAGGGCCTTGTTACAACGCATCCAAGCGAACACTTTCATCTACTGTATCATGGAAAGAGCAAGCACGACCGCTCGGGGAAGAATACATCAGCCGACGCTGCGAAGTGAGCAAGACGACCACTTCGAATGACCGTTGCCTCTGAGGGTCGACAGTAGCCGGCAACGCAAACAACACTTGTTGAGGCGAGACGCGCTGTTGTGATTGTCGCGTCTGAAATTTGCGAGTGACACTTTCGCGCAGCAAACAATCAGTGACAGCCTAAATTTAGCGGAGCCCAACGCCGCCGCAGCCGCTGAGCCTTCCGCACGCTCCTCTCCTCCTCCTCTCCCTCACTACCATCATCTCGACCGGTCCGTTGCGTCCACACACATCACCATGTACGCACGGAGCAACGCATCAAGCCACTCGAGCGACCGTACGCAGGTCCGCTCGGCGCTCGGCTCGTTGAAACGGACATGGTCGGGCAATCAGCATGACCTCGGCTCGTCAGCTCAAAGCACCACCAGCAAGGGCACTCCAGGTCCGCCTTCAAGCCAAGAGATATTTTACGAATGGTCCGACTCGCCTTCGCCGCCTCGCAGGAGCGCCAAGCTCACCTCGTACGCCGTCGACTCTGATAAAGAGAACGCAGTCTCCGCACCGCCGGAGAAGAAGGCCAAACCCGCAGCATCGATCGCAGTCTCATCGACGATCGGCTCGGCTCAGCCGCAGACTGGGTTCGTGTCAGCGTCGAGCATGCAGAGAAGCTCCAGCTCCGGCTACGGTAGCGGGGCGCGCCCAAATGCGAGCTCCTCAGATTGCCCCTCCGCTCAATCGTACTCTCGACCAGCCTCCCACCCATCCAGGAGCACCGACCTCGCGGCACAGTTCTCGTACGAGCGTCAACAGGGGCGAAGTAGCTCCAGTGCGAACGCATCCGGCCTGAGCAGGAACAGCGTCGGGCCCCCAGCTACGGGATCTTCAAGCACCTACGGTCGCACGTCATCAGCGCCTTCGATGCCTTGGATGAAGACGGCGTCGCAGCTCAAGAGCGAAAGGCGAAACGACCCTGCCGCATACCAGTCCAGTTCGCTCATCTCGTCGACTGGTCAGACGAATGCAGCAAGAGCATCGCCCTCTGCTGTAGGCGCGACTTCGCTGGATAGCAAGAAGAGCGTCAACAAGATCTTTCTGTCGCAGGAGCAGCGAAAGGTGTTGCACATGGTCGTCGAAGAAGGCAAGAATGTGTTCTTCACCGGTTCGGCTGGTACAGGTAAATCGGTGCTGCTGAGAGAGATCATCAAAGAGCTACGACGCAAGCATGCCAAGCGTCCCGAGTCCGTCGCCGTCACTGCATCGACTGGTATCGCCGCTTGCAACATTGGCGGCGTCACCATTCACAGCTTCGCAGGCATCGGTCTGGGCAAAGAGCCTGTCGCGCAGCTGTTGAGCAAGATTCGCAAGCAGCGCAAGTCCTCTGCCCGGTGGCAGCGTACACAGGTACTCATAATCGACGAGGTCTCTATGGTTGATCCGGCGCTGCTCGACAAGCTGGAGGAGGTCGCCAGGCTCATCCGAAAGAAGCCGGACAAGCCCTTTGGTGGGATCCAGGTGGTCATCACGGGCGACTTCTTCCAGCTTCCCCCCGTCAATCCGGGAGGAAGTGTCACCTTTGCCTTTGATGCACAGTGCTGGGACCGCGTGGTGCAGCACAAGGTCAACCTAACGCAGGTCTTCCGACAGAAGGACGAATCGTTTGTCACCATGCTCAACGAGATGCGCTTCGGCAAACTGTCGCAGAAGACGATCGACGCTTTCAGAAAGCTCGAGAGGGTGCCGCGATACGATGACGATATCGTTCCCACTGAGCTCTTCCCCATGCGCCAGGAAGTGGACAAGGCCAACGCGGGCCGCCTCCTGGCGCTTCAGGCGGAAGCGCAGAGCTACCGTGCCGTCGACGGTGGCACCCTGATGGGTGAGGCTCGCGACAGGATCCTTTCGCACTCTATTGCCGTGTCCGTGCTGAACCTAAAGAAGGGAGCGCAGGTGATGTTGATCAAAAACCTGGACGAGACCCTCGTCAACGGCTCCGTGGGCAAGGTGATCGACTTCATGGACGACAATGAGTACGACAAGCAGACGGGCGCACTGGATGCCGCCGAGTTCCAGAAAGAGGACCGAGACAAGGCGCAACGTTCTGCGGTGCGAAAGTGGCCGCTGGTGCGCTTCCATCTGGCCAACGGCCAGACGCGAGACTATCTGGCGCGGCCAGAGTCGTGGAAGACCGAGCTGCCGGACGGCGAGGTGCAGGCGTCGAGGACGCAGGTGCCTCTCATTCTCGCCTGGGCCATGTCGATCCACAAGTCGCAGGGACAGACGCTGCCGTGCTGCAAGATCAACCTCAACCGCGTGTTTGAGAAGGGACAGGCGTACGTGGCTCTCTCGCGAGCCACTTCGCTCGAAGGGCTCCAGGTGCTAGGTTTCCGACCCGACAAGGTCATGGCGCATCCGAGGGTGATCCAGTGGAGTCAATCTCTGATCGCGCTCAGCGACTGACCAGAGACCGGCAGACCCGTAAATCGCACAAAAGCATTCGATAGTAGCATTTCAATATCATCAGCATCAGCAAACGACTCTGTACCATATCAGCATATCATAGAGAGGCGATTTGATTCATGCAGTCCAGACAGGTGATAGCAATCTCAGGCCATGCCAAGGCGGGCCGTTTTGAAAGCCGGTCAGGTAGCCAAGCCAAGCTATCGGAAGCATCCCGAGGTGAGGATGGAAAACGAGAGGCAACCTTGCATGAAAAAAAAGAAGACGCCGCGAAATTGAGCGGCGACGTCTCGCAGTGACTCGGCGGAAAGTGCACATCTTTCGCGCTCATAATCGTACCAAAGACAGAGAGGAGCGCCGATAGATATCCGTCGGCAGACCAACACAGAATAAAGTCTGGTCCGAACTGAAGCCGAACCTTGGCCACCTTTTCCGCTTTTCTTAGCTTCTGTCATATCGCCATCGAAACCGAACACCATCACTTAGGCATCTGGAAGCAACATGTCGTCCAACGGTACACCGAACGGTGCAGCGTCGCTGCCTGCACCAGGCTTGGCGACAGCTGCACTGCACGCCGACCACCCCAACCACCTCGCTGACGACAACTATGCCGTGGCACCCTCCATCAGTCTCTCCACGACGTTTCGATCGCCGCATCCGGACTCGGCGAACGCCAAGCTGCTCGAGGATGTCGGCAAGGGCGAGGCCGAGTTCGACATGCAGGATCCTAGCTTCCACATCTACTCGCGCTACTCGCAATCGACCAACATTCGCTGCGAAAAGGTGCTCTCGCAGATCATGAAGTCGCACGCGCTGACCTACAGCTCTGGCATCTCTGCGGCACACGCTGCTGTGCTGCACTATGCTCCGTCGGTGATCGCGATCAGGAAGGGATACCACGGAGTGCACGTGTCGATCAAGCTGTACGCTCGTGGGAGGAACGTGAAGATGATCGATCTCGACGATGATTATGCTGCTGCGGTGGCGGAAGCCAGCGATGGCAGCAAGGGCAGTGACGTGGATGAAGGACAGGGAGCGGTAAAGCGAGGAGGTCTGCTGGTCTGGATCGAGACACCACTCAACCCTTCTGGCGAGGCGAGAGATCTGGCCAAGTACGTTCGCAAAGCCAAAGCTGTCTCCGGAGCCCACGTCGTCGTCGATTCGACTTTTGCTCCCCCTCCTCTGCAAGACCCGTTCGAGCAAGGGGCAGACATGGTCATGCACTCCGGAACCAAGTACTTCGGCGGACACTCCGATCTGCTCTGCGGTGTGCTGGCGGTGAAGGACAAGAAGGAGTGGACCAGTCTGTGGACGGATCGAACCTACTTCGGCGCCAACTTGGGGAGCATGGAAGCCTACCTGCTGCTGCGATCGCTTCGAACGCTGACGGTGAGGGTGCAGAAGCAGTCTCGTACCGCGACACTGCTAGCGGCGTGGCTGCACTCGCTCAGCTCAAACCAGGATGGTCAAGTTGCAGCTGAGGACGAACCCTTCGCAGGTGGAAAGATCGTCGCTCGTACATACCATTCCTCGCTGCAACCGCGGACCGACCTGGACGATCTGGTGACGAAAGGAACCGCACCCGAAGACCCCACCTTCGACCCGGCACAGCAGATGCCCGGCGGTCACGCTCCCACCTTCGCCTTCCGAACGGTCAAGCCGGAATACGCGACGTTCATCCCGCACCTCACCACCTACTTCACCCCCGCTACGTCGTTGGGTGGCGTGGAGAGCTTGTTGGAGCATCGGTGCAAGTCTGACCCGACTGAGGATGCGAGGGTGGTGCGTGTCAGTGTCGGGTTGGAGGAGTTTGAGGATCTGAGGGCGGATCTGAGGGATGCCTTTAGCAAGGTTTTGCAGCGCGAGGGGGCCAAGTAACGTAGGGCTTGCGATATGGGCCGCAACATCCGGAGATGCGATCTGTTCACAATGTTTTTCCCTCATGCGGCGTCAGCAAGCAATCACAAAAGACCCAGTCCACATTTGTGATTGTGATCAGTGTATGATTGATTATACTAAACTGCGGGCAAACATATGGTGATACACCTTCGCGAAGAGACATTAGATTAGAGAGAACATGATCGGAGCAACAGATTGTATGGGTTGAGCGAACTCTCCGTTGCAAGAGGGACTACGAGAAAGGTGACTACTGAACGCTGCCACGGTGGGCAGGAACGTACGCGCCAAAGTATGGGTACTGCGAGTTGGCGGTGCTGGTGGCGGGATGGGCTGCAGTGGACGAGGGGGCGTAGCCGAGCTTGCTACCGTCGCTGCTCGAGTACTGCAGAGGCGTAGCGCTGGCGCCGGTAGGTTGGCTGTGGGCGCCATCAGCCGAGGAGCCGGTCAGGTAGAACGGCGACTGCTGAGCCGAGGATGCGCTCGAAGTCGACACGGATGACATGCTGTAGCGGCTCAGATGGGCCAAGGAGCCAGGGATGCCGGGCAGGGTGCCGCCGCTGCCATGCAAGGCGGGAGGTGGTGCGATCGGAAGCACCGAAGCGTTGCCGGAAGTGCTGCCGAACGAGTCGCTCGAGGGCAGACCGCCGTAACCCGATCCGCTGTAGCTGGGACGCAGTGCCGAGTCGTTCAAGCTGAGCTGTCGCGACTGTCGTCGGTGCTCATCCTCCTTTTTCTGCTTGCGCCACGCCTTGCGCATATCCTTGAACTCGCTGGGCGAGCGCTTTGGACCGTGCTTTTGCATGGCGACATGCGCATTGAGATGGTTAAGCGTGCCGTAGCTCTTCGTGCAGCCGGGCCAGCTGCAAGGGTAGAGACGTTCGATCTCGTCGTATCGACGGCGAGGACGTTTCTTGCTGGCACCGGCGCTGTAACCGCCAAAGTAGTGGTTGTCGTAACCCTGAGAAGCCGAAGTGGCGCCCGACGACGTACCCATACCGCCATCTTCGCCCGAAGTCATGTATGAAAATACCTTGCCAGGTCCCGCGGCGGAAGGATCCGGCATGGACATACGCCGCTGAGCATAAAAAGCGTCGATGACAGCACCGTGACCTCCAGGCGTGTAAGGTCGCGAGCTGGATCCGGCAGAGTTGCTCACCGTTGACGTGTCTGCGGATGCATCGTGCGAGCCAGCGGCGGGGCCGACAGCTCCGAAGTGGCCGAACAACCCATCGGCCGTGTGTGGACGTGCAGATCCCGAGGCGTTCTCCCAGGCTGCCAGGCCGTGAAGGCGTGGAGGCGCAGGAGCAGCAGCCGCGCTCTCGTAGCGTTCTGCGTAGGAGGGGGACTCCATCAGAGGCCCCGAGATGGAAGCTCGATGCTGGAAGTACTGCGACACGCCGGGATGCGCGCCGTGGGCTTGATAGTCGAGGTCATGGTGATAAGGTTGTTGCGGCTGTTGACTCTGGTAGTTGCTCGTGGTCATGCTGCTCCTGTGCGGATAAGGGGCCTGGAAGGTCGAGGACGAGGTTTCTGCAGGCCCATCGAATGGCTTCTTGTCGTGGCTTTGAGGATACCAATTCTGCTCGTGCTGCGACGGAGACGCCATGGCGCTGTTGGCTTCTGCTGTACCGACGCTGCCGACGTTGGGCGAAGAGGTGGCCAACGATCCTGGGAGCGTCGGAAGCTGGTGTAGCGAAGGCGTGCTAAAGTTGTAGCTGCTGCCGGTACTCATGGCTGGCGAAGACTGGTCGACACAGATGCCGGAAGTGGTTGTTGCTGAAAGGGGGCTCGAAGAGAGAGGACAGTTGGCGTCTAGGGACGAGAGACCCAATTGGAAAAAGTCGATGCCGGAGTGAGCTTGGACGAGATCGAGGTCCAGCTGGGAGCCAGTCTTGGGCGTCGAGAGCTCGTTGGAAGTAGTTGAGGAGGAGGGGAGGGAGGAGAACCAAAAGGGCGAAGGGTGATCAGCAGTCTGCTGGGGATTGGAGATGGTGGCAGCTGCCTGCAGGATGGAGTTCGACTCTTCGTTGACGCGCTTGAGCGAAGTGTGTGCCAGCGCCGATTCTGGTTGAGAACAAAGCATTCGGACAGGCAGGTGGGGGTTGACCGAGCAACCGGGGGTCAAGAGCTGCTTTTGGGGCCAGTGCGTCGGCAAGACGTCTCAGCTTTCTCGACGTGGCCGCTGGATGGCAGAAGAAAGCAGCCGACGGTGGATGACAAAGGCTGAGGAACGTCGCTGTAGCGACGAGGACGAGCAGAAAGGGGTTCGTGCGTTTGCAACGACGGCAACGTACGCCAAAGGTCGCTCAGAGATTCGGGTACGAGAAGCGTTGCAGAGGAGCAAGCGACTGGTTGTTGGAGGATGTAGTGGGACTTGACCAGGCAAATTGCGCTGAGGCCTCGAATGGCTAGCTGATGCGTGTCTTGCCGATCAAGCTAGGCGTGAAGCCGAGCGAGGAGGAGCGTGCGGTTGATCTGGGGAATCGTCGGGGTCGATGCCGCACATGCACAAAACGATCGAGCGGTCTAGAAGCGGTCCGAGCGATGCCGTCTAGTTATGAGCAGGAGGCCGTGCTTGCGCAGAATGCGTTGCTGCTGCACTTGTAAGGGGAGTATCAGAATGGGTATTGAGGAAGTAGTTGTAGAGATACGAGGGAAGGTGTTGAGATGTTGAGGACGTGGAAGAGGGAGGAAAGGGTATGGATTCCGAAGGGATGTCCGACTTTATGAATGAATCGAGCTCAAGGGCGAAGGGGTATCGCATAGGCAAGCATGATAGGAAGGAAGCTCGGAAGCATTGGAGCGGACGAGCTTCTGTGCCCGACGGAGGGGACTGCAGGCGGAGTTGGGAGGGAGCGCAAGCGAGCACTGTACGCACAACGTCGGATGCGCTCTGCTTGAGCCGAAGATGTGTTCGTTGGGCGGCAATGACAGGGAGCACGCAACACAGAAAGTGTGAGACAAGCGATAACTTGAGACCTTCCGAGGACGCTCTGCGAAGCATTGTGTCGGGCGTAGCGATAAAAGCCGCGAGCATGATGCTTCAGCTGATTGGCGCTCGGACGATGAAATCAAGCCGAGTGGCGTAGAAAGCAGGAAGCAAAGGCAAGGCGAGCTAGTCACGTCGATTAGGAAGGTGCCGCTGGCCATCAGCGACGGCTTTGGCTCTGGAGACGCAAGGCTAAGCGAGGAGAGGGGGTCGAGAACAAATGCGAAAGCGAGAGACAAAGAGACCGAACGAGCTTGAACATCCTGGCGGTTGCCGAGGTGAGATTGCATGAGACAAGCTGCAAAGAAGCACATCCACCACCGCACAGAAGAAGCGGAAATCCAGGCAAGTCAAACAGTGCCCGCCTCAACAGTTTCGGCTATTTCAGACAGACAGGCCACAGGCGCTACAAGACAGTTCTAAATTGTACTGGACTGAAATCTTGCCCGATTGAGCAATTGTGCCGTACCGGACACGGTGTGACACCGTATGACAGTGCAGCAACAGCTGCGATTGTATGCAGCTGACGCCGGTGCTGCTTCGACGCAAGTGCATGTATGCATGCTCGCCGATTCGCCCGCAACTTGCCCGGTAGATCGAGGTCAACCTTGACGATTGTGCGACTCTGCTGCCATTGTGTTCTGTACCATAGACGTCAGCAGGACTTCGCTCGCAGTACACGGCAAAAGAACTAAGACTCGGCCAGTGCAGTGGTCTACCATCGTGCAGAACCGATACGAATTTGCGGTCGACCTCTTGTGCGAGGACGCACAGAGACCCGGGCTGGAAGTGACCTGATTGGTCGCGCGAATGCTGGCGATCCGTACAGAATGCTTCACGATAAAGAGAGCCATGTCGTTAAGGAATCCACCTGGAACCATCTCTCGATGAAGGAGAGCTGTCCTCGTCGAGAGCCAGGCGAGGCCCGCCCAGCTGCATACACGCAAGACATACGAGACCATGCCGAGCGAACAGATTTGTTTGTACACCTTTGACTCTAGCAAACCTGGCGAGGCGATAGGTTTGCCTCTCCGTCTAGCCGCGATACCTGTGAGCGGCGCAGCCCAGCCGAAATGTGGCGGCCTCACCGCCAGCCGACGGGATGAGTTGTGGGCTCTGGACCTGTGTAAAGCCGAATCCCAATTTTGATAAAAAATTGATTTTAATTTTGCATTTTGTCTACAGGTAGGCCGATCCGCACAGAACTCGCCTGCTCTTCTAGAAGCCGGCAACGCAACGAGACCAGCTAATTGGCTGGGCTTACCAGCGGCGTTGTGGGGCAACCCAAGAAATCGCTTCGGCACTCATAGGCGTCCCCTTCCACACACTGCCATTCGAGACGCCCGACCTGTGTTGCTGCGAGCCTGCATGACCACCTTGCATCCTGGCGCAGCCCTCAATATCGCGAAAGACACACTGCTGTGTTTTCATTCTGATCCTTTGCATGAACCATCCATAGACCGAGCTCAACCAGTCGGTGTGACTGGATGTTGACATCCGGAAGGGTTGCGACGGAAAAGCCATACCCGAAGGCGCCCGAGAGGGGAATTTGGCTTTACAGAGTCGATCCTAGATGATCAACAGCAGAACGTGCCCTCAGCCCGGAAGGGACGGTCACGCAATCTCGACGTGACTGCCTTTTCGCGATGTGCGGTCACGCCCTCAGAATGACGGACCGCACCGCGCCCCTCCCGACAAGGCAGAAGCACAGCCGGAAATCCCAGTGATACCGCTGTGGTACGCATAAATCGCATAATTTCACATTTTTTCAACCTCAAGCTCTGCTGCAGCAACGCAAGCTCGCTTAGCGACCGTGGAAAATCGCCAACACGGTCCTCGAGTCTCCTTTCGTCTCCTTTGCGATCGGTCTCGAATCATGTTTCTGATGTCAGAGACCCTGGTCGCACACTCAAAGTCGGCTGCTGCGAATTCAGAAGGCAACGAGAAGAACATGTTTCGAGGCAGAAACGATCAACAAAGTGTCGGCGAGTGGCGAAGGGTTCGCTCACTCGCTCTTGCTGTTCGAACCGGGTACGATAGCCGTGCTTCGGCTCTGCGCTTCTGCTTTTGCGAAGCAAATCGAGACGAAAATGATATTTTCCTGGCATTTTTTTTCCATTAAACTCCCGACTTGGAAGGTGCTGCACGAGCATGACAGCTGATCTTCTCACGACACACTAACCTTGTTTGCACCCTTTCTCAAGCCCTTTCATCGCCGAAAGGTGGCGGATGCTCAACGCGAAGGTTTGCCTTTAGGACTGCATCTAAGAAATCAGCCGTCAACGCGATCGTCTCGCGATGCCAAATGTTGCGCTGCCTTTTCGCAGAGGGAATCAGCCACCTTCGCCGTTTGCCCTATCAGACCAGACACCATAGCCTGTCATCTTGCCCGGAAAACACGGATTGAGCCAAGCTGGGAGATCTTTCGGCACCAGGTCACCCTATCATTAGTGCGTTCTTGCCGGCCTCGACGAAGCTTGGATATCTTAGCAGCAAACGTGTCATAGCGGAAGGCACTAGAAGCACACTGTCACCCTGCCCTGACTAAAATGACAAGGCCAGATCTGATGTGAGCTACGGAACAAAAGATGCGTTCTCTCCCGACAAACGGGTTGATCACAACAGCTACGGAACAGGAAGCACGGCAGATCGTGCCAGTCATCATCAGCAACGGATAGGGAAGTCGCCTATGTGTGGTGATGTCGTGTCCGGCAAGGCCCACCCAAGATGCCCTGCCGTTTCCGCGTCTCTGTTGCCGACACCTTCTGATTACAGCAGTGTCGTGCGGCGCGACATCAGGTTGAGCCCCTTGTTCCCCCGTCACTCGACGGTTGCGTTTGGCCATACCGTCGGAACTCACAAACGCTGCATGATCGTAATACCACGGAGACTTCGGAGTCCGATTTGATGGCGAGGTTTCAACCAGGCGATCTGCTTTCTGTGTCATTGAGCGATCGCTATTGCCCTCGACCCTTCATTCGACGAGTCGCTTCACACGATCACGGGTTCAGAAGTAGGTGGCGTTCGACATCGTGACTGTCTGGACCCGTCAGCAGACCGTATGCATCTCTAGAGCACCGCCGAAGCTCTCGTCCTTCGTTCAAGATTCAGCGCGGAGCTACTGGCAACGTTGCGCGGAAAGATGGACAGCGTAGCCGAATAAAGTTATCCGAGTCAGACGATAAGCCTCATCTTGTCCCATCCGCCATGGAAGATCTGTTACTGAACGTTTTGAGACATATGCAACGCGGCTGCGCCTTTTCACATTCGTTTCTGTTGCGTGTTGACCTTCGCAGCCGCGGTATTTGTTTTTTGTCGCTGCTGTATTGGAGCCGCTTTGCCGAGCACTCCTGGTCGCGTCGCCGGACCCTGTCCCCAACGCACAGCACGGAAACGACGAGCTGTGCTTTTGCAATGTGCATGACGCTCGCATGACAGTATCCATCACCGTATGCTGAACAGCCAAGCACGTCTAAGCGCCGAGCATCTGTGACACGCCGCTGGGGCTTGGCCGGGCATGAAACGCCTTGCTTTTGCGCAATCGGATAAGATTTCGCTTTCCCCCCCCGTCGGCACAGCCATACTTTGCATCTCCGACCAGAACAACACTGCGTGCCGACTTCTGTACAGTGACTTGCGCGAGGTCAAGCGGACGCCATATCTTGCCAGATTCTACACTTGACTGGCTTCCGTCTTCGATGTCTCGACCCAATGCTCGTGTATCAGACTCGAACCCTCCTCGTCGGTGGCAAATACTGTCGGCTCAGCGGGATCGTTGTCAGATAAGCTTCAGGCGGCTCGGACGAAGCCTATGCGCTAAGTCGAGCTAGCCTGAGCCAGCCGCAGCGTTCCTCTTTTGTGCTAGACTGTGTTCCTGCTGATCAGTATCGGCATCACCGCTTCACAGCGTCTGATCAAGTACGTAACGACACAGGATTCATGCCTGTTCGTCTGTGTCATCAGGTCTCGACCCTTACCCCTCCGAGCTTGGCGGAATTCCAGCCGTCGCAAAAGGCTCCTAAGCGAGGCTCTCTTGATCTCTCCTTCTCTCCTTCGCTTCATAGCCGATCATGGCCCGTCGGAATACTGCAATTTCGATGGTCAGCACAGTCTTCCGATCGCGCCCTCCGTTTTTTCTCGCACGTCCTCTCCAAGATCGATCGGGGTCCCCTCAGCTTGCATCGGGCCACATCTCGATCGGCACGCAGCATCGACGGTGAAAGAGCTTTTCATTGCAAACGGTGACGGAAACTACCCAACCTTTCGGTCGTTTGATGACAAGCGACGATTTAAGCCGAAGCCTTCAAAGATGTCCACCAGCAATCGCTGGGCTCACAAATTCGTTTGCGACTGAGCGTGCTCTGAGCTCATCAGGGTATCGAGACTCTTGACTCAACTGGCAAGTAAGGAGAAGGAAAAGGTCAGTATGGACGTGGTGGGTCGAACTTACCATCAAGAAAATTGGCCGTTGATCTTTTTGAGTTCGCTAGCAAGGTTGATGCAATGATCGGAAGGGTCGTTGAGTGCAGTGTTGCTCTGGGAAGCAAGGAATGACGGCCAACAGCGATGAAGGCGATGCGTATGAGTTTCGTCGAAGAGCAGACGGTGGCAAGTGGAGCGGAAGCCAAGCGCATGTGCATCTCGACACTGCAACCGTCGTGCAAAATCCGTAATGCGGCGCCGATCACGCCAGCACCGCGAGAGGGCGAGGGAAGGTAGGGCGAAATGCGCATCGTAGGTTCGACCGCAGCCAGGCTGGCTTCTTCCGGTCAAAGCACCTTGACACGTTTGCTTTCCGTTTCGTAGTCGTCCTGCTCGTAGGCAGCGTCCTCGTCCTCATCGTCCAGACCGCGCTTGCGAAGTGCACCTGTCTGATACGACGTCGACGCCGTCGAAGAAGGGGAGCCAGCATCGACGTTGCTCTCTTGCGGCTCTTCAGTGTACTCGACGATCTGCTCTTCCGCTTCGTCTTCTGTAGATACGGCAAACGGAACAGAAAGCATCGATTGGTCAGCAGACGTGCTTTGCAAAACCCTCGATGCCAAGAACGATGGGTCTCCATACGTACCTTGCCATTCGAGCTCGTCTCCGGCTTGTTCGTATGCGTATGTGGAACCGTGATCCTCTGCAGCTTGCACGTACGCTGCATCGTGCGCATCGCCTTGCTCAGGGTCTTCCAACTCGTCCTCTTCGGCTTCGGATCCACTGTTGACGGTGGTGTAGAAAGTCTGTTCGGCGTCTTGGCCATCTTCCTCTGCCTCATCAGCGTATTCCTCTTCTTCCTCCTCAGCATACTCCTCCTCGTCCTCGCGTCCCTGTCCCTCTTCCTCCTCTTCTGCTTCCACCTCTTCAACAGCCTGTTCTCGGTCCTCATCCTCGTCCTCAGCTTCTACATCGTCTTCCTCGTTTTCTTCGACTTGCTCGAAGTCTTGACGCTCCTCTCCCTCTGCTTCTTCCGCTTGAGCTGCGTCAGGTTCTACCTCACCATCTAAGGATCCTTCAGATTCCCCTCTCGCCTCTTCTGTATCGAGAGTGACTTTCTCGTGCTCTTCCTCATCTCCAGGAACAAAGTCTCCTGCGCTCCCGACGACCCCTTCGTCGTGCTCCAGCTCCTGTCCCTGCCCGAGCTCCTCTCCTTCCGTCTGAAGCTCTTTCTCGTTTTCTTGTTGCTGAGCGTCGGGACTGTCATATGCTCTCTGCAAATACTCCTGTCCTTGCTTCACTCCTGACGCTTCATGTGGAGATGCTTCGACGTCCGGCTTTGCTGATGCAATACCAACAACAATGGTCGAAGGTTCGACTTGATCTCCGTCGCCTCCGTCCACCCCTTCATCTTGAGTTTGAACGCCCTCAGCCTCAAGCAAAGGCTCGACGAGAGCATCTGCGTCCCTCACCCGATCACCCGAGTTTGCGGCCTCCTCTTCGTCGTCACTGCTATGCTGCAGCTGATTGCCGAGAATACTCGCGACGTGCTGGGCGAGTTCGTTGTACTTTGTGATGAAGCGTGGACGCTCCGAGACCTGAATATGCAGACTCGTTTCGAGGCCGAGTCCGCGATGAAGCTGCAAAAGATCGTCCAGGGTGATCTCGCGGCAGTAGAGATTGTCTTCCGCTACATCGAGATCGAGGTCCGGAAATGCGATGTGCAGCTCGTGCGACTCATCGAGGAACTCGCCAAGGGCGCTCTTGTCCCTGAGCCCGGTGAACAGGCTGTCGAGAGGCTGCCAAAGCACATCCTTGGCGACCTGTAGCGCCGGTGCCTCTACCTGCACAAAGTCGCCCGCCTCGTGGCCCGGGTCGTTCTCCTCGACGGTATCGGACATGATCAAGAAGGCAGGAATATCCGATGGTGACCACATGACAAAATCTTGACCGTGAAAGCTGACACGTATCGCAGTATCCGGTCCTTCCTCTGGCGCCAAGTATGTGTAGCCCTTCTGCGCAAGTCCACCTTGTTCCGCATTGACGTCGACGTTGTCTTCATTGTCCTCTTCGAGCTGATCGCTTTCTTCCAAAGCGGAAGCATCGCTTGCGCCGTTTGGCGGTGCAGCGAGGTGCTCTTCTAGGTGCAGCTCGTCCACCTGCTCGTGCTCTTTTGCATTGGAATCCGGCATTGCCCCTAGTCGAGCGCCATCGTGTTCGACGCCGACACGGTTGGTTGCATCCTGAATCGCGGCCTCCGAAGCAGCTGCACCATTTTCTACGGTATGAGACGCATGAACTGTTGCGGTATCGTCACCAAGATGCTGGGCGGTGGGCGTTTGGAGTGCTGAAGGTGTGGGGATGCTGTCGATGGTATCATCTTTCTTGAACTGAGAGGCCTCGTTGATAAGGTTGGTAAGAGGAATGGCCGGCTGTTGTGGGGTGAGAGCATCGTTGAAATCCACGTCGATGGCTGCCTTCTCAAGCGCTTCAAAGCGCGAGCCGGAATCTGACATGGACATCCCCTCACTACTACGCTCGTCCATGGCCTCCTCTATGGTCGCTTGGAAGACGGCGGTGGTCGCCTGCGGCTCCATCTCGTAGTCGTAATCGGGATTCTCGTCCATGTTGAGGTGCGCTCGGTGCTGACAAGCACCTTCACTGCATTGATGGCCACACGAAGTCGATGCAGTGCGCTGCAGAATACGATCGCAGTGCTTGTGTCGTTGTGTGATGCGTGTCCGAAAGGGACGAAGGAGTGATGAGAAGGGTCGAGGCTAGAAGAGAGAGTACGACGAACAATGCACGCGTTCCAGTCAGCTGAGCTTTTTGGCGCGTCGCTTTTCGAGGCCAGTGCGCATGGATCCGAAAAAATCAGTGCCGCACTTCTCGTCACCTGTCAGTCATCCTCCAACGGCCAACCCACGGAGAAGCCCTTGAGAGAGGACAGATGCAAGAAGCGAGACACAGAAGGCAAGATCTCGACCTATCAAAAGTCACCGAGAAAGCATCACAGCGCACGCACGATGTCGAACTCAAGCACAGCGGGTAGCATTCGAGTGTGGTTCTAATTTTACATTTGAGAATAGAGAAAGCGATCAAGCCGAGACAATAAGTGAGGCACAGCCCATGCCGGTACCGACGCACATGGAAGTGACGATGAGCTTCTTGCCGCCCTGTCGCTTGGCCTCAGCGAGACCGGTGGCGATCTGTCGTGCACCAGTGGCACCGAGAGGGTGGCCCATGGCGATGGCACCACCGACGGGGTTGACCTTCTTCTTGTCAATGCCGATGTGCTCGACCGAGAAGAGAGCCTGCGAGGCGAATGCCTCGTTGATCTCGAAAATGTCAATGTCATCCTTGGTGAGACCGGTGAGCTCGAACAGACGCGGGATGGCGTAAGCGGGACCGACACCCATGATGTTGGGGGGCACACCAACGACAGCGCAGGTGACAAACTTGCCCAGGATGGGCAAGCCGTGCTTCTTGGCAGCGCTGCGACGAGCGAGCAACACCGAAGCGGCACCGTCGCTGACCTGCGAGGCGTTACCGGCGTGGGTGAAGCCGTCTTTGGAAAAGGCGGGCTTGAGCTTGGCGAGCGACTCGACAGTGACACCCTCGCGGATGCCGTCGTCGGCGTCGACGGTTCGCTCGTTGCCATCATCGTCGGTGTACTTGACAGTGACGATCTCGCTCTTGAACTTGCCTGCCTTCTGGGCAGCGGCAGCGCGAGCGAACGACTCGGCAGCGAAAGTGTCCTGCTTGGTTCGGTCGATGTTGTACTTCTTGGCGACGTTCTCCGAGGTGATACCCATGGGCATGAGGCAGTCGGCGGCCTCTTCGTTCTCCATGACGGCGTCCGACATCTTGGCGGGCATGACACCAGCACCGTAGTTGAGCGTCATGGATTCGACACCAGAGCCGATACCGATGTCGATCTGACCGAGGGCGATCTGGTTGGCAATCTGGTTAACGGCAGCGAGACCGGACGAGCACTGTCGGTTCAAGCTGTTGCAGCCGGCAGTGTTGGGGATTCCGGCCCAGAGCGCACCCATACGAGCCTGGGTGGAGCCACCACCGGGGGCAAGGACAGTTCCGACGGCGACGTCCTCGATCAACTTGGGGTCGATCTTGGACTCGGCAAGAACACCCTTGAGAGTCCAGCCGAGCATCTCTTCGGGAGCGCACTGCGAAAGACCGCCCTTCTTGGCCTTGGTGATGGGGGTTCGCAGAGCCGAGACGATGACGACTGTAGAAGGATCAAGCGAGTGCGCGAGAATCAAGAACAGCATACAGGTCAGCAAGCCAATCTTCAAAATATTTCGAAAAAAGCAGTGCTCCAGCGCACTAGAGAGGCGGCCGCTACATGCCACACGAGACGTGCAACATGAGCATCAGCGCTAACAGGAAGGGACAAACACTTACCATCATCATCGTGCTCGGCGAGAATGTTCTTCTTTCCGTGACGTTGCTGAGCGGCGGCCATTTTGAAAGATGCAGTCCGATGCGAATTGAAGGGTGAATGTATGAACGAGGAAGGGAAGATGTGCAAAGCGATGAAAACTTGTTCAAGTGGTGGCGATGAGGACAGAAGATTCCAGAGCGGATGATGATGCTTTAAGAACACCCGGCGCAGTCAGGTACACACTACGCGGGGCAAGAAGGACATCGGCCGCTCCGGTGCGAAAGATTGCCTTGAGCGGCCGGTCCAAGCTGAGCTCGATCCGGCAACAAAGTCCTGACAGCAAGTGCTGAGCGCAGAAGGCGCAGCCACGCATCTCTCCTGAGTGTGGAGAAAGCTCGAGGCACTGGGATGCACAGGCCTGAAATTTCAGGGCGCTTTCAAACGATCAAGCCTCAGCACACAGTCAGCCAGCCAACCTGTGAGCTCGATCTGTACGAATTGCATGGGCAGTAGGCCTGTGTCACTCTGAGGAGAATAACAGTGTGAAAGCCCGGCTCAGCACAAATGCCGTCTCCGGTCATTTTAGACCGATCTTGCATTTTGGATCTGTGGCGAGTCGGAGCCTCAATCGGGCGAAGATGGTTAGAGGATCCTCCATCTGCGATTTGTTTTGCCCGGAAATGCATTTGTGATGTCAGATCGGCTCCAGAAGCAGATGAGAAGAATAAACGTCGCTCTAACAATTCGTAAGTATCTCGAAAGGACCCCGCATCGACGTGGGCGATATAAGCCACGAATGGCCTTGGCGTCAATTGATGCAGTCCCTATCCGCGAATGTGCGCTTGCACGTAGCGCACTAGCCTTGTGCAACGCATGTTGCTTCGCTGCCGAAGAGGTGGACAGCGCGGAAGAGGCGGCGGAAATATCCGTTCGTCCTACGATATCGGTGTGACTTTATCTCAGATCCGCACAGCCAGTCTCGCGAGAACTGAGGTCTGCAATGGCAGCAGAAGCTCGCTGCTCTCAGAAGCAAGAATGTCGGCGACCGGTCGTCTCGTGGCGCTTCTTGCCGACCAAATCCAAGCAGCCATGTGCTTCTGTTTCCCCGGTGCCTGAACCTTTGTACCGGAGACCGACGATCCAACGCTGAGCATACACCCCTAGGTAAGCTTCGGAGTCGGTGGTGTCATCTCTTCTCAGCAGACCATGTATGGACTGCTTCAACCGCCGACTCGGGGTAGAAGACCACCTATTCGATCTCAGCTTGATCCTAGTACATTGTAATTACGATGGAAACTGAACAGACAACGAAGCCTGCTGGCCACGACCTGCAAGCATGGGCGAGCGCCAATTGAAATTCTCTCGTTCGATTGCCCCGCATTTGCCTTTTTTCTCCTTGCCTCACTCGACCCCACGTCCAACGTTTGTAATTCACCGAGGCAGTTCGCCCCGAAGCCAACTCAGTTCCCGGCGTTTCCGCACTGACACCACTTTTTGATCTCCGTTTTTCGGCTATACATGGCTCACTGTCCGGCCAGCGCTTCGTACCCCACACAAAGCCACACCTGTCTGTCTTGCTTGCTCGCTCAGGTCGCACAGACACAATACGCAGCGACCGCTGAGGAGCTGGCGTGCAGTGCTGGGTGTGCCGCATGGTTGAAGATGAGCAGACGATCGAAGTCCAAGTCAGTCGGTTGCAGCTCACTTGTGCAAGTCTAAGCGAGTCGCATGTATCCCTCCACAACTCTCTGACCGCATCGCGATGCTTTCCCCCCGCGCCTAGTCACCGAAGCGTCGCTGGCTGCATATATAGCCAACGTAACTTATCAATTGCGATCACCGCCCTTCCTGTCCCTTCGTGTCTTCATCTCCCGCTCCTCCCACATCCCCAACATGTCCTCTTCCAACAGCGAAGGTCATCATGATGACAAGGCGCATTCCAAGGCTGCAGACGGCACTGTTCTATCCACCGTCTCTCGAGGCGATGCTCCCGGCTCGGTCGACGGCGAGGGCTTTCCAGCCGATGTAGACGAGAAGAAGCTCATGAGGAAGATTGATTTCCGCCTCATCCCTTGGCTTTGTGTCCTCTATCTTCTCAGCTTCCTGGACAGAGCCGCCATCGGAAATGCCCGTCTGTACGGTCTAGAGAAGGAGCTCAAACTCACAAGCCAGCAGTACGGCCTCGCCCTTACCGTCTTCTTCTTCCCCTACGCCCTCTTTGAGGTTCCCTCCAACATCCTCCTCAAGCGTCTCCGTCCATCGATCTGGTTCCCCATCATCACGATGCTCGTCGGCGTTTGCATGCTCTCCCAAGGTCTCGTCAAAAACTACCACGGCCTCCTCGTCGCTCGTTTCTTCCTCGGTGTCACCGAAGCCGGCCTCTTTCCCGGCGCGTCTTTCCGTAAGTGCTTACAAATTGCAGTATGCAGCTCGAGCTCAGGCCCACATCGCTGACATTATGATTCCCATTGTTCTCATCATTTGACGTGCATATCCCGTGCAGTAATTTCGGGTTGGTACAAGCGCAAGGAATACGGCCTTCGCCAGTCCGTCTTCTTCTCCGCCGCAACCGTCTCGGGCGCTTTCGGTGGTCTCCTCTCCTTTGCCATCAACAAGATGAATGGGACCGGTGGCTACAGCGGTTGGCGATGGATCTTTATCATCATCGGTCTGGTCACTTTCGTCGCCGGTGTCCTTAGCTTCTGGTTCTGCGTCGACTTTCCCGACACCGCCACCTTCCTGAGCGACAGCGAGCGAAGGGCTGTCATCTACCGTCTGCAGCAAGACCAACAATTTTCGGCAGCCGGCGAGGGCTTCAAGTGGACCAATGTGTGGAAGGCTTTCGCCGATTGGAAGCTCTGGGCCGGCATGGGCGCTTACATGTGAGTAACGATCCAACACCACCACCTCCTCGATCACTTCGCTGATATTTGTCCCTCTTCTCGATCAACAGTGGCTGCGACGCACCTTTATATGCATTCAGCCTATTCACCCCAACCATCGTCAAGGCAATTAACAAGCGTTGGACGTCCAACCAGGCAAACTTGGTATCTATTCCGATCTACGTGGTCGCCTGTCTTGTCACCGTAGCCGTAGGCTTTATGGCCGACCGAACGTCTCGTAGGACCCTGTACTCGATCGTGCTCTCCGTCGTGGGTGTCATCGGATACGTCATCCTGATTGCCAACGATCCCAGGAGCAAGCCAGGCGTTTCCTACTTTGCTATCTACCTGGCTGCATGCGGAATCTACCGTAAGTCGTTTCCGGGACAGGGACCCGACGTTTCGCCGCTGTATACTGACGCCGCCTGCTTGCTCTCCATTTGTTTTCGACAACAGCCATGATCCCTAACACGATTGCCATCGTCGCCAACAACAGCGAGGGAATCTACGTCCGTTCGGTAGTCACCGGTGTCGTGATCTCGTTCGGTAACATCAACGGTGCCGTCAGTTCCAACATCTATCCTGCCAAAACCGGTCCGCGTTACATCATGGGTCACGCCATCGTGCTGGCGTACATCGTTATTGGTATCATCAGCAACACCATCTTCTACTTTGGACTGCAGTATGAGAATCGACAGCGCGCAGCTGGGAAGCGTTCCGAGACCATCCTCGCCGACGACCCGACCATGGCTGCCTCGGGCAAGGACCTTCAGGCAGAAGCCGCACAGATTAGGGCACAGGAGATCCAGCAGTCCGGAGCCGTCCGTGGTTTGCTGCGCAGACTGCACGTGGGTGGCGGAGGCACTTATGCTTCGTGGGAGGAAGCCAAGACTCTCAAAGGCGATCAAGTGAGCACCTTCAGGTACCTTTGGTGAGAAAGTCGCACGGTTATCGCTGCTTTTGTAGATCTAGACCTGTATCACTTCAATCGTACACCTTCGGAAAGATAACTCTGGTTGCGCCAGAGCTTCCTCTCTATAGCAACTGAACAATGCTAGTGAGAGACAGCTTCGTCGATGAGCGACGTGAGTAGAATCCTGCGAGCGGGTTTGTTTGGTCTTGCCGCAGCGTAAATGGTCCTTCTTTTCGGAGCGTGTCTGCGTGATTGAGTGAAGCTTGGCTGGATCGTTGAACAGGCTGTGTACGACAGCAGGTCAGCGATGCTGCCTTCACGGCGCTGATTTATCCTGACGGGTTCTAATAACCCGGGGTTGTCAACTTCGGGCGAGCCTTGGTCATTCCATCGAATTTTTGGACCGTGGGACATCACACTCAACCGCACACTGGCGTACCCTCACTTACCTTGTTGTGACGCTTCTGCGCGGACTCGCACACTTCACTAGCTTCCTTTCGAGATCTTGTCTTGCCACGCGTGACGATGATTGCTTCGTGTGCAATGTCATTCTCCAAGACACTAAATTGGGTCGCACGCAAGAGGATGTCTAGATGTGACTGAGGACGTGTTCGAAACCGAGCTTGGCGAGATGCTCTCGTTGCTTGCCGTGGAGAATCGTGGACGAACAGAGCCACTTTTGCGACACCTACTTCTCTTGACCGTTGCTTGAAAGGGACCATTGGTTGAGCGCAACCAAACCTCATCGTCGTACTCGTCGCTCGTCAGCCTTCCAGGCTAGCTTTCGGCTCAGCCGCGCTCGGCGCACGAACACTCTCATAAAGCACCCCATCAACCGGTCAGTATAGCACAACACACAACAGCCAATCTGAAGCGACTCATGTACCGCTGCACGCCTTCTTCCGACCTCAAAAAGCTCAGCATCCGCAAGGCCACTTCGTTGAACCTCAAGATAAGTTACACACGACACGACGCGATTCAGAAGAATACAAGTTTGGCATTGCAGCGACACCTAAACAGGGGAGATGGAAAGTGATGCCATGGATTACCTCGAAGTCGCTAGAGGCCACGAGGCAAATTTTTTGTGGGTTGTGATGTATGTGTATGACAGGAAAAGAGACTGTGTGAACCGGAAATGCATGCAAAGAAGACAGAGAAGAGATGTTCTGCGACCTGCGAGCTAATTTACTGGCCACGAGCCTCCTTCTGTCGTCGGCGCTGGTCACGCTCCTCAGTGATGGTGAGAGCGACACCACCGCCACGGGGCATGGAGATCATGGGCTTGCCGTCAGTGCCGATGACAAAGACGTTGGAGAGACGCGTGGAGAAGTCACGGCCGAGCACATCGCGGATGTGGACAATGTCGAAGCCGCCGAGGTGACGCTCCCTACCGGTGATGACACCGGCACGGCCCTGGTTACGACCACCAGTGACCATGACGGTGGCGCCAGTGTCGAACTGAACAAAGTCGAGGATCTTCTGCGAGTCAATGTCGAATCGGACAGTGTCGTTGACCTTGATGGCCGGGTCGGGGTATCGGATGGTGCGGCCGTCGTGGGTGACAATGTGGGGGACACCGCGGGCACCGAGCTGCACCTTCTTGACCTTGAGGAGCTTGTAGGTGGCCTCCTCGGCGGTGATGCGGTGGACAATGAAGCGACCCTTGACGTCGTAGAGGATACGGAAGTGCTCGCCGGACTTCTCGATCGAGACAACGTCCTGGAAACCAGTGGGGTAGGTGGGGTCGGTGCGGACCTTGCCGTCGATCTTGATGAGACGCTGGGCAGTGATGGCGTTGACCTCGCGACCGGTGAGAGCGTACTTCAATCGGTTGCGGAGGAGGATCTGAGAGGTGCGGAAGGAAAGTCAAGGTTGTCAGTACGAGCTGTCGGCGCGCTGAACGTGCGTAGCTAGCCACAAGTTCCAGGAGCATCACGAGTTCTGCGAGTTATCGTATCGGCAGGCCGAGACTCGAGGGACAAAACATTCATGCCGTTCCTCGTAGTCTTCCATTATCCTCCTAAGTGCTGCATCGCCTGACATTGTCACAACGGGACCCGTGTGTTTGTCGTACGTGGACGACTCCAGATCGTAAACCAGCAAGCTTCTTCGCAAGGTATGCGAACGAGGTCTGTCGGATGTGGCCTGGTTGATACGTCCGTCTCCTTCCCGCTCTTTACTGACTTGCGAGCTCCCAGGTTTCCATGATGTCCTGACGAGACGTTGCATTTTTTCTCGACGTCGCTGCCTTGGGAAGCTTTCCATACAATCCCCATATACGTGTCTCTGCCCAAACGTTGGCTGCGGTGCCTGCCGCACGTTGCGCTGTGATGCTCCTGAAATTGTTGATTTCGCTGGCGGATTGACCAGGGGATACTTACGACCAGGGGAAGGGCCTCTCGGAGCTTGTGGGGACCGTTGGAGGGACGGGGGGCGTAGGTACCGGACAGCTTGTCCAGCATCCACGAGGAGGGAGCGTTCAGGCGCTTAAGGTGGTGCTTGGGGCCGCGAACCACTGCGAGATGTGCCGAAAGATCGATTAGGATGCGATGCAAAAGAGGATGGCGATAGGCGATGGGATGAAGAGAGAACAACAATCATTGATATAGTGGTGAGTGTCATGTCCTTGCTGCGCTGTACTGGTATCTGCATGCCATTGCGGCTTGTCGTTGTATCATCATCGAATCTCAACTACAGCCTGGTTGAATCCACGACGGCATCCGCATCCGTCTGAGCCATCTATGCTGCTGGTCCTGATCATGTTGCTTTTCCTGGCTCGCAAATGAAGCTTTGTTGGTGTTGGTGGTGGATTGCCTGTTGTCGTGAACCTTCCATGTCTGCAATTGCTACAGTCTCTCCGGTGCTCCCCTGCAATGCTGTGCCGAGTTGAGATCGATGGTGATGCGACGATTGTATATGCCAACTTACTCTTGAAGAATATGCTATGGGATCTTGAAGGATGACGGTGTCAAGGAGAATCGCGAAGAGATGAACATTCGAGACTGCCTGCCCGCTCGCAACGGTCGGACTCGGTCGACTCACTCTCTCTTTCTTAGAGCTGTATTCCAGCGTATGGTGCAGTGTGCCGCTCACGCTCACCTTGGCTTCTCATCTGGCCACTGCTGCAGCGTCTCACGTCGGTCTCGTCCAGGCTGAACTCCTCGTTTTCGGATCAGAGCCACTTCGCGAATTTCAACCCAATTTTCGCTGGGCGTCCGTCTCAGCGCACTTCTTCGTATAGTTCTGCACGTGACACAAGTTTCAAGTTGAAACATTTTAAAAACAACATTTGCTCCGACGTAACATTGTGCCCTTTTCCATAGCCGACTTGTGCCCCAGGTTCTTTCGACCAGAGACTCTGCTAGGTGACACTGAGCGAATCTCGCAGTTCTCGAAGCCAGACGCACACACAAATGCCAACAGGGCAAAAGAGGAAGCGGAATCAATACGTATGGCATAAAAATCAAACAGTGCGCAAGTGAAGACAGGGGATCAGTCGGGAAGCCAGGGCCTTCATACACAATGCTGGGAAGTCGACTGAGAATACGAATAGGAGGGAGAGTGGGAGTAAGCGTGAGAGTGGGGATGAGAGTGCACAGCGTCGGAACCCATCTCGTGGTTCGACACGACCAGCTGCAATGGCGAGGGAAGCGGCTTCGAGGTTCGCAACGACGATCCATCTGCGCTTGCTGTATTGCTGGCGTAGTAGTGTGTACGAGATGCCCGCGATGAAGAGCGTGAGCGAGAGCCAATGAAGCTTGACGCAGCCTCGTCAGTGGCGTACATCGATGGCGGCGCCATCATCTGCTGCTGCTGCTGATGGTGGTGATGGTCCGATTGTTGGTGCTGCTGTTGGAAAGCAAGCTCAGTGCTGAGCGAAGACAGGATCTGTTCGACAATCTTCGAGTTTCGTTCGCCTCGATCCGAGTCCTGGTTGTGCTCCTTGCCGAGTGCCAGCATCACGGCTCTTTCCACCGACTCTTCGAGGCTGGATCTGTACCGTGAGGACTTGTTCGCGTTTCGATGATCGGAAGATTCGATCGAGTCGGTGTCGCCGCTAGCTGGCATCTCGGCCGGCTGTGGTACCGCCTCGTTGTCCGCGTTGACGACGGGAGGCGGTGCCATCCTGCTCCGACGCCTCTTCATGCTGGCCCAGTCGCGAGCGGCAGCGGCCAGGGTACTGCCCGAGAATGAAGCGCGCGGACTCTCTGCGTAGAAACGAGGAAATGGGAGCACAGGCTGAGTCGCCTGGCTGCGGCTGGGAAGCTCCTGCTGCTCGGCCACAGATTCGGCCGCAGCTGGCTCACAGCCTTCGCCTTCCAGAGCTGGGTCAAAGGCGAAGCCTCGGGAATCGACATAGTCGGTCGTGGATGCCTCCGGCTCCAAGCTCACCGCAGATGTTCTCGCAACCTCGTCAAAAAGAGGAGCGTCCCCAAGACGAACGTCAGATGCAGAGGTTAAGGTTGCTTGCGCGACATCGGCATCCTCTTCTCGTTCGCCAGAAGCGTAAGGAGCCTCTGTACCAAAAGAATCCTGCCTTCGACCAGCGATCGACCCGGCCCGGGCAAGCGAGCTGCGTCTCCTCAGGTCCTGGAACGACGCCGTCATCGGTGAGATGAGCATCGACTCATTACCGTGCTCCACCGCCCAAGGATGGAAGAAGCCGCGGAAGCTGCTCGAGCTCGGCGTTGATGGCCACGCGGTGCGCGGTCGAGCGCTAGCCGCTTTGCTCGCCGATGCGAAGCTCTCGAACGATCGCGGCGATGGTAGCGACTGGTCATCGTACGAAGCGAACTGCCACGTGTTTGCAATCGGAGCAGGAGGCAGGGTCTTGCGACCCTTCCAGGCAGGTGCTGGCATGCTGAAATGATCGCCATCCTCCACCTCTGTGTGTTCTACCTCGATCAACTCGTTGTGATCCGAACCGAGGGCGGTGACGGCGGTGTGCTCTCGAACAGCCGAGAGGAAGGATGGCGGCGGAGAGCACGCTCGCGTCACCGGTACGGAAGACGAACGACGTCCAAAGATATCCGATGCAATCTTTATTGTGTGGTCGGGTGATTGCGCTAATTGACCGTAATCGACAGAGGTCGTTCTTGATGCTAACTGGAACGGTTCTGGCGAAGGCGTTGGCAGCGATCCGGCTTCGTGACTGCTGCCGCTGCTAGGGTCCGTCATCGGCGAGGACGATGGCGATGGATGCAAGAAGACGGTCTCGAGCACCTCGCCAGCCGCCGCCGAAGTTACAGCATCCGACTCGTCCGTTTCAGACTTGGCCACTCGGACTCGTTTGGCGCGTGGTGTCGAGGCCTTGTCAGCTCTGCGAGCTGCTGCCGACGAAGCACGCGTCGCCTCGCGTGCCCTTTTGACCGCTTTCGAGGGACCACTGCGGACAATGACGCCATCCTTACCCTGCGCCTTGAGGATGATGTCGGCGATCTCCTGACACTCCTCTTCGCCGTTCTCGAGCTTCTTGACGTTGCGCTTGCTGACTCCTGTGCGGCGCGTTGCGGGCTGGTATCGGTAGTTGGGGAAGAGCTGCTTGTGCCTCTCCTTCTCCTCCTTGGCGATCTGCTCGTAGTGTGCACGATCTTCGGGTGTCAAGCTCTTCCACATGTGTGCGATGATCCGGCTGATATTGCGATGGTCATTTTCGACCTCTTTTGGTATGAGCTTTTGCGATACGGTGTGCGATCGAAAGATAATGTAGGCGTTGCGAGGACGCTTGATGTGGTTGGGCGGCGTCTTTTTGGCATGCGACACACCGGGTCGTTTGGATGGAGGAAGACGTCGGATCCTTTCGAGCTCTGCCTCTTCAGCCACCTCCTGATCCTCTTTGAAGCCTGTATAGAGTGACACGGCCAGTGACGAATCCTTTTTGGGGAACGTGATGGATTGGAATTGAGGGGCTGCCTCCTCGCTGGTCCATAAGGATGCTTCTTGCGAGGCAGTGCGCTTCAGCGCATTGTTCTCGAGCACGACCGCGGATGTGGACGCGATGTCGTCGCTCGGCTGTGCATCCGTCGACCAGCCATGGAAGAGATCGACCATGGCGTTGTTGCGCTGCGCCGATCGGGTGATGACGCCTTGGGTGCTGCCCGAGTCTCGCATGTTGAGCAAACCGATCCCTTTCAAAGGTCAGACCTGCCTGAGCTTGATGAGATGGAAAGTTGGACAAGGCGTACTTTGAACGAGGATGGAAGGGAATGATCGTTGGGACTAAGGGTTGAAAGAAAGGGAGCTCCGAAAGACCATCCTTCTGCAAAAGGGTTCCAATATGTAGGAGGAGCTGGACCCACACATGCCATCGCTGCTGCAGATGAGCAAGCAGTCGCGCACGTCCCTGTTTCATTATCGAAACACTTGATTGTACTGTAGAGGAGGCCCAAGCTCAAGGAAGCGACTGCAAAGGGTGGGACTTAGTTTCACGTCACAAAGGCCATAAGTGGGCTGAAGTCGAGGAAGCTTTCTGCGCCGCCATCTCAGCATAGGCCATTCTTTTCAAAAGCATAAATTCGATATCCACAGCATCTGGGGACCGGAACAGTGGAGAGGCCTGACCTGGATGTGCGATCTGCCGTCGAACCCTCTGTCGCTGGCCAGGGTTAGGTATGGCGGGAAGGACGACAGCGTTGCGCAGCTGGAGAAGCCGTGAACTTATTCTGTCATCTCGGCACCAGAAATGAGAGTCGACAGCACAATGCTTTGAAAGTCGATCCGTCGGATGCCTCTGCGTTGTGAATTAAGATGTACGACGGAGCAGGAAGGAACAAAGGGACAATGTTATCGGGAACAAAGGGTCATGGTAACGCCGTGTGACAGCCCAAAGACGAATCAGCGCAGACCGGCAACTCGGAAAAAGCGAAAAAGGGCATTACTGTGCATGTGCTTGGCATGAATTTTATGTGGGGCTAGCCGAGAGCACACTTTCTAAGGTACGCGCCTGTCAGCATCTTGCAGTCATCGCAACCGTTCCAGCCATTCCGGCGACAATGTCCTGGCGTGTCGTGTCAAAGGGTGATGATGCTATCACTAAGGAAACATCTCACCGTAGTATGTGCCTCTTGTCGATGTGGACCCAGGGCTCGCTAGTGGTCGCGGCGAGGTGATCTGTGCGCCGCTGCGACCAGCCAACTCAAATTCAGCGCATGACACCTCGTCGCCTTTTGCGAGCCTCGCCATAAGGTAGTGAAGCTGAGCGCTGGAAAGCATCGAACGTGCGCCGATCATTATCCATCTAGAATCCCATACCGATGCAGCATACAGACCATTGTGAATGGTGCTTTTAACGCTCGTAGTCGGTATACGGTCAGGTTCGTGGACAGAGAAGCTGGACTGGTCCTCGGGACGAGCTCCGAGCTATTCCTTGGACCAGATCGACTTTGAAATGGAAGAATGGTCGATTCACCTGACGACAAAGCGTTCGCATCAGATATCACGTCGACCACGATCCTGACCTCGAGAAAGAAAGTTTCTGCGTGGACGGCATGAACAATGGCTTGTTTCTTACGTGGCATTGATGCAATGCACCTGTGTCATACATCCGAATGCGAACGCTTCTGAAACTTGTGCAGCTTGCAGCGATCGCGTGGCTTGCAGGGGCTGTCTGGTGTGGGGGGTCGGATCTCCAGGCTGGACGGTGCATGGTTCCGCGGAAACTCATAGTATCGCACCAGGAGATGAGATAAAGATTCGGGAGGTCGCCTTCCGCTTTCCGTCGGCAGAGCGAGCGGATGCTGTAGCGACGAGCTGTGTGAGTTCTACGTGAAAGCGATACCTTCCATGTGACGGAACGTGACCTCCCATCAATACTGGACTCCCGCGTCTCTTGACCAAGATAGGAAGCAAATCTCTCTCCCTGAACTCTTTGGTGCGACAAAGGGGACAACCGGACTTCTCGCAAGAGACCGAACCCATGACAAGGCTGCTGAGATAACTTAGCACCAGCCGACGTTTTCGCTTAGTATGCGGCTCAGGTGGTGGCGTTGGCAAAACAAGGTGAGGCGACGTCGGCACCGAGGTAGTGGCCCGGCATGCTGCAGGTCCAATGAAACCGGATCCATCCTCCGAGACGTCTGGGTGTCAGTGGAAAGAAAGAAGCGATAGAGGTTCGATGAATGCGATGCTTCTGTCGTCCACCGACTCCGACCCAGTCGGGATCGGGAAAAGCGACAAAGTGAGGCTTGAACTTGCGCCGATTCTGCAGTGGCAGAGGCATGCATGCATTCACTCTCGTAAGATTGCGTTTCCGGATCGTTGCGCCCATCATTGTTTGTTCGCATCTGGCGTGATGGGATGCATCAACGGATACGCATTGTTGGCAAGCATGCATGAGCACAGCGTTAGCGTGGCGGGCTTCGCTCCATGCCGCTGCTCGTGCGGGCTTTGCCCTGTATCCATGCAGACCTGGGATTTGGCGGCGCTGAGATCGTCTTGGACCGCGGCAATCTGAACGGCAATCCGCCAAGAAGATAGATCTTGTGGGTTCAGCAGGGGCGATCAATGGATACTCGAGCTTGCCGTCACAACAAAGGCGATGACAGATACGTCACTTCAGGCCAGCAACCTCTTTTGTGATTCGATTTCCCCATCGCAGAGGGGTGGTGAAGGTCAGCTATGTCGGTTGACATCCACAGCAGACCGATCCAGCTCACCGGGTGAAGGCTGGACCTTTCCGTCCGATTCGGAAAGGCTACAGCCGATCTCTATCACGGGCCTGAACCCAATGTTGTATCAGCCGCCAGCGTCGACAAAGAATACAGCGTGATTGGACCAAGCGAGGGTGGAAAAGGACAAAAACGGCGCTACGCGTGCGTCGGTTGTCCTCTTTTCTGCCCCCTGCCCATTGTCTCCATTGTTCTCGTCGCATTTCGAAATCTGCACGAGAGGGCCTTAGCGATGACACACAGCAGACGACAAAAGCGAAGAAAACATTGATCGCCAACAATGTTTGCAAACAGCCAAAAATCTTGTCCGGTCTCCAAGCATCCATTCGCATCACCATTGTTCCAACCGCGGCACGATCGCTCCTTGCAACGCTCGCCAAGGCGTTCCATGCAACCGGTAACGTGGACCTGCACAGCTGAGCCCGGCAATCTGAAATGTTTGCCAGTCGTTTCACAGAGTTGTGTTTCCTGCCTTCCTCTGCATGAGCTCATGCGTGAGCGTAGTCGACAATACCGCCCGCAGCCTTTTGTTTGTGGCTTTGTTGTGTAGACGGAGTGGCTCTGCTTGCATTCACGCATGATCCCGAGCCAGTCACATTCGCTCTCTGGACACGTCCCGCTGCAATGCCAAAGAAACCGGCGCATGCTGCATACGTAAGTGAGACGGGACGACACGCGGATATTCGAAAGGGGTCTGGAATGTGTATTGATTGTGAAAAGAACAGCCTGAGAGACGGGCTTTGGGGCTCGCCCCTGTCAAGGTTGAGCGTCTGCCATTTGCACGTCACCTTCAGAGTCGGCCTCGTGGCGGCCGGCACTAGCACTAGCGCCTTGCGAGCTGGTCCCCGATGTGGCGACAGCTTGGCCTGCGTCCGCGCTCGAGGCGGATCTGACGTCGGAGCTTGCGTTCGGTTTGGAACTGGAGCTGTCGGAAAGCGCATTCGAACTCACTGCCTTTGTGAGCTTGGCCATTTCCGGTCTCCCACTCGCATACATGAGCAGCTGGTCTGCATAGCGTTGCATCTCTTCAAGCGGGATCGTCAAGCGGAAGTCGTTGAGCAGAAGGAATTGCAGCTCGAGTTGGTTGAGCTCGTGCGGCGGCAATCCGCCGACCTTGGCGTAGCGGCTGTTCGTGTAGAAGACATCGCTGAAAAACTTGCTCGCCACCGTGACACCAGCAATCACCAAACGGTGCACATTGTAGCTGTCGATGGCGAAACCACGGATGCCTGGATGGGTATAAGGCTGCACCTCCTTGGACGATGTGCCGTCCGATTGGCGCGCCGATGCGTCTAAGCCGAGTTCCTGCTGCCCTGTAGCGCGTTCGACGGCGCGCGGGAGACCAGCTGCTTCGCCTGCGACCTCTCCTTCGCCATTCGCACCCGGCTTTGCGCCCGTCCCCATCCTGCTCATGCGATCAAAGTAGACTAGCAGGCTCAAGAACACTTCGTTGGTGGTAGGGCAGTATTTAAGGATACGCAAGAGGTACGACTCGATGCTGATGCTTGGCACGTTGCGGGCGTGGAAGCATAAAGTGCTCGATGGAGTTGCAAGCGCGCCTAGAGCCGCTGTTGTCACCGAGGGACGCCGTGAGTCGTTGAATGACAGGTGCGAGCCTGGGGGGGCCGAATGTCCGCGCATCGCCGAAGCATCGGTGGTATCATTCGAGTCGGCCGGCGTTGCTGGCGTCGAACGGTCTCGACTACGAGCCGAACGTCTAGATCGGGACGATTCGTCCTTGCCTCCGTCTGGCTGAAAGTCGTCGTTTGCCGTGGCGATCTCGTGCAGCAATGTGGCGAGGATCTTGAGCAGTTCTTGGGGAGCAAACGTGGCGAGGTCCATTTTGGGCAGCGACGGCTGCTTTGATCTGCTTGCACCTTCGCTGCGATCCGCCAGCGAGTGGGACCAGAGCTGAGGAGACGCCGATCTCGTCGACGTGGGCGGGTGTGGATCCTGTTGTTCGGGGCCAGCGCCGATGCCGTGCGATCGAGGCGATAGCATCAAGGGCTGGGTGACGTGCGATTGCGGATGTTCGGAATGGGGCCAAGAAGGCTGGGCCCCCTGGTTCTGATCTGGTGGTCTGCCTCCAGCAAGCGTGTCGGACCATGATGTTTCCGTACGGAAGCCATTGGCCTGCGTCGTCGTGCCAGATGATGACGCTTGGGTCGACGCAGTTGGGGATCTTGAAGTGGTCGTAAGAGGATGCGAGTTGGCATTGTGGCTGTATGGAACAGGGCTGCCCTGATGGGGCGGGGCCCGCGATCCGCCGGGACTAGTGCGGCGGGCTTTTGGTGCGGGTCCACTATGGTTGTCTGGACTGCCAAAGTGCTGCGCCTCACGGGCGGCGTGCGGAGAGCTCTCGTTGATCACATTTCTCGAAGAGCCAGAACGATGGTATGCATCGAGATGGCCGAACTCGCGTGGACCGCTCGCGGGCGGTTGCATGGTGCGGATGCGGGAATGATCGGCTCTGGGCGATGCACGCGACAAGCTAGCCGTGTGATTCGTCGAGCGCGCACCAAACTGATTTGGATGACGATCTATGGACGTGTGGTGCGTGCTCGACCTCGGACTGACGGGCGTGGTTTCGGCAGAGCGTTTGACAAGGGCGGGCGTATGCGTGAGTTCAGAGGGTCGGTCGTATGCACTGGCCGGGCTGGTAGAGCTCGAGGAAGGGTCGGAGAGCGTGGGTCGAGCTTGAAAGGAAGCTCGGGAGGATTCAGAGGTGTAGCAGGATCCCACAGACGACGACTGCGAAGAAGGCGGTCCTGGTGGTGATGCAGCTGTGAGGTGATCTGGACTGGACGAGAGCATGGTTCGTTGCTGCAAGAGAGATGCAGAAAGAGCAACGACGAAGCGCAGGAGGCGACTGGACAGCAGACTAGTGAGCAAAAAGCAGCAGCCGTCGCAGCTTTGGCAGCTTGGCTTGAAGCTGGCACGTCTGATGCTATCGACGCGAGCAGCGAGAGTCGAGCGTTACGCAAGCGTGTGGGATGAAGCTCAATGATTGTTGGACCGTACACGTCAGTACGAGCTGTATCAAGCAAGTGCGGAGAGGGCTGCCCGATAAAGGCGATTGCGTATCGCTTGTCGTCCAGATCTTGCGCCGCAACGGGAATGCTGTGGAGCGGAGGTAGTTGAAGCGGATGCAAGCAATGCTCGACTAACCGGGCTGTGGAGGAGCTAGGGGGCAAGAGGCGACCGAGCGTCGTGCGGCCAGAGAGACGCTTCTATGCACGGTCGACGAGGTGTTTGAGCGATGGTCGACCGGCAGGAAAGGCGTTGATGAGAAACAGAAGAAGTAGCAAAGCAAGCGAGTCGTTGAAAGATGATGGCGACGAGATTCACCAGATGGCAAATGGCAAATGGCAAATTGCCAAAGCGTCACAGCTGAGCCTCGCATCCACACTCTTTTGTCGAGCGCACGGCACCACAACACCCTTGCCAAGCCGCCATGTTGTTTTTTTTTTCTTTCTCGAAATTAAAAGTCGAAAAGCGACTGAGCTCAAGTGCCTCACACACCTTGACATGAGCAGAAAAAAGAAAGAGAAAAAATGCGTCCGTGCTGCATGTGCATTTGCACAAAGAACGTGCTCACCTCGACAAGCTGCACACGCTACGCCCGCGGCACAACCAACCACGCTCGCATGGATCTTCTCGCAGTAAGGCAGCGGCCTCCAACTTTCAGTTGCACACCCATGGTCAACTCTCGACATTACACCTTGTTCAGACAGCTGTTTCGATCTGATTTACATGCAAGTCACAATCTATGGTCGTCAAAATGTGTGGTAGAGCCAATGAGAGTTGAGAGGTTGCAGTCCTTGCTGTGCTATGGTTCATAGATGACGAGAGTGATGGCGATCAGACCAGAACGTTCGACTTTGTATATACACAACTGATCAGATGGAGCTTTTTGCTGGGAGTCAAAATGTCCTATATACTGTGGAAGGTAGATGCAGCGCGTTGCTTGACGTTCAGTGCCGGTTGGGACCGTTGTAGGCAGTCGGATCAATCCAACCATTTGGGCGTGGACTTCCGTTACTGTAGCTTGGATAGCTTTGACGCATCGGTGGCGGCGGCATCGAAGGCGCAGCATACGCTCCCTGGGTTTGGGAGCTGCGCTGACTGCCTTGCGATGTTCCATCTGGGATGGGCATGTTGTAGGCTGCACCGTTCATTCCACCGCCGTTGGACCTCTGGAAAGGTCTCCTACCAGAAGATCTGGCTGGCCTCTGACGACGACTACCACAGCAGCACCGACGCACGATGGCGAATACAATCAGCAGTACGATGATGCCTACGACAATGGTGACGGGGATCGAGATGCGCAGATTGTCCGTGTAAAGGCTGCGGAATGTGTTCTGCCACGAGCCCGACTTGCACTCGCCGTTCTCGCAACGTCCACCGTAGCCACAGCTGGTACCGTCAATGAATGGCTGCTGGAGGATCAGGCATGAATTGGCCGAGTTCGGACTCTGGCACGTTAGCTGGCACGAGTTGGCGTTCGACGCCGAACAGGCCGATCGGAAGTTGAGCTGGCCGGTCGAAGCCTGCTGACACTGCAGATCGCGCGAAGTGCAGTAACCGTTGGCGCACGACAGGCCGCTACCACATGAGCTTCCGTCGTCCTTGGTCACATCCGCAGGGCACTCTGCCGACGTGCCCGTACACGTTTCGGCGCTGTCGCAGCGATCGTCGACAGAGGGGCGGCATACCTGTGTCGAGGGCGCAAAGGTACACGAGCTAGAACAGCAAGCACTCGTGGCTGGATCGCATTGTGCGCCCGACACCAGCTTGCATTGGCTGGTGCAGCACTGCGATCCGTTGGGTCCGGCATCGCACTCCTCGCCCGGCTCCAGGATACCGTTTCCGCACTGCTGCGTGCTGAGTGTGCTGCGCTGACCAGGCGCCTGAATGCACGATGTATCGAGACCCTGCCCCAACAATGAGCAGATGTTGCCGACCGAACACTGGCTGAAATTTTGGATGTTGGCGCTCGACGTCGATGAAGGGTTCATGATGAACTGGGCATTTGCGTTGCATGTCGTTGCTGAGAGCGGACAGCAGGGCGCCCCGCCGTTCTGAACGGCGTAGTTCGAGTTGCTGGTGCAGCCGTTGGTGCAGTCATGGATGGCGCCAAAATTGTGACCCATCTCGTGTGCCATGACCTGCCACTGCCGTGGGGTGAGCGAGCTGACACCAGTTCCACTAACAGTCTGACCGCGGCTGCTGGATGCGTCGGTCATGCACAAGGTGCCAAGCCAAGCGACGCCAATCTCCCTGCCGGTCTCGGTGCCAGAGTAGCAGGCGGTCATGAGGTGCCAGAGGCCGATGCCGTTGCCAGGTTGCTGCGACCGCCACTGCGAAAAGTCGCTGAGACGCTCATCGATAGTGACAGTGCCACAGCCGAGGTTCCAGGGCGCATCCTGCGAAGCGCTGCTGGGGCAGCTCGCTGAGCGCACGTCGAGCTCGACGACGCCGATCGAAACGTTGAATGAGGATCGGTAGAGATTCGAGACCGAGTTCATGTTGCTGAGGATCTCGCGTCGAGTGTCGTCCTGCGTACCGATACGCTCTGTGTAAGCGCAGTCCGAGGCGACGCCAGCGTAGACCACACGAGCGCTCCTTGGACAGCCTGCGGTGTTACCGATGACGTTCTCGAAGCTGTTGGTCTGGTTGCCGCCGTTACCAACGTCGTTGCCTGTGGCTTGCCTCCTGCGGAAGGTGGGCTCAAGGTAGTCATCGAAGTCTTGGCGGTAGACGAAAGCGTCCGGAGAAGCTCGAGGAGATTCGACCACGTCGTCCTGGATAGATCTGGCGAAAAGATCGTTCCATCCGGCGAACAGGTCGCGGCGAGAGAGGCGGGCTGGGGTTGGCACCTTGAAGAAGGAGTAAACGGAGCGACTCGAGTCGTCGTTGTTGTCTTGGCTCAACACCAATCGGTTGTGAGTGTTGAAGTCATGCCCGTCCGAGTTGCAGGCCATGGAAGCGGTGAAGTTGGCCGCTGATGAATCGTCCCTCGGCTCGAGGGTGATGTCGGAATCTCGATGAACGACCATGTTGGTTAATGCCAAGGAACGCGACTCGAGCCGCGGGTCATCCAGTTGACGCTTCGACATGTAGGTACGAGGCGTGTCGATGTGGTGGACGTTGCCAAGCCAGTCGAAGCTTCCCGAAAAGGACGGAACGCCAGACAGTGAGCCGTCGTCGTGCAGCATGATGGCTGCGCGACCTACGACGCCGAGATCGCGGTCGTTGTACATGTCGCGAGCGACACCGACTCGATCTTCTTCGAGACGGCGACGCGAATGGGAAGCATGGACGACGACACCATGGTAGGCGGGTACATCGCCGGGGTAGAGCGTCTCTGTAGAAGTGACGTAGCTTTGCCCTGTGGTCTCGTTCAGGCCATAGTATCGAACGAGTGTGCCATCAGGATGCAGAATGTGTTCGTTGGGTTGCAGATGGAGGTGAAATTCTTGCTGGAATGCACGGAAGCTGAGACGAATTGGAGACATGGAGTCGCCCCTTGCTCCAAGGTGCGGAGACGTAGTGCGTGGGATGTGCTCCACCTTCACATTGCTTGTTCTGCCTATGCGTTGCAACGGTCCACTTCGGCTGCTCCGCGCCGTGACGGGATTCGCCGCAAAGAAGAAGGCGAGCAGCAAAGTCGCGAGCCATCGATGCGCCGCGAAGCACTGCATCGGAAGAATGTTGAGGTGCAGACCAATGGAAAGAAAGTTTTGGGGGGCTAAGCCAGGCTCGCGGATGCGTTGACCGCCACAAAAAGTGTGTATCGTTGCAGAAACTGGGGTGTGCGAAGGCTGGTCAAGGAGGAACGAGGTTCTATATGGTGGCGAGAGGGTGAAGATGCTGGTTCGCAGAGACCAGAGGGAAGGTGAGAGACTTGTCGAAAGGAACCGAAGACGGATGACCGCGGACGAGGCTCACCTGACAAAGTCGGAAGCCCTGGACCGTCCCGACAAGCTGTCGGAGTGACTTTTTTACGTCAGACCGCAACGCCGGCAATGGAAGCAAGAACGGTCGAATGCGCAAAAGGCGGTGTCGTCAAAGGCAGAGCGGAGGTGGAATAGGAGTGAGGCAAGGAAGGAAGCGAAGGGACTCAGGAGGCGGCGAAAGTTCCAAGGCGGCGATGCCAAGCCAAACAGTTCCTCGTGGGGAAGTAGGGTCTTGGCGGCCGGTTCCAGAGGCCGTTGTCTTCTGTGCGACTTTGATCCACCGCACTACACACGACACCCGTCGCTGAGTCTTGCTTTCGGAAAGGCCCCGTCTCTGCGCTGGTCCTCTGTGTGGTGTTGCAAAGACACAACAACTTGCGGCCAAGATACTGAATGCTCTTGAAGCAGTTCAACGGAGGTCTGCAGAGGAGCCGCTGCAGAAGCGCTTGGATGCAAATGAGTGGCTTGGCCAGAATTGCTGTGCATCGCTGATCAGGGCACAGTGTCGGTTTTGGAACTAGCAACAGCACAACGACGTAGCTTATTGCTTGGCTTTTCCTAAACTTCCAAGGCGGTTGAGCAGAGGACCCTGAAGCCATATTTTAGAATTTCATAAAAGTCCACCTTGAAATTTACTGCCGTCACCTCAGCCGTCCACAAGATCTTTTGAACCGGTCCTTGCAAAGTGACTTCCTAAGAGCGCATCGTCTCGATTTGCGGGGGCGGACATGCAGCAGGGGTGCAACCACTGTTCCGCTCGTCCCCTTCCATGGTCTTGTAGAAGCTGACCCGATGATCCGAACGGATGTTGGACAGGGACCTGACGATGAAAGCATCCCATCATGACGTGTTGTAAGGTAGCCATGGAAAGCCGTTTCACCGTAGATCCTGCTTTAACTAGGAAGGAAACAGCAAGAGGGCCAATTTTCAGTTCGCTTGCCACAGAGTGTCACATCCATCGTGCAGATCGCAGCTTCCGCCAGCTGTGTGCGATGGTGCAAACCGATCGTAAACAACAAAATTGACGCAGAGCGGTAACCTCCCCTTCCTTCCCTTGAGCTCTCTTTCGCTCTGCTTTGCCAAGGAAGCCGCGCAGAATTCACTGGTGCACTGCCACTCGGTTGCGATGCTGAGCCGCGTATGCCTCCTTCATCTCGTACAACATTCCCCTCTTCGCTGTGCCATTCACAGTTGTGTCCCGCTGAATGCATACTAGTCTTCTGCTGCTCCTTCCTCGCAGCTCGGATTTCGCCTGAGATATCCACGTCATCGCCCGATACTTTGAGCGACATGAAGCACCGTTCGCGATCGAGTCGGATCTGCCCCGGCGTCAAGCTGAATTGACGCTGACTCGACACGCCGGGGGTCGTCGTCCGCCTCAGATGAGACCTCTCCATCGCATCGGGTGTTGGACGTTGCGCACGTTCTCCCCAATCCATCGTCGGAGATACCGACTCCCTGGTGATAGCCTCATCGGGGATCCCTGCCATCTTGTTTCCTTGTGCACATCGTCTCGGATCTCTCGAATGATGTTCGAACACAGCACTTGGGCTCGAAGAGCTAACTCACGATCGACCGACAGCGTCTCAGAAGCACGCGATCGGTCGTCACGCAAGGAGCCATCGTTCCAGCCGCCGCAGTGGCTTTGACATTCTTTTTTACCTGAGCACCCCATCAACAGGCAGTCTCGACATTCGCACACCTACTGGAATGCATGAGCAAAGAAACTGTCTCAGAGGTGGACATAGTCATCTCATTGGGAGGGCATACGCTCACCAAGCGTGTCAAGGACGAAGAGCTCGCACACACATGGCCAGGCAGGACTTCGGTCAGGCTATGCTCAACTTTCGATGCTTCTGCTTCAGAAACCAATTTTGACGGAGCCATCAACTTCTGAGGAGAGCCATGGGTACTAAGCTCGAGTGCAGACTCATCAGCATCATCAACAAGACCAAACCCATTGACTCAGCGCGAAAATATGCTACTCAAATGACCTCAATAGACTCAGGCAAGATGGTGGTGTACAGGGTGTAAAAATGTCGAAATTACCATGGGCTGGCAGGCGTCACAAAAATGGATCGCCGCAACAAGAGAGGCATATCGGAAATGCTAGAAGTACAGAGGGCAGCGCCAGAAACGAGACAAGACAGTGGACGGGGGAGGTTGCGATAGCGACAACCGTTTAGGCACCGAAACCGTAAAGGGTGCGGCCCTGGCGCTTGAGAGCGTAGACGACGTCGAGCGAGGTGACGGTCTTGCGCTTGGCGTGCTCAGTGTAGGTGACCGAGTCGCGGATAACCGACTCGAGGAAGAGCTTGAGGACACCGCGGGTCTCGTCGTAGATGAGACCAGAGATACGCTTGACACCACCACGACGCGCGAGACGGCGGATAGCGGGCTTAGTGATACCCTGGATGTTGTCTCGCAAGATCTGAAATTGACAATGAGCAAAAGGATGATTGCGACGAGTCAGCAACCTATATCTGTGGCGCGTGTAGTGCGAGCAAGAGGAAGACTTACCTTGCGGTGACGCTTGGCACCACCCTTGCCGAGACCCTTGCCGCCTTTTCCTCGTCCGGACATATTGAAAGTGTTGTGTGGTTGGTGGGGGGAGGATGAGAGTGTTGTGTTGAGAAGGCTCTTGAAGAGAAGTGATGGATGATGGAGAGAGAGGGAAAGGGGAATTACGCCTGCTCGGTGGTCGGTATTTGTATGGAAAAGTCGAATTGGGGGTCGTGCTCAGATCGGCAAGAGACTCGACATGTACCGCTGCTGCTTGCTGCTGCGTTGACGTGGGTGTGTTGCTGCGACCTCAAGGGAGGCGTATGCGCGCACACTAACACTGTCCCAGTGCCAGCGCCGTCGGGCCCACATCATGCAGCGCCAAATTGCGCAGCCGAACCAAGTCTCAGAGAAAATGACGGGGCTGGCGGGGCGGCGGTCGGCTTACACAGGCTGCACGGAAAATCAGGTGCTCGTACTTTCGGCTTGGCTTCAGTGGGACTCAGCAAACAGGCCAGAACCCATGCGAGAGCACTGAGTCAGAGATAGCTTAACAAGATTATTTACTCCGCCTGAGTCTATCGTCGCGCCTCGCTTGAATGCCGGACGCACCGAGTTCTAGAGGCGTGATTCTGTGTGCGTCGTGGAACTCGACTCTCGACTCTGTCGATTATTGTACGGAGAAAAATTAAAGTCGTGTAAACAGGAACGCAAGTACAAGTCACAGCACCTTTGTATTCACGTCTGCAACCCTGATTAAATTTTTAAGACCTGTCAAATCTGGAGTAAACGTCAGACTCAGGAGCGAGGATAAAAAATCGCGTGCCCGCACCATCGAGAATCGAAAAAACTCCGTGCTCAGTTCTGTGATCTCGAACGCGCACCACATTAACCTCGTGTCGAAAGTTAGCACTCGAGACACTTTCTTGCAACTCGCTATCTACGGACCGTCTTAGAACGACTTTGTCGGTCATCTGCTGACTGTGCTCAATAGCAGGTTGTTGTTGGCGGTCGAAAGAAGCCTATCACACAAGGTCATATTGTGCTTCACCTCACTTCCCGAACGTAGAAAGAAAAGCGCAGTCACAGTGTCTAGACTGACGAGCAACGGTGTCGACCAGACGGAATCCACAGATGAGAGAGTGCCGTGCGTAGCAGCTGGGCTCATGGAACGACGTTGGGGGAGGCGCGTCGTTGAAGCCGTTGATCTAGCCCGTCGTTTTCTCTGGCATGTAGCGCGTTGATGGTCAGACTCGAACCCAATTTACGCAGGGGATTGGAGAAAAGGTCGCGCCGTGTGCCACGCGACTCAGCTTCATACAGTGCTCTGCGGCCATCTTTTGAACATGATTGACCCTGCATATTTTTTATCGAAAATAAATCAATTCGTCATTTTTCTTACTTTTCGGACCCCTCATGCAAGTCGCTATGGAGCTGCATATCCTGTATCTTCGGTCGCTCACCGCCACGCCATTGATCTGAGCCCGACGTTGCAACAATCCTCCGAGCCTGCTGCGCCGCTTGCTCGGCTCGTTTGCATCCCGACCTTTTTTGGAGCCTGTGACAGCAGTCTGACATGCGAAACGACGTTGTGCGCCTCCCGCCGTTGATCCGTCTGCTCCTGCAGCAGTTTCAGCAGCAGCAGCAGCACAAGACAACTTGCGCATTCACGGTACCTTGGGCCACTCTAGTCGTCCCCTGCTGCGCATCGCTACCAATCCTCTGCCGCTCGACGCCCCTCATCTCCGCTCGCACCTAGATCAAATATAAGGATCCACCTCTGCCGATCCATCCCTCAGACTTTTCTCCTCATCCAACACTCTATCCCTCACTCGTACCTTCCCGTACTAGCACTCCTTCAATCTATCACAATGGCTCGCACTAAGCAGACTGCCCGAAAGTCCACCGGTGGTAAGGTAAGTCATCTTTGCAGACGTCGTCGCGGTCATCGTCTCTTTGGTTGCAGTCTCTGACCAACATTTCATCATCACCTCCCGATTCACTTGTCGCACACCCACAGGCTCCCCGTAAGCAGCTCGCCACCAAGGCTGCCCGTAAGTCGGCCCCCTCGGCCGGTGGTGTCAAGAAGCCCCACCGATACCGCCCCGGTACCGTCGCTCTCCGTGAGATCCGTCGTTACCAGAAGTCGACTGAGCTGCTCATCCGCAAGCTCCCCTTCCAGCGTCTCGTTCGTGAGATCGCCCAGGACTTCAAGACCGACCTCCGCTTCCAGTCGAGCGCCGTCATGGCTCTCCAGGAGTCTGCCGAGGCTTACCTCGTCTCGCTCTTTGAGGACACCAACCTGGCTGCCATCCACGCCAAGCGTGTCACCATCCAGCCCAAGGACATTGCCCTTGCCCGCCGACTCCGCGGTGAGCGCACCTAAACAGTGCAGCTCGTTGCTCTCCCTCCTCCTCCTCATCTCTCTCTTTGATCGCCGATATGCGCACTCATGTTGCTGGTAGCTAGCCCTGGTCCCCTTTTCCACTTTTTTTTTGTCGTGGCTTCTTTCTTCTGTACTTCTAGCCTTCCCATAATGGTTCCTATAGTTTCAATGCTATCTGGCACCACGATACACCTGTTCTTGCTCGTGCCGCTAGCCTGTGTTGCAACACGCTGTCCGTCAATGAGCTGGTATCCACAGTACATTGACTCGCTTGCTTTGCAGCGTCGCGCAATCGACGACGCGAGTGTGTAAAGGGGTGCTCCATCGTCTCGTCGACAAGACGGCCAGCAAGACGGCGCTGGCCACTTCGAATGCATTCCAAGATCGTCAGGAAATCTCTTGACGTGTTACATCGCAATTAAATTTAATGTAAGCTTGATATTATTTTTCGATCGTTCAGTTTTGTTAAACCTAAATACCGCGTATACACGTCAAATTCTGAGATCACGGGCTGTGGACTTGTTAGAGTATCTGTATAGCTGCAAAAATCAAGTCACGTGTCAAGACTGCCACTCGGATCCGCAGAAGATCGCTACAGGACGCACGAAGGGGAGCCAGGCAAAGAAGGAGTCAATTGGCAATCTGCCGTGGGCGGGGCTGCAGCCCGAGGCCAGCGACCTGGAGACTGTAAGCGACGACACCATCCCGACCTCACCACCATCACACATCACATATTGTCAAAATGGAGAACGACCGCGTAAGTTGCTGCCCAATCACCTCACCGACAAGCAGCATCGTGAACAGCAATAGCAGCAGCAGGATATGGAGGAACATGCAACAACGACGAAGCGACACTAGATCCGACATTTGATCAACTCTGCCATCACCACAGCTTCGATCCAACGTGTCGTTCCGCGCAGAGGCATTGCATGATGCGCTCTTCGACAACTGTCTCCCACGGCTGTCAGTCACGCAGTCGGTATCTTTCGCATATCAGCATCGTTCGGCTGTCATGGCAGTTCAGCCATCAAAGGTTTATGTTGGCATGGGCAACACATTCTAGAATTGCCGGGGAAGAATCTTTGATGGGACTGCTGCGGAATCTGAATTGGCCCTCTCTTTTCAGCGCGAAGACGCTGGCGACCAGACCTATGCTCACTCAACAGCAGGCGTCTACTCCCCTCGGCTCTTTTTGACTCATTACTCGACCCTCTGCGATCGACACATGCCACAAACGATTATCTTGCTGCTCTGTTGTCTCGATGCATGCTCACGTCCCAGATCCCGACAATTCAACATGCGACAAACAACTGACATTATCACGACATCATCGCCACTGCTTCATTTGCTATTTCGTACAGGGTGACCTTGTTGACCTTTACGTGCCCCGAAAGTGCGCCGCCACTGGCCGCATCATCGAGGCCAAGGACCACGCTTCCGTCCAGATCGCCGTCGCTGACGTCGATGCCAACGGTCGCATGATCCCCGGCCAGTCGACCAACTTCCCCCTGTCCGGCTTTGTCCGCCAGCTCGGTGAGGGTGACGACTCGCTCAACCGTCTTGCCCAGAAGGAGGGTCGTAAGTATCATCCCATCGCCCAATCAATATTTTTCGGCCACAGCGCGCATCACACACATTTGCAGAAGGATAGAAGGACCAGCTGGAAAACAGGAGAAACCATGGCTGATTCAACGGATCATGGAATTGATCGATGAAAGGGGCCTTGGAGAGCCAGCGCAGGAATAACCATGGAACCGCCCTTGACAGTCTGCATTAGGCGCATCACACGCCCATTCGCAGGATTCCAAAACATTTTTCAAAGGAGCGAAGATCAAACCAAGCATCGGATTAAGATCTCAATGCCCGGCTCGTTTTCGCAAGAAAGCATCGCCATTCAGTGGGTCCCAGAGAGTCAGACCTTTGCTACATTCCCATCATTTCACGGCCATTGTCAGTCAGGAGCATTGAAGAAGGATCCCTGAAGCAGGAGCAGGAGAGCAAAAGTGTTGATGCGTGCAGCGCTTGATGATGGGCCGCATCACTCAGCGTTGCGCAACATGATTTACTAACCCTCTTTTGCTCTGATCCTCTTCTTTGCCGCACCTCGCAGTCCTCCGCAACGTCTGGAGCTACCAGAAGTAAACCAATCCATCCGCACGGTTCTTTATCTGCATCTTTTCCCTTCACACCATTCACACGCACCCTGACTTCCGAAGCAGGAAGCACGCTCAGGTTTTTTACTTTCCTGTCCCAAGCTCATCTTAATCGAGTTTGCGACTTTGTACAATCCTTTCGATAGCACCTCTCAAGGTCTGCTGTCATCCCATCCTACCAAAAATAAAACCCATCAGAGACTCTCGTCCTCGCGTTTGCAGACCTGTGCCGGCAGTCGAGAGAAGTTCATCGTCGCGACGGAAAGTGCTCGCAGACACGGCACGCTACGATGGATCAGTACGCGATGAAGGAACGAAAGATTCTTGATTCATACAACACGGCAAGAAAGTGACGAGAACCACGTCGACACCTGTAAGAGTACATGAGATGAGCAGAGAGACGGAAAAGCGAAAGAATTTCATGCTTCTGCGGCAGCCTCGGCGGCTTCGACAGCTGGCTCGGTGCCGTTGGGAGCCTCAGCAGCCTCATGAGCCTCCTGTGCGACCTCCTCGGCGCCGTCGGCGACACCTTCCGGGTTATCTATCGCCTGTCGACGTGCCGACAGCCAATCGTCCCACCGCTTCGTTCGCCTCTTGCCGACAACAGCAGCCTTGCGATCGAGTTCGGCCTTCTCGTATTCGGATCGGATTCGAACGAACACATCCTCGGTACCGTGGGCAAAGAACAGCTTGAAGGTGCGCAGGCAGATGCGGATCTCGAGTCCACTTCGCGTCACATAACGCGCTTCGCTGGCCTCCTTGTCGGCGGTGGCGTCGCTCGAGAGCGAACGCTTGATGAAAGGAGCTTGTGCCTCGGCCGCCAGGCCTTCGGTGGGTGTCCACAGGCTGAAGCTCGACATGTACTGGAGCCAGCTCTGCTCTGCCGTCCTGGCATCGTCCAAAGTGAGGTCGTCTTTGGACAGCATCTGGATGAGCAACGTGCACGACGAAGGCATCCATTCGAGACGGAAGAGGCTCTCGTCTTTGCCGATCAGACCTTCGGCAGCCATGCGGTCGGCAATCTGCTGTCGGTAGCTCGTGAGCGTGCTTTGCGGGCTCGCACGGTTCGCTTCCATGATGGCCTGCATGTCCTGACACTTGCTGTCGGTGGTGAGGAACTGCACCACCTTGATCATAGCGCCGATCACCTTATCGAGGGTGAAGACGATGTAGCCTTCGATGCCGTACATGTATCGAACGCTTTCCTCGTAGGTGCCCTGGTCGACGTCGCCGTCAAACAGTTTTTCGCACATGTCGAGCAGCGTGTCGTAGTAGCGCGAGGGGTGAAGGGTGAGACCCGCCTCCTCGTTGGTGGGTGCGACCGGGCCGAGGCTCGACGAATTGGCGGCTGCGCCGACGACCGCAGCTGGCCCACTGCCGCCATCCTGAAGACCGAGCTCGATGGCAAGAGGGTTGATCTTGCTGCGAAGAGGCTGCTTGTCGGCCATCTCGACACCGAGAGTTTTGACCTTTTGCAGACGCGAGTACAGCAGTTGCAGCAGACGGATGAAGACGAAGTACTGACTGTTGCAGAAGAAGTTGACGGGTCGGGCAGACGTTGCCGACCCATCATCGTCTTCGACAGCGTCCCGAACGTCGACGTTATGCCCCTTTTGCGAGTCGAAGGTGGCATCGAGGTCGGTGTTGATCCAGGTTGATGCTTTTGCACCCGCAGGCTCCTCGACGTCGACCACGTCCTCGATTTCGCCTTCCTTTGGAGCATCTGTGGTCTCCGTCGCTCCCGCAACAGCGCTCTGCTCCGCGGTAGTCCCCGATTCGGCAGGTAGGTCGGCTGTCGCCTCGTTGAGAGTGACCACAGCAGAGTCGGCGGCTTTCGAGCCATCTTCCATGTCTACATCGTCCGACGCGACGACCGCCGGAGCGACAGTGTTGGACGTCTGGTTAGCGAGAGCTTCGACCGCAGAATCGACATCGGCGACGATGGACGGGCTCGAGGCGCGTGCGTTGGCAGAAGCAGCCGCGCCCGTCGCATCGACCGACTCCTCTGCACCATCGTCGTTCTGCTTGGATGTCTCGGCTTGGCTCTTGAGGATCTTTTTCCGCAAATCGGCAGCCTGCTTTTTGCCTCGACGAGCAGCTGAGCCAGATGCAGTAGATGAGGCGTCCGTATCATCGTCAGCCGCCGTGCCTTCGCTCCTGGCATCGTCATCGGCGTTGCTTTTTGCCTCATCGTCGTCCAAGTCGACGTCACCGTTAAGAAGCTCTTCAAACTCGACGGCATCGACAGCAAGCAGCTTGGGAACAAAGGCGCGGAGGAAAGACTCGATGCGCTCTCGATCATTGGAGCTGTAGCTTCCGGTAGCACGATCGAGGTAGCTGAAGGCAAGTTTGAGCACGTCGGTCAAGACGTGCATGTCGTCCATGACGTACACGAGCTGGTGACGAGGTTTGGGACGCGGGAGTGTGGGATCCATGCTGAGTCTGCGCTGCTGCTGCTGAAGCTTCCGCGCCTCGATCTCGGCGATGAACGCCTTGGCGGTAATGGCCTTCTTGTCGGAGGCCTTGAAGTTGACTCCCTGGTGATCGAGGCTCTTGTAGTAGTTTCGAGCGTCGACCTCGCGCCAAACCTTGTTCCACTCGCGCTGCGCTCGCTTCCACTCTTCGTCCTTCTGCTTGAGCCTGTGCAACACGATGGGCACCGAGACGCAGGGCGTGTCGTGGAGCGCATTGATGACCTCGAGGCCCTGTTCGCGGCCGTACACCTTCTTGATGACCCGCTGATAGATGCTCTTGCTCTGTCCTCCGAGACCAGGCTTGAGTCGGAAGGCGGCCTTCTCTTCGTTGTCCATGGTCGAGATGCGGGCAGCGATGGGCTCCAAGAGTGCGATGGTCCTCAGGTTGGCCTCGATGTGGTAGTCGTACTCGTGCCTCTCTTCCTCGGAGCGGTAGAGAGCATCTTCGTACGGATTCTTCTTGTGCGGGTTGAAACCTTCTCCTTCGGAAGCCCAGGTAGGATGGCTGACCCAGCTATCATTGAGCACCTCCCAGCACATGGGGTCTCGACCAGAGCAGGCCAGGTTGACCTCGGACTTTGGCAGCTTTCGGTACGAGGCGCCATACACCTTGCAGTTGTTGAGGTCGACCCTCTCACGGAGTGGAGCGGGCACGTTCTCAACGATGGGGTCCTCGTTGTCGAGCCAGCCGTGACGGCCCATGTCGTAGCCGCAGAGACCTTTGAAAGTGGCAAAGAGCTCACGATTTCCGCCAATGAAGAGAGCGGCGCGGTCGACGAGGGTCTTGACATCGATGATGTCCTGCGTGTACAGGTTGAGCAGCTTGAGGAAGTCGAGATACGTGGTGCGATCGTCGATGTGCTTCTTGACGCGATCGAAGAAGGCGACTTCGTCGAGCGTTGCGAGGGGAGCCTGAGGCTGGCCAAGAGCAAGACCGTTGACCACAGTTCCCTGCGGCACGAGACCGGTCGCCTCGGCAGCGACCATGCCGTCGATGCCATAGACGGGATGCATTTGTCCCGGATGCGCAAAGGTCGGCGACGCGGGCATAGGCTCCTGTCGAAGGGGCGGAGTGCGCTGCTCAGCCTTGTGTCCATGCTTTGACTTTTTCGTCTTGCCAGAGCCAGGCTTGCCCGACTCGTTGGCGCCGCTGCGCTTCTTGCGCGAGCCGGACGAAGGCGCTCCCGGGGCTCCAGGAATAGCGCCCGCGGCGGCTTTGCGATTAGCATCGGCGGCGTCTGCGGGTCCACCCCTAAAGCCTTGCTGGCCTGGCATGGCACCTGGGGCCGGACCGCCAGCAGCGTTGCCGCCGAGACCTGAAGTGACTTGGCCGAGCATGTTGAAGAGGCCGCCGCTAGGCTGCGAGCCAGCAGATGTGTCCGGAAGGAATTGCTTGAACTCGTCGAGGAGGTCCTTGGCATTCTCGAAGAGCACTGTGACTTGCGCATAGACGTCGTGGATGGGTCGCTGCTCTTTCTGGTAGGTCTGTAAAATTTCGAGGAACTGCTTGTAGGTGTCGGGATCCTGCGAGAAACGCTGTTTGATCTTGTTGACGTAGTTGATGGCATGGTTGAACTCGACAGGTGGACGCTTAGGATCTTGAACGGGTGTCATCGGACCAGGCGGACCGGCGTGGGAACCAGAGCCAGCCCCGCCTTGTGGAGCACCACCAGGGCCCATGGGCATGGGCGATTGAGGACGACCATGGGCATGGTGCGGCGGAACGGGGCCCATCGGACCCGGACCTGGACCGTGACCGGGATGTTGAGGGCCGCCTGGACCTGAGAAGCCAGCACCGCCGGGACCGTGAGACATGGGATGGCCCGGCGGACCACCCATGTAGGGCATAGCCCCGGGAGGACCGTCGTGTGCATGGGGTGGAGGATGCATGTGCGCGGGAGGCTGTTCTGTGTGTCGTGGCGCAGAGCCGTGCATCATGCCCATGCCGCCAGGACCCCTGGGACCGGAGGCTTGGGCAGAAGGGCCCGGAGGTGGGCCAGACGAGGCTCCGCTCATACGGTTGATGGCGCCGGCGATGCCGACACCGCCCGGTGTCTGTGTGGTGGTGCCGGTCGGCGTCGTGACGGTGATGAGATTGCTCTCGCTTGGGTCCAAGCTGCATTCGATGCGATATCCAGGAGGCAGGAATGTGTTGAAACCCTGGATGAGGCTGGGATGACCGCGGAAAAGGGTCGAGACCCTCTCGATGACGCCGGGCGTATCTATAGACTGGCTCTTGAACTGGACGGAGAAGGGAACAGAGGCGGGCGGGTCACGGTCAGCGACATGATCTGGCGCGTGCTTTGGCAAGCTGTTGTCCTTGCAACTTACGTCTTTCATGATGTCAAGAAAACGGTTGTAGACGTCTGGATGCTCGGCAAACTGGACCTTGACCTGGTCCAGGTAGGAGAGCGCATCCTTGACGTTGAGGGTCGCCTGTGGAGCAAATGGGAGAAAAAGCGACGCACGATGAAAGATGATGTCAATAACGGTCCTGCATCAGACGCGGACAGAGGCGATTGAGTGCAGGCTACTCAGCGAGCACTTACCATGACGGCGGATGGTCAAAGTGGAGCGCTGTTCGGAGGTAGTGTGCGTGTGGACAATGCCAGCTGAACGAAGTGGAGAGCTGGTGGTTGGCGCAGGGCGAATGAGAGACGAGCGTCGGCTAGGGCATAAAGCACTGACGAGCGAAGAGGTGGCAGGAGGGCGTGCGGCTGGCACAGCACGCGCGGGGTCTGGATGAAGTGATTGAGAGCGTGGGGAAAGGCGAAGAGGAGGGACGCGTCGAGTGCGGAAGAATGGTTGCAGCCGGCACGGACGACGAAGGATGGTGGGTGTCTCGATGAGGTCCGGCGGATGTGGTGTCGAGGAAAGCTGAGCGGAGAGTGCGCTTGTTGGTTGTGAGCAACGGAGCGACTAAGCAGCGGATCATCCGTCGAGTGTCTGCAGAGAGAGCATGTCGCGGTTGGCGAGCAGCCAGAGCGCCAGTGAAAAAGGGTCGTGCCCGAATCCAGATCCAGAAGATAGACAGACAGACGATTCGGCTGAACCGCGACAGGAAATCGAACCGTTCGTTGAATCGCGTGGGCCAGCAGTCGCACTCAATGCGATTCGTTACCCGATTCGCGCCCAAGCCATTCTCTCTCTCTCCATTCTTCATATGATCATAATCTAACAATTTTCCTTTTTTAAAGTCAGGGTGTGAGATCGGCGTGGACTCACGCGGAGGCTGGACACCATCACGACAAGCCGCACACATCATATCGAGCATCGACGAGTGGTTTGAGGGCGCTACTGTATTCTCAATTCGCAATAGTTGTATGCACAGGAATTTGAGATGTTCAGAAGAGTCTAGGAGAGGTGGAAAGTGGACAATATATTACGCTGAAAGTGACACGAGCGACGACAGATCGTCGTTAGGCTTGTCGCCAGCCTGGCGATGAGAGTGATGCTTTCGAAGCACAACGAAATCACTTGGTGGCCTCCTTGAGGTGCGTGATCAGGTCGTTGCGGTCCTTCTCCTTCTTCAGACCGGCAAAAGCCATCTTGGTGCCTGCGAAAGACGAAAGGTTAAAAATCGGATGCGGAAGTCAGTAAAGGATCGCAGATCGCGACGACGGCGCCAACGCCATATCTGACGAGACCATGACGGCGAAGAGACATACCGGGAATGTATTTTTTTGGATCGAGGAGGTAGTCGAAGAGGGTCTCCTCGTCCCAGGTGACACCCTTGTTGATGTTGGCCTGGGTGTACGAGAAACCCTCGACGCTACCAGTCTTGCGGCCGAAAAGACCGTGCAGGTTGGGACCGACTGTTCAGCGGAACGGCGAGAAGTAGCAGCGGGGATAGATAGAGAGCGTCAGCAATCGGATCCGTGTAGAAGCGTGGCGGGAAGCGTCGGTATGGATGATGGAGGCGCAAGGTGATATATCGGGTCGCAGTCCGAAGATGGCGACGAGGGCGACCATACGTAGCGGTCGACCTTTTCACGCTGTTACGACGAAGGCGTTAGTCAAAGACAGCCTTGTACACGCTGACTTGATCCCTTGTCTTCGCCGAAAGGATGTGGGCGAACAACCGCGGTCGAGACAGATTGTCTTGTCGGACTTTCGCGTCAATGGCCAGGCCGTGTCGATGCAAAGAGCTCGACAGAACGGTCTCGTGGCGTCCAGCGTGATTCGATTGCACCTGCATTGCGTTCCATGTCCGTGCCTGCGCCGATATGTCGGATCAGCTACCTACCCTTGTTGGGCTCACCAGCACCGAGGGTGTGGCACTGAGCGCATCGGGTCTTGAAGAGACCTGCGCCCTTCTTGGCGTCACCTTCTTTGAAACCCATTGTGATGTAGATGTGGATGAGTGATGGATGGAAGGCGGGAGATGTTTACGGAGCTGTGGTGGCAAGGATGAGAGAGGTCACAACATGTGCATCCATATACTCTGTACCCGGCAGGACAAATCCGGAAGAGTTCCTTTCAGTCAGTGACGATCCACACAACCCGCAGAAAACAAACTGAAAAAAACCCGGTTGCGATTCAGTCTTCGGAAAAATTTGGGGGGCTGTGATGAGCGAAGAAATTCTCAGCTTACGAATCCGAATCCACTGCGCTGCTGTCAAAAATCCTGAAAGCGAGCCTGCACGCTGCCTCAGCAGCGCCGACAGCCAATTACGATGAGCTGATTGAAACGAAACGGTTGCTCGCCGAGTTCGTCCACATAGCGGTCTGCAACCGCTGCTTTTCCACATTTGCCGGCCCCGAGATCCCCGATTGTTGCTGGAGGGAAAGGCTGGAGACCTTCTGGCGAACTTCCCATGTAATGATGAGTTTTCAAAGCCGTGGCAACACAGCCCACTCTGAAAGGCGAACTCACTCCGGGAGTGGCGGTCGTTCCGATCCCGTCGAAGCATCTCTCGTCAGCAGGTCGTACGACCATGTCAAGAGACGGCTCCAGCTCACCGGCCCTTATTACGACACTTAGTCGGCAGCTTTGCAACGGCACCTTGTTGCTCCATCGAGGCAGAAGACCTTGACGGGAAGTGTACAGGACTCTTGCGCCACGTGAGGCGCGTCGAAGCTCGACGTCATCATCGGCGCTGCATCGATCCGAAGCTCTCCGATTCTTCTCTCGGCCGGGTGAATTTTTCTGTGTTTGATCGCCGATGTCCTCGTTTATATCGAGATTTTGAGGCCCTTGTTTAGAGACTGTGCTCCAGTTGGCATATAGGACCGTCTGTCCGCTTCTAGAATCCGCACCGAGGTATGCGATTTGATGCACCACCTTTCTAGGAGTGCAGTAGGACTCGCAAATCCAAAGGACCAAGTGACGATGTCGAGCGTCCACCATCCGACGCATTGCATAACAGGCTTCCCAGGCTTTCCAGGCTTCCCCGTGTGCTTTGACTCGGACAGGGCTTGATTCGAGATGGCAACAGCTTCGTTGTTGAACCAGCGACATTCAAGGATGGTCCCTCACACCATCAACACTATACACAGCCGGTCTTGGAAGAGTGTTTGGTGGTAGCTTCATAAGATTAGAAATGAGCAAAGAGCAAAAGAGACGAAGGCAAAAGGTACAAGAAGAAAGAGCAGGGATTGACAGAGCAGACGCAAGCCTTGACAGTAGATTCGCTCATCAATAATGCACTGCTAAAATCATCTTGATGAAATCGAAAAGGGAGAAAGGGGGCAAGCGGCTGGTATGCTGAAAGCGTGGTATCTTGAGAACACTTGCTGGAAGAGTAGTCGTTGATGGCATCTTCTGCAAGTCGCTTATGCGAGCGACTCCTTGACGGATCGGCCACCGCGGAAAGCACCGGCGCCGATAGCAGCGACGCCGGCGAGCATCAAGGTGAGGATGATCCAGCCGATCCAGGCGAATGCCATGAGTGCCTTGGTCGAGTTGCAGTAAGGGAAGGGGTAGCCCTTGTCGGCGCAGTTGAACGAGCCGCCGGTGCGGTCGGTAAGAGCAGCGGCACCAGCGAGGTAGAAGATCCAGGTGAGGAAGATGGCAACACCGTGACCTGCGATCGAGGTGATGACACCACCGACGCTAGCGAGGAAGAGACCGAGCTGTTTGGTCGCGGAATCAAGGCGAGATTGCGAGAGTGGTTGAACGGAATGTCAGTACACATGTCATCAACACAAAGGGATGGCGGGTGACCCCAATAGGAGCCGCGAACAGCTCCACCTGTCCGCGATCCGCACGAAGGAATACTCACGTAGGCTGCACCGACGAGGAAACCCCACCAACCGGCAAAGAGGAGGAAGCGAGTTGCGTTGTTGATACCCATGGTTGGAGCATTGTTGTGGCTGTTGTAGTCAGCGACCAACGTGGAGGCGATCACAGCGACAATGAACGAGACAAAGACAAAGAGGCCGAAGGTGATGGGGTGGGCCCGGCGAACGATGGCGGAAGAGTCGACCATCTTGAATACGGATGAAAGTAGGGGTTGCTAAGCTCTGTTGGCGAGGGTGCAGAGTCGAGGTTTGACCTGGGTATGGACTGCAGCGATATGAGCTGGATGGGCAAGGGATTGGGGATGGATGGCAAACGGGTGAAGACAGGAACGTGAGCCAGCGTGAGTATATATGATCCGCTGAGGGCAGAGACTGGAGCTGGGATGACGCGCTTTCGAGCTGACGGGTAGATGACTGAGGTAAAATGGATGGACGTCACTGCTCAGCACAGCCGTCATTGCATCACTGCTTTTTTCCCGCTCGTTTTTCCCTTGTCCCACACACGGGTTGCAACTCCGCGCTGCGCTTCGACGACGGTCTAAATTTTTGGTCTCGATTTCGAAGCGCTTCATGAGATGACCTGACTTTGGATGGTCTGCTGTACGTACAGCAGCATCGCTTCGCCGAGACTGACGAAATGGTTGAGCTAGAGATGCCGAGAACCCTGGACGTCGCAGACTATTCTAAGCGCAGGCCCCTTCGTCGCTGGCGAAGCCCACCTCCCGATTGGACGCAAGTGGTGTTGCTCATCGACTCACTCTCCACGTATTCTTCTGCTCAAACTGCACGTGTGGGCGTCCGTCCAAGAGGTCAAGCGATGAAGCGGTAGGAGCGTGGATCGTGGCCTTCTTGCCGATGCGACCTGCAAGCACCTCACAGTTGCGCCGCTTTTCGTCAGAGGGAGTGTTCCCTTGCAAATACTTTCGTTCAGCGAGGCTTTCTTGGCGAGTCACAGAACGAGAGCACGATCGAAAACTGTTGACGATGCTATTTGCGTATTCGCCGCTGTTCGAGGGTGACGGATGCAATTTTAGGAACGGATGCTTTGTGCCGGTCTGAGACCGTCCAGGCATGCATCGTCGTAATTTCTACTGTGCAAGGAGCGTCACAGAGCAGCAAGCTCGCAAATAACTCAAATAAGCGATGATCGACATGATGACGAAATCCCACAGATGACCTCGTCTCGAACTCGAGGGTCAAAAGTTGATTTCGGAGTGACACTACGTTTGTTGGTCTAACATTCAGGACTAGATTGAGTCGATTTTGCCGCGGCCCCGCATGCACAAGCCTGGTGGAAGGACCCTGACTGAGCATCGCAACAAGCACGCTCGTCATTTTTGACGGCTTGGCACACACTTCATCACCATCACCTTGGGCATCCTCTCGTCTACTGCCCTCGACGAGCCGCCGTGAAGAGACCAGCACTTCGAAGATCAGAGCCGAGAGAAGCTTTGATGACTCTCGTCAATCTATGACAGCCTGAAGCAGGTGCAGAAGATCTATGCAGACCACAAACGAAGAGACACGCCCACTCTTGAGCGGAGCACAGACCAACGACCGACGCGACGCTGCCAGCATCTCGTCAGACTTGTCCAAGCCATGGTGGTCCCGCACAGCTCATCGGCTTCAAAGGCATTGGTCCATACTTCGCATTCTTGCGGTAGCTCTTCTCTGGGGCGCAGCAAACTATGGCGCCGTGCCTTCCTATCTCGACGGTCTGCGTAGCTACACCTGCTCGTACGTCTACTCGACGCATCCAGACCTACTGCCCACTCGGCCACATCCCAAGCTTCCACACGACCGTGACAGACCATGTGCCGTCTCTGGAGTTGAAAGCCGTGTGGGGATCGTCGTCGCCGCTGCCACCGTGCTCAGCTTTGTCGTATCGAGCATCAGCATGCTCTTCTACGGTCCGCGCCTCTCCAGATGGGGCCGCAAGCCCATGTTGCTCATCTCTCTGGTTTCCAACATCATCAATTACATTCCTTTCGCTCTTCTCCCCCTTGGCTACCCTTTTGGAGACATTCCCTCCGAGCTCGCGATCAGCCCGGCGTCTTCCATGGTCGTCATTTTGGTCTGCAGCTTCTTGACGGGCTTGACCGGATTCACGGGCTTGTTTCTCTGTGTCATGCGAGTCATGATCATCGACGTCGCTCCACCCACACGTCGCACAATCAACCTCAATTGGCTCATCAGCGCCACTCTATGCGGAGCCTTCTTCGGTCCCCTCTTAGCAGCTTGGGCGCTCGACACCTCGGTCAAAGCGCGCCGCCCTCGCCTTGTGCTCCGACGCTTCTTCTCGGCGCCGTCTTCCTTCATATTGGAGCTGCCATCGGATCCGACACCGCCTCCCATTCCCGGCACACCACAGACGCTGTCCAAACACGGCAATCCGGCAGCTCTCGTGGCTTGCTGCTGGGTGTTCTTCCTCGCGATTGTGTGGGTCTTCTTGCTGGTTCCCGAGACCAAGCCTGCAACAGTCGCAGATACGGATGAACCCTCAACAACGGCATCGAACGGGCAAGCAGCGATCGATGGTGACGTGGAAAGCACCTCCGAGCCCGTCAATGTGTCCCCCTCTCGACTACGTGCCCACAAAGCGCTCGGCCCGCTGGCCATCTACCTGCCTCAGGTCACTCGAGAAGGCCGCAGAGATTATCGGCTGACTTGGCTCGCACTGGCCGGCGCCTTTGCCAATGTCGGCACCAATGCACTGTCCTACGTAGCAGTCTTTGCCGGATACAAGTTCGACTTCACTCCAGACGCTATCGGACTGCTACTGGGGCTCATCGGCGCAACGAGGGCGGTTTGGCTCATCTTTGCGATTCCGCTCCTTGTCGTGTTCTTCGAGCGCACCATTCGCAAACCGAGGCAGATCGCTTCGCTGTCCGCAGAGCAGCTCGAAGCCCTCGCCAAGGCTGGCCTCAAGGATCCCAAACTCAAGCACGCTCATGCTCAAGAAAATCGAGAGCCCCGCGACCAGAATGTTCCCGAGCCATCCGCATCAGAAAGATCGTCAAGCGCGAGCTCGTCCGATGCATCAGCAGAGATCATCTCCGCGGTCGTTCTTTGGAGGACAGCTGTCGACATTGCCATCGCCAAGGTGTCATACTTTGCTGACATTATCGGCTACCTCGTCGTTTTTGTCTCCGCCAGCTTCTCGAACGCCGCTGCCATGATCAGCGGTACGCTTTTCCTGTCTTTCGGCGCCGGAGCAGGGCCAGCGGTAACATCGGCGGCGATCGCGATCATCCAGGATCAGAGGCGAGCGGGCTATCGCTCCCTCCATCCTTCACTCCACGCTTCACCCACCGATGATTGGCTCGCGGCCCTCTCCATCTCTGACAACATCGTCAATGGTCTCAGCCCCATCCTCATCAGCGTGGTGTATAGCTTGACCATAGAGACGGCGCTGCCTTCCACATGCTTTCTGATTCCTACTGTCGGCTACATTCTTTCCTTCGGCCTCATCGCCATGGTCAAAGGCCAGAAAGTGCAAAATTAAGTCTGTTCTCCGCAATACAGTAGATGTGTGCAAAATCGTGTCATTACATTGTCCGTGAGATACAATTGTCCGTGAGATACAAGCGTTCGTACAAAAGGTTAGATACATGTTCAACGAGGTTGGACAGAAGACTGAGTTACGACGTAGATGCCGAATCGCCGTCATTCACTTCCAGCGACTTTGCAAATCGATTGCCGCCGATTGCTTTGTAGGCTCGCTCGACCACGGCCTTACGACTCTCTGGCGTTTTGCTCCAATCTTTCGAATTGTCGACCACGAAATGGTAGTAGGGCCGCATCCTTTCGAAGTTAACCGTCATGTCTCGCGATTGCAGCGTGAGCCGCAGCAGGTCGGCACAGATCGCTGCTCGAACTTCAGTGCCTGTTTCGCCAGCGGAGAAGATTTGCGAGACCGTTTTGCGATTTTCGTACTCCACCAGAGCTACCCAGCACGGCCACCTTCCTTTCTGAGTCGTAAAGCTCACACCGCGATACAGCGAGCTCTTTGTTTTTGCGCTCAAGAATGACACGATTCGTCCGATCGTCTCCTCTTGCTTCAGCATCGCAAGATATTCCTCGAGCTTGTCCGGATGGTTGATGAGCGCGGTTTCGCCGAATTGATATAGCGACGTGAGATCGTACAGCTCGACCGCTTTTTCGAGCTCGTGGCTTGGGAACGTCGTTGTCGCGGTTCTGTTCTCGCCTCGAACACTGCAGGACGTCCGGTAACTCTTCGACGCGAGCTGCCTAACGCCGATGTATCCGCATTCGTTTCGATGGGCAAGACGAGAATTTTGACGGTTGGCGGAGCGGTCGATAATCTTGAGGTTCGCGCGCCGGTGGTCGTGGATGTTGCCGTTGACGTGATCAACGACTTCGTGAACCTCGGCTTTGCAGAGCAACCGAGATAAGAAAGGATTGCCAACCTTTTTCCCCAGCCGGATGACAATCCGCTTGTGTCTCGTGAGAGACAAAGTCGCGTCCATAGCATAAAACATCTTCCAGTCGTCATCGTCCAGAAGCACGTCAACAACGTCGTCTTTACTAGCGAGCAGGCCGATTACCGCCACCCCTTTCTCGCGAGCACCAACGCGAATCCAACTTTTCCGCTTCGCCCACTTTTCCTCTTCCTCTTGCCGTTCCTTCTTCTCCTTCTCGACCAGACCTTTTGCTTCCTCCCTCGCGACAGCCAGCGAACGAAGGCAGTATCGCACAATTTCTTCGTAAATGACGATGAAAGTATCATCGACTTTGTAGATATCGACGCCATCGTTCAAAGACTCGATTTTCGTGACTCGTTTCTCCTCGTCCGCGATCTGGTTCAGAAGATGCGGGGTTTTGTCCAGTTGAACGCCATAGCTGATTCGGCAGAGCAAATTGTACACAAGCCCCGCAGTCTCGGCGTTGGAGTAGGTACCGTTGTAGCGTTCTCGATGTTCAACGGCATAGCTTGGACCGTTTTTCGAGACGCCGAAAAAGCCAGTGGCTGGCGTAGGAGTGGTTCGCTTGACGTTGAAAGAATTGAACTGGGACGTCACCCAGTGTAGATTCGCCTCGCAGTCGTTGGTTGTATCTCGGTCGGCGTGGTCGACCTGGTCCCTCGAAAGATCGGTTGAAGGGTGGTGGAGCGCAATGATGCGTGCCAAAGGCACACCACCGGAAGTCAGACGATAGGGCGCCTTTTGGCTGATGAGATTGAGAGCGCACAACAGAACCCACTCGTACTTGGTATCGATCCGGAATCTGATCGGATCCTTGCCGCGGTAGAAGTCGTAGAAGGTGGTGCCGCCCTCCCGCTCGACAATGATGACCTTGTTGGAATGTCGTTTGGGCCGTGGCACGACCAAAGGAAGGTCGCCATGAATCGCGCCATCTTCTTTGAAATCGGTCGGCCACGGCTCGGGCGGTTCTGGACGAGAAAAGATGTTCGGCATGGTGTATCGAAATAGGGGACAGGTGGTCGCAAAGCGGGGAGGGGGCTGACTTGCCGACGTCTTATATGTCTAGCGATCTCTTTGAGAGAACACGCTGCGCTATTGAAATCAGCCTTCAAGCGCACTTCTGGCTCAGTCGATCAAAGGCATCTTCCGACACAGTCTCTTGTCTCACGCTGCTCGGAACCAAGCCGAAAGGAGTGTTCGGGAGACTGTTGAATTGGCTAAGGGACATACTGGGGAGAGCCGATGGGCTGGGTGACTTGATCGGAACAGCCGATGGGGTTTTGTGACTGAGTCGGGATAGCCAAGGGGCTGGGTGACTGAGTCGGGCAAGCCGACAAGTGCTCTGGGGCCCGTGCAAGAAACTGGCTAAAACAACGAACATGCGTCAAGCAACGCAATTGAAGCTCAAGCCAAGCTCACGACAGCCAACAAGCTCGTGACAGCATTGCGATTCAAAAGATGGTGGGCCCTTGCGTTGCAGTCCAGACGACAATGTGCAAGATCTCCCGATTCAAAAAAATTCGTACACTTGCACTTAGATTGATGACGTACGCATCACGAAAGAGTGGAGAGTAAGTTGGACTTGGCTTGGTATTCGTGTGAGCTTCAATACAACACCACGACATTGATCGCGAACGAGTGTATACATCCTATTCGAACCTTGCATCGTTCACTTGAAGAACTTCATCAGATCCTCGACATCATCCTTAGAGCCGAGGAACACAGGGCAGCGCTGGTGAATACTCTTTGGAGTAAGATCGAGAATTCGCTCGGTGCCGTTGGTGGCCAATCCACCAGCTTGCTCGGTAATAAATGCCATCGGGAAAGCTTCGTACAGCATGCGCAGCTTGCCGTCCTTTGCGTTCGCTCCGGAGGGATAGAGGAAGATCCCAGAATATAGCAGTTGTCGATGCACATCAGCAACCATGGAGCCGATGTAACGAGCGGCATAAGGCTTGGCGCCTTCCTTCTTCGGATACTTGATGCTGTCGAGGTACTTGAGGACGGGTTCAGAATAGTACATGCTGTTCCCTTCGTTGCAGGAGTAGATCTTACCACGGTTCTTCATTCGGATGTTCGGGTGGGTGAGGATGAACTCGCCGATCTGGTTGTCGAGCGTGTAGCCGTTGACACCGTTGCCGGTGGTCAAGACCATGTTGGCAGATGAACCGTACATGCAGTAGCCGGCGGCGACCATTTCGCGGCCTGGTCGGAGTACATCCTCGAGAGTGCCCTTGGAGCCCTCCTTGACCAGGTAGATACCGAAGATGGTACCGATGTTGACACCAGCGTCGATGTTGGATGAGCCGTCCAGGGGGTCGAAGACGACGCAGTACTTGCCCCTGCCTCCCTCCTGCTTCTCGCCAACGAAGATGGCCTCGTCGTTCTCTTCCGAGACCAGTACTGCGGTCTTGCCCGAGGCTTTCAGTGCGTTAATCATGATCTCGTTGGAAAGGACATCGAGCTTCTTCTGGTCCTCGCCTTGGACGTTGGTGTTGCCAGCAGCGCCGATACTGTTTTCCAAGAGGGACAAGACAGCAGTGGATGTCAGCGCGGCAAGCTCAGGCAGACAGGCAGGCTCAGTGGCTTCTGTTGCACTTACAGGTTGATCAGACTGGCTTTTCGCACGTAGCTCTCGATGAATTTGCTGTATAGATCGCCGGTTCAAGCAGCAAGAGAATGTGTGTCAGCGTCCCGAACCACGGTCCTGGGTTGCTGGTCTTCAGCTGTTATACTTACCAGGTGGTCTGGAGCGAGGCAAGCAAGATGGTGAGGTCACCGCTCGCAGCACTCTCTTTCCTCTGCTTGAAGCCTTCTGTCAGCACATGACGTGTGAGGGTGATGATATCGGTAGAAGGAGGGGAGTAGTCTTCGGCGCCCATCTTGTCTGTCTGCTGCTTGTTGAGTCGTCTGGTTCTTTGTGCGGGTAATGGTACCTTGCTCCTTCGAGATGGTTGTGGTCGAGAAGAGAACTCTCGTGAGCGGACCTCTTGAACGCAGTGGAGGGGCGAGTTGCCGAGCGAATGCTTCCGACCAGGTCCGATGCTGTTTGATGCTGCTGTACTACTCGGCAGACTACGTTCCCGAGCGGTGTCGATCGAGCGTGCGAGCTCCGTGTGCTGCAGCCCGGTTAATCAATTAGTCACGGCGGCGGCCTTGGGTCGCACAAGATTCACAGCCGAAAGCGGGCTGCTGAAAGGGTCCGAGCACAGAGACGCGTCTCTGAGATTTTCCTGGGGTTTGGTGTGGAGTCTCTCGGAGCGGTTGAAAGCCGCACTCGCTGTAACCGGAGGCGACCGGATCAAGCGGCTTGAAACGCATCACCCTTGATCCACGCACACATCACCCGATTCGTATCAATGGTGGCCGTCGGCGAATTCTTCTGCCGGCCAAAGCACGTTCCGGCCGCTCTTGGTTCGTGCCTTCTGCTCGCTCTTCGCTGTTCATCTCAGGCAGGACTCCCGCATATTATACAGGTCGAGAGAATGGTACTTAGAATGATCTGTTGGGAAAGAATGGCGCTGCGGATGCATGTTTTGCGGATTTCGGTGGCGGGGCGTACCCGGACCGCTCACCCGCTCCTGGTCGTCTCGGAGCAGGCGGATCTTTCCAGAGTGTTGCCGGTCATCTTCATCGGGATAGTGGATCGGGCGATACAGCGCTTCCATCTGCCTTCCGATAGTGAAGTTGGCATGGGGTTGTGGAACTGTTAACAAAAAGTAAAATCTAGGTCCAAAATAAGTGACAAAATACTGACCACGAAAAGAAAGGCGCCAACGTAGCATCGACGATCGGACTACAATCGGGAGATCAGCCAGGATGCGGATACCCTTTTGTGAGATAACTCATTCGACAGTGTCAGGTCAGGTTTCAACCCCGCTACGCCTCAATCATCTTGACTAACCATCACCACGGTTCGAGATCAAAGGAGGAACGTGCTGCTCACTGAGCTCAGAGTCGAGCCAGCCCATCCATTGCCTCGTTTCCGTGATGCAGCCTGTGCATCATCGTTTCCCGCCAACGCAGCTCTGCCAGAATTACCAGGCGAAGCCCTGAACGAGTTTGGCCCGCAGCCTCTCAGCGATGCTATACCCGAATGCCGCCTAATGAGATCGCTACCCTCTCTTCGCCGGGCGGAGGACCTCAAGCACTGCCTACAATCAGGATAGAATTCACAGGTACGGTGCGGTTGAGCGAGCATCTCTCATGTCCTCCTACTGGACGCCTCCAGGATGACGTCTCCCGTTCTGGATAGCTGAATCTTCGCACGCTGCCGCACCCCCTTCGGTAAACGCATAGCGATGCAGTCAGTGGACCGCTTGCAATAGCAAGCCCAAGCAATCAGGTTGGATGAGCCTTCCACACCGCGTCTGAGGGCTTGCACCCTTGTCGGGCAGTTTTGTGATGCACAGTTCCGGGACCAGCCTCTCACACGAGAGCAGTGAAGGTGTTGTGTCATGCCTTTCATTGTAGAAGCGCTTTCCGCTTGACGCCGTCGAAGCTGTCACAGCAAAGCGTGGGCAAAGCAAACGTCAGCCACCCACGGTCCTTGATGGAACCGATTCTCAACGTCGCTTGCTTCTGTACATCCACCATCCCAACGTTGTTCGCACATCTTGATCTTTGCTTTTTGCCCATTTGCAAGCCTCTTCTTTCACTTCTCAACACTGGCTCGATCTTCTTCGACGTCCTGTTCGCGATCCTTTCTTTCTCCCTGCCTTTCTGTTCCGCTCGCCTAGCAAGCACTCGACTGGTTCGAGTCCTGCTTGACCGATTTGCCAATCCCACACGCACCATTGCCCGACACCCTCAGCACTGACACTTCTCTGCCAACCGCAGTGTCAGTAGACGTCGTCAACAACTCGAGACTTCAACCAGAACGTCGACAAAACAGCAGACACAGGATCAGGCTTTATTTCAAAGTCCTACTCAGGGTCCTTTGTTCGTGAGGCTTAGCACACAAGCCCCCTGCAGCAACAGCCCAACGCTTGATCAGCTGAACAGACATCACACCGTCGCTCGGCTGAACTTCGAACATTTCCAGTACCGTCCCGCCTTGCCGTGCGAGACAATCTCGACGACGTCTAAACAGAACCGCCCTTCTCCATCCGCCCTTCCGACCGCACATTTGACCCGACCCGACCGAATCGCTACGACCGAGAAACAACATAGAGATACGGCGCAGACCGAAAGCTAGAAGAGAAAGGAAGCACGAGCCCGATTCGAAGAAGAATCGCAGATAAAGTGTTGAGAGAGCGAGTTAAGAGATCAGCTTTTCGCACGAAGGATCACCCAATCTATCCGCGCCAACGAGGCTCTCGTCAACGGACCTCGATCTCAACCCAACACAGCTCGCTAGCATTCATCCTCGCCGGTCACACTAAAGGTGAGTCTTCCGTCGAGCCCGCTATTGTTTCCAAGTTCCGTGCTAGTCCGAGAGCCACAGTTTCATCATGCAAATCGGCCGTTCCTAGTTGCAGCGAAAATATGCACGCACACAAGCAGGACCCGCATCGAGGCTGCATTTCTTCATGCCTCGTGGCGAGAAAGCATGAAAAGCGCACGCTTCGATCCGCACAATGGTTCCGCAGGCTTTCCGTCATGCTGCGGTCGAGATGCACAGATCGTGTTGCAGGCTTGCAGCGGAGTCGAAACTCTCGCATTGTCTGCCTCGGGGAAGGCGTCGCGTGTGCGTTCAGCGGGACTGGAAAGCAGGAAAAGAAGAAAGAAGAGCGTATAAGCTTTTCGCATGGGAAAAAACAGAGCCGCGTGGATTTTCGAAATCCGCTCCTGTTCCCCATGCTCAAACAGATGCTTTACCTGCTTGATGGACTCGACGGCCTTTCGCATCGCTTCAGTCTCCGATGGGCAGCACCGCCGCCTGCTGGTCAAGCTCCAAGGAGCGCTTGCTCGGCGTGCCGGGTGCCTGTGCCGGTTGATTAAACCGGCCTTGGAACTTTGTTCAGCCACGCTCTGGCCTGTGGCGCACTTCTTCCAGACCCTTGGCGGTAGCCGAGCTTTGGTATACGCCACCTTGCTCTCCATTGATCTTCTGGGCCACTATCCACCGCCTTCGCCTCAGGTTGGCGTGTAGCGAGTCGCCATTGCGATAAGCGGCCCAATTGCCGGTAGCGAGAAGATGGGACTGCGGCTTGGCCGTACGGACCAAGGTCCGCCTGGCTCGGCAATCCAGACCTTCCCCGCATCGTGATCCTCGTCGCTCGTGCCAGTATGATCGGTCGGACGGGCTCTGGGACGAGATAATGTCCCGTTCCATCGTCTTGGCGGGAAAACCTGCTCTCCATCCTCGCGCAGCGCATCGGCAGAGAAATCGAGGAAAAGCCAGGAAATGCGCGCCAGCCAGGTCCGATTCGACTCTTTTTCACGGCTGCCGAGGTACAGAGTGTAAGTGAAACCAACACTTGCGAAGCGGGGAACGACGCGTGTCTGCGTTTCGTGACGCGTCGCTCTCCGCTTGCGCCTACGAGTGGCGTCGTCGCATGATACGAAAGGGGCAGCGGCAGTGGCGCTGGCACGATGCACTCTAGTCGGATGACGACCGTACCGTTCGATGCTACTTCATCGATGCAGCAGCCAAACCGGACGCCTCTCTCAACATCGACGTTTGCTTGTCGAGCTAAGACGTGGCATGATGCGTCGGCCAATGGCTTCCGATCGAGCTCTAAATAAGATCTTACGCGATCGAGCAGCCACGCCCTCGGCGACGGCGTCCGGAGCGGACACCAGATACAGTGTACACGGTCGAAGCGGTCCAACCATCCTGCGCTTATCGCTGATGCGAAGCCACATTGTGACCGGTGAAGCTGCGAAGGTGCATCGGGGGTCGGTCGATCGAGACAGAGATCAACGCTCGTTTGCCAGTGTCTAGCTCATTGGGTTGGCTGCCTGCCTGCCTGCCTGCCTACGGTGTATGGCACTTGCACGCTTGCGGAACGGGGCGGCAGACAGCATGCAAACGGCGCAGATGAGCTTGGGAAAAGCCGAGCTACACGCAGCTCGAAGCGCTCTCGTCTTGTCTGACCCTCGATAGACCCCGCCTCTTTGTAGCGAGGCGGACCTAGCACGGTATCAAGGTGGCATGCGAACCGTGAGAGCGCGCTTCTTCGGAGTCTAGCCGCTGCAGGCCGATGGCTCTTGACGGTCCGATTGGCAGCAGAGCTACTGCACTTCATTATCGAATTTCGTGTTCGCAAAATGAAGTGCAGCCGCTTTCCTATTCAAGCAGGCCTCGGGGTTTCTTTTGTTCAAAATGAAAACCGCCTTTATCGAGCCTCGGCAGTGCAGCCGGTGAAAGGGAAATTTCGAATTTCGCCCCCTTTTTTCATGAATTCCCTGCCTTTCCCACCACTGCTGCTTGTCGTCCTCTGTGGGCTGTCCACTTGGCCGTGGATCGAAGTCTGCATTCTGCTTGCATTCTTGTCTCTGGCGGTTCTGGCTTCGGTGTCTCACTCTGTCCCGAGCCCAGTGTTGTTCTTTTCTTCTTTCTCCCTCTCGCTGCTCGTCAACGCCTGCACGACCGCTGCGCTGCGTGCCTCTCTGAATGCTGGCGACTCTCGAGCGTACCTGCTTTTCCCACTGCCAAACTTTGTTGCACCTGTCACACCTCATCGGAGCTGGTCTAGATTTCCTTCTCCGCCTCGGTGTTGAAGGCCGTACGTACTCTAGCTCGTCCTACTAGGCCTAAGGATCCCGACGATTCCCTCGATCCGTTGCAATGCCCGACTCGATGGCGCCTTTCATGCGGATCAAGGATCGAAGAGGTCCGAAGTGCGGAAACTTTCTCAACACCTCGGTCTTTGCACTTGGTTTCGCTGGCCGTCGCTTATCATTGGAAGGGGCCATGTTCTCGTGTCGCAAGAGCGCACGGTCTTTGTTGGTCTGCAGGCTCTTCGTCTGACGTGTTCGTTGTTCGAATGACGATCGGGCGAGCAAGGGCTGAATCACTCGCAGGTAAGGGGCAGCCAGTGCGATCTTGACGTAGACGCGCCAATCCCATATTCCTGCTTGGCTTGGAATGGCATGCAATGGGCAAGGGGTCAAAGGGGCTGGTTTGCTGCTGGGCAACCGCAAGTCGAGTGCCTCGCTTACTGGCCCGGGAAATGCTAGCGACAGGTCGCGACGGTGGGCGGTACAGTTATGCGGAGGCTGTACGAGGTCGTCGCCTGTACGTGCCGCCTCGCTTGTATTCCTTTTTCCCACCCAGCGTGCATGCGGAGGAGGGTGGTTCACTAGCACAGGAGAGGGCACGCAGCCTCCAGTCCGCTGCCCATCTGTGCACTGGCGCAGGGTTGGCTCGTACAAGACTCGCTTGTGGCGCGGTGTGCTCTGCAGGCTGCAGCTCGGCTATGGCGCTTCATTCCCTCTTACCTGCATCTCGGACCTGTCAAGCAGTCGTGCATGTGGTACCTCTGGTCTCGTCCATTGGTCCTTTCCCATCCTCTGCTCGTAGGCCCGCTTCGTCATCGGTCTCGAGTGACAGTACCTGCGTGCCTGGTCAGCTTCAGGTACTGCTGGCCACCTGCCTCGACTCGATCCTGCCTTTGCCTGGTCCGGCATTGTGCTTGTCCGCTGTACGAAGTTCTGCAGGCCATCGCACGGTTTGCCTCTCGGTATCGCCGAAGCACATCGTCAACTTTGTTTCGTCCTTTGACATGCCTTCTTGGCGTCGCCGCGAAGCTCTCACTGCCGCTGGAATGCCTCCGTCGTCCTTCATGTGGACTGCCACTGCCCTCGATTCTGCATCCTTGCTCGATATCCGAGGCGAGCCCCTTCCATAGCAGCCGCTCATCGACAGCCCCTTCGCCAATTCTTTGACTGCTTCTCCTGACACCCTCTTTGCCTCTCTTATTCTCATCCCCTGGCTTTCACTCCTCTGCTGCCGTGCCTACGTTCGCGACCCCTTGCCGACACCCGCCTCTGGTACCTGTTCAACACCTACTCCATCCTTCCACTTTCCTTAAAAGACCCCTCGCATCTACCAAACACACGTCCAATTCCGATCATCCCCCCTTGCTTCATCAGCGATCCACGCGCCCACCATCAGCTCGACTCGCTTACGTCCCTCCCTACCTACAGCATCACCACCTCACTGTTTGGTCATCGTTTCCTTTCGCTACGTCCGCTTGCACCTTCGACCCCTCGACACTGCAGCTATTGATCTAGCTTCAGCCTCCATCCCCCCAGCTTCATCTTGCTTTCCAACCTTATTTCGCTGCATCAGCTGTCACTCTCGGCACCCGCACTTACGGCATTTATCCTGCTTTCATCTCCGATCGCGTTATAAAGGCCTCCATCAGTATCGCTTCATCGCCATCAGCTCCCCTCTTCCACCAAAGCTTCTAGTTCCTTCCCCCCGTCCCTGATACATCCTCGCAGCCATGTCTTCTACACAGGCATCCACATCTGCTTCGGCGCTCAACTCCAGCTTCCTTCGCCGACACCCCGCCAGCTTGATACCCAAGCTAGCCCACAATCCCGCCATCACCGACCTCATCAAGAGCCCAGTGACGCGCGAGATGGTTGTCTACCTGGCCAACCAGGCCGCTCACGTCATCCAGTGCGGCTCGACACAATCACCCGACACACCACCGGCGACACCAACACGATCCATCGCCTCGGCGGAAGCGGATCCTGCCGGCAAGCTCGAGATCAACGGTCTGCCCAGCCTGGAGACCTTCATTGCTCTCCTTGTCGAGCGATCCAACGTTCAGGTTCCTACCCTCCTCTGCACCCTCGTCTACCTGGAGCGCCTCAGGTCAAGACTTCCACGCGTTGCCAAGGGCATGCACTGCACCCGTCATCGTGTGTTCCTCGCCACCCTGATCGTCGCCGCCAAGTACCTCAACGACTCTTCGCCCAAGAACAAGCACTGGACCAAGTACGGCGCTCTCTTCTCTCAGGCCGAGGTCAACCTCATGGAGAAGCAGCTCCTCTACCTCCTCGACTACGATCTCCGCATCGAGGAGCACGAGCTTATGGTCCACTTTGCCCCCTTCTTCCGTCGTGTCGAGACCCGTGCCGAGGCCGGTCGTCGCGAGATGCACCTTCGTGGTCTCGAGTGCGGTCGCGAGCGCGAGCGCTACGTCCGCGCAAGCGAGCGTCGCGTCCACCTCCGCAACCTTCCCGCCTCCGAGGTGCCGTGCTGGAACCAGAAGAGCGAGTCGAGCCGATACGAGCAACACCGCCGCTCCGAGGCATACGACTCGCCCGACTCGCTCGATGCCTCGCCCAAGGAAGTGTACAGCCACTCGTCTTCGTCCCTCATGAGCCGACAAGACTCTGTCGAGTCCACGATCAGCTCGACGTCATCCGAAGCTGAGCTCACCGACGATAACGGCTCGTCTTCGTCGTCGGCTGAAGACTACGACGATTACGAGGATGACTACCTCGAGCAGGAGGGTCTCGACGCACGCATGCAACAGCACTCTGTTTCCGGCATGTCATCGAGCCAGTCCCAGCCGGTCATGGTTGCCCACGGCGATGACCTCGACGGTCACAAGTCGGGTTCCACCATGCAGCGCTACCTCTCGCAGGCTCTGCCATCGAGTCTCAAGAAGAGTACCTCATCGCACATGGACATGCAGCAACCAAGTCAAGCCCACATCCCCCTTTCACACTCGATGCGCAGCGTGCGCAGCAGCTCAAATCTCTTGTCACGAATGCTCGGTGGACACCAGTCTTCCGCTGCATACTAGACAACACTCTCCTACCTCTTCTTCCTCCTCGGGATCCGGATTGAGTCTCATGAGTCTCTTGTCATCTCGCGTGGCAGTTACATGGTGTCGAAGGTGCGTGATACGCCTGGCGCGTTCATCGATCGCTTCGACAGCCACTTGCTTGCCACCGTGGTGGCCGAGATAGGATGGACAACCGTCGGTCACCAGAATTTTCCTTTCTCTTCTTTCGTCCAGTATTAGTAGCATCGTTTTTCTCTCTCTCTGTCTCTCTCCAGTCGTAGCATTCAGTCAAGGTCATGGTCAACACCCTCATCACTACACTAGCATTTCCCCTCCAACACACACTCTCTAATCAAAAGGACACTTAGCGCGTCCTGGGTTGGCAAACCTTTCACACTAGCATCCTCATCGTCTATCAGCATAGTATTTATTTCTCTGCTTAGTCTTCAACTTCTTTTTCTTGCAAATGCAAAAAGCAAAACTAAAGATTGCGAACAACAAAACAAACAAATCCTTGTGTGCTCGTGTGTCGTTTCCTCTTTCTGTCTTGTCTTGTCACGAATGTCACTGCGTAGCTCGACCGTGACACTAGCTGTACCCCAGATCGTCAGCTTTGCCTTAGCTTTGCTGCAACAGGAAAGCCCGTGCGGCGACTTCAGTGGTACAGTAGTACGAGCTGTCATGCAAGGGGCGTGGACACGCGCTCTCGGATAGCTTGCCACCATTTTTAAGCGAGCTACAGAATTACGACGACAGTCCTCGAACGCCATCTTCCCGATCTTCGGCAGCGACACCTGACAGACGAACGACAGGCGGGAGCCGACGACCGAAGTTTGTAGTGGCAACAGACCCTTTCTGAATATGCGGGGGACAGATAGTGTGAGATCGTTGTTCAGAAAGAGTTAGCGAGCTGCGGAGCGGATCCGCGCAATCTAGATCGCTGAGTCACGAGTATGAAAGGATCCCTTCAGAGCTGATGTGCGTGAGCAAAGTGAACGAGGCAAGTTGCTCGTCTTCCAAGGCTCGTCCTGGCAACTTGCTCGTCTTCCAAAGCTCGTACTGTGCTAGAACTGGATTTCCCAGTGCACGCACTGCAACGGCAAGCGGACCTTCAGTGAACTGGTAGTACAACGTATTACTGCCGATCCGCAAGAGTCGATGGTGAGTGAGAGTTAACAATACCCAGAGATCCTGACCAGGCCATTTCTGAGCGGAGACCACGGACTGCCTCTCAGTCGAAGTCGCAGCATCACTTGACCTCGACGACTGAGCTGAAGAGGCTGAAACCGAGTATCAAAAGCTGAATTGTCCCGCTCGATCCAAAGGTCGTGGCTTGAGACCCACGAGAATGTAACAGAGAAAAAAAGCTCGTATCTCCTCACCCCCTAGAGATGTTTCACCGAGTCGCCATCTGTAACAGTCAACGGTCAGTCGTATTTGCCGATTGCATGCATGCGAGACACAAGTGGTCCAACAACTGGCATTCCGCCCCTTCTCTGAGCGCTAGACTGTGCGACAGTTGTGTCAATGCAGCAACGATCGATGTCCGCTACATCGAACGGTAGTCTTTGCGGTTCATTCAACTCCTGATCGAAAGGTTCGTGCCGGTAGACACTCAAATTGTCGCCAGGGTACGGTATTAGCTAGCTGGCCGGTCGTGATCAAAGTACGTGTTGAACTCCGCATGTCTCCGCTCGCTCACTTCTCGACACTGTGTCTCGCTCTCCAGATCCATCAGGACTTTAGACGCGTGGCTTGACCGTGGGTTGTGCTTGTTCTTGTTCAGTTTCTGACTTAAGCCAATACCGCTCAAGCCACGAACGCAGCCTTTTCCGACAGCCTCGACTCACTTTAGCCTCGGCTCAGGGCTTTAGCATCTGTATCCTCGTCAGAACGGATAAGGCGTACGCATGTACCGTGGCACCGTGAATGTCAAAAGCCAGGCGAGAAGTTGATAGCTAATGGATGAGTGAAAATCAAATCGAAATATTTCAAAGTGCGACGTCGACGGCTTCCGCTGAGTGGAAATCGGAGGGCCCAACTGTGGAACCGCATCTGGTGAGTCTTCATAAGCGGTCAGGTCCACCCACGGTACTCCACCTGTCAAGCGCTTCCCAATCGGACCCAGAGACAGTACGAAACTGGAAATTGTCTGGATTTCAGGCACGTAGCTTGTGTCTTTTGATCCGCATCCGCACACCTTGCGGTGGCTGACATCCAAAAGCCACCGAAGCGAACTTGCCTCCCTTACAGTGTCGTGTACAACACTCAGCTAACTCACAGTCGCACTGTCCAGTCTCGGCTTCTTCTCCTCATACCCCGTTACGCGATCATCTGCAGCCAAGGTGTCAAAGCCACGTTTTTCTTCGAGCCGAACTCATTCACCTGTCGCACTTTTGGCTTACTTTTGAGTCTGGAGCTTCCTTTTGTACGGGCGTTGGTGGCGTCCTTAGAGGGAGGTTCATGCGATACTCACTCGCTGCTGTCCCCTTGCTCTGTGTAGGTCAGCCTCTCGGGATTTTGGCAGCCCTTACAGCGGCTTCTGGCCGTTCCGAGGCTGCATCCCTCGTTGATTCTTATATCTGTCAGGCAATCAGCTGAGCCACATGGAAACCCCCCTTCGCTCTTGGCCACTCTGATACGCCATCCTGACCGCCGCGCGTTTGTGACAACCCCACCACAAAGTCTTGTCGGTTGCTCTCGCTCTGCACTTGGCACCAAAGACTCAGTTCATTCATATACTGTACCAACCTCGCCTCGAAGGAAGTTCTCATTTGGACCCACCCAACCCTTTTCTCTACCCATTTCCTCAGCCCACCATCATCGCTTCATCATGACCGACTGGAACTCGCCCGCTGTAATCGCGCAGGCTTTCTACGCCGCTACGGCGCTCATGTGGCTCTTCGTGGGCATCTTTGCCTATGATTCCGTGCAGTATCTTTGGTTCGACCTCTCGATTGTCTTTGGCAAAAGGCAGCGAAGATGGCCACAGCTTCCCTACCTTCTCAGCAAGCTGCTCTTGTGGTCCTACCTCGTCTCTACCATGGTGCTTATCCTCGCCAACACCGAGATCGACTGCAAGGCTACACTCTACGCCATCGAGACGCAGATGGGCCTGATCACCGTGTGTTCGTCGGTGATGCTGGCGTTCCGAGCAGTGTGCGTGTACAGTGGCAAGGCTCGTACCGCGGTCACGGCGGTGCTGGGTATCATGACGCTCGGTCTGCTCGTCGCGTGGATGCAAGGTGTCAACGATGTGCAGGCTGCATGGATCCCGAACGCCGGCAATCAATGGGCCGAGGGAACCTGCTTCTTCACTTCGATCTCGAAGGAGTATGCGATCAAGTACATCGTCACCATCGTATTCGACTTTGTCGTCATGGTGCTCACCGTCGTCGGTGTGGTGCGTATGAACAGCGGATCGCGCATCGGAACGGTGTTGGTCCAGCAAGGTCTGCAGTACTTCCTCGCTACGTTCCTCATCAACGCGCTCGTAGCAGGTCTGACGCTCGCCAACCTCAACCCGGTCATGTCGCTCATCTGCGCCATCCCGAGCTCTACCGTGTGCGTCATGTGCTCAACCCGACTCTACGTCCAGCTCGCGTCGGAGGCCAAACCCCAACCCGGCGGTGTCGACTCTTCCCGTCTCAGCACGTCTTGGAGCGGTTCGGAAAAGTTCTCTCGCTTCTTCAAGCGCTCGAGTCGGCTTCACCCATCGTTCGCCCTGCGCAGCACTGCATCCTCGTCCAACAATGGAACCGCCGTTAACTCGCACGGCGTCAGCGCGCTCAGCTACAACATGCACAACGGCGCGCACTCAACGGCTGATGTCAAGAGCGTCGGAACCACCACTTCGCATGAAGACGTCGAGGCACAGATTGGGGTCCGCGCTACCCCCACCGTCAACATCATCGAAGAGCGCACTGTCGTCGCGGAACCTATGCCTGAGCATTTGGCAGGTTTTCTGTCCAGTCAGGATACCGCCAATGCAGGCGTCAAGGGGCACTTTCCCCGTCTGAGCAAGTCGTAGTCGCGTACGCGGACTTGTGGTACAGTAGTCACTCGGTTTCAGCAGTCACTTGGGTTTTAGCAGTCACTTGGTTCTAGCGCTATGAATGTGAAGGTCTTCTTGTTCAAAGCTTGGCATCGCTCAGCCGCAGTGTGTGCCCGGTTGAGCTGTTGATCGAGTGTGACCTTCAAGTGCATGTGATGGTAGAACTCACTCGGTGGTCTGTGAGAAGTTTATCGAAACGACTGTGGACCCTGAATAACCAGAGGCGCGGAACAGCGAACGAGCCATGTCGCACAAAATTCGCGCTAAGAGCTTCCTCTGCTGGGTGTTCAACAAGCTCCCGTCCCCGAGGACCTTTGCTTTTCTCCTCCCCGCATCCAGAGATCACCCACACTTTCGTCGACGAGCCTGCTCGCTCAACACATCTCATATTTGCACCTTTCCTCAAGCATCTTACATCGGGCGAGCGAGCGGAAAGGAATCGACTTGTCCAACACATTTGGTACTCGAGGAACGACGAAATCCCTGACGCCTTGTCCACCTCATAAGGCAAGGATGCCACGGCTGGAAACCAGCTCTGGCTGGTCACGTTTCAAAGACGACGTGCGGGCGCTGTTCTCTCCGAGCACAGGATCAATATCTGCACGGACGACCATCCTCAAACAGCTTCTGTTGCGGTCTGTCCGCATCTCGCTCGGCTCCTCTTCCTCTTCCTCCTCGACCGCACCTGTGCTACCGCTTCGAATCCGACCTGCGTTCGTACTGCTCAACATCCTCGATCTCATCTTCCTCGGCGTATTGGGCTTCCATCCACGAGGTCAAACATGGATCCGCATCAACGACAAAATCCTCCACTTTGTGTGCTTCTTTCTCGCGACGGCAATGTTCTACATGATCTGGGACGTGGACGAGCCGGCACGCGCCAGCGCTATCTGGCGCAATGCCTCTCTGTTCCTCACTGGAGTGACGTGCTTCTTGGTTGGTGGGATCGGAAGTGAAATCGTGCAGAGCCTGTTGCCGTACAAGGTGTTCCAGATTGGCGATATCGTTGCCAATTTGTTGGGCAGCTCGTTGGGACTATTCTTCAGCTTTCACCTGGAAAAGAGGTACAGGGCTAAGCGGGAATTGGAACGCTTATATGCGCCGCTGGACATCGAAGACTATGGGGATGTGGACGAGGAAGAGTACGAAGAGGGGGAAGAACTGACCGACGTAACGAACGGTGGCGCACAGGCAGGAGCTGGGAGAGGGTTGAGATCAAGTTTGAAGCAGAGTCATGATGGGAGAGGCAGCTCAGCCGGGAGGAAAAAGACTCGCTTCGACGACAGCAACATTTGGGATGACAGCGTCGATGGATTCGGTGCAGAGATGCCGCAGCCGACAACCGTCGTTGCGATGGGCGGTGCCCCGCAGGAATCTTCGTCCAGCGCAGCTGCTGCAAAGCCAGTCTCCAAGCAGGACCTGTTCTCGATCGACGATGATGAAGAAGACGAGGAGGATGATCACGCTGTTCTGCCAAAGGCTGCGAGCCACGAAGCCAATGTGTGGAAGCAGCCGGATTCATGACCTCTGTCTAAGCTGCGAAGCTATATCGGCAAGATCTCAAACTGCATCGCATCGGGGGCGATCCACACTCAATTTGAATCAAACCAAAAACATAGCAACGTTGACGTAGTTTGGTCTCGGTGAGCAGCACCTTTCGAAATTCATGTCGATTTTCCAAAACAAGGCACGAGAAGGCAGAATGCGCACAATTCTTTGATTTAGAACCTGCGGCCTGGAGCGCCGCTGCCATGTGCGCACCTTCCGCTGGTTTGCAGCCCGAGCCTGCGATGCAGACCTCGCATCGGCGAGACGTGCGCTATCACCGCTGCCCACCTCCGCCATTTGCAACCCGAATTCGCGTTGCCATGGAATCGACTCTGAGGGGCCCTCGAATTCACGCCTGAAATGCTAAAAATGTATACAGCGTTCCAGTGTATGTTCTGTCGGACGGGCAGCATCATGCGCTGTTTACGAATTGGCTGTCGGCTTGATTGTTGGAGAGCTTCCCTCCTCGTCACCACCACCATCGCCATACTCCACTCTAAGCCTTCACTGTTACTGGTAGAAAGGGTGTTCGATCAGGCGCCCCGTTCGTGTGACAGCAATCCCATCTGCCGCGATCGCCGTGCTCGTGCTCGTTCCCGCATCATTCGCAGAGCAGCTAGCCTCATCCTCTCTTCAACTCTTCCTCGCATTCATCTTTTGCAACAAGTATCAGCACACATCCGCGGCATCCCATCCATCATGTCAAGGCAAACTCTCTCGGCGGTGCTCACCGTAGCGCTGCTCGCCCTCACCCTCCTCCCCGACCTCACTTCGGCCCAGGATGCACTCACATTCCAAAACGTCACCTCCCTCATGGGCACCTGGTCTTCCGGCTCCCAAAACGTCACCACAGGCATCGAGTTCTTCAACCCCATCACGCAAGAATTCACGCTTCCCGCCACCTCCGGCATCTCGTACTCCTTCACCGACGACGGCTACTTCGAAGAGTCGCGCTACCAGTTCGTCTCGAACCCGGTCACCAACCGATGCTTCAAGGCGTCGTTGATCTGGCAGCACGGCACCTACGCCTTCCACTCGAACGGCTCCATCACCCTGCAACCTTACCCCGCGGACGGGTACATCCAGGTGTTGGATCCGTGTGGCGCCCAAACCAGCTCCATCTACCGCTACGCCGAGTTCGAACTCATCAGCAGCTGGTACAACTTTCAGGACGATCATCCCGGGTTCATGGCTAGCGGCACTTCGGCGTATGCGCTTCAGCTGAGCCAGTTCGACGGAGCTAAGCTACCAATGCTGTTCCTCAGGAACCGTCCGCCAAACATGCTACCGACCAAACAGCTCTTCCAGCAAGTGCTCAACGATGCCGGAGCGTAAGAACCTCGGCTGTAGGTAGATAGAGCCGCCTCGCCGGCAGCCACTTCAACTGTATCGTATCGCATTCGACCCCGCCCGCGCGTCGATCTCTCAATCAATGGACACTCTTGCACTTCTTCTCTCACCGCTGATCTTGATACCACTCGACAAGCCCTCCCTTCCGAACTTGTCTGTTCTCTCTTCGTCTTAGCATACCACTCGTTCTTTCAATGCAAAGCCTCAGTCCTCTACAACCACATCCGCACGTTGTCAATCACTTGATGTGTTTCTTTTGTCATCGCAGATTCACTTCACAGCCTCGTACACGGCGTTGAGCGCCTCAGCTGCGGGAGCAAGCGCCTCTGTCGGTCCCTGATCTTTGAGTTTCTCCAGCGCAGGTCGGGTGCTCGCCGCGACGCGTGCCACCGCCTCCTGTCCCACCGCTCCCGTGCTCGTGCTGCCGTGTGCTCCGCGTGTTGCGTGGCACAGGCTGAGCACGAGCGCGCACGCATTGCTCGCAAACTGCGGCGGCATGCGTGCGTCTCTCCTGGCCAACACGAGGTCGACCATGTCGAGTGCACAGTCCGGTGGAGGCAGGGGATGCGATGAGGTCGAAGCAGAGCTGTCGACGGTAGAGCGTCGCCTTGGTTCTCGCGAGGCTAGTGCAGCGCTCACGTCGTTGTCCGAGTCCATGTCTTCGTCGTCGTCCTCGTTCGCGACGGCTTTGGTTGGCTGAGACAGCAGCGACATGCTGACCAGCTCGGCTCCCGTCGTGTCGCTTCCTACCAGCGTAAGGGCGATGATGCCCTCGTTGACGAGCACCGGATACTTTGGGCTGGTGCGGATCATCTCGGCAAGCGCTTGAATCACATCCCTACGCACCAACTTTTGCCGGGCGGCGAGGACCTCCTGCTCCGACAAGCTCTTGGAATCGTCGCTGGCGCCTCGCGGTGCGCTCGTCCAGAGACTCTTGACCACATTGACCAGCACACGCGTCGCCTCCATCTTGGTAGGCACGTCGTCGATGCGCTGGATCATGTCGATGAGCGCATTGAGTGCCAATGGATGCGAGGAGCCGCTCGACCCGCCCCCGACAAATCGTACCGCGTTCTCCGTGACGCCAGCGCAAAGATGTTTGAGCAAGCCCACGGTGGCAAACTGCAGAGGTTGCACCATGTCCTTGTCTCTACCCATTAAGCGCACTACGGCGTCGATCACGTCCAGACGACCGATCACGGCCTTGTTGGCGACGGGAATCGACAGATTCTTGAGCAACGAGACCAGCCCGTGAGCAACTTTGACGTCGTCGGCCTGCGCAAGCAACGTAGCGAGGAAAGGCGCCAGATTGTGCTCCTGCACCAGGCCTAGGCAGTGCGCATCGCTACGCGCCAGATTGCCGAGCGCAAGCATCCCGCAGCTCACAAGATCGTCGCGTGTCTTTGGGTCGTAGCGGATCCAAGCTTGGAGTCGACCAATGAACCCTGAGGAGCCATTGAAAAGCTCGACCATGTTTGCGTCATCGCCAGAGATGGCTACGACGGCACGTGCGATGGACGCCTTAGCCTGCGCAAATGCCTTGCGCATCTCTTCTGCCGCTTGAGCATCTTCTTCGGAAAGCGCGTCATCTTTGGGCGGTGCCGAATCCCCCGACGCGGGAAAATCGCGAACCCACTCGCGAGGAAGCTCTGCCTTCTCGACGAACGACATGAGCACATCGAGCCCGGACTGAAAGTATTTCTCGAGCTGAGCGGCTGTCGGACGATCGGTGTCCGGCTGAAAGCGTTGGACAGCTCGTTGACGGAGCTCGGGCTCCTCGGCCGCGCACGATTCGACGAGCGTTGCGACGGTCTGGAGGATCTCGGCATCCGAGTCCACCAGATCCTCGACGTCGTCGGCTTCCAACTCGAGTCTTTCCTCTTGCTTGGTGTCGACGAGCTGACTCAGAGCGTAGAGCGACAAGGGTCGGAGCAGATCAGACAGGCAGCGACGCGAGAGGATGGATCGTACGTCGTGCGATGTTGCGTCATCGTCATCGTCGACGAGGTCGGCATCGTGCATCTCATCGGAGGGCGTGCCAGGTTGGTCCTCCTTCTCTTCTTTGGCGTCATCGAAGATCTCCTGCACCACACGCCACGCCCAACTGGCGACGGTGGCGCCGATTCGAAGCTTGTCGATGACGTCCACATCGTTCTCCATCTCGACTGTGCGAGGCATGGCCCAGAGGTGCGGAAGGTACATACGCGGGTGGGAAGCCACCGAGGCAAGAGTGGTGATGCACTCCACGTTGGCCAACGACTGGCGTGTAGCGATGTGTTCGAGCTGCATGTTGAGGACGGCTCCCATAGCCGCACGGAGAAGGGTGAGGATCTTGACCGAGAGAAGCGCGGTTGACCTTGAATGGTCCTGTTTGCGCAGGACAGCATCCACAGCCGCCAAGACGGTAGGTGCGGCACCGACGCCTTGAAGGATGGAGCGGTTGGCGTCGTGGTCGATGCATAGGTTGGCAAGCACACGGAAGATCTCGATGGCGGCTTCTAGGTATTGATGGTTTGGCTGCTGGGCCGAGTCTGCGTGGAGCCAGAGCTGCAGAGCAGAGACGCAGTCGGCGGGTAGCCGAGACGATCCGAGGGAGGTGCGATGACGACCGGTGCGCAAGACATCGGCGATGGGTTTGAGCTGCGCTGCGAGGTTGTTCCAGAGGTCATTGAGCTCGAAATCTTGGGAAGAGGAAGGGGAGATGGAGAATGAAGAGCGCGTTGCTGGGCCGTCGGAGAAGAATGAGTCGTTGGGTCGGATGTTGGAGGGCGATGCGACGACATCGGAGGCATCCGAAGTGAGCGCTGTATCGAGCTGAGGAAGCAACGGAAGTCCCGAGGCCAAATGTCGGCTTGAGGCCGCCTGAGCGCGGGAGGAAGCTTCGGCTTTGTCGGTAGAGGCTCGATCAGGAGCCGACTCGGGGGTGATGGTGCTGGCTATCGAGCTGCCTGTTGCCTGGCGTGCGGGTTGTGAGGAGGACTCGCCAGAGAACGAGACGCCCGAGTCGTTTGTGATCTTGTGGATGGTCGAGGTCTTGTGGATCTGGTGCACAAGCGCCGCCAACTCTGTCTTGAATCGACCGGAGCCTGACGAGCTCGAAGATGCGCTGGAAGCTCTCATCCTGACACAGAGAGCTCGAGGTTGTCCGTGAGAGCAGTGATGTCGCTTCAAAGAGGGTCTGCGTGGATAAGATTGGGAGTGAGAGGGGAGTGGATGAGCGTGCTGAAACGAGAGCATGTCGCTGGCCAAGCGGTCGTGTTTGGTCTCATGGGCTGATGCGAGAGTGCTGTCGGCATGTGTTGGAGCGATAGATTGTGTGCAGCAGCAGACGTCTGGTTATACGTGCAAGTCGTGGTTGATGAGCGGACAGTACTCGATGGGCCGTCGAGTTGGGCGATGATATAGAATGGCGACGCCTGTCTACTTACGATGAGAAGATTTGATGACACCAAGAAGCGGAGGCAAGCCGAGCGCCGGGCCTTGGACAAGGACTGTGCACGATTGCACCACTGAAGCTGTGAAGACGACGAGACAATAGGATGAGGCCAAGAGGGTCTGTCTGCTCAAAGCGGTGTTCGGAGTGGAGGAGTCGCATCGCAATCCCACCAGAACGAAGCGCCGAATAGCGTCAGTGCAGGGTCCGCACTCTGCTTGGCAGGCACAGCATCCAGTCAACTGGCACTGCTTTCCTCCCTTTTTTTGGGTGCCATGATCGGCTGATTTCAAGCTCAACACAACCTTAAATTTCAGTCCAGCTTTCAGGTGCTCAGCACCGCAATGAGTGAGAGGAAGCAAGCTTGACCTCCAATGGCCCATCTTAGATCGGTCCTGATCACTTAGAGCGCCTCGAAAAGGTGCACGGAAGATGATGGCATTTGAAATTGGCCGGTGTGAGTGTCACATGCGCCGGTCTCAGACGGCTATGGTCGAGGTCGATCCTTTCTTTATGCACAGTGATCATCACAGAAAAAGAAAGGCGCGTGGGCAGTCGCTGACGCTGCAAGCCTCGGCTGGCTGCATCTCAATTTGCACAGCCCCGCGTCACGAGCGTAAAGCACACAAACGTGCACCATAGCTTCACTTCTCTGCCACCGATACTCTTTGCCAATACCCCGAACAGGAATGGATCATGATCGTGCTACGAATGGACCATTTACCGAGCACTGTGAGGGTAGTAAAGGCTTCTGTTGCCTTCGACCATTCTGATGATGCGTGCATGGCATCGCTGCCAAGCCAGGCGGGGCGTCGAATCAGACACAGCCGCGGGTTCCCAAGCGATTCGACCGAAGGTTCTGTTCAACCAGTGGGGCTTGGCAGCACCGCCTTTTAATCAACAGCAATTTTCCACCCTCAGCTGTTAGTTCCACGGAATGTTAGACCTCTGGGTTAACATTGATATCGAGCGAGGGCCACGTGACGAGTGCCATCGTCAATGGAGCAGCTTCACAGGTTCTGGACCCCGCAAGCGTCTGTGCAACTCGTCGCTTCTTCGTCGCCTATCCCATCATCGCCATCACCACCAACAGCAACTCCCGACGCTTCTCTACAGCGTATCGTTGCCCGACATGGTCTTGTCCGATCTCGGCAGGCGCATCAACACCGCCTTCCAAGACCTTTCCAAAGTCCCCACCGTCGACGCCGCCTCGATCGACCAGCTTCTCAAATCCGTCTGCAATGCACTCATCGAAGCCGATGTCAACGTCAAGCTCGTCGCCAACCTTCGGTCGCAGGTCAAATCACAAGTGACTGCGCTGCTCAACGACAAGGCAAACGCCAACTGGTCCGATGCACAGCGTCGTCAGCGCGTTCAGAAAGCGGTGTTCGACCATCTCGTTGCCCTCGTCGACCCGCTCCACGGACAGACCAAGACCGATGATGAGTCCGGTGCCGTCGTCGCCTCTGGCAATGCCGGTCCGGGAGACATCTTCAAGCCCAAAAAGGGCAAACCCAACGTCATCATGTTTGTCGGTCTTCAAGGCTCTGGAAAGACGACATCGTGCACCAAGCTTGCTCTCTACTACCAGAAGCGCGGTTTCAAGACCGGTCTCGTCTGCGCCGACACCTTCCGAGCCGGTGCCTTCGATCAGCTCAAACAGAACGCCAGCAAGATCAACGTCCCCTTCTACGGAAGCTACACCGAAACTGATCCCGTCGCCATCTCCGCCGCAGGTGTCGCCAGCTTCAAACAGAACCGATTCGAGGTCATCATCGTCGATACCTCCGGTCGTCACAAGCAGGAGCAGGAGCTTTTCGATGAGATGCGCGAAATCGACGCTGCCGTCACACCCGACCTGACCATCATGGTTCTCGACGCCAACATCGGTCAAGCTGCCGAGGCCCAATCCCGCGCTTTCAAGGAAGCCGCAGGGTACGGTGCCATCATCGTCACCAAGTTGGACGGCCACGCCAAAGGTGGTGGTGCCATCTCCGCCGTCGCCGCTACCAAAACGCCCATCATGTTCATCGGTACAGGTGAACACGCAGCCGATCTCGAACCCTTCCGTGCCCAACCCTTCATCTCCAAACTGCTCGGAATGGGCGACATCACCGGATTGATGGACAAGATGGAGGAGATGCAGATGAACGGTGGACAGGAACGACAGCAGGAGATGCTCAAGAAGATCGGCGAAGGTGGTGTCTTCAGCATTCGCGATTGGAGGGAGCAGCTGTCCAACATCATGGGCATGGGTCCGTTGAGTAAGATCGCAGGAATGATTCCGGGTATGGGACAGATGTTGAGTGGTGCAGGGGGGGATGACGAGGCGGCGGGTGGAAAGATGAAGCGCATGATGTTCATCACCGATGCCATGACTGCTGAGGAGCTCGACAGCGATGGAAGGCTGTTCTATGTTCCGATCCGATCCAAAAAGCCACCGGTTGCCGATACCAAGGAAGTTGCTATCGCAGAGAGCTCCACCGCAGCGGAAAAGAGCAAGAAGAAGAAGAAACCTCAACCCAAGGTTCGCATGACCGCTCGAGCTCGTCGTGTCGCCCGTGGCTCCGGAACATCCGTCAAGGAGGTGGAAGAATTCCTCATGCAGTACAGGATGGTCGGAAAGATGATCAACCGTTTCGGTGGCAAGGACGGATGGCTCAAACAGATGCAAGGTGGGGCAGGTGGTAAGGGTAAGATGCCAACACCGGGCATGCTACCTCCGGGGATGTCGCGGGAGCAGGTCATGCAGATGCAGAACGCCCTCCCACCCGAGATCAAAGCCCAACTCCGTCAACCTGGCGGTCGAGAGAAGCTGATGCAGCAGATCCAATCGGGTAACATGCCAGAAGGTCTAGCCGGTCTCGCCGGAGGAGGTATGGGTGGCTTAGGAGGTCTAGCCAATATGTTTGGCGGTGCTGGTGGTGGTGCTGGCGGAATGCCCGACATGTCGCAGCTAATGTCGCAAATGGGTGGCATGGGAGGAATGATGAACATGATGAAGGGCATGATGGGAGGCGGCGCTCCACCACGCTAAGAACGACGAGCACGTCTATGTAACCGATGGTCTTTTGCCTCGATATCGTCGAGACGATGGGTTAGAGCGGCCAAGATATCTCCATTGTCGGCGACTTTTCTCGCGGCAGACATGTCAATTTTATTTCATTTGCTGCATGCACCTCCGACATGAGTCTGTGCGCCACTCAATTCAGACTCAAGCTGACTGGAATGAAGAGCCATGGAATGAAACGCACAACCAAGACACTGCTTTCATATGGATTCAAAATGTAAGTTTGATTTTGGAGCACAACTCGGCACGACCACGACAAAACTCAAAAGAAGACAAAGTGGGCAACACAACAGGAACAGCTCATGACATGTTTGGATAAGGAGACGCCTGTGACTGGCCTTGCTGCTGCTGCTGCTGTTGCGCAAAGCGCTGCTGATGATCACCATACTGCGACGCCGATCCAAAGCCTGCATTGGCGTTGCTCATTTGATCAAACGGCGAGAACGACGAGACGCCGCCAAACCCGCCCATGCTGGCGCCGTAGCGGTTGCCGCCGAACTGCTGCTGCTGCTGTTGCGCAGCCTGAAGCTGAGCGCGGTTCATCGACATGATCGCTGGGTCACCAAAGGGCATGTCGGAGCCGCCAGATTGGCCTCCGTAATTGGCGCGACGTCCTGCAAGCAAATGCGCCAGAAGAGGATCGGATGGGTTAGAGTTGCCGTTGCCGTTGGGTCGACCGGCTTCCGAGAGTTCTCTTCCGGATGCAAACTGGGCCTGCTGCTGTGCTCGTTGAGCCGCCTGCTGCTGAAGATCGGCGAGGAAGCCGCCACCGCCGCTTCCATTTGAAAGCTGAGACGTCTGTTGCTGTTGCTGCTGTTGTTGGTGCGAAGCCGACGCAGAGCCGAGGTTGCTGCCGCCCATCTGGTGCAGCGACGCCAGCAGAGCTTGCTGCTGGCGACTGGCGGGCGCAGAGATGCCAGGAGGTGGCGTGTTGGTGCCAAACCTGCTTCCGAACCCAGGACCGCCGATACCAGGAGGCGGTCGGGAGAGACCCATGCCGGGGAAGCCGCCAGTCTCGCGGCTGTGCAATCCAAACGCCGCGGCCGAGGCTCCACCGTCTCCGAGTCCGTTGAGCCTGTTCGAGAGATTGTCCTGATCAAACACGCTGCCCAACATGCTGGTGACGTCCTTTCCGGCTCCGAAGCTGTCGCTCTCGCGCATACCCTGCATCAATTCGGTGCGCAGAGGAGAGGCGCTGATGAACGAATCCGACTCTTTCCGTTTGGCAAAGTCGAAGCGCGAGGCTCGCTTCGAGGCGTCATGACCGGTTTCGAGCGAATCATCGTGAGTCAAACCTCCCATGTCACCGCCTGCAAGATGATTCTGACCCAAGATCGTCCTCGTCTGATCCGCGATGGTGAAAGATGTCGGGTACGCATTGTCTGCTGCAAACGAGCTGCCGTCTTCCTTGATCGTCTCTCCGGCGCCAGGCGCAAAGGGGTCGAAGGAGCCAGAGTAGGTGAGCGGGGCTGGAGAGGCGGTCGAACTGCGATTCGGCGCCCTTACGATGCCAGGTGGTGGCGTGCCAGCCGTGACGAGGCTGGCATGGGCAGCCAGAACGCCAGGAGGTGGACCAAAGGGACTGAAGGTGGTGAAGGCGCTGGTGAGCTCCGAGGGTCCGTCGTTGTTGGCGAGCTGCTGGTTGGCGGGCAAGTTGAACGAAAAGTCGCCGTCCTTGAAGCTGGACAGCGCATCGTCAAAGTCCGGGAAGGGGCTGGGCTTGACGATCTCGGGCTGCGCTTCCCGCCTCTGCAGCATGTCGTCCAGGACCGCCTGAGCGCTCGATGATGGCTGGTAGTTGGATCTGGGATGGTCGCTGTCAGTGTGTGGCGTGGCTGGTCGAGAGTCGGTTGTGGATGCAGATCTGGCCAAGCCAGGAGGCGAAGAGGGCTTGACGAGTCCGGGCGGCGGAGGGAGAGCCGAGTCGGTGGTCGAGGCTTTGGCTGTCGCTGAATCTTTTCGAGGGGTGGCTGAGGCCGCCGGTGCAATCGAGCCGAAGTCGGTGGCTGTCGATGGCGTCGCGACTGCTCTGCTTGGAACAGGTGAAGAGGGCTGCGACTGGCCGGGAGAGTCGGTTGCAAGCAAGGCCGGCGAATCTGGTCGTCCCGTAGCAAGGACCAGCTTTGACTTGGAGTTGGAGGAGAGCTGCTTCTGCGCTTTGGGTGTCGACGGCTTTTGCGAGCTCACTTTCCTCGCTAGAGCCGAGGCCGAACTAGCCGAGAGCGGTGGCATGTCAGAGTCGCGGAACGGACTGCCGACGGCGATAGGAGCCGGCGAGCCCGCGGCCGACACGGGCTTGCCGGATGCCCATGATGCGGTCTTAGGCAGCGCCGAGGATTCGGCATCGGCAGCGCTGAGGAAGTCGGAGCGTTTTGGCGGCTGTGTGATGCCCAAGGAGGCTGGCTTGATCTTGTGCTCGGCGTCTTTGGCGGCGTGTCGCAGTGTGGAAAGGTCCTCTTTGGTGAAGCTGTCGGCCTCCTCGCCAGGTTCATGCAGGTAGGTGCAGCCAGGATTGGTGCATGGCAGGTTGCGAAGGTAGGTGGTGCAGTACTTTGTGGTTCCGTAGCTTGCTCGCACGATTCGGCCGTCGCTGCCTTTGCTGCCATCGATAGCAACGATAGCCTTTGCTGCGTCCTCTTTGCGATGATAGGTGACGTACACGCCGAGAGCGGTCTCTGAAGTGCCCATGACGAGCTTGGAGGCGGTGTTGCGCTTGCTGATGAGAATTTTGGAGATGCGACCGTACTGGCCAAAGTATTCGTTGCTGCGAAGGGTAGGGATGAGCTCCTCCTTGGCAAGCTTGGAGCTGAGGCCGACGACGTAGACAAGGTTCTTTTGCACCACACGCATGTTGGCGAGATGCTTGCGGTTCATGGACTCGAGCTCCTTCTTTTCCCTCTCCTTCTGTTTCTTTGCCTGGGTGAGCCGCTTGATCTCTTCAGCGGTCATGGGCTTGAACTCGACGGTCTGATCCGAGTACTTTCTACGACATGCGGGACATCGGCCATTGAGGTTCTGCTTGATGTGATGCCAGCAGAAGCGGCAGATCTGATAACCACAGGGACACGGCTTGAAGTTGGCGTCCGAGAGATCGATCTCTTCCAAGCACAACGGACAGTCCATATCCTCCTCTTCGTCGGACCAGTAGGCATCTTGCAAACGACATTGCTGCGCTTGGCTGACATCGAACTTGTTGGGCGCTGGCGGCAGGCCATTGGCGGTGTGGGTGGGCTCTGTGGCAGGGGAGCTGGCGGCATTGTGAGGGTTGGAGTAGGAATGTGAGGCGTGATGGAGCGAATTAGCTGCCGGCGCACCTGGACCGACCACGAGTCCGAGCGGTGGAAACGCTGGACCTGTGGTGCTGGATGTGGGAGCGGTTCTCTTGGCCATAATGGGATGGCAGCTTCTTGGGATTCAAGCTGTGGTCGCAACCGCTCGAGTCGAGACGAGAAGCTCGAGCACCGGGCAACGGGCAGGAAGGCGGGACGGATGTGATGGCGGATATGATGAGAGAAGGTGGCGCGAAGCGCACTGGCGATTTGGTATGAATGATAGGTCGTGCGTCGACGAGCAATACGACGACAAGAAGTCGATCGAGACCGATTCAAAGGGTTCGAAGGCGGTCGCGCGAGTTAATGCAGCGTCAGAGGCGAAACGTTGGGGTCAGAGGAATTGAGAGCCGACGCTGAACGATGAACGAGGTGTCGATGGCGTGGGACTGGGATGATGAACGATGAAGGATGAGCTAGTTGATGCTGAGAGGAAACTTGTCGACATCGAGGTTGAATGTCGACTTTCTGGAATCAAAGCGTCAAATTCGCCACGACCAAAAGACACACACACGAGAGCACTCGACACAGGCCCACACAGCGCAACCAAGCCAGTCGAGTTGGGTGCTGGCTCAGTTCTGTTCTGTTCAGACTGAGCCAAGAAAGTCACGCTCACGCTCACGCTCGCGCTCAACACTTCCACGTCCTTTGACACTCACGACACCCGCTCGAAACGATGTCGCCATCTGCTGCCTGAGCAAGGAAATTGGATTTTCCTTTTTCTTTTTCCTTTGCTGTTCCCTTTGGATGAATCGAGAGCCGTCTGCTGCCTCGATCTTTCGAATCTTTCCTTCGGCCAACTTGACTCTATTTCAAGCGTCGATTCTTCTCTTGGTCAGTCGATCACGACACGGGCACCAAACGAGGGTAGATTTAATCGGCCGGTAACATCGCCGTGCCTAGATTCTCTCCACATTCGGCAGTTGGGAGCTGCATCCACGAGCAGCAGCGATATCGGTGGAGCGTGCATCGACTTTGAGGTTGCACACCGCTTTCAGCATTGTAGCAACCATCCTTCCTTCTGCTCACGCTCTCGTCATCCGAACGAATCTCGCTCTCCACGTCACTGGCGATCAGTTAGGGCTGCTGGTAAAGCTAGGAGCTCCTAGTCAAGTCTCGAACAGGCTTCGTGACTTTGCAAAAGGCGGACAGTCGAACCATCGTCTCAGCCGATAATCCATCCGTCCGATCTCAACGACTGCCGAGCAACAGATTCTCACCATCATGGCGGCTGGACTCAAGAGTAAGTTCGATTCTTGCAAACAGCCGTCTTCCCGGTCGTCTCGTCAACCCTGGCAATTCACTTTTTGCTGACGCATCCAGCTTGTTTCCTCGCATTACAGCCATCATCCTGCTCTCGTTCGTGCTCGCACTCGGCTTCCTGCTCATCATTCTCTCCTGCGCACTGTGGTCCAACTGGTTGCCACTTCTGGTCGCGCTCATCTATGTTCTCACACCGCTTCCGAACAGCCTCTGTGCACGCTGCGCTGGCGCCGATGACTTTTCCGCCGACTACAACAGTGGCTTCTTGGACTTTGGCAACTTCATGACCGGTCTCATGATCGTCTCTGGGTTCGCATTGCCATTGTCGTTGGCACATTCGGGCGTCATCGCACCAACAGCTTGCTGGATGTCCATCGCCGGTGGTGGCCTCGTGTACGGCACCATCTTGACCTACTCTGGCTTCTTCAACGAGACAGACGACTACTAGTCACCACCTCCATCGCCGCTTCTCGCTCTTGTATATATCATTCGCATCGTCGAGCACTTTCGGCTAGTAACATTAGCTTCCATGGGTATATATTGCGATGGTCCTAGTACCATGCCGCGTGCGTGAATAGGTAGCATGCAGGAACAGTGCAGCCACATCAAGACGACGACGCATTTTCAGCTGCCAATCGCTGCTTTTTGCGCTCCAGATACCTCTGCTTGGCCTGCGAGATGGAATCATCGTCGTTGCGCTTGGCGTCGATCTTGCTCTTCTCACGTCGCTGCTCCTCCTCCTCTTCCAGCGCGCGCTTTCTTTCGCGCTCGAGCATCTGCTCCTCAATGAGTGCGCTCTGCCGTGACCGCTGCGCATCCCGATTCATGCGGGCTTCGTACTCTTCTTGACGTCTCTGGTCGCGCTCCCTCCTCGACTCGCGGCTGTCTCGATCTGAAGAGGCAGCAGACTCGTCTCTGGTGTTTCTTTGGCGCTTGGATACGATGTTGAGACCTGTAGTCAGCAGCGAGCGCTTGTCGACGATCTGGTTGTCGTCGTTGAGTTCCACCGCGAGGCCTCTTTGCCGTGCTTCGTCGGCCAAGTCCACATCAGTCCTCTCGCGCTCTTCCTGCCTCGGTGAAGCTTCGGACCCAGACGGTGCGGAGGACTTTTGGGCCAGCGATGCGGCGATGGCTGCGTCCCTTGCTGCGTTGTTCTCGCTGAGCATATCACGGTAGAAGGAGCCCATTCCTTTGCTCGTTGAACGTTCCTTTTCCTCCTCCTTGTCCCGCTGCTCTTCCGCTTTGGCGAGCTCAGCTTGCTGTTCCTTATACGCGTTGGTCACGAACGACTCCTTGTCTGCAAATTCGTCACCTTCTGCTTGACGCTGCTTCTGAATCGTACGCGCCTCGGCCCGCAACCGGTCGCGTTTGCGCAGCTCCGCCGATTCGAGGATGCCATCGACATATTTGGGCTTCTTGTCAGCATCTTGGGCTAACTTGGCTTGCTTGACTTTGCGCTCTGCATCCTTGATGGTATCGTAGACACCGTCATAGTCAAAGATGGAAGCATCGAGCTGCTCTGCCTCCTGTCGCTTCTTCTTCTCGGTGCGCGTGGCTGGCGTCGCTAATTTGACAGGTGCTAGGCCGTGGAGATGAATGTTCCTGTCTCGTGCTTTGCGTCGATCACCGACAGTGGAAGATTTCGATTCGTGCCGCTCGTCGTTCTCCTCTGCGCTCTCGTCGTCGAAAGCACCGGCAGCTGGTGAGATGGTCGGCTTCGTCGCAATCTTGTGTGGGGTCGCAACAGGCTTGAGACCGAACGAGAGCTTTGGCGCAGACGACGGTCCTGGCTCAGGCATTCTGAATGCTGCGCTGACGTCGCGGGGGCATGTGTGCCCCGATTCGAGGGTGGCTCTATCGTGATCTGGTATGATAGCGGAAGTGCAAGATGTAGCTTCCGCAAACCATCACCTCCACACCCTCTGCCCGCTGTGTGCCGAATTCCCGTTTCTGTCATGCTGCAGAGGGAAAAAAAAGCAGAATGCGAATTCGAATGAGTAGTGGCTCGTGCTCTGGCGTGCGAGGCTAACAAGTTTGAGAGCGAATCAAAACTTCGCTTCGCCGTACACCTCCAACCTGCTTCCTTACCCCACACTGCCTTCAGGACAACTCCAGCAGTGAACCTACGCATCAAGCTTTGTCTCGATCCGCCATGTCGAGTCGAGACTACGGTCGTCCCTCGACCGATGACCATGCAGAAGATCGCCCACTTCTCAATGGAGAAAACGTCGACGCAAGCGCTGAGGCGGATCAGTCGCTGTGGACGCGATTCAAGCGACAGGTGTCGGCTACCTTCGCTCCCCTCGCCAAGCCCGAAGATCTTCGACCCTTGGAGCGCTTCCTGGTCATCCTCTCGGTAGCCTTGCTGTTGCTTGCTGCCATCTTCATCGGCCTCTTCGCAGGTTCGCAGCACAAGCTCTCGCACCGTCCCGCTTCGCCTGCTCCCGTCCCCGGACCCGGCAACCCGAACCCGGAACCGCCCGTCGGCGACATTTGCACCACTAAGGACTGCGTCCTCGCCGCAAGCGAAGTTCTTCGCTCCATCGACGAGACTGTCAATCCATGCGACGACTTTTCTGCTTTCACCACCAACAACTGGGCCAAGTCTCATCCCATCCCTGCGGATGCCGGTCTGTTTGGCGCTGGTCAGTACGTTCTGAGCGAGAACTCCAAGATCATTCGACAGATCATTGCCGATGCTCCTTCCGTCAAGGATCTCGAGTTTGCGACCTTCAAAGACGAGCAGGCTGAGGCGGACCAGCGCAACCTCGCCAAGCTCAAGGGCTACTACGAATCCTGCACCGACGTCAACGCTCAGGATAAGGTCGGTGCTCAGCCGCTCCTTGACGTGCTCGACCACCTCCGAACCCTCTTCCATCCTCACAAGCATGGCAAGTACGAGCAAGGAAATCCTCCCGAGATCTCGCCAGCTGCCCTTTTCCACGTGCAATCGGACGAAGCAGAAAAGCCTGTCCCTCCCAACCAGCCTCCCGGACGCTCGCCGAAACCTCATCCTCCTCGCGAGAGCCCGCGTCCTGCCCCACCCTCGGGTGAAAGGCAGAAGGGCCTCACAGAGGCACTCTCGTGGGCGCATAGCCGGGGTCTGCCTGCCTTCTTCGAAATCACAATCGACGGCGATGCTGTCAAGGATCCTACCGCTGCCACGCCCTGGTTCTTCCCTTCCGGCTTGGGTCTTCCCGATCAGGCCTACTACGACGACGAGGACGAGATTGCTTTCTACAAGACCGTGGTCTCGGACGGACTTCGCGCCTACGACAAGGAAGTGAAGCGAGGCAAGGCTGCCTCCAACAAGAAGGGTGACAAGAAGCACGATGAAAAGCCCCGTCCGCCGCTCGCCCCATTCGCTGAGCAGGTGGTCGAGCTCGAACGACAGCTCGCCGAGATCACACCCGATTCGGAAGAGATCACCGACCCCGTCGCATCGTACAACCCCATCAACTCGACCAAGCTCGCCTACACTTTCTCCTCGATCAGCTGGAACGCCTACTTTTCCGCGCTCACCGTGCGTACTCCTGAGACGGTGATCCTCAGCAGCCCCAAGTTTGTCACTTCTCTTGACAACCTTATTTCTCGCACCAAGACCGAGGTGCTGGAGGCATACCTCGTGTGGACCGCTATTCGAGAGCTTGGCCCCGCTCTGGGTCCCAACGTCAAACTGCGCGCTGCTGCGGAGCGCCTCGAAAGGTACTCGAAGGGTGTGGAAGAGGGTGCCAAGGAGGACCGCGAGACGGTCTGTCTGGGTCAGCTTAACGGAGCGCTCGGCTTCATGGCCGGACGCTACTACGTGCAAGAAGCGTTCAAGGGCGACAGCAAGAAGAGGGTGGAACAGATCATCTACTCGGTCATCGGCGCCTTCAAGTCGCGTCTGCCCGAACTCGACTGGTTGGACGAAAAGACACGCAAGAAGGCTGAGGAGAAGGCGGACGCCATCCGCGTCATGGTTGGCTACCCTGCCACTCCCAACACCACCGATGCTGTATCTGTGGCCAACTTCTACTCGGACTTGAAAGTCGATCCTTCCAACTACTTTGCCAATCGAGTCGCTTCCAAGACGCGCGCAGCCAGGCGCGATTGGGCGCAGGTGGGACGCAAGCTGAACCGCGAGCTGTGGGACATGTTCCCCGCCGAGGTCAACGCCGAGTACTCTCCGCAGGGCAACTACATCCTCTTCCCTGCCGGGATCATGCAGCCTCCGTACTTCCACGTCTCGTGGCCTTCGTACCTTCAGCGCGGTGCATTCGGTGCGGTTGCGGGACACGAGCTTTCGCACGCCTTTGATCCGGACGGTCGACTGTACGACAAGGACGGTTACCTGAGGGATTGGTGGACCGAGATCACCGCGCACGAGTTCCAGCAGCGACAGACGTGTCTTACCAACCAGTACCACTCGTACACGGTTTCGGATGGGAAGGGTGGTGAGCTGCATCTGCGATCCAACTTTACGAAGGGAGAGGATGTGGCTGATGCGGGAGGTGTGGCACAGAGCTACCGGGCTTGGAAGGACGAGCTGGCCAAGGGAGGTGAGGCGGTGGACAAAGCGAACGCGTTGTTGCCGGGTCTGGGATACACGAGGGAGCAGCTGTTCTTCATCGCGTACGGTATCAGCTACGCCAGGAACATCAGGGCTAGCGAACAGGTCAAGAGGATCCGAACCGATCCGCACAGTCCGAACAAGTACAGGATCAACGGTGTGATGGTCAACTCGCCCGAGTTTGCAGAGGCGTTCGGATGCGAGGCTGGAAAGGACAGGATGGCGCTCAAGCCTGAAGACAGGTGCAGCATCTGGTGAGGGCAAAGGCTAGTGTTGGTGCGGGCTGCAGCTTGATCATGCATCGGAATGAAATGCGATCGTACTATTGTGTTGGATCCGGTTGAGCTGTGGGACAGCGTATGATGTGTTGTGAGGGGATGGGAGACTCGGTTGTGTGAAAGGGCGGAGAAGCCTCCACACGAGTGCCGAGGCTTGAGCTGCGGGCCGAATTCCGAGTTGAAATTTCAACAAGTCATGCTCGTCCTTCCAACCAAGCCTTCGTTCCGATGTTCTGACTGTCCGTCATCTTTCGTCTTACTTGCATTTCATTTCAGCATGGTCGAGGACATATCGCGCGAGGAGAGCAGCTCTTCTCGCCGAAACGACACCGAGGATCGACATCACCATCGTCATGGGGAATCCAGCAGACGACATAAGGATGACGGCGATGACGGATCGAGAAAGCACAGCAGCCGTAGCAGTCACAGCAATAGAAGTAGAGACGATGATAGGCATCGACATCGTAGCGGCCACCACCATTCTTCGGGCGGACGCGACAAGCGGAGGGAGGGAGAGGATGAGGAGGCACGGAGGGAGAGGAAGAGGAGGCACAGAGAGGACGAGCCGGACCACAGAAGGAGGCATGAGAGTGGAAGTAAGCACAGTCGTCATCACCACGAACGAGCTGAGTCGGGGCATGTATCCAAGAGCGACAAACACTCTCACAGAGACGAACAAAACGCTTCGCCCACGCGCGTGAAGCAGCCTGCCACCGACTTCATCCCCACATCCGAATCGCTTGCACTCACGTCCCACCCAGCAGCAGATGATGCTAGTAAACTCAAACGCGATGACTGGATGACCGGCGGCTTCGGCGGCGACGCAGACTTCTCTTCGCTTGGCAAAGCCAGAGTCAAACCGCCACGACCCGAAAAGCCCGACCCGGAACAACTCCAGATCAGCTCTCGCGAGCTCAACACCCAATTACGCCAAGGCAAGACCGTCGACGAGTACGAGACTCCCACCGACGCTGATGCACCGCAATTTGGAGCTCCTGGTCATCAATGGCGGATGATGAAGCTCAAACGTACGATCGAAGCGGCTGAATCCGAGGGAAGACGGTTGGAAGAGGTGGCGTTGGAGCGGTATGCGAGTTTGGAAGATTTTGAACGGGCGAGGGAGGAAAAGAGGTTTTTGGATGGGAAAGGCGGACGGAAGGAGAAGGTTGGGCAGGCTGGAAGGAGTACGCCGACGCTGCAAAGTGTCGCCAGGAGGAGCTACCTACTGGCTAGCGGAGGCGATGGAGATGGAGAGAGGTCATCTAGGGGTGGCACTGATTCAGAGGGCGTGTCACGACCTGGAAGCCGACAAGCCTTCAGAAGGCCAGGAGAATCATCACATCCGTCTACGCCAACCCCCGCCCCAGCCAAGGCTCCGCGAAATATTGGCTTTGAAACACCATCGTCAACGCCAGCGACGCCCACAGCAATTCCAAGCGTGTTCACGCCCGTCATCCAGCGTCCAACGCAGTCGCAACTTCCAAAGGGCATCGTGCTCGATGACGGCTCTTCCGACCCAGATCGACCGATCCTGACTGCAGACCAACTGAACAAGTTGCAAGCCAAGATTATGCAAGCAGAACTCATGGGTTCGACCAACCTCGACACTCTGCGGTCAGAGTACGATTCGGAGAAAGCACGTGCCGAAGCGCATAGATCTGCAGGCGATCGAGGCGGAGCTTTCGGCGCGATTTCCGGCAACACTAAGGATGAGACGGTCACCGTACTGCAGGATGGAGATCGACAGCTCCAAGTGTTGCCTACGTTGGATGCCAGGGGTAGGATGTATGACGTCGGTAGCAGCACTGGCGTCGACACCACCTCCGGCGTCCGCTCCGAATCTAAACGCAAAGCTCGCAAAGCGTCTGCAGTCGACGACGACGATTCCTCGCTCACACTCTCCGACTTGGTCCGACAGGAACGTTTTTCCGCCGGCCCTTCCTCGCTCAAAAGCATCGACGCCACTCTCGCCACCTCCATCATGACCGACACGCACTTCTCCGCTGATCTCGAAGAGCAAGACAACTCAGCCTCCCGATACGCTTCTTCCCGAAAAGCCAATGCCGATGCATTGAAACGTCAGTTCGCGATCAACGACTTCGCCCGCACCCAGCGGGCCTTGGAAAAGTGTCGATTCTGCTTTCGAAACCAAGGCTCCTCTCCACCTCGCGTTGTACTTATCAGCAGTGGATACAGAGCCTACCTCTGCATACCCGACAAAGAAGCGGTGGCGCGAGAGGAAGATCACGTGCAGATCGTACCCATGCAGCACCACCTGAGTCTTCTGGAAGCCGACGACGATACGTGGGAAGAGATGAGGAACTTCCAAAAGTGTCTGGCGCAACTCGCTTCATCGCAGGGAAAAGTTGTCGTGTTCTACGAGACCCTGGTGTCGATCAAAGCTCAACAGCACGCTGTCATGGAAGCGATCTTGTTGAAGAAAGAGGTGATGGATAGGTTGCCAGGAGTGTTCAAGGAGAGTTTGAGGGAGGTAGGCGGCGAATGGAGTACACATCGAAAGGTGATCGAGTTTTCGCCCGAAAAGCCGTTCAGAAGGGCGCTGGTCCCGCAGCTGCCGTACTTTGCGGTGACGTGGGATTACAGGTGGTCGACCGGCTACGGACATATCATCGAGAACCCCACGGGAGGTAACGAGAGCAAGGAGGAAGCAAATGCCTACGATGTCGATGAGATGGCTGCTGGCGGTGGGACGGGAGCGAGAGCAAGGTTCGATCCGAACTTTGCGAGGGACATCATCAGAGGTGTGCTGGAAGACCTGGATGCCGACGACGATGATGGCTACGTGAGGTCGTTCGGAAGGGACAAGGTGAGGTCGGAGGGAGAGAAGCAGAAGATCAAGCAAGTATTCAAGAAAAGCTGGGATAAGGTGGATTGGACAAAGATCCTCGAGAATGGTGGCAGTTCTTGAAGCCATCACCTTAATGTGATGGACGGATCAAGCAGATCCTTCTCTCTCTCTCTTGTCGCCCCTCGCTCACCGTCACGAAATCGAACGTCGTTTCAGCCATTCACAAAGGCACAATGCACAACCACAATCACGAGTGAGCTCAACTGTAGATCGATGAATCGCTTCTATTCGGCAACACCCCTTACACCTCCTGAGCACCCTCAAATCCGGGCCAAAGCTTCCTTCCGGGCGTCTGCGTAGGCACGCGCATCTCCCTCGGGAACAACCCCTCCAACCTAGCGCCACCAGCGACGGCCTTGACCAACCTCCTCGCCTCCGCCCCCGTCGGCGCATCCGCCTTGGGCTCTGCGCCCGGCAACGTCACCAGGCCCAGCTCGACGAGCTTCCTGTGCTCCTTGGGACTGCGCTTGTTGGGTGCGACCTTGTAGGTCGCCGCTGCGTACAGACGTGGGTCGGTCTGCTTGAGATCGGTCAGCGCTTCGCGGAGACGGGCCTGCTTGGCGTTGAGCGAAGCGGCGAGCGATTCGCGCTGCGTGCGCTGGTAGAGCAGCCATGCGCGGGTGATGGTCGAGTGGATCTCTTCGGATGCCTCGCCAAAGGGCAGGACGGAGGCAGCCGAGGTGGCGGAGAACACGGCTCGCTCTTTCGACGAGGACGGTGCAGGTGGGTAGACGATCTTGCGGATGGACTCGGTGCGTGGGTCGGCGGCGGGTGGGACATAGTTGGGGTCATTTGGGTTGCGCGATCCCCCAGCAGGCTTGGCAGCGGTGGCGTAGCCTCGGACGGCTCCCAAGGCAGAGCCGACCTTGCTGGCAGCTGACTTGGCTGCAGCTGCGAAGGCACCCGAAACACCGGCACCGGTCTGAGATGCAGACGACGAAGCGGCAGCCTGCTCGCGGATCAAGTTGAGCGCCGAGCCAGCTCGGATCCAGTCCAAGTGTGCTGCACTCAACGAGTGCTTGGTCGGCAACTCGAAGCTCTCCTTGACCGTTTTGCCATCCTCCTCGAACTTGGTCACCCTCAACTTGACCTGCGTTGACAAATCTCCACCCGGTCGGATGAGATCCGTCAGGTTAACAGTCTCGACCAGATCGCCGGACGCGATCTTAAGATAGTCAGCTTCATTCTCGAACAGCAGCGTCAGGACACCTTGCTTGCGCAGGTTGGTCTCGGCAATTCGTGCAATGCTGCGGGCCACGATGAGGTTGCACCCGTAGAATCGAGGTTGCAGGGCGGCGTGCTCACGCGCAGAGCCTTCGCCGTAGTTGTGATCGGCGACCATCATCCAAGGCTGCTGACGAGACTTGAAGCTCTTGGCGACACCGGGGATGGTGTCCTGCTTGCCCGTGGCGTAATCCTGTGCGACATTGACGGCGTCGAACTCGTCGTTGGTGGCACCGATGAGCGTGTTCTCGGCGAGGTTGGAGAGATGACCCTTGTACTTGAGCCAGGGACCGGCGGCAGAGATGTGGTCGGTGGTGCACTTGCCCTTGATCCTCAACAGGCATCGCATACTGGGAAGCTCGTACTTGCCTTCGGCTGCGGTAGCGGCAAAGGGACTCGAGAAGGGTTCGAGCGGCTCGAGACGAGCCGAGGTAGGGCTGATAAGCACCTCGGTGTCTGGCTGAGGCTCGGGCATGGGAGTAGGCAGGTAGTCGATGTCACCCTGCGCGAACCCGCTGGCGGGCAAGACGTCGCTCTGAGGAGGTTCGAACTTGAAAGGCTTGCCGTCGGGTGCGGTGAGGCTGTCGGTCATGGGGTTGAAGTCGAGACGACCGGCGAAGGCCATGGCAGTGACGATCTCGGGGGAAGCGAGCAAATTCCACGTCTTGGAGTTGCCGTCGTTGCGGCCGCGGAAGTTTCGGTTGAACGAAGTCAAGATGACGTTGTCCTCGCCCTGCAGCTCCTTTCGGTTCCACTGACCGATGCAAGGACCGCACGCGTTGGCCAGGACACGTCCACCAACGTCGGTCAGAACCTGCTGGATGCCGTCACGCTCGACGGTAGCTCGAACCTGTTCGGAACCAGGAGTGACGTCGAAGCTCGACTTGACCTTCATGCCACGGTCGCGAGCCTGCTGAGCGAGCGATGCGCAACGAGCCATGTCGGCGTACGACGAGTTGGTGCAGCTGCCGATCAGTGCGGCGCTGAGCTCGACAGGGTGATCTCGCGCATCGGACTTGGCCTTGTTGACAAACTCGGAAAGTGGTGTGCTGAGATCGGGGGTAAAGGGTCCATTGAGGCAAGGTTCCAGGTCGGAAAGGTTGATCTCGATGCGCTCGTCGTATTCGGCACCCTCGTCGGCAGCCAAGAAGCCTTGGCCGGCAGCCTTTTCGGCGGCACGAGCCACCTCGGCACGTCCAGTAGCCTCGAGGTACGAGCCCATGGCAGGAGTGAAGGGGAAAGCGGATGTTGTTGCGCCAACTTCGGCACCCATGTTGGACATGGTGGCCAGACCGGTGGCGGGGAGCGTCTGCAGACCAGGGCCCGAGTATTCGACGATCTTGCCGGTACCACCGCGCACGGTGAGCTTTCCAGCGAGATGCAAGATCACGTCCTTAGGAGTGCACCATGGGCTGAGCTCTCCCTTGAGGTGGACACCGAGCACCTTGGGTGCCATGAGCTCCCAAGGCGTGTTGGTCATGGCGTCGACAGCATCGGCGCCTCCCACGCCGATGGCGAGACAGCCGAGACCGGAAGCGTTGGGCGTATGAGAGTCGGTGCCGAGCATGAGGAGACCAGGAGCGGCGTAGTTCTCGAGGACGATCTGGTGGATGATGCCGGATCCTGGACCCCAGAACTCGATTCCGTACTTTTTGGATGCCGACTCAAGGAAAGCGAAGACTTCCTGATTGGAGGCGATGGAGCGCTTCAGATCTGCCTCAGCACCTTCGTAGGCCTGAATGAGATGATCGCAGTGTACGCTGGATGGGATGGCGGTGCGTGGAAGACCACAAGTCATGAACTGGAGAAGAGCCATTTGCGCCGAGGCATCCTGCATGGCCAGACGGTCGATCTTGAGCTTGAGGTACTTCTTGCCTCGAATCGCAGAGACATCCGCACCGACGCCGGCAAGGTCCTGCTCTGGGTTGTGGAGATGTGAGTAGAGGATCTTTTCGGACAATGTCAAGGGACGATTGAGTTGTGCTCGCACTGTCTCGAGGGTGGCGAGCAAATCTGTGTAGGGTGGTACGCGAGATGGGTGGAAGGTGGGGACGCGACCATCAGCGGCAGGAGTGGCCAAGGCGCGTGTAGCACCAATGGCCTTTTGAGCAGCCGAGAGACCGTTGCGGCCTCTCTGAATGCGGGCGAGCGACGCCATCATGGTGAGGTGGTGTGGCCGAACAATGCTGCAGTGCTGTGGATGGCTTGATTGCCGGGGTGCGGAGCGAGACGTGGCGTGCCAAAGATGAGCCTGCAGTGCGGTGCGATGCCAGCTTTGCCTCGTGCTAATCCGACCTTTGATGATGATGATGACGAGGAGAAGGCGAGATGACAGAGAAAGGTGAAAGGAGAGGGAGGAAGAAGGCGACGGTGGTTTGTCTTCTGAACACGGCGAAGAGCCGAGTCAGCCGCTGCAAAAAGTCGAGGCACTGCAGCGCTCACTCATTCGTCTTCGCGGGGCAAAGTCGGGTGAAAGAGGGTTTGGCGCACTCGCGCTGAATTTCTTCTTGAATTTCTTCTTGAGCCTTGCGAGCATAAATCGGATTGCAAAGCAGCGGCCCTCATGAAAGAGGCAGCACACGGCGATGCGGCTCTATCTCTGCACGGCGAATAATCCAACACTTCTGATTTGGTGATGAGAAAACCACATCGGGACAATCGGGCAGTAGATTTATTTTTATCGAAGCATGGCGACTGCCGTTGCTTTGTCGAGCCGATGGTGCACTAAGAAGGTATGAGTGAGGCACCACAGGGCTACAAGAGGCCAAAGTCGTGGTCGTTCAGATGGCGCACCTAGATCTCGACGCCCCGGCCCTGACTCATCTCGTGGTTGCGTCGGATGATCTTGGCACGAAGTGACATGAGGTCCAACGTCGATGTCGGCACCTGCAAACTTCCCGATCCCTGCGCTTGCTGCTTCCCGCAGGCCTGTGCTTTGAGGCTCAGGATCCAATGCCACGCCATCTCAAATGAGAATCGAGGCTTGCTGTGATATGTTACCGAGTACGCATACGATGCGCGAAGCTTTTCCAGTCGTTCCACCTCCAGGTCATCCATCTTGGCAACGTGCTCTTTCGCAAATTTCCTTGGCCACTGGCAAAAACGAGAAGCCACCGCGTACGCCGACGCCAAGACAACGGGCACCTCCGTGGTCCCGTCCAGACGGTCAGACATGTCGTCTCGATGCAGATCGTCAACAGCGCCCGTCATCGTTGATGTTGCACTCGTGAGCATCGCTTTGGGCGCTTCCGAACGCACCCTGCGCAGCGGCACGCTGTGTGAGCCTTGCTTTCCGCTCTTGCTGCTTGTCGCCGTGCCGTAGCGTATGTCGCGATTTTTGGCCTCGATTCTCTGTCGTGTACTTGAGTTGGTTCGCACGTAGCTTTCCTCGCTCACCTTGACTTGAGTCCGTATAGTCTCTTCCATCTCCCACGCGACCCGTCCCAAGCTCTTCGCCTGTCTCCATACTCCTGAAATGTCTGTATCTTCGACGCCTCGCACTTTGTCGCTTCGTGTCTGCAGCTTCTGCTTCAGAAGCCCCACCTCCTTTTTGCCTTCCTTCCATAGTGCGCACAACACCGATTCTGGACGCGAGCTATTCTTGCGCGCTGTTGAAGCCTCGCCGTAGTCTTCGATGCCAAACCAGTCCTTGGAATCTGGCTCGTCCGACGATTTGGATGCCCAGTCCGGAAGAGCGCCGGAAAACATTTTGCTGTCCTGGATACGAATCTGCGGCTTGATCGAGAGGCCCGTCTTTTGGCTGTCCAGTGCCTGAGCGAATTTGTGGGCGAGATCAATTGCCTCTTCGCTCTCAGTGCCAAACTCCAGGGCAGCATAGAGATGCAACCGTCCGTAGATGCCTTGGACGGCCGGTTGGAACGCACCTGCAACCAGCTGTTCCGTCAGCAGCCTGTCTCGTTCATCCTTATGCAGCTTCTCATGTGCTTGTACAAACTTTGCCACCTTCATTTCGTTACGGTCAAAAACTTGGCTGATGTCGAACGGACAGTCGGCGTGTCGTACGTCCGAATCTTTGAATGACTCCACCAGCTTTGGCTCCCAAAACACCCTAACCAGATCACCGTCGTAGTCTCCGCCGCTGAGAAGCGATGCCTGCGGTCTCTTGCCCTTGCTTGGGAACACTACGACGTCCTTGAATATGCTAAGCTCGGGGCGTACAACTGCACGTATTTTGCGGACATCCGTCGGGAGCAAGCAAGGATGACGCGTCACCAGCACCTCACCTTCGGGAACATGATTCAGTCCCAGCCGCGTGTCGGGATCGAGCAGATCGTCGTCGCTGAATCGAAACTGCATCTCGCCCTCTTCCAACGTACCCGTCGGGTCTGCGATGACCATCGCTTCGGCACTACGAGCAACAGGGATGGCAAAGCGACGGATGAGCTTCTTCATCGCCAAGTCGGCTGCTTCGACGAGAAGATCCGACAGGTATGCGCACTTTTCGGGATGGAATCCGCCGAGTAGCATCTCGTAGGCGCGTTCGATTTTCCAGGCAGGCATACCGTTCCACACATGCCGACCGTCCTGACCAAATTGCAGCTCGCGATCATCGTCGCCCAAATCTTGATCGCCGTCCTTGGTGCCCACGTGCGATCCCATACCCTGAGCACGATGCTCAGCTGCATCGATGCTCCTTTTCGACCTGATCGACTCCACATTGAAATGACGATCGAGGACAGTAGCGAGTCGCATGCGGGCCACATCGCTACATCCGGACCAATCGGAAAACTCGTCAGCGATCGCTTGCAGCCCGGCCTGCTGCATGTCTGAAAATGTACTGATGGGCACTCCGTTGCTCTTCATGACGAGGATGATCTGTTTTGACAGCGTCGAGGGGGCAAACGTGCGCGACGGTCCGATTAGGTCCACGGTGAGTTGGCTCAGGTCTAGCGGCATATTGTCGGGATAGTTGATCTTTCTCTGCGAAGTACGGATCTTGATCCAGCGCTCTTGCTTCTCGATGGGTAGGTCGCGTTCTGCATTCGGGTCGACGTACCAGACACCCTTGGCTCCCGCGATTCTGCCTTGAAACGCGCACGGAATTTTCTTGTAACCCATATGCTGTGCAATGTCGCTTGCGACAGCCAGCGACATGATACCGGCACCATCCGTCATCTCTACGGCCTTCCCAGTCTTTGGATCGGGATCACCAAAGATATCTTCGACGTATATGATCCTATCGACAACGCATGCTGGTACGGAGGTTGACAGCCCGAGCTGTACACGCTGAATGAACTTTCCCAACGGCGCGTGCGCGTTTCCAGAAAAAGGAGCATGGTGGTCAATCAAGTCCCAGACGCAGTCGAGCTCCGGCTGATGGTGAGATTCTTTGGCCGAGCCCACCCATAAGTAAAAGACGGTCTCGTCCTTGCAGTAAAACGGGCGGTACTCGCGGCCAAAGATTTGGATCTTGCGCGAAAGGAATCGACGAATCTCTTGCTGAATGTCGCGTGTTTTGGGATGGAGCGGAAAGCGGCGTGCATCCTTGGCCATGATCGGGTCCAACTTGATCCTGATGATGCTTTCGCTGCCAAATCTCCTCGCGAAGCGACAACTGCCGCCGAGTTTGGGACGGAAGAGTTGAATTCCGAACGTGCGGTGTTGACCGCCTTTCTGCTCGTTCTTGGAGCACACGAATTTACCCTCGAAGAGCACTCGTCCGCCGTATGAGCGCATCTCCTCTCCGGGGGGGCCAATGACGCCGTTGAGATGCGATTCGGCGCGCATCTGATTCTCCCTGTCCAGTTCGTTGTACACCTTCAGCTCGTCCTTAGTAGCACGGCGCGTGGTGACTGCTCCATTTGGGCCGTCCTCCCAAAGCAGATCCTGGTTGCTAGGGTCCAGAAGCGCGGAGAAGGATGCTACGTTCGAGTCGGACCTGAGCGTCTTGATTCCAGTCGTGATCTTCAACTCGTCCATGCTGATATGGCCGGACGAGACCAGATAGGCGAGATAGTACTGTACTCCCCAAGGGACCCCGAGTCGACCGTCGTGTTGCTTTTGCATAGCCTTGACTCGCATGTGGGGTTTCACCACAATGAAAGGAGACAGATACTGCCTTGGCAGTGCTGGTTGATGAACGGAGCTATTTGAGTGATCGGTCTGCGAGACAGGGTCTACGGATGGCGACTCTGCTTCCGCATTGGGCGGAACGGCTTGCAGCGGCTCCGAGACTTGATCCACTTGCTCAACTTTGACCCTTTCCTTGCGAGCAGTGTTTGGTATGGGCAAGAAGATACGGCCGGGTTCACCGTCGTCATTGAGATCTTCTTTGAAGAGTGCCCAGGTTGGAGCCTTTTCGTGATTGGCACTCTTTGATGCGGCAAGAGGAGCTTGTGGAGAGGCGGGCCCATCTGTCGGCTGAGACGATCCGGGCGTGTCGGAAAGATCGACCCCTGCGGCATCGTGGAACGAATCCGACTCGGTTTCCGAGTCTGACATGGTCAAGTCGATTGCGTCTTGGTGATCTGGGCTATCCTGAGAGTAAAAGAGGGATCCAAGAATCGACGAGGATGCTCGGTCGAGCGTTCTACCTACCTTTTGCGGGCGTGATGCGGCAATATCTGGGGCGGATCTCTTGCCAGCGCTTTGCCTGCCGCTGTTACCTTGACCCCGAGAAGGTTGATTTTGATGCATGTTTTGGTCTGACGAAGTCCGATGATGACGGGCGCAACGACGTAATCAGCGATGAGCACAAGCGATGTACTTCCGGAGAGGTTCCAGGCTTGTGAGGTGGTGCGGGACTGATGGACGTCTTGATCAAGTGAATCGCGGTGGTGGGGTATGAAGTTGACTAACAAGGATGAGCCTCTATATATCCGTCAAAGCAGCTGTAAGTCTTGCAGGTCCCTGGCGCTGCCCCGAGTCCGCTGAGCTCATCGGAAGAGTGAAGAAGCGGAAGGTGAACATGAACGATCACACAGCATCCGCACCGTGTGACTTTTTGACGAGGGTGGTGGAGGCCATGGCAAAGTATTGCAGGTCCAGTCGTGATTATCGAGCGTCGAGCGTGGAAGATCTGCAAGAAGATGAGCTTGTTCGGAGATGAACTGGGCTTGACTGAGCAAACGACAATGGTGCGGATGAGCGGGAAGCGATGCCGATGCGGAGCATAGGCGTTGCCGATTGCAGCTTGTGCTGAGAAGAGACTTGCAACAAAGAGGAATGATGACAGCAGTTGCGTCCGAAACGATCCTGAAGCTGAGCTTAAGCTGATGCGGCACGGAAAGAAAGCATGAGCTTCAAGACGCCGGGCGATGGGCTTCGACGACGCACAAGGTTACGATTGAGATGAAGCGTACAACAACAATGTCCGTGTGAGTACCGGTTCTTCACGGAGCTGAGCTTGTCTAGGATACCCTGGGAATGTAGGACAAGTGGGCTGGCATTTTGAATTCAAAGTGCTGAGCCTGACTGCGATGACGCCGAAGGCTTACAAGCGGCCGAGCAGAACGAGCATGGAGGACGAAAACGTCGCACAGAAGGCCTTAGCGCAACTTGGCAAGAGGCTCGATGTGACTTTCGGGAAGAATTACACGAGTGGGCGTGTGATAGCTCCAAAAGGTCTCAAGAACGCGATCTGGTGGCTTGTGTTACTTTGGTCGTGTGAATCGGGGAGGAAGCAAGCGCCGATCATGATCGTCACATTGCGCTTCATAGAATGCAAAATGTGAGACCAACACTTTTTTACGAGTGTTGATTTGAAGCTGCAGTTTCCGTAGAAGTTACACAACACACACACACCTCTCTCTCTCCTGGAACACTTGCCGTTTATGGCAACTAAGCTCCTGCCAAACAAGGCGAGATCGTCGAATCCCTTGCCTCGGCAAACTCAGCCCTGAAGCTTCAAGCATGAGCTCACATGCCATCCGCTACCGCCATATCATCATATCTATCTACACCATCCGCATTGCAGCTCTTATCCGCACCTAGAAGGCACGGCGGTGCCTCCGTCCGACCGCGCAAACATGAACGGCAATATGCTGCTCTCTCCCGATGCGCTTCATTGCCTCAAACGCAAGCAGCTCACCAACCTTTGCAGGCGCTTCGGCATCAAAGCTGTCGGCAAGAATGCGGATCTCATCCGACAACTTCAGGAGTACGCCGCATCCAACATCCCTTCCGATAGCCCAACAAAGGGCAATGTGCCCATTCTGAGACACGTCAAACGACCCAGGCAGAGCGATTCGAGCCAAGAGTCGGGCACGGACGACTTGCAGACCATCGATGAAAAGCCGGAATCAGCTTCGTTGCCGTACCCTCCATTGACTCCGCGCACAAGGCAGAAGCGTGTCTCTGATATGGTCAAGGCTATCGAAGACGTCAAGCAGCTAGACGACGACATGGACACAGACGACGATGACGACGAGAATGCAACGCTGTCACAGAGGAACACCATTATCTTTCCCGTGTCCTCTCCCGCACCGATTCGATCCGTTTCTCCTCTTGCTCCATCGATCGACACGGATGCATCCGAAAACACACAGCCACTGCGCATCATCAAAGCGCTGCCAAGCTCGAATCGACTCGCCCCGCCCTTATGCTCAGCAACCATCCTGGAGATGAATCGTCCCACCTTAGCAGGAGATGGCAGCTTCAACTTATACCCGGATCTTTCCACTTTGCCTCTTCCCGACGGCGTCTCGAGCGATTGTCTGGCCAGCTCTTCGACCCTTCCGTCCATCACGTCTCGGCAGTTTTCGGCTGCTGCCGCGTCCGTCCTCGCAGATGTGAATGCACGCTTGACCGCAGCTGGACGATCAGCCACCTCTGGATCGCTCACGACCATGTCGAGCATCGGCAATGGTACCTGGCAGAACCTCGCAGCTTCTGCCTCGTCTCAGGGCATGTCGAAGAGCCGCTCTGGAAGGTATGAGATCCATCACGAGCGACAGTTCAACAAGATGGACTCGATCGTCAACCATTACGCTGCGCGACGTGTGGGTGCAGGTGCGACATCGTCTTCGACAGACTCACGCAAATCTGCTGCCTCCAACAGTTCGGGCCCGTCCGTCTCCACTGCGGCAGCGACAGCATCATCGGTCACGGCGGCTCGGATGACCGCCAGCACATCCACGTCTCGCCGTACTCGTGTGGATGCTTCCACATCGACACGCAGTCTCGCTGCCATGACCCGATCCACCAGCGCCCGCAAGGTCCCTGTACAGCGACGCCCGCTTCCCACTCCCCCAGTGTCCTCAGCCAGATCGCCACCACCAACAACTCTACCGCACTCTACCACACGTGCCCAGATCGTACAACTCCGACACGCCTCCAACAACACCGTCACAACCAACGCCAGCAGCGATCCACCGCGAGCGAAACGACTCCGTCTCGCCGTCTCCGAAGACCAAGATGCCTCGCAAAACACCGTCCTCGAAATCCCGCCCGGGAAGAAGACCGTCGTCATCCGCGTCACTCGACCCGACCGCGAAGGCATGCCGTACAAATTCAGCGTCGCATCGTCTTCCACCGCTGACATCGAGAGCGCGCCAACGCGTGCAGCTTCTTCGCTGCGGAAGACGGTAATCAAGGCCACCAAGGGAACCTTTGCTGCCAGCAGCGGTTCGGCGAAGAAAGGGACGACGAGTGCGAAGTCGCAGAAGAGGGAGGCGGCGTTTGTCAAGCAGCAGCAGCAGCAGGCTGCCATGTCTCGAAGCATCAGCTCTCGCGCGAATCTTGCCTCGACTGGCGGTGGTGGGTTGACGGCTTCGGCTGGTACACGGAACAGATTCACTGGAGTGACGACGATGACCAATCCGACAGCAACACCGTTGGAAGAGTCGAATCGCGACGTGCGCAAGCCTTCTGCAGCAGTCTCAGCCATGAGCGGCTCGACAGAGGCGAGCAAGCACAGCAGCATCAGCAGTCGGTTCGGCGGAAGCATCCGCAGCAGCGTCTCCCAAGGTCTAGGCCGAGCCGAGATGGCGCGTCAGGCCAGACTCAAGGAGATCAAAGCGAGGACTAAAGCGGCACTCGCCGGTTTCGGGAGCCAGAGAAACGTCAGCGCTACGGCTACTGTCAACGAAGCCGCTCCCGCGTCGCCCGACAAGCCTGTCGCTTCAACTTTCTCTCCGAGCGTCATGCGTCCGACAATCGCAAGTCTCAACCGGTCTGCCGGTAGCAATGCTTCGGCGTCGCTTCCGATGCTGTCAGCGATCACACGCTCTGCTGCACCAACCCTCGTCACCGAGACTCTGCAACGTGCAGCTACGATTCACGCTGGAGTGGGGAAAGTGTTGACTCCCTGTTTGACGCCACGCTCGTCTTCGCTTCGTCACCTGCGCCGTGTTATGCGCAAACAGCAGAAGGAAGCTGATCTGGAGCAGGTGCGCGTCGCAGCCGCCGAGAACATCGCTCCAGGAGACGTTGTGCCTTCGGTGCTTCTCGGTCCCGCTGGTGTCAACTCGGCTCAGTCGACCATCTCCAAGCAGTCGGTCTTGATGGCGGAGGAGCAGGACGTGAACCCGTCCATCCGCACCGTCGCTACGCGAGCCGCTTCGCCGAACAAGATGCACTCGACGACACCGCGCAGTCTCGCTGCAAGACCCGCTGGACCGCGGACCGCACTCGTCGCTAGTCGCGCCACCACTTCCGCTTTGAACCGTCTCTGAACCTTTCGACTTCTTACCGCCATCCTTGTGCCACTCACCATCTGAGCGGTGCACCACTAGTTTCACTTTCACCGTGCTTCAGCACCGATACCCCCCGTCTTCAATGAACAATGCACTTCCTTCCCTGACTCTCCGTCTGTCACGCGCTAACACGTCTCTCAGTCGACTCGCCACATGAACACAACGACGAAAGGTGCAAAGTTGAATGAAGCAGGTCTGGACATTATTGCAACGAAGGACGACTGATGAGATACTGAATGTTCTTGTGATGATTGCGATGAAGTGGGAAATTGAAACGAGAGGAGCTACACACATACAAGTCCATCGCAGTTGCTTTTTGGAGAGACGGGACCTGTCGAGAGCGTCCAAGTGAAGAACTAAAGAAGACAAAAGCATTATATTTTTTGTGCAAAGAGAGAATTGCTTAGACAAGCATGACGACGACGGAAAGCAGACCGACGAGAGCCAACGATCCACCGACGACCAACGATGTACCCGCCGACTTCTCGTTGCTCTGGTTCGCCTTTGTCGTCGAACTGCTCGAGCCACTCGAACCAGTCGAGCTGGACGATCCGGCACCCGTAGCACCGGAGATGCCACCGGTCTGGGTTCCCGTAGCCGTTTGGCTGATCGCCGCGCTGGGCTGGTAGTTGTTGTCGCCCGCCTTGATCTGGGAACCTTGCGGGAGGCCGGTCGCGTTGATGTTGCCGGCGATGTACTGGGCAAAGTTGGGGTAGGTGATCTTCTCAGGGTACGGGTTGGTCTGGTTCATGCAGGCGGTGAGCGGTACAATGTGTTTGAAGACCGCCTGGATCTTGGGGTACTGCTTCATGAACTCGTCCATGGTGTGTCCGTTGATCTCGTGGGTGAGGACGATGTTGCCCTGGCCGGCGGTGGGTCCGTTGGTCTCCTTGGCGATGATCGAGGCGTAGTTGGCGTCGATGCTCGCAGTAGGCTCGGTACCGGCGGGCAGGATCTTCCAGTCATCCGTGTCGTCGGTCCACAGCACCGATTCCAATCCCAAACCCTTGGCGATGGCACGAACGCGGTCGTCGATGTCGCCGAACGGTGGGCGCCAGCAAGTGGGCGTAACACCGACAACGTCCTTGATCGCCTTGGCAGTGTAGTAGAGCTCAGCGAACACCTGCTCGTCGGGGAACGCGGTCATGTACTGGTGCGACCAGGTGTGAACGCAGATGTGATGACCGTCGACCAGACCACGTTGCGCCTCGAGCGGCCAATCGAGGACGTTGGAGCCGATATAGAACATGGTGGCTTTCTGCTTGTTCTGCTGCAAGAAGTCGTAGAAGGCGTTGTGGGTGCAGTTGGGGCCGTCGTCGAAGGTGAGACCCCAGGTGTTGGGCTCAGGGCACTGCGTGAGGTCGGCGGCGAGGTTGGGGTGCTTGGGCGTGTCGCAGCCATTGTAGGTCCACCAACAGTCGGGATCGCTGTGAGGGTAGGTGGGTGTGAACGACGTGAAATCGCCGTTGACTTTGCCCTTGGGCTTGACGTCGGTGGGGATGGTGCCCGAGTTCTTGATGGCGTTCCAGACGTTCATGGCCTCGGTATCACCGGGGAGGATGGTGGCGTTGTCCCAGGGCACAGGGAACTGCTTTTGGATGGCGGCCATCTCGGGGAGGTAGTAGGCCTGGCATTCCTGCTTGGCAGACGTGATGGCGGCCTGCTCGGGCTCGGTGGTGGCGCGCGGCTTGAGAGCCGAGTCGGCGGGCGAACCGCGCTTGTAGATGAGCTTGTGGTAGTGGCCACTGTCGCGGTGACGCTTGTAGAGGTTCTGAATGTTCTTGGGGTCGGGAACGCCACGGCCGATGTTGGCGGCGACCGACGAGGCGAGCGATACAGCTGCCACGATGGCTGTGGATGAGAGCTTCATGGTGATGTAAGAGTCTCTGTGGTGATGGAAGTGGAAACGCCGGGCCGATGCTGGAGAAAGACTTGGACGGTTCTACGGATCAAAAGAGAGACTTCCACGACGAGGAAAGGGGGGATGATGGGAGGGAAGAGGCAAAGAGAAGGGATAGAGAGGACGGAAGGGATGGAAAGAACAAGCGCGCTACACCTGATAGATAAATAGGTTGCGTGTTCAAGAGGATCCTCTCAGGGGTCGGGCGGGACAGGTGCGTGTCTGGGCGGTAAACAAATTAAAGGTGGGATGGCAGAGCAGTGCAAGCAACGCCGCAGCACGGGGTTGTGCTCGTGTGTGCAAGTGTGGGCGCTAGATGAGAAGAGGGGGACGATCTGCTAGAAGCTCATCAGGCGGAAGGCATTGGAGCCGAGGGGGACGCATGTGCTCGCAAATGCAGCAAGGCCGGCGGAGGTTCTGATCAACGGAGGCGGCAGGGGAAGGGGTTGAACCGTCGATTGCCTCGGTCAATAAACAAGTAGGTGGATTTCCGAGGGTCATGCATGCACGATGCGAGAACAACGAGGTGGCCCAACATGTCCAACTGCGTCGACGCTGGCATCAAGAGCAAAGAATGGCAGCCGCCGGGTTCGCCTGGAGCGCATCGCGAGACACACACACTTGGCGACAAAGATCCGAGCGGCGTCTTTTGTGGGTGGAGACAAGCGACGGCGATCGTCGTCGGTGTCACCTGCATGCCACCAATGATGCCGAACGTCAAGCGGCTGCACAAACGAAGTCCAAACGAAAGGGAGGCAGGTGAGGTAGTGAGCCTCCGGGGATGATGGGCACGCAAATAGCGATATGGCAAATTCCGACATGCCGTCGGTCGGCTCGATGAACCGGAGGAAAGGACCGAAGCGAATCCCAGACACAGCTTCACGCTGGCAAGCTGCAGGAGTAGGCTGAATCGTTGGCGAGGTCGGATTTCAGGGGCGGAATGTCGATCCGCCAGCGAGGCGAGAGAGGAGCAGCCGTCAAGCTGTGCAGTTGTGCCGATGCATGATCGTGTGTGGTGCACCAAAAATGCCAGCTCGGCATCTAGCGAATTTCTCTTTCTCTGTCGTAGTCCGCAGCCTCGATTCCGAGAGAGCTTCACGTAAACGCCGATGCCACACGACTGACCAGCCCCGGTTCTCCGCCTCTTGCACAGCCTGCCTTTTGTTCCAAGAAACCATGTAAGAAGCATGAGACCGATACGAGGCGCCGGCCAAGGAAGGAGAAGCAGGATCATGGATCGTGTTGATTGGATGCGGCAACTAGTCTGCCGAGTGCGCGATGACGACCCCTGTTCTGGCTCGGCACCAATGCAAAGCTCGCTGCGGTAGTCAACGTCGGATGGCGCTCGTGCGACAGCGTGCGAGATCATACGATGCGAAGTACAGTCTCTATTGTGTCGCCGAGCGAGCCCTCCATGGAATCCCGCTGATCTGCAGCAAAGATTTCCACAAAGTCACAGCCGAGACGCGAAAGAGCATTCTTTTTTTTTCGGGTCCAAACCGGTTGGCCAACTGGCCGCATACCGTACTCATCCACTCTTTTGTAATTCAAATACGATCCGAAGCCGAGCCACCGGACTGAAAATGTAAATGGACGATTACAAAATTTTGGATGGTCAGGCAGGGTCTTAGCAAGAAAAAAAACACTCCGACCAGGTTGGACGCGTCTCGAAAGAAGGCGCCTCGTTTGCCCAAGACTCTTGTTTGGCTCTCCTCGCTGGCTTTCACTCTTCCCACCGGCTCGCCTATGTATTGTGTGAGACGTAACGGCGACACACGCGATCCAAAGTTGCTGTACAAGACACACCGACGATCGTCGTTCATGCTTCCCGCATGCCAGCAAGAGCCATTCATGCCAAACCGGCGGCAAGCGGACATCGACGTTCGATTGCTCGTCGAGAGGTGGGCATGCTGGGCGCGCCAGCAAAGCAACGGTGACCAACGCTGCCTAACTAAGTCTAGATTGATCTGCAAGGACCCTATTCGATTGTCCGTTGGCCTGTACGCTCGCTCGAGCTCCGATGCATCCCGTCGTCGCTCTTGCGCCCACTGATTGTTGCGTACGTCTTGACGACGCCAATGTGTACAATTTTCGCCTCCTGCGACTCCATAGATTCCGGGAAACTTTGTCATTGAGACGTGCTCGAGTGAATCAGCTCAGCGGAAAGAGTGACTTCGAGTCGATCTGACAGGTCATCGACGGCGCTCAGTCACCTAGCGAGCCAGTATGCAATGATAGATCACAACAATGACCAAGTCACCGGCGAGAGATTTGCTGTCGATCCCACCACATGCTTCCACAAGTCGCCGGCAGGTACGCACCGGCGGTACAACATCCGTAACGTTCCACGCCGTCTTTGCACTCAATCTTCTTGTCGACGTCGGCGTCTTCCAGTCCCAGCGCATGACTAGGCAACGTGAGCCTCAATCTCGTTCTGGACTGTTGCAGAGCCGGACGAAAGAGACTCGCCGACAAGTGATTCCCGGGGCACAGCTTCCCCCGATGACTTCTCAACAGCCCAGTGGATCAGCCGATTCGCACGTCACTTCTTCAACCGACGATCGGCAGTAGTGACGCCAGAGTCCTTTCAGCAACGAATCGCCACTTCGACATAGACCAGCCACCTCACGATGTCAAGACGTCTCACACCATCCAACCACTCGTACACTTTAGCAAAGTCGAGAAGGACAAGTCATTGCGATTTCGTATCTGAACAGAGGAACTTGAGAGATGGAATTCCGACCTCGCAGATAAAGGTATGCTTTACTTTACGAGATCAGTCGTAGTGCTTGAGATTCGACCGCTTCTTGCGATGATCCGAACCGGGATTTCTGAAGGGGTATCAGGACAGGACCTTGGCACTCTTCGGGCAAATCGTTGCGCTACTCAGCACGCTTAACAGCAGTCGCACTTGGCGCAACCCTTGGAGCACGTGCAGGCCTGACCTTCGGCTTCGCACTGGCAGTTCTTCTTCTGGTTAGTGCCCTGCTTGCAGGTGCAGGCGTTGGTGCATCCGGTGCAGCTGCACGAGCCGGGGGCACAGGTGCAGGTTCCGCTGGTGGAGGATTGGCAGTTGCAGGCCATTGTTGCGAGAGAGCGAGAGAGAGAGATGTGGGTGTATGTGTGATAGAAGTTGTGGATTGGAAGTGTGTTAGACGTGTGGAGTCGTGAGGGTGGATGAGGATGGGCGGAGGTGGCTGGGAAGGAGGGGTCTATATATATCTTTGAAGTGGAGAGCGAGTTGACTGCGCAACCTGCGTGTGGGGAGGCGTGCACGGTGCAAGCGCCCTATGAGATAACGTTGGGCAAAGGGTGTCACGCTAAAATCCCTCAACCATAATTTCGGACTCAGCCGAAAAAAACGGACACTGCTATAGTGCCCACTCAAGGATGTCGTGTGTAAACTCAGATAGGAGTGGTGGGCGAAAATCGCGCAAATCTCTTCCGCAGCTGAGACATGCATAACGGCAATTTAACGGCCGAAAAACCGGCTCTGGCTCGGCCTCCCCCCCTATTCAGCCTCCAAGATAGAACCTAGCATCTTGACTCGGGATCCACTTTGGAAACCTCTTCCTTCTTCGATGCACCTCGTCGAATGACAACGCGAAAGTCTCTTTGACCAATAGCCGGAAGCAGAACCTGAGCCTGATAGCCAGGGCTGAGCCAGCCAATCTGTGGCGACGAACCATTTCCACAAACACACAGGTCTGCATCAACCAAGTGACGTTTCACCAATCATACGAAGAAGGCAAAGTGTGTGAAGATTGGATAGCTGATTCAGTGAGGGACGATGCAAAACAGAGAGTCTCTGTTGGTGAGACGAAAGGTGATGTTGACAGGCAAACCGCCCGCCAGTACGCGCACAGCAGTACACAAGCTACGTGAACTCATGTCCCGCGACGATGTCTTTCACAAAAGGAGTTGTCCCTCTCCGTCCGTGACAGAGACGTGAACGATGAGAGCATTTTTGACACAGTATGGCGAGACAACCCGGCGATAGGCATCACGGATCTCATATGCCGTGAAGGCGCCTTTTACGAGAGACGATCCTTCACTATGTCAGCTGGGCTTCGTCGCCGCATGGCACGGCCTCCTTCTCATTCGGGTCACGCTCAATGCAAACCTCAGTTCACAACTCCACCACTCAAGCACGAGTGGAAGTGTAACGCAAATGATTTCCTCCGTCGCATGCTAGATCCGCAAACCGTGCATCGATCCGCACCACTTCCGAGGCCGTCCTCACCTGCGTCGAGATTGGCTCGTGCGAGCGGCGTCCAGCATAGCACTCGACCCCGGTGCGATGGGCAGATTGATCTGTGACGTGTGCGGCCTTTCGAACTCCCTGTGCGCACCACCGGCGTAGTCCAGAGCCGAGGTGCTGGAGGACGACGTCATGCCGCCGTACGCCTTACCTCCTGCATTTTCGTCGATGATGCCAAACGACGATGACGAGCTGGCGGAAGTGGACGACACCAATCCCTGACTCGATGCAGAAGCGCTCATGTGATCCATCGAGGTTTTGCGCGATCGATCGACAGGGCGAGACGATCCGCTGCTTCCACTGCTGCCGTTGCTGTTGCTACCTCCGCTGCCCCAGTCTCCCGTCCGATTCATGGCTCCAATACCTCCGACAGACATGCTGCGGCCTTGCGGGTGACTCTCTGCGCCGGCACGTTCAGAACGCCGCTGCGTGTCGTGCACGTAACTCTCTGCACCGCCAGGCAAGCTTTGATGCTGCTGCTGCTGCTGCTGCTGGGAGATAGACCCGTAGCCATGAGTAGGCGATGCTCGCCCAGAGTTGTTCCGCATCCCCAGCCACGCACGCTCCTTCTCGGCTTCCGAGCGATATGGTCGACTGCCGCTGGAGCTATGCTTGCGCTGCGAGCCCCTCTGATACTCCTCGGCGGCCTGTTGCGTTCCATCGGGACCGGCACTACCGGGTCGCCCTGCATGCGATTGCGGTGACCTCGCCGACTCCCCGTCAACTTCCGGGTTACCCGGCCACAGAGGCTCCGAGGACTCAAACTGGTTGCCGAGCCCCAAATAGTCTGTGGTCGCCGACCTTGGCTGGTCGTGTTGAGCAGCGGCATCGCCGGTACGTGGATCGGCCACCAGCCGGTACGGAGTATTGGCCTGAAGCGCCTTGACGTCGACCACTTGTCCAACAACAAAGCCGCTCGAGCCGCCGCCCAGTTGACCAGAGTGCGAGCCCATCGTTTTGAGATCGTCGTCAATCTGTCGATGCTGCATGCCGTATCCGGGCTGCTTCATGGGCATCTCTGCTGTACGACCGCCGCGAGCACCGGCCGGTGCGCGATTCGGCTTGACCAGCCCGTTGCGCTTCTGTTTGGGTACAGCACCATTTCCTCCTCCGCCTCCTTGAAGCCCATTCCGCTGCTCTGCGCTCGGCTGATCTTCCGACTCGGGGCTGCTAGATACCTCCATGCCATCGTACGCGCTCGCAGTGTCAGCGTGCGGAGACGCGGCATTCGCATACCCGTTCGCTCCAGCACCTGCCGATCCTTGCATGTTGAGACCGCTCTGCTCAGTCACCTGAGCCGCGCTGTTGCCGACGCCCGGCTGCATCTGGCCTTGCTGCTGAGCACCGGACTGGCCCTGGTTGGATCGATTGATGATGCTCAGATACCAGAACATGAGGTTCGAGATGAGCACCTGCTCGTACAGCGGGCGACGCGGATTGGCCAGTTTGATGTGGCTAAGACGGTAAACGGCTCGCTCGATGTGGATAGGGTAGCGCGCGTACGAGTAATTGCCCTTGCCGTATGTGCCCATCTCGCTGCGCTCCAACAAGCTGCCGGCAGTCAGCTGCCCGTTCATGGGACGAGGACCCATGTGGTGGGAGGATTCGTCGTGACCCTTCTTCTTGCCAAAGAGCGCTCCGAGGAAGCTCGACGAGCTGCTCTCTTCCCTTTCCTTTTCCTCTCGTTCGCGCTCCTTGCGTTCGCGCTTCTCGTGCTTGTCCTTCTTCCTCTGCGACTCCTTTTCCACCTTGGCCCGATCGTCCTCGTCGTCTTTGCCGAGTCCAAACCATGAAAGACCGAATGCACCTTTGCGCTCCTTTTCCTTTTGTTTGGTGCTGGGCACGAACGGAGGCGGCGAAGACATGAGCGGCGGCACTGGCTGTGGGGGCCGTTGTGGTGCCTGCTGCTGTTGGTTGGTAATGATGGGCGCGATCTGGGGTCTGGAAGGCGGAGCAGGCTGGTCGTCGCGACGTTGCGATTCCGCGACGGCAGTGGAGCTCGTTGACCGGGCAGCCTGTTTCTGTTGTTGCTGGTGAGGCAGCGTCTTTTCGAATGATGGCACGGGCGGACGGTGCGATACTGGAATGGGCTTGATGTGGTCGGATCGAGGCGTCTCGAGCGCATCCGGGGTGCGCGTTGCATCCTGGCGTGGTGGATACGGCTGAACAGAGGACAGAGTGGCGACCGATTCTTGCGTAGGCGTCAGAGGCGGCGAAGAGGAGCGGTTCAGTTCGGCTCGTCCAAGAGCATTGCTGATAGCACCAGCGCTAGCGCTTGCATCTGAGCCCGTGCTGTCGACGACAGAGGTGAAACTGGTCCTTTGCGAGATGTCGGATTGATACGAATCGCGCGAGTAGGCATCGACGATCGAGTCGGCGGCCTCGGTCGATACAGGTCGCGACGAGGTGTCGCCGGCGGAGGAATCGTCGTCGGCACCAGAAGAGACCTCCGACTGGCCGCTGTGACGTCTCTCCATCTCTTCGGTGCTGCTCTGCCGCTGCAACTCCCACGCGCGGCTGCCCTCGGAAGGCGTGGAGGCGTCGGCATCGGTAGAGCTGCGCGGGGCCCGTCGCCTTGACGCCAAACTTCCGCGAGTCGAGTCTCCGGATGCCTTGCGCATCTTTGTCCTTGCAGCTCGTCGCAAGATCTGACCAGGCTTGGGGACGATGATGGGCGCATCCGGATCCTCGACGGGCTCGACAGGCATGGCATCGATGGTGTCCAAGTCGGGAGTGGTGTTGAGACTGAGGGTTCGACGGAGGACGCTGCGAAGCATGGCGGGATCCTGGCTCTGGCTGGCCTGCTCTGCGGCCTCTTCGAGCTTTTGCAAGTCGTCGATGGTGAGGTTGGGTATCGCAAGGCCGTAGGTGCCTCTGCTCAAAGCGCTACGATTGCGCTCGAGCGGGCGCGGTGCCTTGTCGTCATCGGTGTCGTCGGTATCGTTTTCGGGACGATATTGACGTCGAAGCGTGCTGGCGCGTCGCGATATGGACGTGGCGCGACCGATGAGTGCGCCTCTAGCGTCGTGGGAGGCATGCTGGCGATCGGTCTGCTGCTGTTGACGACGGACAGAATTGAGGCGCTGTGCGATGGGCGAGTCGCCGACGGTCAAAGGCGACAGGATGTCGTTGTCGGCGGATACATCATCTAGACCTTGGTGCTGAGTGACAGCACGGGCGGCGTGCTCCTTGATGAAGTTGCGAAAGTCGGAGGGCGAGATCTCCGGATGGACGGACGCTGGAACCCAGAAGAGATGGCTGGGATCCTTGGGTGACTGCGGGCTGGTCGGGGTGATGCTGGTGGGCGATGTGGCGAGGTTCCTGCCGTCAAAGGCATCGGAGCTGGGTGAGAGAGCCACAGGCGAAAGACGTGTTGGTGAAGGCACGAGGTGCTCAGAACCGGACGAGTGATCAGAGCCTTGACCTCTGCGGCGGGCGGTGAATCGAGCGCGTTCGTTGGTGTAGCTCTTTGCCGGGGAGAGAGACGAGGTGGAGGAGGACGAGGAAGGACTGCGTATTGGAACAGCTCCGTCGTCGACCAGGCTGTAGCCGCGCCTTTCTCGCTCGGGCGATGGGACGGACAGGAGCTCCTGGCCACCTCCATAGGCAGCTGCGAGATCCGGGAGGTCTGGATCGAGGACCGGTCTATTGACGGAAAGCCTGCGATGAGATTTGAGCGCTTCGACTTCACGAGCGAGCTCGTCATCTGTGATGCGCATCGGACCGTCCGACATGGTGACGAGGCAATGGACGAGTGCGCCGTGCTACGGTAGACGTTTCGATCGAGACCGAACAGAAAAAGAGGCAACGCCGGCACGGAGCGAGATGGCGCGAGTCGACCAGGCGAGAGGCTGCACGGCAAGCTGGCGGCGAGATCAATTGAACATTGGCACTATAAAGCGATTTGCACAAGGACGAGGACGAGCGAGCTCGCCGGGAAGTCGATAGGAAACGATGAGGTTGCAAAGGAATGAAGCGAGGAGAGATCCGGGATTGGCGAGGCGAGTGTGCAATGCAGGAGGAATAAGAGGGAAGAACGGATGCAGCGAACGGACCTGCCGTAGTCTTGCGTCCGCGAGCGAGCTGAGACGAGCTGAGCGTGGTCAAAGCGGTGAACGGAAGAGCAAGGCGTGTCAGGTGGTTGAAGTCGAGCTGCGAATTGCGGATGCGAGTGTGATCCGAGCGCCTCGCAGCAATGAGAAGGCGATAGGCTTGTTCGTTCCCTGCAAAAGGCAGCGCTAACGAGACGAGATGGGAAGGATAGGAAAGGCTGAATGGAGCTGCGATGGATGTATGCGATCGAGGATTGACTGGGTGGAGTGTGTGTTGAATGTGTCGAACAGGAATCCTGAATAGAAGCCGTGGCAGCGCCAAGCGGATCACACTGCAGCAGCAGCCGACGACAGCCAAGGCAGACAAGGCAACGCAGTCACGGCCAACTCGGGTTGCGTGCGACCGAGCAATAGCCAACTCAACTTGGCTCGGTTTGGGCGGTACGCAACCTCACATTTCGCGGGTGGAGAAAGCCGTGAGTGTCTCGGCAGCAATAAAAAATCAAAAAGAGGGATTTCCCAAGAATTTCCAAACAAAAAAAGCGGTTGGGAATCGGCTCTTTGGCTTGGCTTGACTTGGCTTGGCCTGGCTGGCGCCTCTCTCGCCTTGCTGAACGCCTCTCTCTGGCCTACTGCGCGCAGCCGCTGCACTGACCCTCTCTCTCTCTCTTTGGCCATTTCTGTGTTGCACCGACCAACAAGCACAACTCGAATCGGGAGTGTGGTTTCTTCTTGGTGCCTGGTATCCGTGGTCTGGCTTCTGTACATGTGTCTCGCTTACATTCCACGAACGATGCGGAGTCGGTTGCTCTCCGAGCACCCATCTGTCCGGTCTCTTCAACCGATAGTGTCCGCGGACTTGCTCTTCGGTATGGCAATGTGACGACCGAACCTTAGTAACTGGCACGCGCGTCGCTCACGTTGAACCTTGTCATGCTTCTAGAGGCTCGGCATGGTTGCTTGAGAGCACATGCTGGAGTTGCTCCAACGTCTTTGCCTTTCACATTCGAGGGTGCGTGATAGCAGTTCTGTGATCCCTGCAGTGCAACTAGGGTATCTGACACCTACGGGTCTCCACTGAACATCACAACTTCTTGAGACGCATCGTCGATTTGAACGACTTCAATCGCTGATGACCATCTGAAACGCTCGACACGTCCGACGAAGAGGCATTGCCGCCGGCCCCGGACCACATTCGATCCTTCTTCTTCCTTTTCGGTACGTCTTCTTTGAGGAAAGCAGCTTCGGCGCGGAGGATGCTGATGGGCTCGTAGTGCGGCATCGGTCGTGAAGAATCGGTGCGCTTCTTGTGCTTCGAGAGATGCTTATGGGACAAAGCGTTCGCGCCGGAGGAGCTGGCAGCGGCAAGAAGTCGTTCGGGGAGCCGGTTGAGGCGTTCGTATTCGGTCGGATGTACCTGCCCTTGTAGGTAGTGATTCGAGAGAAGAGGCGGTAGGTCTTCGGCCTGCACCGTTTGGTTGCTGACACTGTTGCTGCTGGCGCTTGCGAAGCCACATTCGGCTTCGACGTCGAGCGACTGGCCGATCTCAGCATCGAGGCCGTAGCAAAGCGCTTGAGAGCGCGCCCGTTGCATTATTTCGCGAGGATCCATGTCCCGCAGGCTGCTGTGGTTGGAAGACGCCATCGAGTCGAGTCGAAGGTTGCTGCTTCGTGCGAGGCGAGATTCGCGTACCGTTCCATGTTGTTCGTCGCCATGGCCAGGAAGACTGGGAGGTCGGAAGGCAAATACGTCGTCGTCGCTATCTACGGCAGATCCGTTGCTGTTGCGCAACGCCAGCATGGCATGACTCCTGGCGAGGCTGGCTTGATCGGCACCGGTTTCTGCGAGGGGATGATCAGAGACAGGACCAAGACCTGCCACCTTGCCCTCTGCTGAAGGCGTCTCGCTCTCCTCTGACTCTGTCGGGGCTGACGCCAGCGGAGGCAAAGGTGGCAGTAGAGCATCGACAGGAGGAGGAGGAGGAGGACGACGCAAATTCTGAGCCCGCCTTGCATCGCTCAACGCGCGAGAACGGTGATATGGTGTCTCTTCCTCTTGAGCCTCATCGAGCACCGAATGGGCTGCAGCGCCCCTCATCCCATTCGAAGCGATCTTGCCTTTATCGAGCACCAGATCTTCTAGCGCGATATCGATCGCATCCACGTTCCATTCTTCCTGTCGCGGCGTGATGTGTGCGTCCCTTGGAGGCACGAGAGGAAAGCTGAGCACGTCTTTGTGCAGAGCCTGATCGTCGGTGGATATCGTGCGGGTGTTTGAGAAGCCAAGCAACGGCAAATGGTGGATGATTTCAGCTTCACCATCCTGTGCTGCCTTTTCACGCAGCATCTTTTTCTTCTTCATGCCCGTCAAGCGTCCCTGGCCGTGAGAAGCGTCGCGCTGCACCACGGGCTCGACGAACTTGATCAACGTCGACTTGGAGCTAGCCACTCCGACGGGCACCTCATCGACGTCGGACGTGTCGTCGTACGAAGCTGCCACTTCCGAGGCGATGCTGGCGCCGCAGTCGCTTTGAGACATGTTGTGAGGGTAGTCGCCGAAGTCGGGTCGGCAGACGGACGACGGCGTGGACTCGGAATAGGTGCTGAAGCTGTGTGAGAGGCTAGGCTGGCTCGTGTTGGAGGGATAGCGGACAGAGTCGAAGCTTCGGTCGTACGACGGCTGTCGGTACATGGCCTCTGCAGCTTTACGTGATGTTGCGACGGTATACTGGCGACCGGGTCGTGTTGTCGACATGGCGTGGGAATCGAGACTCGAGGTCGGGCCGAGTTGCGAGGTGAAGAGAGCAAGCCCTGATGAAGGATGAAGCAAGATCAAAACCGAGATGGTGGGTTGATGTAGCTCCAAAGTATGATCGCAGCAAGCCAAGGATGTCAACTTGGTAATGAAGTTGCCCAGCTTGAGGATGAATAGGCGAAGGGTCTATAGTACCACGAAAGAGGACCGTTGCGTTGCCGAGCTCCTTCTTGCCGCTCGCTTCTTAAGAGGGTGTCTGCAAGCTCAAGGTACGCGAGTGCGTGTGTCCGAGACCGGGAATGCGGTGTCAGGGTCTGTACAAAGACCGAGACGATTGAAAAACGATTGGGATGTTGCAGCACGATGGGAAGGGCGCAAGCGACGGATGTCGAACGAAGCGGTCGGTGTGGCGCCGTGAGAAGAGGGCAGGCGGCTGTAAGTAGGCTGGCCTACGGGCTGGGGCTAAGTTGGTGGCTGAGGCAACGACGTCGGACTAGCTCACTTGATTGCAAGACGCAGATCACAGTCGTGCTTGTACCGACAAGGAAGAGGTGGATGCTGCAAGTGGACGAAATGCGGAAGCAAGCCACCAACGAGAATTGACAGCATGAAAAGCAGCTGCAAAGTGTCACGAAGCGTGGGTAATCGCACACCTCGACACGATAGCCTTCACCAGTCGCAGGTACCTCTTCCGCCCTTGCAGATCCGAGGCCAAAGGCAACCCTAATTGCCGTATCGCTTCGGCAAGAACATCATTCTCAGAGCACATAGTGATGCAGGACAGTGGCGATCCGCGGAAAAGCTGCTCGAGAATAACAAATGGCAGCACGAGGTGAGCAAGCCTTCCAAGAGCAAGCGAGGCTTTAGTAATTCGATGTTGACGAAACGGACGCTTTCCATCGGCGACCAACTTGTCACTCCTATCTGACTAGGAGAGATTTGGCAGCTGCTTGCCAGCGATGTGCTGCACAACAATGACGCAGGCAGCTCTGTTGTCCTGTCCTGCAATGCAGCGTAGACCAGCTAACCTAAAACGATTTCCCACGATGTCGGCACAACCCTCTGCGCGCGCGCGGGCCGCCAAGGAAAGAAAGCTTTCAGATGCAGGGTTTCTGCAACCGAGCACCTTTTCACTGGAGCCGAGGTGCCATGTGGATACAATGGAGCGTACCTCTCTTTTGCATTTCGACTCCCGACGCTAGGGGGGGCTGTTGGCGGAACAAAAAAAGCGGGCACATCGGGTGCGATGTGTCATGTTCTGGACGTGAACCGTGTGTTGGACTCCGAACCTATTCGAACGGTAGGGGCACGGGCAAAGGCGCGCGAGAGAGTTTTTCGCGGAGCGGAATGGTGACCGAAGTACAATTTGAACACTTCGGACTTTGAACCCGACGAAAAACGCTACACCTGTAGAAAGTTGCGATCGCACTACGATGAGCTAAGCACCTCCAACCCGAAGCGGAGAGCCTTCCCACGTCATCTCCATCGTCATCTGACGGGTTTGGGATCAGACATTGACTCGTCAGTTCGTGTTAGAGGAGCTCATCATTCACGAAACGCAGTCCTATTCGACGACAAAAGTGTGTGGATTCCCACGCAGGCAAGGAGCAGTAATTTAAGCTCGAGACAATGCTGCAGATCGACTTGCGTGCAAAGGCGTTGCTCTATTGAGTGCCAGAGCGACTGGAACCACCGACGGCGTGGAATCGTTTCATGGCCGAAAACGTGCAACACTCGGACAATGCGCCTGAATCGCAAAGCAAGCAACTCTTTTTTTTGATCCAATCACAGGTCCAAAATGGATCCATTCAAGCCACAATTCTTGCGATGCGTGAGTACTGTGGACGAAGAGGTCAGATTTCTCGGATTGCTTGAGCCGCATCCTTCGGCAAGTTTCCCGTCGAGGGATGCCGCATGTGGTCGATCGAAGCACGCGACCCCCTCTTCTGCTCTCCTTGGGGAAAGCATCGTGCTGACACTCTTGGTCGACTCGCCTGGTCGTGTGGTCTCCGTTTCAGAGCTTCTTCGGACACAAGCGCTTTTGTGCCAAGGGGTCGTGCCAGTCTTAATTCGGCTGTCATCGCGTAAGCGAGCTGCCAAATCGAGGCTCAGGTTTGAGCTCCGCCTGCAGAGAACGATCAACGTCGTTCCAGTGCTCTCGATCACATACAGTAAGAGTAGCTTGTTCAGTCTCCTCTATCACGGAACTGGCCACCATTTTCGGGCACGATATCGTCCAGTTGGCCGAGGGAGGTTTCTACGGTATGTTTCGTCGATCATCGGCCTGTCTGGATTGTGGATCGTCTCAAATCGTGGTTTTTTGCCGGGGTTAAATTTCGTGACCTCCTTTTGTCAGACATTTGACTTTTCCGCAGTTGTAAAATACCTAAAGCACGGTTCATCATCTCTCAAAAGGGAGCAGCATAAGCGTCCTGTCGACCGGATGCACCTGTCCATGGCTGAGAACCGATTCATCGGTTGCCGTCCAATCGGGAGCACTTTTCAGCACCTGATCACGATCCCATCCAACCTCACCAGCTCGTCCCCAGCATTCACAGCAACCCCCCACATATCGCCCGACCCACCATCATCCCTTCTCGCATCCCTCTCACATAAATCACACCAACAGCTCCCGAAAGACAATGCTGCCTCGTTGCAATCCATAACGAGACGTGAATACAAACGTTGAATGAGAATGCGGGTGACTTTTTTTGCAACACATCTTCCCAACCGACCGAACAGAAACCCAAAATTAGACAAGCAGATCAAGACGAAAAACAAAGGCGGCAACGATTATGGTATACTTTTGCAGACTGAGACAGAAGATGGTCCGTTAGATAGGAGAGAATTAGATACGAACGCTGAACCGGTCGAGGGCAGCACGATCCATACGGGAGAATGCGGGTTTGCCGGCCACATCGTCTCCTTCGACGCTCGTGGGTGTCGTCATCGCGGAGGATTGCGACATGGAGGCAGCGCCGGTCTTGGCGTGCATCGGGAGCGAGTCTTCGCTCGAGCCGGAACCGCTGCGCAGGCTCAGCAGAGCACCCACCGCCGAATCGCGCTGCTCCTTGAACCCGTGCGGTCCTCCGTGCGTGGAGCGAAGCTTGGACACTCCCTCGTCGTCCGAGCCACCGCGACCGAGAGGGCGGCTCGGTCGGATGGGCGCGAGCACGTCCTGAGCCGATTTGCTGGGGCTGCTCATGCTCGAGCTGCGCAGACGCTGTAGACGAGGGCGCGTCGGCTTGATGTCGTCGCGACCATCGTCAAGAGGCAGAGCTCCACCGCGGAAATCCTGGTACGATCGCTTGCGGCCATACGCGTGTCCTGCATCGTGAAGAGAGCGAGGCGAAGCGTCCAACGTGGCATCCTTGCTGCCACGTCGAACGGCGAGCTCTGCATACTTGGAGTCCACCGGGATGGGTCGAATGGGGAGCAGACCGCGCGCTTCGTGGAAAGGTGTCACCTCGGCATACGAAAGCCTGTCGACAGGTTCGGCCTTGACAGGACGCAAGCGAGGCGCGTGGCTGTCAGACTCACGCCCGGATGCAGCCTCGCGGGGCGAGAGCGTGCGTGGGTCCCTTGCGCCGGGCGAGATGCGGCCACGCTCCGTGCGGGTGCGCTCGTCGACGTACGATCGCGGTCCAGGAGAGACAGGATGAGCTTCGTAGCCAGTGTCCTTGGAGTGCATCGCAGCGGAACCGCGACGAATTTCCAGGTGGGCGGGACCAGGGGGCGACTGCGAGCCTTCGAGGTCTTCCGGGTTGACTCCAGGAGGAAGATCACCGGCGCGGCTGATCGGATCGGGATACTCGGCCTCGTCGACCTCGAGACCCCACTCGCCGCCGTTCTCGCCAACGAAGCGAGGGTCTTCGCTGACGCGACGCAGCAAACCTTCGCGAACGTCGCGCTTGGTGTAGTAGGAGATGACGTGAAGCTTGCGGCCCGAGGTGGTGGTCATGCTGAATGATTGCTTGATGAGACCCTCGGCTTTGTAGAGGTTGGAAGTAGGACCGCCAGTGATGGAGGACGACGGCTTCTTGCGCGCCTCGAGCTCGCGGTACGTAAGGAAGCAGCCGCTTACTCGACTGGCAGACCAGCACTTGCCGTCGGTCCATCGACGCATGCCGGCCTCCTTCTCATCCCACACAAAGATGCTGCCGGAGCAGATGAGATCGGCGCGTTCGGAATCCAAGAGACGACGGTTGACACGTCGAGGAGGCGGCAAGCCGGGCACGCCGGCGTCTTCGACGAGATCGCAGGCGGCGAGGAGGAGGATGGCGTCCTTGGTGGTCTTGATGTGGCCTCGGTAGGTCGGCTGCTGCTGCGAGCCGATGGGCATGGACATGGGGTGGCCGATGGATGCTCGCATGCCGTGAGCCGAAGAGGACGCCGTCGAGCTGTTTGAAGAGAACGACGCGTGGTGCGAGCTGTATGGATGACGGGCATGAGCGGGCGCATGACCGGGATGCTGTGGGTGACCATGGTGGTCGCGAGCGCACTGGGCATGCTGGTGTGCGGCGCTGACCGACGAGGGGGATCGGCCATCGTAGGGATAGTAGGGCTCATCGTGATGCGTGTGTCGGTGGTGGAGGGGCGGCGGTGGAAGAGGGCCGCGCTCGTCGTAGTACGAGTGATGGTGGCGCGTGTAGGTGGGGTGGGGAGCGGGGTACGGCGCGTAGGCGCGCTCGGATGGAGGAGCGTGGTCTGGGTACATGGGACCGTGCGGAGGCCCCGGGAGTGGGCCGCGAGGCATAGTCTGCGACCGAGCATAGTCGGGCCTAGAAGGCAAGTGTCGATTTGTGTACGGATGCATGGCGCCGGCAGGCTCGGGGTGTTGCGAGTATCGGTCGTGAGAATACGAGTTGTTCGAGTAGTGACCGGGCATGATGGCGGGGTGGATCAGCAAATCGACCGTGCGTATCGACAGAAAAGAGCGTCAGGGAACGAGTGATGCTGTCGAAAGAGAGTGATGTAGGTGCAAAGCGCAACTTTAGGACTGCGCAGATGGATTTGGTGCGGCTGAATGGAGCCTTTGAGAGGGTCCGACTGTCTGCGAGACGTGGCTGCCGACGGTCGAGGTCAACTTGCCATTCGAAAGAGTTGGCAAGGTAGCTTGGAAACAGCAAGACGAGAATCGAAAGTCAAGTTCGAGACACTTCGACGATATCAAGACGCCGAAGAACAGTGACCGAAGGAACGAGGAGATGGTCGAACAGAACGATTGTGATCGATGCAGAGAGTCGTAGCAAGGACGACGACGGTGGTGAATAGATCAGCGAAGCAACGTCGCCATGGGATTGGGACTGGACTTTCGTGAGGGGACAAGGTGTGGGTGGTGGAAGGGAAGGGGGAAAGGAATGCGCACTGTGGGTATGCGTGTGGCTTGCTGTGGCCGCGGGGGCGTTTGCTTTGGCTTACCAAAGGTGGATTGTGGCTGCCGAGATGCTGATACCGGGAGAGTGAAAGAGTGAGCGACTGTGTCGCAGCTCACCATGATTTTTTTCCTTACAGGCATGGGATGGCGAGGCTCCATGTGAGCATGCGGCGGCGAGGCTCGAGACGACAGCGCAAGAAAGAGTGGCAAAAAAGCTCTTTCGAGCAAAAGCCTTAACTACGTTGAAGGAACGGAACGCTGTCGAGTGAATTTGGACTCGACTCGAAATCCAAGCGCGCGTGCAGCGTCCAATGGATCGAAGCGAGTCAGTGAGCGTGTCTTGTCTCGCGGTCTTTGGCCCTTGCAACTGGGCTGGGCGGAAAATCCGGTCTCGGTAGATTTGAATTTTCTGGATGTGCACCTCACCACCGAGCCAAACGCAAATAAGAAAAAACAACAATTTTCCCTTTTCCAAGCTTCTACGCAGCAGCGAGGTAGACCAGGATCGAAAGCGTCGCGAGGCACAGAGTTGCTTGTCGATCAGTCCAGTATGAGCGAGTCCATGACCACACGCGGACATACAGTGACAAGGACGAAGCCATCGTATCGGCAGAGCCTCGTTTTCAGAGGCTGTTGCAATAGCTTGCTTTTCGGCACAGGTCTCTCGTCACAGACCGGCTCCTTTTTGCTGACCAACGTAAAAGCGATCTTCGTGCATGGCACGCAGCGGGCTCTAAACAGATAGAACATGCAGAAGGAGATCGAGAGGCGGCACTTCGGATCGATGAAAATACAGTGCACTAGGAGGTTAGAATCACACCAAATTAAGGTCAATGTTCGTTCGTGCAGACTCCGTTGGAATCCTCGTAGAATTTTAGCTCCCTTTTTTAGAGCTTTCGTCTCCCACAAGGAGAGTTCAAGCTTTGAAATTCGCTTGCATGCGAGGCAGAGGTGCAAGACCAAGGCGAGGCAACGCAAGGGTCATACCTCATTACCGAGGTTGGGAGGGGTGCTCGCTAAGATGAAAGAGCCGCTGCAAGTGGATGTGCCAAGCGATTGTGGTGGTCAGGTGGCGGACGCCGCCTTTACTTTTGTTTTCAATCAATCACCAACGGGAACGCGAAGCGGGTCGTTTTAACGATGTAGCTGCAGCGGTAAACTACACACAGTGCAGCGGTCTGTCCGTATTCGGGCCTGATCACACCTGCAGCTTTCTACGATTTGGCCCCAGTCCTGGCGCCTAGGAGTCCGTGGTGTCTTCGCGTCGGAAAGCGAATTTAAACACCGAATTTCGGATTGCAGCGGTGATTGAAGTACATCAGTAAGCACCGGTTCTGGGTTCTCGTTCTTGCTGGCTTGCTTGCGCCAGTCTTGTGGCGGGAAGCCACTCTGCTGATAACGTTGAGAATCTCTTGCCTCTCTGCCTCGTAAATTAGCAACATCACCGATTCGCTGTGTACCTCACGCCGACAAGACCTCTGTCTGTTCCGGAAAAGGATGCATGCAACGCAAGTAGCGTTGCACGTTGCCTCGATCTCAGTAGCGAATCGACCATCCTGGTGTGCTGATACAATATCGTCACGTTGCTGCACGCCAGCTCATAGATACATTGACACGCACGCAGGCCGTACTCTATCAATATAGTACAGACCGGCAAGCGCACGTACGTCGAGACTCAGTACTGTGCCCCCTCTTTGTCGTCGTCGCTTGCAGTGCTGCAAGAAAAGAACATGATCCACGACACGCGGCAAGGGCCGACTACAGTTCGTGGCTTGCAACAGAGAGTGCGGTTGTGTTGATAGAAAAGGATTGAGGATCGTGTTGAGATTTCTCTCGGATTGCAAACATTCCGGAGCGAAGCTGCAACAACCGATCTGGAGCACCGGACGCATAATTCTAAATTAGGACCTGCAACCCCGGACAAAGGGTCTTCAACAAAAGTCAGGGTCGTTTTCATTTTGATTTGACTCAAAAACACTAGACTTTGTTGTCCATCTTGACCCTTCATAGCGTACAAAACCTCGCTTCGATATTCAGGCGCGTGGGGTGACAGAAAACTATTCTTCGATCGACCGCGTTTCTTTCCCTGCAGCTCTGGGGCACGAGCGCACAAGCGAAAGGAGCACCCGAACGCCGCGTCTTTCCGTCTAAAACGGCCTCTGCTCATTCGCCTTGTCAGCGTGGATCCTGCACCCATGCCGTAACATCCCAATCTGCAGCTTTCGTCGGAAAGAGGAAAGCGATTCAGTAGAGGCCATCTGCCCCGGCTAGCATGCCTTTGCCTCGCCAACCCCGCTTTGTGGCAAATTTCACGTTGTGTTCGCTGCACACACCTCGGCACATATTTGCGCGCGGTGAGTGAGTCAGAAGCCGCTGTGGAAGGGTGATCTGGAAACAAGTTGCAGCAACCGTTTGCGGCGTCCCTTAGTGAGCAGCTTCTTCAACAACCATTCTCGTGAGGAACGAACGATCGAGCGATCCAGACTGTTCGAGATGGTGCAATCGAATATTAATAATAATAATGAAGAGTTGCATGCAAGCTTTGCGGTCTGCTGCGGATCCGGTGCCGGGAGCAGATGAACGTCGGTGGTAGACTTACCCAGAAATCGGGCAGGCAGAAGCTGTAATTTAAGACTCGAAGGGTGTGGCATGCTTGTGCTGCAAGGGAAGAATAAACTCTGACTTCTCTGCTTCAGAGCTCGGTCCAGGGGGAGGGGCCGCTGCGAAAGATGCACGCTAGCGGATCTGCGGTTCCTAATCCTGCAAAGAAATATGCACGTCAGGATCGAAGCTTCGGCTAAACGGGTTTGTGCTGCCTTTCCACCCAAAAAGCCTGTGCGTGGTTGGACCCTTGATAATCATCGCGCAAGACGTCAAGAGCCGTCTCCGGCTCCCCTCACAACCCGCTCACGGCCTCTGCTCCAAATTGTGGGTCTTGCCGCGATGCGTGTTCCTGCCGTTGTCGTCGCTTTGGTACATGATTGAGCAGGTGATAGTGGAAAACCTAATCATGAGCTGCAATCGACGATCGAGGGAGCTTTAATTCCCTCGTCCACCTCATTGCGGTCGCGCTTCCCTCTGCCCCCTCCTCCCTCTTTCACTTTTAGCGATCCCGCTCCGAGTATCATTTCACTGTCCGACCGCTTCATTCGATGGAATGCTCACATCATCGTGCGTCTCGGTTCCCGACCTGCAATAGCTTATTTTCGGTCATTGTCGCCTCTGCAGCCGCAATCCCTCCCACTCCCCAGTTGATCTGAATAAGGACTGTAAGACCGTGCTCACTTTGCGATTGCCTTGACCGATGCAGTTTCTCTCTCCCTCTCTTTACAGCGATGGCAGCGATGCACGAAAAAATGAGATGGGAACACGACTTGACGCTGTTTGGACTTTGAAAAGTGGTCAGCTGCAGCCACGCTCAAAATATAGCTCGAATTTCAGCAGGATTGGATTTGGTGGTACAAATAAATGCACTCTCCAGGCGTGCCAGTAAGGTTAGGCTCAATTAACCTCACCCGCGTTTTCGATTCAGGTTCAAATTCCTTTGTTGCCATTGTTACATCTAACTTTGATCTGTCACAATGAGAGAGAGCCTCGGATTCCGACAACGCATTCTTCTCCTCTCCATTGTCGCCCATTGTTGCGGTTGAGCAGCCGCTTGGCCCTCTTGGGAGAAGACAGTTGATTCAGCGGACCGGTGCTGCGATCTCATGCGGTACAACAACCTCTGAGTGTTGCTCAAGCTCGCCAATTCACATCTCAGAATTTCCAAACCCACGATCTGCACAGGTCGGGTTCCCATCGGAAAGCACGAGCGGTTCCTTTGACCGGTACTGTCGTCATGCCGTGACACATGCTGCTTTTCGGCGATTCATTCACATCGAGGGATGCATCCAGCACAGTCTCATGAAACCCAACGAAGGCCATGCTGAGAACTCCGCATGCACAAAGTTCTATTATAGAGCTACTACAGGCCAGCGAATCCAGCGTGATTTGCCGAGCACTTATCCCCATCGCCGATCAGAGAGCAGATCCTTCGACGTGCCGATACCGCCGAAGCGGTCGTCACCAAGAATCGCATTCTAAGCGGCAAAAGTGCAGGTATGTCGATGAGACAGAACACCAGCTATCCCGAAGATCTAGAGGAATGCAGCTTGGCCTTTGTAATGCCTCATCCATCCCTATCGAACCTTCCTTAATCTTCTTTCCCGATCGCATTCTGCCTCATCGTCTGGGTGTCGACTCTTTCCCGGAACCGGTCCAACATGTGAAGGGTGTTTCCTTCGAAAACACTGCTCGTTCACAGACGAATCGATGAGGAGGATCGTCAGCCGAGACGGAAGGTGAAAGCGAGCGAGAGAAAAGACTGAAGAAGAGTCCGATTCAAGAAAGTTGTTTTGCTCTTGGACAAAGTAATTGCCTTGTCGATCTCTGGATGTAAGAAAGGTCGACTTTGTCAAGTGAAACCGCATTCCAGATCGCCATGTCAACGTCCATATCACTCCCGCAAACCCAACCATCACGACAGAATACACATCACCTCATCATCGAAACAACCAAATCAAACTCACCTCTGCAAGAACCTCCATTCCTGCAATTCTACAAACCTTCGAACCACAAAGACTAGAAAGGAAACCGTGGGGAAAAATGGGGAAGAATGTATGAAACGTTCAATGGGTCAATTCTCACAGAAGCATCGAGAGGTAATGGACCTAAATCCTAGTTTCCTGCACACCCTCCCGAAAGGGAAGGTTGATGTTCTAGCCTCCGTCTTCAATCAACCAGCCACTGAATAAAGACTGATCAATCAAATATTTGGGGCATCAAAGGGGACAAAGGGGAAGGGGAAAGAAGCCAAATTCATCCGAAGACACACACCCGCACACATCATCACACCGAACACTGAATCGCCTGCCATTACTTTCCCCCGCAACCGCTTCTACGACTTACCCGCTGCCTCCTCAAGCACACCCTTGAACTCCTTCGCATCGTCTTCCGTCTTGACCTTCATCCTGTACTGCGTCGGGTCCTTTCCGTCAAATCCCAAAAACGCATTCACCGTCTTATCGAGGCTGCTCTTGAGACCCTTGTAGATCAAGAAGTTGACCGCCACTTTTCCGTTGGCCTCGTTTCGAGCCAGCAGCCTGTGCTTGTTGGTGGAAGAGTCGTGCTTGATCTTGGCGACGCAGACACCGAGATCCTTCCACGATTTCGTCGACATGTCCAGACGCCAGATCTTGGATCGCACGGTGAGCAAAGTCGATTCGGACTCTTCGCCCTCGCCTTCGCCGAGCAGGCCTGATGAAGAGGGCTTGCTGGGATCGTCGGTGCTCTCCGAGTCTGCGGCGCTGTCGCTGCCGGTTGCAGCGGGGGTTGTTGCTGGTGCTGACGTCGGCGCGGATGCGGCTGGGGCCGGCGTAGATGCGGAGAAGCTGAAGTCGGCGCTGGTAGGCGCAGCAGCAGTCTTGGCCGCACCGCCCTTCTCGGCGTCGGACGACGTCGTGACGTCGTAAACAAAGTCGAACTTGGGCAAGGCAGACTCGGCTGCCAACTTGATCTCGTCTCGCAGCGCCTTGTCTGCGTGTTGACTGGTGGATGCCGCTACTGCAGGCACCTGCCACTCGAATCGCGGCAGGCTCGAGGCATCTTCGGCCATCACTTGACTGCGGATCGAGCTAGGCTGCGACGTTGCGAGCGAGCAACTCGAGGCTGCCGTCGACACCGACGAAGACGAGGGAGCCGAGAAGCTGAACGCGGTGCTTGCTGGGGCAGCGCTTGCCGCCGTTTTCTGCGGTGATGGTGCTGCTGCGACAGGACTGAAGGAGAACGAGGGGATGCTGGCGGGAGCTGCAGACGACGCTGGTGTCGTGGATGCCGCAGGCTTCGAAAACGAGAATCCAGCAGAAGATGGCGCAGCTGCCGCGGAAGGGTCGCTCGGTTTCGCAGCACCGAACGAGAAGCCAGCCGACGGCGTTGTCGTCTTTGCGGGACTGCCGAAGCTAAAGGAGGGCTGCGCGATGGCGGGACCGCGGGGTTGACCGGAAGGCGCCGATGTCATCTCCGTGTCGGAGCTGGGCGAGTCGGGAGCCTGGAAAGCGGCTGACAAGGGCGAAGGCTTCTTGGGCTTGCTAGCCGTGTACTGCGGTGGCACGAGGTTTGACGAGATCTTGGATGTAGACTTGTTGTCGGTCACGGCGGGCTTCGGAGCACTGCCACTCTGCTCTTCCTTCTGCTGGCTCTTGGCCTTGTTGAGCGCTTCCAGACGACGCTGTACCTCTTCCGTCTTTTGCAGCTTGCGTTCTTCTGTCGAACTCGTTGACTCTGAGGAGGGCTTGGAGGCGGGCTCGGGCGCAGATGTGACTTCATCGCGCCTGGACTCCGACGTCTCGGGTGCCGCCTTCCTCTTACTGATCGTCTTGGGTGCGGTTCGCTCGATGAGGTCAAGCACAGACTCCTTGGGAGGGCTGTGCTTTTCCGCGGCTCTGGCGGTCTCTCTGGCTTTGGCGCGCGTGAGCATCGAAGTGCGAGCAGAGCGGCGCACGGGTATCGCCTCTTCGGCCGCTGGCTTGCTCTTAGCGGGCAAGGGCGCCGCCGACTGGTACGGATTGACGAGCTCAGGCTTGGTTGGTGGACGCACCAGCGGCGTGGTTTTGAGGATGTCTTGAATCGCGCTGGCGGTGCGTGTGGTGGTCTTTGGTGGGCTCGTCTTGGCCGCTGCGGCGGCAACAGTCTCTTGCGATGGAGCTGCCCGCTTCAAGGGAGAGCCGGTGGACGTGGCTTTGCCTGGCGACGAGGCAGCGATGTCTTTGGCGAGCAAGCTGCTCTGACGCGCCTGCTTCTCGTATGCGGGCTCGAATTGAACCGTCTCGTCCGCAGATGGCACGCGGCCATTGACGGATGAGGCAGGACCTGCGGCATCCATCCCAGTGCGGCGGCGTTTTGCCTCTTCGGCACGATCGGCAACATCGTTTGTCTCGTCCGCTCCATCCCTGGCGTATCGCGCGAGGCTGGGATCCGTGCTGGATCGTGGCATCGAGCTGAAACCTTGTGTCTTTGCCATGGCAGCTGCACGCGACGCACTCGCCACGACGGGTCTGCGGCGGTTGAGCGAGAGTCCACTCATGCCGGGACCGAGATAGATGGGTCGTCTGCGCGCGGACGACGTCGAAGAGGACGTCGCGACGCCAAACCCAGAGTGTGATGCAGGCGCACGAGGGGCAAGGAAAGAATACGCACTCGAAGAGGTATTGAACTTGCTGGTGCCGGGATGGAAGAGCGTGTTTGTGCTCTGCGAAGACGGGAAGGCAGGAGGGGCGATGCTGCTGGCGCGAGACGAGGGGGCAAAGCCACCGATCTGCACGGGCGCAAAGTGTCGCTCGTGATGCGAAGCACCAGCGAACTCGGACTCGAGGTTGCGCCCCGTCGCCATGCTCTCTTCGATCAATCGGATACAGCCTTCGACTTCGACTTCGGTGAGTCCGCCTTGACCACCTCGCTGCTTCTCGGAGAAGAAGCGTGCCAAAAGGTCGTAGTTGCGAGAGACTGGACTGGTCTGTGCTGCAAGAGGTACCTGAGAGGTCGATGCAAGAGGTGTCGATGAGATTGGATGTGACGGTGATGCTGCAAATTGACGACGAAGGCCAGGTGTGACCAATCCGCTGTCGGCCAATGGAAGGTGTTTGGCAGGTGGGGCAAGCGACGAGCGGGGTCTCGGACTGGGCGATCGAATGGTCGAAGGTGCGTCTGAGAGTACACTCAGCTGGCTGCTCGGCGCATCCTGAGCAGATCGTTCAGCTGCTCCAGTGGAGAAGCCCTCTTCGGCGTCTTCTATCATGCGGTCTTCTGCATCGACGCCTTCTTCCACATTCTCGAGCTCTGAAGATTGTCCGAGCGGGGCACCGTCATCTGCCTCCAATGCATCTTGATCCATATTGGCCTCGTCTGCTGCTCCGAACGCAGCCGAGCGTCGGGCCCTGCTCAAGCCACGGAAGGGACTGATCATGGAAAAGATCTCTCGCAGCATCATGGGCGAGCTGGTACGCGATGTAGGCGTACTCGGACCGACTGCGAGGGCGGACGACGATAGTTTGTTTGGTGTCCTGGTATACGGCGAAGGACGCGTTGGTGTTCTTGAAGGGGCAGCTGGGGATCTAGAAGCGGAAGCGGATGTGGACTCGTCGTTGCGATTCGACAAAGATCCGGCCGAGCCGGCCGCTGCCCGAGCGTTGTGTCTGGATGGTCCCATTTTCGCGATGCAGGCTGACGAAGTGGGCGGATCCTGTATGCGTGTCTGTGCTACCGCTGCTGAAGCACAGAGATTGATGAGGTTGTGACGCAGCTAACAAGGTTTCTGCGACAACCGAAATGAAGTGAACGACGCTAACTCTTGTTCAGAAGATGCCTTCTGAGCAGAAACGCAGAGGCATCGACTCTACAGAATTCACTGCATGTCCCTTCGAGGCAGGTATCGCCGCTGGTTTACGCAAAAGCCTCCAGACAGGCTGTCTTCCGGCGATTAAGCAGACGTCTTGATGTTATTGGTTGTCGATGGAAGGAAGCATGTCAGTCGGACTGGAAGACCAATTCTCATTTCATTTCGCGATGACCCGCACACATTTTTTCCTGCAGACCACTGAGCGTGTTAAATCGCTGATCGCCTCTGTGCTGCCTGTCTGATTTTCTTAATTCTTCGCTCGCACGGATGATCGACCAAAAACATCTCCACACACCACACGAATGGCTCACCGTGCCTGATCGTCTCGACACCACGACGTGTTGTCACGACAAGGTGACGGCATCGTCTTGCCGTCGAGCCCGAGTCCTCGTTCCATGTAACACAAACGACCATATGAGCGAAAGTCCTGTCTGTAGGCATGAAGCGGAATTATGAATGGTGACTACAGTGACAACGACACGCACCGAATACCCTCACGTGGTGCTCTTCCCTGACGCAGTACCGACAGTGTCGATAGAGCTAGACAATACATCATTGATCGAAGTCCCTTGGAATCCGTGGGTCAAGGCATCAATCTGCGAGCCCAGTCCAGGCCCGGATCTCTTCTGCTCTTCCAGGATCGTCGGCGTAGGGATGGCAAGCGGAGCAGCTCCTGCCGGCAGAAGATCGACTGCGTCGGATGTCGACTCTGTCGTTGCCTGCGTCTGCGCTTGTGCAGACGATGCACTCGCGGACGTTGACATAGGTGGTGTGGAAGAGGCTTGGACGAGCGCGCCGAGCGAAGCCGTTCGGCCATCCACCGCGTTGACGGGCGGCGATCGCGAGCTGAGACCGGTCAGATCGCCGACCCCGTCTCGAAAATCGCGACCGATCTTTTGCGAGCGGATCTGAGATGCAGTCGGAGACGCGACAGCAGCAGGCAATGGGCTTGCCATTGCCGATGGCGTCGATGAGGATGCTGAAACGGCTGCTGAGTCCACATCCGACTGTGGTACCGTCGAGGGAGAGATCGCTGATGGAACGGGAATGGCAGCTGCGGATGGAGCCTGCGTCACGGTCGTCGGGGCATTTGCATCGCCGGCAGGAACTGCTTTCAAGGTGGCGGCGCTCGAGCTAGCGATACTGCCATGGCCGGTTGTTGGCGCGGCAGCGGTTGCAGCAGCGGCAGACGAGAGGGGTGTCATCGATGAAAAGCCGCTGCCGAACCCGCTTTCTCGACCTACTGCGCTCGATGCCGAGCTGGCATGCCGCGATGCTGCTGTCGAATTGGGTTGCGTGGCGGGTTGGTCGGGTGAGACCATGCCGATCATGGGTCCTCCTCTTTCCATCAACGCCTGTCGAACCAAATCAGCCGAGGGGCCCTCGGCGTCGTCTTCGCTGTCGGAGGCGGCGGATTCGGTCCCAGATACGCTGGCGCTTGATGCTGTGTCGCCGTCCCAAATGTCTTCCTCCTCGTCATCGTCATCATCGTCTTCGCGGTTGAGCATCTCTTCGATGGTCTGCTCCACCTCTTCGTACTGCGCACGCAGGATGGCCTGACCTTCGGGAACGCTGCCGTCGCGTCCGAGCCACTTTCGCACGCCCGTGTCGTTGCCGTCCTTGTCGAGCACCTTGCTTCGCATCCCGTCGATCTGGTGCAGCGCAAGTCGGTACGGATACAGATCTCGCATGGTGAAGGGACCGCCGTACTTGGAGACCTCCTTGAGACACTTGGACACGGTGGAAAGCTTGTTGCTGATGGGCATGAGCTCCTCCGAGATGGGCTCGGAAGAGGCGACGAGGCGATAGATGAGACCGTAACATCGTCGCAGCAGGTACAGAAGCACGAGCTGACCCTCGGGCTGTTTGCCCTCCGAATCGACAAACTTGCCATTGACGCGAAGTCGGTCGATCTCCTTGAGCGTCACCTGGTAATTCCAAAGGTCGGTCTCTCGCAGCGTCCATCGATGTGTCAAGACGAGATGCTCGAGCTGCGACTTGATCTCGACGAGTCGGTCATAGATGGGCTGCAGCGTCATGGGCACTTCGTCGTTGCGCACCGTCATGTCGTGGCAGATCTCGAAACATTCTTCCAAGAGACCCACGAGAATGGCTTGGCCTGCAGGGACCGAGCTGCCTCCTGGACCCAAGAATTTGCCGTCAACACGCTTTGCGTCGATCTTTCGAAGTTCCTCCTGCAGCTGCTTGATCTCTGCTCGTGCTGGCTTTGGCTTGGCTGCTGCTGCTGCGAGTTGACGACGGATGGAGATGATCCTCTGATGGATGGGCACCAGCTCGACGGAAAGCACTTTGAGCGTGCCTTCGAGCTTGCGAACCATCTTCTCGCACGCCTCGAGTTTGCGTGTCATGAGCTTGGTGAGCTGCGGTGGATGTCGGCTGCCTTCACCGTCTTTGCGGATGATCTCGCGCAGCTCGGACAGACGCGATCCAAATGGTTGCAGGTCGGCCTCGGTGTAGATGCCCGACTCCTGCAGGTGGTCCAGCAGCTGCTTCATGCAGCTGAGCTGAGAAAAGGTGGCAGGCGACTCGCGGCTGCGCCCGATCGTCAAGAAGAACAGGCTGAGAAGGGAAAAGACGTCGTTGAGCGTCGTGTCGACACGGTTGTGCTGAAGGACGGGTGAGTCGTCGGCGCCGTTGGCACCGGATTGATCAGCGTGCTCGGGATGATCCGAGGCGGAGCTGGCAGCGGCTGTTGCCTGTGCGTGGGCCTGCTGCTCGTCTCGGACAGCGTTAAGCTTGGTGACCTGCTTGATCACCTGTTGGTAGAGTTGCTGGACATCGTGGGATCTGATGAACTCGGAGCTGTCCTTTTTTAACGCAGTGAGTCGATTGCGGATGTTGATGAGCGCCTCGAGGATGGGGAGCTCCTCGTGCGGAATGCTCGACATGCTCGACATGGTGGGCTATAATGCGCTATGTCGACAGAGCACCTTGCGCTGATGTATCGACTGTGCACAAGTCTTTGGCGTAGTTGGACTGGCTGAAAAGGAGCGTGATGACAGGTGATCGCCGCGGATGTGCCGACCAGACGGGCGTCTTTGACTGCAGCCTGATGTGCCGTCGTTGCGATCGACAGAGTTGAGGCGTAGCGCTGGCACTATGATGAGCGGATAGCGTCGGATCGCTTGCGGACTGAGCCTCGACGTGTCAAGGTGGACGGACCGGGTGTTGGGATGCAGTCGTGATTCAAATCCACGGAGCGATGCGAAAGGACGGTTGCCAATGGTAAGAGTCGACGTGCAATGGCCTGTAGATAGCGAAGAAAAGGAAACGTCCGAACAAGACCGATACTCGAACAAGATGTAAAGACCGGAGGTTGGATGCGATTGTGAATGTGATGGTCGAGCGTGTACAGCCGCGGAGGTTCCGAATTCGGCGGATACAAAGCCTCGAGCCTGAGCTCACCGCGTGAAATGTGGGCCCCTCTCTCCCTTCGCCCGCTCACGGCTGCTGCAGGAGCGCGCAGCGTTCCAGACGCTCTGCTAAGACGCCGTGGCAGGCTGAGCGGTCTACGCGATTATTTTCGACGCTTTTCTATTTCCGAAAATCAGGTACAGCTCAGCCTGTCAGCGATGCCGTGTTGAACTCATAGGCACCCTAATTCTTGGACCCTCACTTCATCCGGATCTTATGAAAGCCCGCCGACATCGATCACTCCTTCAATCGATCACACCCACAAGCAGTGCGTGACGTTGCGATGAATACACCACCTTCTCTTATTTCAGGAGTTCTGCGGAACCTGTTTTCGAGAGTGCGACGATATCGACGACTGGAAGACGTGATCCTTAGTTACAACTCAGGCAAGCAGTCCAGCGAATCGAAAGCGAGAGGTCCTCAACCACTTGACTTCTTGCTCTTCTCCTTCTCACGACGTTTGACATTCTTCTTGCGATTTTGCTGCCGTTTCTTTTCGTCCTTGCTCAGCGTCTCGCTGCCTGTGAGATCGGATCCTGAGGGTGATTCGTCCTGCACCGACGGCGAACTTGACCCGCTTCGGCTCATCTCCGCGTTTTGAGCCGACTCGACTTTGAGCAGACCATTGCTGCCGTCGCCGGGGCCTGTAGAAGCCTCTGGCTGTTCGCTTGATTCAGGCAGCTCCGCTTCCGTACCGTCCTTCAGTGGATTTTCAGGCTCTCCCGTGACCGCTGGTGGAACGATCCCGAGCATGCCTGGCTGAGAGTCGGCGGTCTGCTTGCTGTCCTCCTCACGTGCTGCCTCTTGCGCCGCTGCCGCAGCTTCCTGCTCCTTTTGCGTTTTGATCTGCTGCTCCCACATCTTGCTGTACAGCCCACCTCGAGCAATCAGATCGGCGTGCGAACCCACCTCCACCACACGACCCGCATCCATCACGATGATGTTGTCGCAGTTGATGATGGTCGAGAGTCGATGCGCGATGGTCAAGCTCGATCGGCCTTGCATGAGGTTGTTGAGCGCCGACTGCAATTGACGCTCCGTTTGGCTGTCGAGCGCCGACGTTGCTTCGTCCAACAACAAGATGGGCGGGTTCTTGAGGATGGTCCGCGCGATGGCGACACGCTGCTTCTCACCACCCGAGAGGCGCACACCGCGCTCGCCGACAACCGTCGAGTATCCTTCGGGGAAGCTCTCGATACGGTCGTGGATCTGAGCGGCCAACGCAGCAGCTTCTACCGCCTCGTCCGATGCTTTGGTGTCGCCGTAGAGAATGTTGGTGCGAATGTCGTTGTTGAAAAGCGAAGGCTCCTGAGGCACGACGCCGATGGCACGTCGAAGCGAGCGCTGCGTCACGTTTCGGATGTCTTGACCGTCGATTAGGATGCGACCCGACTGGATGTCGTAGAAGCGGTACAGCAGGCGCAACACGGACGACTTTCCGGCGCCCGACTCGCCGACCAGCGCCACGCTCGAGTGACGGTCGATCCTGAAGCTCAGGCCTTTGAGCGCCTCCACTTTGCCATCGTACGAGAAGCGTACGTCCTGGAATTCGATGACGCCGTCCGTGACGACGAGGTCCTTGGCGCCGGGCACATCCTTGACCTCGGTCTTTTCCTCGAGCAGTGTCATGAGCTTGTCCGTGTCGACGAGGTTCTGCTGTACGACGCGGTACAGAGTGCCGAGCATCGAGAGGGGCTGATACACCTGCTGAAGGTAGGTGACAAAAACGACGAATTGCGAGCTGGTCGTCTCGCCTCGAACGACACTGCCGGCAACGAGCATGATGGTGAAGAGGGTTCCGAATGCCAAGATGAGGTTCTGCACCATGTTGAGCATGTTGAGACTGCCGATCACCTTGAATTCGGCCTGCTGGTAGTCCTGGAGCGCGCTGCGGAAGCGTTCGGCTTCGTACGTCTCGGCACTGTAGCACTTGACCGTCTCCCAGTTCATCAACACATCGGCGGAAATGGCCCTGCAGATGGAGTCCTTGTTGTTCATGGCACGGCGGAGACCGGTACGCCACGTGGTGAGTTGAACGCTGGTCCAGGTGTAGGCGACCATGACGGTGAAGAGCGCCACTCCGATGGCGGGACTGAAGGTGCGCGTCATGTAGATCATGGCGACAAAGATGTCGATAAAGACGGGGAGCAAGCTGAAGAGGAGGTACTGGAAAAAGTTGTTGATGGCGCTGCCTCGATCGAGGATCCTGAGCACCTCTCCCGTCTTCTTCTTGGTGTGGAACGACATGCTGAGGTTGAGCAGATGCTCGAAAGCCATCATGCTCATCATGCGGTCCGAGTACTGCTCGACCGGGACCCACAGGATGTTTTGAAGCACGGCGAGCAGACTTCCCTGACCCTGGAGCATCTTGAGTCCGGCATAGAGGACGACATCGAGCCAAGGAGGAGAGCCTGTCGAAAGGTCGTCCACGAGCTTGCCGAGCGCGAGCGGAGTGAAGAAGTTGACGACGCGTGCTGCGAACAGAAGCACGACACAGGCCACTGCGATGAGCTGAAGTCGGAGCGACTTTGACGGCCAGAGGTAGGGGAACAGGAAGCGGATGCGGTAGAGAAAGACCTTGAACGTTGGCGGTGGTGGTGCAGCTGCGACAGTGAGGCCCATCGAGGCATTGGGATCGCGGTTGGGTGTTTGCGTGCCCGAGTTGCCCGCCGCTTTATGCAAGTTGTTGCCGGCGGAGCCGTTGGTGGCAGTGGCGCCGTAGGATGGGGTCGCAGAGGTGCCAGGCGCCTGAAGCAGAGCTGCAGATTCACCGTTTGTAGAAGGTGCTGAACGAGGTTGGGATGAGGATGAAGCACTGGCTGCAGCTTGATTGGCAAGGTCGGCAGCGCGTACGAAGCGAACACGGTCCCAGGAGAGGGCGAGGATGAGGACGGGGTAGAGCAGCAAGAGGCGCAAGATGATGAGGCCAAGCTGTGCGATCGACCAAGCGCTCGTCGAAGGGAGGTCTCGGCGCTCCTTAGGAATCATGTAGAGCACGAGCAGGCAGATGTCGGTGGTTGCACCTACGATTGCAGACCATGCTGACTTGCCTCGTCCATATTTTCCTCGTCCACGCTGCTTTTCCTCCCAAAGAGCGGCGATGACGACAGAGCCCCAGGCGAGCAGTCCACCGAGAGCCTGCACGTCGACGGCGCGCCAAAGGGGAAGGTCAGGTTGCCATTGCTTCGGAGGCAGCACGGCGCGGAGGATGATGAGGACGCCCGAGACGAAAAAGGTGGCAGCCAGGCTGAGCTGTGCAGCCTGTGTCAATATGCGGCGGCGTGAACGTACAGGTACGATGACAGGCGTCGGCTGTGGCGGCTCGTCATGGCGCTGGTGGTGGTGGTCTTCTCGATCCGCCTCGGCTCGCAACTGCTCGTAGTCGGAGCGGCGTGGTTTCAAGAGACGAGCGAGAAGCGCCTTTGATGGTCGCAGCAGAATCGAAGCGAGAGCGATGAGGAGGATGGCGACCGGCTGAAGGATGCGAAGGACAGTGAGCGCCTGACCGTAGTCGGCATGCTTTGGGGAGGCAGCCAGAAGCCAGGCTACAGCAGAGTCCGCCATGATGAGCGTGCTCAACTCTACCGCACCAGCACCCGCTTGGATTCCGATATCGAGCCTGTATAGCGTGTGACGCTTCTGAATGAGTCCGTCGACGGATCGCAGATGTCCTGAAAGGCAAGTCAAGTGCACAAGGTACGCTACGATGAGGGACAAGTAAATTAAGGTGGAGCTGTGCGTTAGCAAATTTTCCGAAGACGAAACAAATGTTGAGCCGCGTGAGATTTCATCGAGGATTCGAGGCTCGCATGTGCTTGCCAATCAGAGCTGCACGTACACCAGCTCGAAGCTTGAATTCAGGGTCTTGGAGCGTGGCCTCCCTTGCCTTTGAGCTCGGCTCGTTTGTGCGTATTCGTTCCCCTTTGCTGCCAGACTCGCTAGCCGCATCCCAAGCAGCATCTTGCCAAGAGACGTGTCGGGTTGAGGATGAGAGTAAGCTCGAGAATCTTCGGTAAGCGAAAAGCGAAGCACAGGCGTCGGATGAGCCGCCTCTGAGTGGGCACGGATCATGCTGAAGCAGCAAGCAACCAAAATTCCCAGCCGGCGGTTGCTGCAGTTGATGATTTCAGAGCATCAGCTTTCGGCTGCTGCCGAGCTGTCAACCATGCTTTTGCTCACCGGCTCGATTTCGGCATCCCGCCTCCGCAACAGCACATTGACCTCTAACTCATCATCACCTGGTGCACGTGTCAGCACCGCCTCGCTATCATATAACTTTCTCTTCCGCCCTCCCTTTCTGTCCTCCCTTCCTTCCTTCACCCTCCACACCACGCAAAGATGGCACCTCACGGCGAATCCGACGCCTCTGCTGGCGCACAAGCCGCCGACAAACTCAAAGCCACGGCCGACGCTGTGCTCTCCACCTTCTCTCACGAGGATGAATCCGAAGCTCATCGGATCTTTCGCTCGCACCCCGGTCACAACGGCCGTCGATCCTCCACCATCTCCCCCGCCGAGAAGCACACCTTCCGATCCAATCTCCACAAGACCCACGAGGAGATCGGTGAACGTTTCCCCGCCATCGAGCATCCTGGCTCCACCGGTGTCATCTACGTCACCGATCGTGCAACCAGCAATGGCTTCTACTACGGCAACCCCGAATGGGCAAACATGGGTCAAGGTGCTCCCGAGGTCGGCAACATCGAAGGCGGAACTCCACGATCCCTCCAATTCGACCTGAGCGAGTTCGGAGAGGGCGTGCACGAGTATGCACCCAACACGGGTACCATGGCTCTGCGAAAGGCCGTGGCCGACTACTACAACCACACGTTCCGACAGAAGCAGAGCAAGAAGTTCGACCACAGCAACGTGTGCATCGTTCCTGGTGGCAGAGCGGGAATGACCAGGTTGGCCGCCGTGATTGGAAACGTCAACTGCGGATATCAGCTGCCCGAATACACGAGCTACGAGAGCATGCTGAGTGCGTTTAAGAGCCTGGTACCGATTCCTACGGTGCTTTCGGAGGAAGACAGGTACAAGCTGAGCACTCACGATCTGCGCAAAGAGATCAAGGGAAGGGGGCTGAGCGCCATGATCATGTCCAACCCACGCAACCCCACCGGTATGCTGATCGAAGGGCAAGAGCTCAAAGATCTGGTGGAGACGTCCAAGGAGCTGGGTTGTACGATTCTGCTCGACGAGTTCTACTCGTGGTACATGCACGAAGGACCTCTCGGGCGCGCCAACTCTGCCGCCGAGCATATCGATGACATCAACGATACCCCCGTCGTCATGATCGACGGCTTGACGAAGGGGTTCCGACTGCCCGGATGGAGGGTCTGCTGGGTTGTCGGTCCCAAGGACATCATCACCGCGCTCAACCAGTCCGGATCGTTCCTCGACGGCGGCACGAGCCACCCGATGCAGTGCATGGCCCTGCAGATGCTCGACATCGACAGGTGCAATCAGGACAGGATTGCGCTGCAGAAACTCTTCAGGCACAAACGTCAACACGTCCTCGCCAGGCTCAAACGCATGGGTCTCGAAGTCAAAGTCGAGCCTCAAGGTACATTCTACATCTGGCTCAGGTAAGCTTTCCCCTCGACCTTGTCCCGCGTTCTTCCCCAGATCCTCTGCGACATTTGACTGACCTGATTCTCTTGATCCATCTCGTTCGGTCCCAAACAGCCTCGCCTCGCTCCCCGCTCCGCTTAACAGCGGACTGGTCATGTTCGAAGAACTACTCAAAGAAAAAGCCATCGTCGTTCCCGGCATCAGCTTCGACATCAACCCAGCTCATCGTCGAAACATCGTCCATTCGCCCTGCGAAAAGTTCATCCGCATCTCGTACGGTCCGGATCTGGCGCAGGTCGATCGTGGATTGGATGCTCTCGAGAGGGTCATCGCGAAAGCCGACCCGAAGCATCACGAGAACGCCAACCTCGGAAAGGGCTTTGCTCCGACAAAGAGTGCCCACTCTGACGATCAGAAGCACTAAGATCAAAGGAGGAAAGTTGCAGCAGGATAACGGATTGAATTGGTGAAATCCTCGCCGCCGCACAGTGTCCTGGTCCCAGCTGGAATCCACACGCACACGCAACCATCATCTGTGAAGAAACAACAATCATGTCATTCATATCTGCCATCTGTACACCCACGCTCACGAAAGCTTATTCGCCTTCTTGTATAGCGAATCCACCACATTGCCCACATGCTTCAACGTATCCAACGTCACCTGATACGTCTTGTCCTCCACCGGTTGATCGTACACGACCAAACAACCGGCGCCCTGGTCCAGAATTCCATGGAACACCTTATCCAAAATCATCTGACTCAGCTTAACCTCTACCTCCCTCACCGGTTGTCTGACCTCCTTTGCGATGTGTGCGATCTCCACCCTCGAATACGGCTCGATGACGCGCAACAGGTTCTGCTCCAACAGCGTATCGTACAGCGCCGACAGGTGGTTCTTGACGATCGGATCGTTGGAGAGCTCATCCTTGTACGTTCGGAGCGCCTGTTCGAATGCTTCGAGACTTCGATCCTCGTGCGCCTTGGCTACCGCCTTCATGGCCTCGACGTCTCTACCGGCGTACTTGGTGGCGTGTTTGCCGCTGATGATGCTGTTGACGTCCTCGGAGAGGTTGAGCATGATCTTGCACAGCAGCATGTACTTGAGCGCCAGCGGTGCTCTCGCGTCCTCCTGCAGAGCGAAGCCTTCGAGCGTCTCGAAAAAGTACGAGTAGGCGGTGGTGTAGTCCTTGTCTTCTGCATGCAGCACACCGGCTTGCATGTCGAGCTGAGCCTGAAGTGTAGGCGGGCAGTAGATCGAGTTCGCTGCGGTTCTTGCGGATGTCAACGCCGCTTTCGCTTTGGGCAAATTGGAGATGGCATGGTTGACCTTGGATTCGAGCAGGTGCACTTCGGTGAGGATCATCTTGTCGTCGAGCTTCTTGAGTTCGCGCAGCAGCGTGTCGATCAGAGGCAATGCTTCGCGATACTTTTTACTCTCAAAGTAGAGACCAATGAGTTTCGTCTCGAGGTTCTGCTTGAGGAAGATGCGTTTCTCGGACTTGGCCCACTCGGCATTCTCCTTGGCAACCTGGATCTGCGTCTGCTGGCTGCCGGGGATGCCTTCAAAGTAGTCGATGAGCGTGCGCACGAGCTTGGCGGTCTTGGCTTTGGCGATGGAGCTCATGAACGTGCGTGAGGATCGAACGGTCTCTGCCAGAGCATCGGCATTCTTGGTGTCGCGGTAGAGCTCTCCGAGTCGTAGGAGAGCCGCTTCTTGCTCCTTGAGCTGCGCATCATCGGTTGTAGTGGATTGGTTGGAGAGGATGGATTTGAGGATACGCTCGCCTTCCTGAGTGTTGCCGGCCTTGATGGCCTCATCGGCCTGTGCTACCGTTTGTGGTGCCGTCATGATGCGGCCGCTTCAAGATGGTAGTTGATGCTAGCAAGCGATGCAGGTGTTCGAGGATGGGCGGTCCAGTGCAACGCTTGTTGGGTGACCGAGCTTACAAGCTGAGATGGGGAATGCGGATGGGATACCGCAGATAGTGCGCTACTGTTGGAAGAATGCCAGGGAGGTGGTGTGTGTGCAGTCCCAGTAGTATGTATCGAGGAGATGGTGTTGGTTCGTGGTGAGCGAGGTGGTGCGAATGTTGGAATTCAACCTCGAAAGTACGCGTCAGTTGGCTCAAGCTCGGAGCCATTCAGATACTGCCGGTCTGCAACCACGTATTTTCCCTTTAGTGGCGCACTGACCGTGATCGAGGTGTTCTTCCTCCACACAGCGACATGAACTTTTAGATTGCTGTTACACCTTCAAGTCTGACATTGCTAGACCAGCGGACATCATCATCGTTGTACAGCATTGGACATCATACAGAACGGAAGGATTGCACAGAAAGCAACGTCGCTCTGGCATCAGCATTGGGTACAGATCCGTAGCATTACATCCTCGAACGATTCCACGACGACGCAAATCCAGATCAGAGACCGCTAGCCCAACTCCATTCCCGCACACCACGTTCGGCGAACAGCTCGCGCACCAGCTTTTCGTTGTCCGTCTGCTTCCTATACTCTGCAAGCTTCTTCTCCTTCTCCTCTCGCTTGCAAGGGTGGAGCGCCTTTCCAGCATCCGTTGCACCGGCGGAGAGAACGCGGTACGCCTCGACGGCGCTGTGCACGTGATCTGGGTGACTGAGACCGACGAGCGTCCTCATCTCAGGACCTTCGCCACTGGGATGGACCAACTCGGAGCCGCGAAGACCATAGCTGAGCGAAGTTAGAGTGAGAGAGTCTCCCTGAGCGACGAGTGTTCGGCTTGCTTCCTTTGTCGCTGCTTTGAGGGCGTCGCTTGCTGGGTGCCAGGAGGGAGGAGTGCCGTCGGTGAGAAGTCCCATGGAGAACGGCGAGCCGTTCATGAGAAGCGGTGCTTTCCAAGTGAGCTCCTTCAGCGATTGTTCTCCTTCGCGACCACGCGGGTCAGCAGCGAAGAGGGCTTTCCAGCCTTGCAAAACGTCCGAGTGCAGACAGTGGTTCGAGTAACTCAACACCACGTCCAACGGTCGATACGGCGCTGTGGTGGCTACCAACCTCGACAGCCTCAGCAGCACGGGCAACGGATAGCCCGAGATCCCCACTCTCCGAATGACACCTTCGTCCTTCAGCTTGAACAACGTCCTGATTGCCTCCAGGAACTGCTCGTCGCCTTTCCCATGCACCCTGCTTGCAGCTTCGAGAGTCTCCTCCAACCCCAACGACCTGATCACCTCCTGTCTCTCCCCCAACCCCACTTCCCCCGCTTCCACCATTCCGGAAACGACCCCACTCTCCCACCCCGCATCATGACTTGCTCCCACCCTCTCACACACAAACTCCGCATCGTGCGTCAACGCCACATCCAAAAACTCGGTCCCCAACCTCCTGCAACTTCCCCTTACACTCCCGTCGATCTTCTCGGCGCTGTAGTTGAAATGCTTCTTCTCCGGACCATACCTTCCACATTTGGTGATGATGAAGTACGACTCCCGAGGAAACTCGGGTTGCAATCGTCGTAGGATGTTCCCAAGCGTGAATTCCGAGGGGAAATAGTAGGGAGAAGTATCGAAGGCGTTGATGCCATATCGCAGGGCAAGACGGACGGTTCGGATGGGTAGATCGGAAGCGAGTGTTTCCGAGGTGTTGTACATATCTTGGCCGAATACGCCACCTCCGAAGACGAGGGGTGAGGCGGAGGATGCTAGATCGCCGGCACCGCGGGAGAGGGCGGTGGGATCGTTGATCGCCGTCGTCAGCCACGGTGCAAGTCCTCCACGGAGTTCATCTTGAGCAAGAGATTCCAGCGAAGGTTGCTGTGGGAAATCCGAATTGCTGGGCTCGACAGATGGATAGACCGGCATCTTGTTTGGTGGGTGTACGCCTACTGGGTCGTTGGTGGGTCCAAAGTTGCAGATGCGGTTGAGCAAGAAGCAAAACAAGAATGACCACTTGGATCCTGAGCCTCGAGCCGCGGCTTCTGTTGATGTGGAACAACCTCAACAAGGTCGAGGTGAGTTCCGTTACTGCTTGTCGTCCCTTCAAAAGTCTCGTGACTGAAATAGCGTTTCCTAAGGCAACGTCGACGATGTCCACGATGGTTCAAGAAGCGCCGACGTCAAACGCAAACAAAGACGCTACCACCGAATCGTCAGTTCCGCCCCCAATTTTTCGAAATTTCGCAGCCGACACGCACAGATCGACGTGGGCGTCACCTCAGTTTTCCCCCACATCGCAGCGGTTCATCTCCGCCTGTGCTCTGCTTCAAAACACGGATCGCATCCACTGCAAGCACACATTCGACTCAGAGGTGCGGCGTGTACTGACTGTACACTGTATGAACCCAGGCAATGCACACAGTGCAGACGTAACGGAAACGGAACTTCAGGTATGATTCAAACGGTTGCGAACAAAGCGAGACTAAGGTGGACAAAAATATGCTTCAGAAACGCAGCGGGCTCAGAGCGTGTCGGTTTCATCCGTGTCGCCGCCGCCAAGCTGCTTGTTCTTCTCATCCGAGCCGAGTTCCTCGGGGCTGGCAACGTGTGCCACCGGAGCTGCCTCGTCCTCTTGACCATCAACATCAGATCGACCAAAGGCACGGCCCCTGGGAGCGACGCTGGTGATGGGAGTGCTGGGAACGCTGGCGGCCAGCGGCGTGCTCTTGAATCGGCTCACGCGTGTTCCCGAGGGCGTGTTGCTTCGGCTGACGTCACCGCTCGCAGCGCGATCGGCAGCTAGCGCAGCGGTACGGCCGCGCAGCATCGATTCGCCGACAATGGCAGTGGCGATGGTGCCGTCGGGAGCCTGGTGACGGATCACGACGGGTTTGTTAACGCGTGGGGCGAAGAGCGAAGACTGCTGCTCGTCTGTGCTAGTCAGCAACGCACCGGGCCCGGGCGAGACCGGTCGCGAGCCAGGGCGCGAAGAAACGCTGCCATCGCGGCCACGTGAGTCGGCGCCTTCGAAGGGGAAGTGGACGCCGACATTGTCAGGCTTGGGCTTGGCTTCCTTGGCCGAAGTAGGCTCGGCGCTGCTCTCCACGACGGGCTCAGGCGGCATCGAAAAGCTGTTGGTGGCAGCGACGCCACTGAGGTCGGTCTCTTTTTGGCTGGCGCTGCGACCCAGCTTGAAACGAGGCAACCCGATCTTTGGGCTGGTGGGCAGCTTGAGGATCGAGCCAGGCAGCTGCACCTCGTCGGCGTCTTTGGGCGTCTCGGCTTTTTTCTCGACCATCTCCTTATGGCCGGGACTGGGCGGAGGACTGATCTGAGCAAAGTTCTGCTCGACCTCGGAATCGTACTCGTCAAGGATTTCTTCGCCGATGAGCTCTTCCAGCACGTCTTCGAGCGTGATGATGCCGATGGGCACGTCCCGCTGCGCCATCTCGGTCGCGACAGCGCTGGCATCGACATCGTCTCCCATCGCCTCGGGAGGCAAGTCGTGTGAGTCGACTTTGTTGGCGTGGCGGTGGTGTCGGCGCAAGTGGCGTGACCAGAAGCTGGACTTTTTGATCTCCGAGTCTTCGAGCTGCTTCTCCTCGTCGATGTTGCCCAGGTCTTCGACACGAGCGGCGGTGCCGGATCGGGCGAGAGCTTGCGTTTTACGAGGGTCGCTTTCGTTGCCGAGCGCGACGAAGGATCCCGGCGAAGAGCGACGGGTGCGCGAAGAAACGATGGCAAGATGCGAGCGACCCTCCTGGAATACGTTGAGCAGGTTGAGCAGCGGCTCGTCGGCGGGGACGGTGGGCAGGGCGTTGATCACCATGTCGCGCACGGGCGTCTCGTCCTCGGGATCCAGCAGCACGCACTGCTTGACCAGAAGGGCACCGATGATCTTCTTGCGTTTGATCATAGTCGTAGTGGTAGCCGTGCCAGACTTTTCATTTACGGCTGCGTTGGGGGGCACGGTTTTGTCGTTCGTCTCGGGGCTGATCGACACAAAGTCCTTTTCAGTTGTGACGCTGCCTTCGAGCGTGCGCTGATCGTCGGACGTGGGCTTGGTCTGCGTGTTGCTGGCTTTTCGGCTCAGAGCACTGAGGAACCCGCCGCGGTTGGGGGTCGACGTGCCGCTGCCTCCACGAGCGCGGTTGACGGGAATCTCAATCTCTTGGTAGACCGGGATACGTGAGTGACCCGAGCTGACAATCTGCTGGAGCGTCTCGTAACCGAGCTTGGAGTCGATCGAGATCATGAACACCTGATCGATGGGCGTCATGGCCTGCTTGACCACCTTTTCCTGCAGATCGAGCGCACCACCGACGATGGTGACGGTATCGTTGTTCAAGTCACCTCGACCGGCGGTAGCGGCATGCATGTTCACAAGCTCCTTGAGCTCGGAGCGTCTGTAGACGATGCCGTGGTGCGGACCGAGGGTCCAGTGCAGCACTCGAGAGACCGGGAAGGCGATGGGCCAGAGAACGATTATGACGACACGTGTGAGCGGAGCGAGCTTGGCACCGATGGCGAGACCGTACCTCGAGCAGACGGACTGGGGAATCAGCTCGGCAAAGATGACGACGAGCACGATACTGACGATGACGGCCTGGACTCCACCACCGAGCAGAGGGTCGGCAATGATGGGGAGCGTCTCGTTGGTGATCATGTTAGCGATCAGCAGCGTGGTGAGCAAGAGATGGCCGTCCTTGCGGATTGGCATGATCTTCTCGGCGTAAGCCTTTTGTTTCGGCGTTCCCTGCAGAGCAAGCACCTGCAGCTGAGTCTCGTCGAGCGACATGTATCCGAGAGTGAGACCAGCGAAGAGGCCGGAGAGAACGACGAGGATGGGGATCAAGATGCCGTAGACGGCTTTTTGGGCCTCGGAAAGCTTCGTCTCGCCACATTGCGACTCGCTGCCGCCCGAAGTCGCACGCTTCCAGAATCGGCGGCGCGATGACCTGGGTGCGGCATTCGAACTGGCGGTCTCCGCCACGGAGCGTTGCTGGACGGAGAGACGCTGATAGAGCTGATCGAGGAATGCATCAGCAGCGAGCGAATCGCCATTGCTGGCGACGCTGGTCTCTTGACGGATCCATTCAAGGATGTCGCGATCGGACGCCGAAGCGACAGAGGAAGGGGTAGCAACCAAGGGCAGAGTGTCGAGCACGCTGCCCTGGCGGGCCAAGGCTATGAATCGATCATGGTCGGCTGTGTCGGAAACGATTGGACGTGGCGCGGAACGGTCGGCGCTGGCTTGGTGCTGGTCGACGGCGGCTGGAACGACGTGAGCCTGGACGGGCGATGCACAGAAGCCCGAAAGCAGAGCGAGACCGGCGAAGACAAGGAAAGCGACCCTAGCGGCGGTCGACGAGGCCGAATGATTGCGTCCTGTGGGGTGACGGGCTTGGCGATGGCGGCGGTTGGTGAAGCAGGCGGGCCTGGTGCTGCTTTGAGATTGGGGGTTTAAGGCTCTACAATCATCGAGGTCAGGACCATCATTTGTAGGACACTCCATTCGTTGAAAAAGGGAGCGGGAGTCTGAGACTGTGTAGCGTCGCGTGACAGGTGCGACTGCGTTAATGACAAGAGTGATTGTGAGTTGAGACGGCGATGAGAGAGCTAGCAAGCTGTATGCCAAGATATGCGAATATCAGATGGAAGGGTTCAAGAGACAAGAGGCTTGGCACTGCATCGAGTATATATTTGGAGAGGCGTGCTTGCGTCCACTCTATGAGCCAAGCCATTCCGCCGCTCCACACACAGCCCGCAGGTTGCTGCGCGGCGGTGCGCTGCGGGCCAAAGAAATGACGATTCTGCGAATCTCGCGCAGAGCAGGAAGAGGCAGTGCGCAGGCGTGGTTGTGGCGGGTTCGAGGCGGCATAGCCTACGGTTTGACGCGCCGCGGCTTGCGGTGCAGCAGATCACATCATGTCACACATTCAGGCAGAATCCGAGTGTGAATTTAGCGTGTTTTCTAGATCGGGGGCAGGCGAGGTTAGCTTCGTTCAGCGTTATCTCTCTGTCCGCTGTCAGACGAGTGTGCAGACTTTCAGGCAAGCACATCTGCTGCATCGTCACGACGGAAGGGTCCCAACTCCACGGCTTCCATCGCGGCTTGGCAACGGTCGGCTGTTCTTGACCGGAGTGAGTATGTGTGGCATTGAATGAACCATTTCCATGGCAGGAATGCCAGTAATGTCGACGTTGACCTAAACTTTTGGTGCAGTGTTACGACCCTCTCGTTGTGTCTTCGCAGATGCAGGTGGCAGAATGCTTGTCACTTACAACGTGAGCTCGCGACTTCTGAGCTCCGTTGAGGCCACTGCTGCCACGATTGGCATGCCGCCAAGGACAGATCGACGATCGGAAGGCTTCGCTTGGCTTAGTTGACCTTGATCGTGTGAGCTGGTCATGTCCGCCAAAACCCCCCTCCGCCCATAGATTCAAAATCTAACAATCAAGAAAATTTCACCGCCGCGCCGACGATCTTCGAGCTCTGCTCGTCTGGCTAGCTTCTAGCTATGCTGACCCGACCAAACAGGAAGCATCTTCTCCACACACAGACCATGCGCAAGCGGCATACTTTTGCTCCCGAGCGTTTCATTGGCATTCACCGAGCTGCGCCTGCCGTTGACGCCTTGAGCAGGTCGTTGGCAAATCTCTCGTTGATGGTCTCTGCATGTCATCGAATAGGATTGGACCTGTGTTGATCAGCGTTCTGACTCTGCTGTGTTCGATCTGGTTGTGCGTCTCTCGAGACGACGGCACTGCTCGCAACTCACTCTTGTTGGGTCCCCAAGCAGAGCCTGCCGTGCCTGCTGGTGCTTTGTACACTTCTGACCTTTCTGTAGTTCGGATCGCAGCACCCCGGTTTCAATGGTGTCAGAACAGAGTCCACCTTTTTTGTGTCGCATACATTCAAAGACTCACGGGCTTCCGGTATCCTCTTGTCGGTCGAGCTAGAGTGGACAGCTTTCCATCGGTTCTGCAGCCATGTCTCGGCCTCGCCGACATCGAACCCGTCGCTCGACACTGCCCCGCCCGGATTCTTTTTGGAGGCAGCGTCGGAGCCTTTAGCGCTGTTCGCCTTGGCGCTGATATCGGCGCCCGACATGGCTGCTGCTGCAATGGCTGATGATGTCGACTGCATTGTGGATATAGTAATCGAGTACCGGGATGACGTAAAGATTGGCCGGAGTGAGATGTATGAGTAGAGTACGCGAAAGGAAAATGGAAAGGCCCGTTGGCCCGTGAGCTACCGCACCGACACCCTTGACTATTTCCAAAGGGTCCGACTCGCCACGCTGGCTCTGCATTTCAGCTTCCTAGACTGGTCTTGGCTCATTCAACAACACAACACTTTGCCTAGGATCGACGTCGACCCTGACGGCAGAAGATGCGGAGCTCTCTCAGTAGACATCCGTGGAAGGCGGCCTAAATGAGAAATGAAAAGGTACGGCTCTGTCCTGGTCACCATGCTTTTTCAACCCTCACTGTGCAATCAGGGTTTAGGGGAGGCATCAGGCGAACACTCGAGTGGGTTTGGTGCGGGGTCATTGGCTTTTGGGTATTTGAAGGTCAAAAGTGTTCACTTGTTCTGCAATGTATTAACGAGCCTGTCGGAGCAAGGAAAAGCACAACAGCAAAGACGTCAGCTACTCCATCATCAAGGCTATTCTGGTCCGAGTTTCCATGTCAGACTTACCAATCAAGACCTTCTTCGAGGCCTTCGCCTTTTGTTGCGCAACACTTGTGTATGGACCATTGACGATCCTTGAGCTCGCTCAGCCCTAGCTTCTCGCTTACTTGGCCCTCGTCTAGCGCCCCTGGCAAGTCCTGCTTGTTGGCAAAGACGAGAAGCTTGGAGTCCTTGAGCTCTTCTTCTGAGAGCATGGCGAGCAGCTCCGCTTTTGCCGTGCCTAGTCGTTCTGTGTCTGACGAGTCGATCACATAGATGATTGCTGATGTGTTGGCGTAATAGCATCTCCAGTATGGTCTATAGAGGCGGGCCCGAAGTGCATTGGTGGAAGGCAAGGCGTATCATCGTCAGTAACAGTATCGTTGCAAGTATCGTAGGCAGAAGGAGAAAGCTTACCGGATCGATGTCTGTCCTCCCAAATCCCACACTTGGAACTTGATGTTCTTATATGTGACTGTCTCTACGTTGAAGCCGATGGTCGGAATTGTCGACACCACCTCTCCAATCTGCAGCCGGTACAAGATTGTCGTCTTGCCAGCGCTGTCGAGACCGAGCATGAGTATCCTCACCTCCTCATTCTTGTTCCAGAACGCCAACTTGGAGAACATCGAGGAGAATGTGAGACCCATCTTGAAAGTCGTCGCAGACGAGACGGTGCCTGTTCCGTCGATCCGAATAGAAAGCGACCACCACCGCCGATGCAAGGTATGACGTTCGACGTTCAAGCGTCCGAGGCGAAAAGAGCTGCTGAAGCGTTGCAATTGACTGCTGCGAGTCCAACGCGGCACGGTATAGCGGCCGTAGGAGGCTTGGAAGCTAAATAAGCGAAGGCTCTTGTCCTCCGAGAGGTTGTTTGCCGTGCTGTTTCTGCGCAAAGGAGGTGACTTGTAGACGCTTCCCGCCACTCGATACTTGCTTGCGGTCAATGCAACAGGGGCAATCAAGAGTGTAGCTTGTGTTGAGCTAGGTGAAGTGGGTAATGATGACGAGAGGTGTAGGACGGCCCAGAGAGGTGGAAAGCAGGCACGGGGCCATGCTTCCGTCAGATGCAACACTTGCATGAACCGAGCGCGAGCCTGGCTTCGCAGCCAGCAACATCCTTGACGAAGCGGCTAAAATCCGGGACCCGATGCAAAACCCCCGATCGGAACCGATCCACGTGATGCAGCATTTCGCGGTGACTTGGTCTTCAATTTGACTTTCGAAGATCCGTTGCTTCCTTACCGCTCTTGACACCATTCAGCCTTGCACCTTCATCGACGATTCAGACGGCATCCGACTGGCTCCAACAAGCGTCGCAGAGGGCAGAGAAGATACTTCCGAGCGATCATCCAAGATTTCGCCGTACGACTTCGCACAGCCAGCAGCTCGCAACTCCTCCAATCCGGCAAAGCAAAAGACTCTGGCAAGCAGAGCGAAGCGTACAGCTCGACTCAACCAGTATCGGTGCTTCCTTTGCAAGCTGAGCTCAGCGTATAAGTAATGTCGGGACGAAGCAAGGTGTCGGTACAGCCGATCAACATCATCTTCCGACACTTGCAGCAGCAGACAAGAGTATCGCTATGGCTCTACGACAATGTCGACTTTCGTATCGAGGGCAAGATCATTGTGAGTTGGCCAAGCGAACTACAACGGCCCCGAAGATACCCTGTAGCGACAACAACTGACCACACAAACTTGTTCTTGTTGTGGTACAGGGCTTTGATGAGTTCATGAACGTAACATTGGCGGATGCGGAAGAAGTATGGACAAAGAAGGACAACAAGCGGGTAGAGCTCGGCCGCATCTTGTTGAAAGGCGACAACATTGTAAGTTCATCTTCGTGCTGCCGAGAGGCGAGTAGGTTCTGATCCGATTCGAGTCGAGTATGCCGACGTCCCTTGCGTCCACGCCTTTGAACATCGTTTGCACGCACAGACGCTCATCCAACCAGCAAAGTGAATCACGCGGCAGCTTCGTATCTGCCGCCATGGCTTCTCACTCGCCGCACGGCATACCATCATCCCAAACTCAGACACCTGTATTTGTACCTCACGAAAAGAAACCCAGTCCATCTTCCTGCTTTCCTGCTTTCACAGACCGCGGCCATCGTAGGCAGCTCGTTTCTGTCGGTGTACGGCAAAATGGTATCTTGATTGCAGACTGTCGACGCCCAATATGCGAAGAGCGGTGTGGGACTAACGTCCGCCATACTGACCGTGCCCTCCAGCTGAAGCACCTACAGCAGTGGCGTTGCCAGCAGCACCGCGCTGCAACGCCAACGAAGTGCTGTCGACATTCTTTCGGTACTCAATCTTCTCCACCTTGACGTCGCCGTCGATGAGTTGGTAGACGTACGTGACTACCACAGCACCCTGGATGTCGAGCAGGGCAAAGCTGGGCACAGGTGCTGCTGCTTCTTTTGCTTCTTCTTCTTCGATTTCGCCTCCCTTCTTATGCTCGCCTTCCTTGACGGAATCCTTTGATTCGGATGCCTTGTCCTTTGCCGCATCTTCTGTCTTGTTGTTGTCCGACGCCTTTACACCCTTCTTTGCTTTCGGGTCGTCTGCCTTCTTGTCGGCAGATGCAGCATCCTCTTTCGCCTTGGCGGCTGCCTTCTCGGCCAATGCAGCTACCGAGGCGGGATCTCTCAACGGCCATGTAGGATGCCAGGCACCGGTGGCGCTGCCGGGGTTGACGAAGAAGCGGCCCTCGAGCTCGAACGCCTCGAATCGATGCGTGTGACCGGTGAGCAAGATGTCGACATCCATGGCCCTCGCCGCCGCAGCGAGCGACTGTGTATCGCCGGCTGGGACGATTTGATGCCCATGCAGCACACCGATGCGCAATGGCGGATGGTTGAGGATCAGGCTCGATGGAAAGTGCGGGTTGTCATCGTAGTCACCCTTGACGAGATGAACATCGCCTGCGATGGTGCGCAGATAGTGCAGGTAGTCGGTGTTGCAAACGTTGCCAGTGCAGATGATCTGCTGGATCTTGCCGGGTACGAGCAGCTTCTTGAATTTGGCTGGTAGGTCGTGTGCGCGGAAAGGGATGTGAAGATCGCCAATCACCAGGACCAACATGACGGGCGAGCGCTTCGTGAGCCGGAAGGGCTTGCGTTAGGAGACTTCTGCCAGAAAGGAGAATTTTTCGGAGAAACTACGCCGCTCTAGCTGGGGCTCGTGAAGCAATGGAAAGGGGGCAGAAGGGAGCTCGTCGGGTGCGATGCTGGTGTGTGAGAGGATCAAAGATGGTGGGGGGAGAATGTGGAGCAGGGGCCAACCAACTCGCTGCTCGCAGACATCACTGGAAAGCTTTGCAGTCTAACACCGTTAAATGGTGCCCATCGCTTCGCGTGAAGAGGGCTGAAGCCGTGTCTGAAAAAGCGCGACCCTGAATTCACGTTAATGATTGTGCCTTGGATGCTGCAGGTGACACTTTCTTCGTTCCGAAGTTGACTATTGCGCCCGTAGAGCGCGACAAAATCGACGTTGGAAATTGGCACTCTTTCGTCAGAGAGAGTCCCGACTCGTGTGTGCGGGGCTGCCGAAAAGCTCTCCGATGCCTGAGTTTTCTGCCTCGCTATTGACAGTGCCGACCGACTCTTCTAACATCATCATCAGCAGCATCTGCATTGCCGTCGGTTCGGTCTCAGCTAGAACCGGTGCCTCGTTCTGACTACTCCCTCGTGGCTTCACTGCATTCAGTATCATCCGACAGCTGGCAACCACCTCGAGGCCTGGGTGAGCGATTCTTCCAGCTCGCTGCATACAATCGGCTAGGCCCAATCGCATCCAAGCACGGCTCATTTCTTCAGTCCGATGGAGACAGCATCAGAACCGACACAACTACGGTGATTGACTCGCGCAGCCTTGCCGCAGCTTCATCGGCTCTGCTGGCTGCCTTGCAGCCGTCGAGAGCCCTGCAGGGCCGCGGCGATCGAGATGCCTTCCTCGTCCATGCAGCAGCACAATGGCTACGCCCACGGCTCATCATCGAGGCATGCTGACCCTCCCTCGTCATATTCACGATCGTCCAGAGAAGATCGTAGTCATCGAAGATCACCATCTCCAGAGCCGAGGCATCGTAGCGACACCTACAGAGATTCCGACCGGCGTCGCTCCATCGATCACGGTCGCGATGATGACCATCGATACTCGAGTCGCTCGGCCTATGACCGCGCGTATGGAGATGATCACGGACATGGTCATCGGGATCGCGTCGCCTACTCTCCGCCTCCTAGCGATGACCGCCACTCCAGGTACGAACGCGATCGCAGGGACGAAACACGCTACGGCCATTCCAGCTCCAAAAGACAGCGCTCACCCGACCGTTCGGCGAGACCGAGGTCTCCAGAATCTTCTTATGGGTGGGGGCACGATGCTGCTGAACGCTGGAAACTGGAAAGGAAGCGTGATGAGGGCAGAAGGATAGACGATAGCCGGGATGCACCGCGACCCCGTTGGTCAGATCGCGCTTATCAAAACGATGCGTGGCGCAACGAGCGCCCGGCATCCCGGTACGATGACTCGCATCGCGATCGTGAATCCCGCAGATCCGGGTTAAATGATGACTACGAAAGACAGCATCGCCGAGACGACTATGCGCGAGACTCGCGAAGTTCCGGCAGAAGACGTGCGACGAGTCGCAGTCGTAGTCGCAGTCAAGACCGCCATCGAAACCGCAGCCGAGAAGGTCGCCGCGACCAAAGCGGAGATCGATCATATGCGCCAGACTATGACAGGAGCGATCGCAGACGCAACGACCACCTTTCTTCAGCAGAGACGCGCGCGCATCCCATCAAGCGCTCTGAAGCCCCAGCGTACACCAATGGAAGGTCGGAAGACGGTGCGGAGACAGATCGCAGACATAGATCAGAAGCGCTTACTTCTGATCGAGCTTCATCAGACCGACGAAGCTTGGTAGCTGCCGATGCTGCAAGGACCGCCGACATGGAGCAGGGCGAAATCGTGCAGAAGGCTCCCCTGACAACAGCATCTCGTGACGTCGACTCGGTTCGAGCGCCGCGGCTCAACCGGCCTTACGCAGACTATCGCACTGCATCTGATCCGAATGGTGCTGCGGCGTCTCCTCCACGTGCCGATCTTTTGCCTGCCAACGGCGCCGCCGAACTTAACACGCCTCTAGTCCTCACGCGGGAAAGCCGTGACTCGCAGGCATCGTCGACCGGACGGTCATCTGAGCAAGCTGCCGGCACTGTTCAGAAGGCAAGTCGCGAACTGAAGCAGGACGTAGCCAGACCGCCGCGGTCCTTCGGCCACGTTGAGCTTCCGCACGAGCTTCCACTAGAACGCAGGGCAAAGAATTACGTGGCAACCGCACCCTTCAAGGAAGGCGTCAAGCCCATCTACAAGTCAGCTGCGGACAAAAACCTCGTCGATGCGGAGACCAGAGATCCACGCAAGGCCGGCAAGAAGTCTGCGCGATATCGCGACGCGCTTCACTCCGCCACGTTCAGGTGGGACGCCAACTCGACAGGCAGGAAGCCGCTTCCGCCGCCGCGCAATCTCGTCTTGACCAACCTTTCCGGGCTTCTGCGACCGCCTGAGATTCTGCTGCAAGTCTATCGGCACGGCCGCGTCGAATCGTCCGAACTCAAAATCGACCCCAAAATCGGACAAAGCATTGGCATCTTCCGTGCCACGTTTGCACACGACTTTGACGATCACGGCAAACCGCTCGAGAGCGTGCCAGCAGGACAGATTCCGCAACACGGCGCCAAAGCGGCGAAAGCGGCTTTCCTTGCGCTGAATAACCGCGTAATCGGACAAACACAAGCCCAGGCCTTTCTCGATCGCGATGGCGAGGTATTCGAGGAGAAGGTCAAGGCGAAGCTGGCTGAAAACGAGGCCATCTTGCGTCGCAAGCTAGCACCCCCACCGCCTCCGTCGACGGGCGTGAGCAGCTCGCCTGCCACGCCGAGCACAGCAAAGCCAAACATGCCTCCACCCCAGATCCCTCGCGGGCCGAAAGCCTTGATGGCATCTGCGCCTACCCCTTCATATGCCTCGTCTTCGCCTTCGGCACGTGCCAACCCGGACCGCTACGAGTATCCAGCTTCGTCACGCTCGCGGACCAGATCTAGCTACGAGGATAGTTGGAAAGTGGCTGCCGGGGATCCGTATCAGCGCCGGCGCGACGCAGACGAGTCCAATGCGTATCGTGGCAGGGTCTACGACGACTCGACGACCCCGTCAGCGCCGCGATCTGCACCTCGCAAGAAGAGCAAGTACCCGTCCGCGGAGATCCTTGGCAAGCTGCAGGAGGAAAAGCGTCCCTACATCTACATTCCCAAACCCACAAACTGTGGCATCGACGCGGAGTCCATCGAGACGCAACTGAGCAGCACGGAGCCTCTTTGGGTCAGTGAAGGTGACAAGGCCTTCTACGTGGCTTTCAGCACCACCCAAGAGGCCAACAAGTGCAAGCGCGTCAACGAGACCTTGACAATCGGAGCCTACACGCTGCAGCTCGAAGTCCGCGCAGTACCGTCCCAACATGCCCGCGGCCAGCTAACGAGACCAGCGAGCAGCGTGTCCGCTACGCGTCCGACTGTTTGCGCGCCCACGCGCGCCGAACAGCCATCCAAAAAGATCGACACGGGCTTGCGTCCGCTGACAGCGCAAGAGAAGCAAACGACGACGTGGACTTCAGCAGAGCTCCAGGAAGCTGTCTTCCGCATGCTGCAAAACGAGCTCGCCGAGACATTTGTTCGCGATGTTAAGAGCCGTGTCGTCGGCTCGTACGTGAATTCCTACCTAAAGCCGGATAGCGAAGGCGGGAAGATGCTGGCCAAAGCCACGATCAAGAAGGCTGTTGCACCAAGCGAGGCCAAAGACCGTGCCTTCGCCTCTTCAGCAGTTCAAGGCGATGCTCGCTTGCCATCCTTCCGCAAACTTGCTGGCACCGAACCCAAGAAGAAGCCGTTGAATGCTGACGCGATCGCTGCGAAAGCCAAGCTCAAGAAGAAGCACGATGCGGCACGCAAGTCCAAGTCTCGGGACGTCAGGGATCCATCCAGCTCGGACGATGACGGCGATGATGCTGAGCGACAAGTGGCAGCCTCTGCTCGTCACGACAGTCACACTGCGTCCAAATCGAGCACAAAGAGGCGCGGTGCGGCAGCGTGGCTCCTCGAAGCGTCAGATGAGGAGGCTGACTCGGACGATGCGGCTGCTACTTCGAGGTCCGTTTCTGCGTCAGTGGAGCCTGCCACGGCGGAGCAGATGGAAGGGGCTTCAAGCGCAAAGGGCAAAAAGGGATCCAAGGTCAAAGTCACGCCTGCTTCAAAGAAGAAGGCTTCGGCCGCCGCTCGTAAAGGTGTCAAAGTGGAAGCTGACAGCGATGCGGATCAAGGAAGCGAAGCAGCAACACCGGAAACGGACTTGTCCACAATAGCCGCCACAAAGTCCAAAAAGATAGCAAAAGCTCCCTCAAAGGCGAAACCCATTCCCGCGGATCCCTTCGAGGCTGGGCTGGTGGAGGATGGGGAAGACTGCTACTATCTACGTCTTGCCCTCGACCACCTGGCTCAGACGGGCGAGCTCGCTCGCGAAGACACAGTGGTCGACGAGATAGAGCTCGAAGCTGAAGCCGAGGAAAACGCCATCGCCGCTGGAACGATCCCCAAGCACAGCACTGGCTCTGCGCGCACGGAAGGATACTACCGCATCCCACCAGAGCAAAAAGCGATGCATCTTCCCGACCGCAACAAGGCGACCGAAGAGGTCGACGGCAGCAGCAATGCTCACGTCCTGCAGTCGGCGCGAAACAACCGCGCCGACTCGCGACGTCTGGTGCTCGGCATCGAACAGCATAAACGCGAAACCGCGACGGATACGGACATGTTCAAGTTCAACCAGCTCCGCACGCGCAAGAAGCAGCTCAAGTTCGCCAAGTCACCCATCCACGATTGGGGTCTGTACGCCATGGAGCTCATCCCTGCCGGCGACATGGTGATCGAGTACGTCGGCGAGGTGGTGCGACAGCAGGTGGCCGACGAACGAGAAAAGCAGTATGAACGACAGGGCAACTTCTCCACCTACCTCTTCCGTGTCGACGACGACCTCGTGGTCGACGCGACGCACAAGGGCAACATTGCGCGACTCATGAACCACTGCTGCACGCCCAACTGCAACGCCAAGATCTTGACGCTGAATGGGGAGAAGCGCATCGTGCTGTATGCAAAGACGGCGATCCGTGCGGGAGAGGAGTTGACGTACGACTACAAGTTTCAGAGTTCGGCGGATGATGAGGATGCGATTCCGTGTTTGTGCGGAAGTCCGGGGTGTAGGAGGTTTTTGTAAGGTCACATGCGAGGTTCAATCATGATCTGCTCTGCTATTCGAAATGAGTTTGATTAGAGTGTGTCGCGGGTGTGATGTGGCGATGCGAACCTGATTCAATATCAAGAATCTTCGTCGCTGGCGTGCGGATCTTCCTCGTCGTCATCGTCGTCCATGTCGATGGGCAATCTCTCCTCATCCTCTTCCTCGTCTGCACTGACATCTCTTCCCACGTCCTCCGTCGGTTCCGGCAGCTGTTGTTCTTCCTTTGCCGCCTGCGCCGCCCTCCAAGCATGAGCCATCTGCAACAGCTTGAACGCACCCTTGCCCTTCTCCTCGTCATCCGGAAAGATGAGGTCGTAGTACTCCTCCATGGCTCCATCGTCACCTTGCTCGAGCTGCTTGCGCTTCTTGACGACGCGTGGGAACTTGGCTTCGACGTGGGAGAGCGTTTCTGCCGACCCGTGCTGGCGTTCAAAGGCTTTCCAGGATTCGAGGAGGGTGACGCGTTCGTCTTTGAGCGAGCGCGATTTGAGGTCGTCGTAGGCTCGTTGGAAGAGGGTGCGGGCGGCGGAGGCGAGGGCGGAACGACGTTCCTGTCGTATTTCCTGCTCTTCTTGCGTCAATTCTCGTGACGGTTTTGCGTCGTCATCGTCGTCATCGTCGTCTTCGCCTTCGTCTTCATCCTCCTCGATCGCTGCGGCCTGGTTGATCTTGGACAGCGCATACGAGATCCACACCTTGACATGTCCGCTCTTGTCCAACAACCTCTCGTACAGCGCGTCGACCCTCTCCCACTCCCTCTCCTCGAACTCGAAATCGATGTACGCCTTCCACACGATCTCTGGCATATCCAAGCCTCCACTCTCCTCCTCTCCTCGCTCCGCCTGCCCGACACCCAGCTCGAACAGCGCCCGTGCACGATCCGTATCGAACAGGTTCTTCTCCAGCTCGGCGAAACGCACCCAGGTCTGCGAGTTGGTCGGATCCCATTCGAGCGCCTTTTCGTAGATCTTGCGTGCACGGTCGAACTCCTTGAGCGACAGTTCGAGCTCGATGTAGCTGGTGAAGAGTTTGAGCTTGGGAGTCATGCCGATGGCTGTGCCGAAGATCTTGCGTGCGGTGGTAAGGTCGAGACGACGCACTTCGAAGCGCGCGTACTGAATCCAGAGTTTGGCGAATGTGAAGCGACGGTGTGGAACGATGGCGATGGCGGCCTTGTAGATCTCGCGTGTGCGGTCGTAGTCGTGGGTATCGATTTCTTCGAACAGGGCGTAGCGCAGCCAGAGGAAGATGTACCGTCGCCAGTCGCGTTTCTCTTGGGAGGCGGGGACTTGGGCGATGGCCCGTTCGTACACTTCGCGCACACGTTTGGTGGATTGGTCGAGCTGATCCTGTGATGCGCCCGAGGTGGCGAGTGCGCGGTGGGCGTCTTCTTCGAGACGCGAGTAGTCGAACCAGGTGTCGTAGTCTGCAGGATCGCCGGCTTGGGCTGCCAATTCTTCTTCGTACTGGATGCGTCGTTTGCCGATGACAGTGTCTTCGACACTGCTCATGGAGCCGAACTGCTTTTCGAAGCGTGTATAGCTCGAGTAGATCCCTTCGGATTTTGACCTGGGCAGCCTCTCGAGTGCGTACTTGTAGATGACCCTTGCTCGCTCGTACTCTTTGAGGCGAGTTTCCATCTTTGCAAAGGCGGTAAAGACGCTTTGTGCCTTTTCCATCGCGTCCTCGTCCTCACCGATGTAATCGAGTGCCATCTGGAACACCGTCCTTGCTTTCTCGAGGTCGCCTCGATCTTCCTCGAACTTGGCCCATCGAATCCACTGCTTTGGTGTAGGGTGACATGTTACGCACCTCTCCCATATCGCGCTCGCTCTATCCGGTTCATCGTACCTCACTTCGAGGTTGATGTACGCATGCCAAGCCTTCTCTTCGGGTTCCCACTTCATCCACCTCTCAAACACCTGCCTCGTCCCCGCCACGTTCCCCAGCAACTCCTCCAGATGCACGTACTTGTACCAAAGCTGATCGATCCTCGGCAGTATGCTGACCGCCCTGTCGTAGAGATTCCTCGCATGTTGAACGTTTCGCATCTTCAACTCCTGCTCCGTATACCTCAGCCATAGCGGCAGATAATGAGGCTCGACATCCAAGGCCCGCTCGTAGACGGAACGGCAACGGTCCATTTCACCTTGACTCGCTTCCCATTCGGCGTACTTGATCCACATGGACATGTTGCCCAGGTTTCGACGCAGGCGATCCTCAAAGTCGGCGCGGCGCCGCCCGCGGTACTCTTGGAGCTCTTCATAGTCTTCGATTTTGGAGACGGGGGCGGCGGCAGGTGCTTCCTGACGTTCTTGAGCTTCGCGAAGGAGTTGTTCGGCGGAGATTTGGATGGGCGCGGGCGCGCGGTTTTTGATACGGGGTGCTGAGCGAGACATGGTGGACGACGGTGCTGCAGCGGCGCAGCTGCCAGGATATAGTAGGAACGGTCTGGTGTGAAAGTAGATGACTCGGCCAGACACCGGAAGTGGTGTTGTAAGCGCTGCGAGGGAAGCAAGACGTCGAGAAGAAGGAGGGTCTGCAGCAAAGTTGCATCCGAAATCCGGACGTGCCTGCAATTGTCATGCTCTCTAAGCAGGACGAATTTTGCAGCCAGAATCCACGTCGGTGTAACAAAATTTGATGAAACTTCAAGGTTTCAAGAGCTGCCGGCGGCGCGGATCTGCAACGTGCAGCTTACAGACGCCCTCAACCCATTCACCGAGGCTCTTGCCCTCAGCTCGGCATGAATTTACGACTGTCCCCCTAGCGTCCTGATCAGACGCTCTGTGACTGGGTCGAAGCACGGCTCTGCGCTGTTTTAACAACATGGAAGGCTCAAAGATGCTGAATGGACCGGTTCATGTCGCTAGCGTTCAACGGCATGACATGCCAGTAGGCTTCAACAAAGGGCTATCTGAAAACACAACCCGCGACCCAAGCGACATGACCCTCGAGGGCATGGCCTCGCTGTGAAATCAGAGCTCGCGTTGGCACTAGTCTACTAGGCGTGGTCTCAGGGTTGAGCTGTGCCGTAACAGCGACTTACTTGCCTTGCCCCGGCAGAATCAGCTCACAGAGCGGCTAGCGGCTGCGCGATCTTTGCCCTAGCGTAGGCTGAATACGTAGACAGAGTGTGTCTAGGAATGTGGAAACAGGGTTGCGTCCTGTGTCGTACACAGACCTGTCAATTGGGAAGACCCTTCTTTCGGTGCGAGGTGGGTTGCGGATTATGCTGCAGAATTTGGCGCTGTCAGACAGACAGAGAAGCACGCAACCTGCAACCTGCAACCTGTTTGCTGCGCTGCTCCGCGTTGCTCAGCCAAACAGCCGAAAACCCTCGGCCCTGGTTTCGCGTGAAATTTGCCCACAGCTCATGGCTTTCTTCTTGCATTGACTCCATCATGTCCTCGCCACCTCCAAGCCTGCACCACGCTCTCTCTGTTCCAACAGAGACCAGTCTCACAAGCTCGCATTCCACCGCTCTATGGGCCTACAACTCGCTGCAATGTCGGCGTGACCCTTGACTTCATCCCGCTCGCCCTCGGCCCACGACCAACGTGCCTTGCTGTCTCCACTTTGCCCTCTGCTCCGCGCATACATGCTATACCGTCGTGCCGTCTCGGTGATGCTTGCACGCTCAGAGCTCCACTCTGTCTAATCAGCACACACATCTTCGCTGTCCATAACAGCTCGCCGCTTGCACCACTTGCTCTCTTTGCGCGACCATCTCGTCGACTCCAGCACTCGCTGCTACCGCATCCTTCAACGACGAACACTTTGTCACAGACAGCATCGCCTTCTCTGTAGTGCCAGATTCATCCTTCACCATGACAGCGGCAACAGCATCCGCTTCTGCGCCTTCCCGCCTCTTCTCTCATCGCTACAGCGAGTCAACAGTCTCGCCACCGCGCATTCGAGAGTCGTACCACACGCAAAGCCTCTCACCCTCTTCGTCGAGCTCGAACATCAGAGATGCTGCAGCGCAGGCCATGTCGTTCTCAGCGTCTTCTCCTTCAACCGACACGCCCAGCCAACTTGATACACCTGCTCGCCGATTCAGCCACGGCGATGCTTCTGCCGAGAACAGCAACGTCAAATACGCTTGCGCATCTTGCATCCGTGGCCACCGCACATCCTCATGCAACCACAAGGACGGCTCAAAAGGCCCGCTCTATCCCATCCGCAGCAAGGGAAGGCCACCGACTCAGTGCGAGATCTGCCGTAAGAAACGCAGGGAGAGCGGACGTCATGTTCGATGTGATTGCACCGGGAAAAAGACAAGTTCGACAACGGCGCCTGCTCCATCAGATAACAAGTCGGCTGCGGCCAAGTCAAACGTCCCTATCCTGCCGCGCATCGCAGCAGAGGATGATGACCCGCGCCCGGTCAAAAGAGCAAAGACGCAGACCAAATCAACGGCCTCAGCCCACAGAGACGACGAGGTCGAACAGGCTGATCATGCCTTGTCCACCTCGTTTGCCCATGATAACGTCTTGCCGCCTATCCTTGCGCACCATTCGCCTCACTCTTGGAGCCTACCCAGCATCCACACTGCACATCCGTACCCAAGCCGCGTTTCTCAATCTCCACCCATTCAGGACTCTGTTCCAACCCGCTACTCGACGCTCTCGCTATCCAGCCTCATGAATCCATGTGGGTGTCGCAGCACAGGCTCGTGCACATGTTGCTCCGAACCGCGTCAACGTCGCGTCGCAGCATTGTCACCCAAGCAGGTCGACTGTGGGCTGGAGGATGGATGCGATCCATCTCAATGCTCCTGCTCTGGCGGATCGTGTCGGCAGCGAAAGCGCTCTGTCGACGTTCAAAAGGACGCAGCTGCAGCGGGGTCGACATCTTCGACGGAGAAGAGTGCATGCTGTTCTGGGAAGAGCACCTCCAAAGCGGCTGCGCCTAGCATAGAGTTGCTGCTGCAAGCGGTGGATATGTCGACCGAGTTTGTTCCGCCAGCCTGCGGGTGTGGAGACAACTGTCGGTGCGCACGATGCGTCGCAAAGCAAGATTCAGAACATCGTTCCGGGTCCAATCGAGCGTCGAGCATGACCAGTTCCTCCCCGAGCCCGAGGACACCACCTGCAGTCATGCAAGCAGCTGCACCGGGGTGCGACGACTGCGCAGCATGCGATTTGACCCTCGAACGACCGTCCGGTATCGGTGCTGTGGATCGGTGGATGGAGGATCAGCGCGAGTCGGTGCATCCTGCCGCCGCATCGGCTAGCGATGTCGGCGGTCCCAAACGTATCCCCGGTGCCTCGTCGGGGTCCGTTGCCGTACCGACACTTCACGGTGGACTTCTGAGCGATTCGAGCGGAGAGGGTGAGGAGATGAGAGCGGAATTGGTGCTGGTGCATCCGAAGTGCGAGGCATGTTTGGAGGTGGTTAGGAGCAAAGGTGTTGGTGTTCTCAGCAGGTCAGAGTAGCAAAGAGAAGTATACACCCCGCGCGAGTTGATTGGAAATTACCACCTTTCGAGCACACACGCGACTTTCGATGTTTGTGAGCGAGATCGTGTGTGCGCTTTACAAGTACAAGGCGAGTATGCAGATGGGGGAAGGAAGGGGAATCAGTGTTTCTTCTTCTTCTTCTTTTTGGTTGAAACGTCGTCATTGTCGTCCCATTTGGATTTCTTCTTGAGTGGAGGAGATTCTGCAGATGGCGCTGGGTCGGGCACATGGGATGTGGTGTCTGGTTCGATGGGCGATCTCTGCTGCGGAGGGTGGAGTTCGACGGCGGGTTCGGGCATGGGTGCTTCTGGAGGTTGAGGACGAGAAGAGGCTGGAGGGGCGGCTGTGGCGTCGATTGGAGAAGAACTCGCTTCGGGAGGGGCCGCTGCGGATGGCCGTGTCGGGGGTGTAGACAGGGGGAGGGGTGAGGGTGCGCTAGCGGCAGGAGCCGTTGGCGTGAGAGCGGCTTCGGTGTCATTTTCGAGCTCTTGGCGGTCACCGTCGTTCTCTTCGGGGATGCCGTGCCACCCACCAACGTCGGCAAAGATGTCCTCGTCGTCATCGTCGTCCTCATCTTGGTGATGCGGTGCTGCGACCGGAAGACTGTTCGGCTTTGGAGCGATTGAAGGCTCTTTTCTCAGGTCCCGGCCTTCTGTTGACTCGGATGGAGCCGTGTTGACCAGTCGTGTCTGCAGATCCGAGTGATCTTTCTCCGCTTTCGCTGGAATGTCTTGGGCCGGAGCTGTCGGTCGCGATGCCTCCGCCTTGCTAATGGTCACGTTAGGCGGTGGCTTCGTCTTGGCCGTTTTCTGCGTGCGCGTGGCCTGGTCCCTTGCTCGTGACACTCGAGCTTCGGTCTCGTCCTTTGCATCGGACGCTTCGACGACCACTTCTGCCTTCCTCTTCTTCCTCATCCGTTTGCCGTTCACCCACTTGTGTTCCGCAGTTTCCTGCTCCACACCCTCGCCTGCTACACCGATGGGCTTGAACCCGATCGGCCGGAACTTCTGTTCGGGCGCTTCGTCCTTGGCTTGTGCTCTGGATTTGCCCTCCCTCCTCCTCTTGATCGCCTCAACAATCTGCTCTCTACTTCTGCCACCACCACTCTGCTCCGCCCTCCCTTCCTGATACGCCTCTTCGAGCTCTCCCTCCGCCGTCCCTTCCCCACCATCCTTTTCCTTCTCTATCCTAGCCTTGTTCTGCGCCAACAACGCCCAATCCAGCCCCTTGACTAGCACGGAATACCTCGCATCTCCACCGACGCTACTGATCTGCTCGCGCAACGTTTGCCTTTCCTGCTCGGTCTCCGCTGCAGCGATTCGTTCTTCAAAGTCGCGGTGGAGCGATTCGATGTCGTTGAATTCGGAGGAGGTGTGGCCGGATCGTCGTGCGGATGCTCGATCGATGTAGTTGGAGGAGAGCTTGCGCGGTTTTAGGTCGGATGGTTTGGTGGATGAGGTGGAGGAGGCGGCGACGGCGGTGGTGGTGGAGGTGGGGGCTCGTTTGGGTGTCTTGCCGAAGGATCGGGAGGGAGATGCGGTAGGAGAGATGGTCGAGGACGATGAGACCAGCTGTCGGAATGCTTCCTGGTCCATCTTGTCGAACGGACTGGGCGAGATGACGAGGTGGTTGGGAAGAGACAGCGAGGAGGATCAACACCTCCACCCTGGGAAAGAGGCGGGCGTGAAAGGAAAAGTGCCCGGTCAATTGTTCGGAAGCACCGAAGGCATGACTCTTCTGGAGATCCTTTGGGGCTCAGAAAATGCTTAATTTCTCGCTTCGACACATGGTTTGATTGCTTTCTTATCACTTTTCTTCTTGCAACCTCCTGCTCAACCTACACTTGTCCGATCACACCAAGAAGAGCACCTACAGTTTCTTCCAGCTAGTGGCTCTCGACATACCCTTTAACGACTGCCACATCCAGATCCGGCTTCCTTGCTGCATCCCTCACGACAATGGCAGCCAATATCCCCGATCCCACCCGGATCCTCAGCATACAATCCCACGTCGTCTCCGGGTACGTCGGTAACCGCTCTGCCACCTTCCCACTCCAACTCCTCGGCTGGGACGTCGACGTCACCAACACGGTCCAATTCAGCAACCACACCGGATACGGCAGATGGGGCGGCTTGCGGTTCGACTCCTCCCACCTCTCGGACATCTTCTCTTCGCTCGATAAGAACGGTCTGTTGCGGTACTCTCGCATGCTCACGGGATACATGCCATCGGCATCGGTGGTGGAGGTGGTGCTGGGGCTGGTGAAGAAGCTGCGATCTAGGCAGACTGGAGGGGAGCAGGATGAGGAAGGTGGACTGGTGTATCTCTTGGATCCGGTGATGGGTGATATGGGTAGAGGCATGTACGTTTCGCCCGACGTTCTGCCCATGTATCAAGCGATGCTCGAGTACGCTACCATCATCACCCCCAACCAGTTCGAAGCACAAGCATTGACAGGAATGCAGATCACAGACTTGGATTCGTTGAAACACGTGCTCCTCAAGCTGCACAAGAAGCACAAGGTTCCCCACGTCATCATCACTTCCGTCGAACTACCCGATGCCGATCTGGAAAGGATCGGTGCTCAGAGGAACATGGCAGATGGCAGACCAGCGATGCTTCAAGTCGGATCTAGCTGCGAGATCGAAGTCAGAGGCGGGGAGAGGCAAGAACCAACGTTGGAGGTGGACGAGTTGAGGATCTGGTCGATACAGTTTCCAGAAGTTCAAGGGTATTTCTCTGGAGTAGGAGACATGTTCGCCGCATTGACGTTAGGAAGGTTCCATCCTGAAACGAAGATTGCGGCAGACGACCTGACACCCATCGCAAAGGCTAGCGAGTTGGCCATCGCCAGTTTGCAAGGCATCCTCAGCAACACGTGCAGAGTGATCGACGAGCTGGAAAGGAATTTGGGGGGAGAGGAGAAGGAGAAGGACGAAGTGGAGGTAAGAGTCGATAGGATGAGGAGGCGAGAGTTGAGGGTGGTGCAGAGTAAGAAGGAGATTGAATCGCCAACGATCGTGTACCGGGCAAAGTGGATCACTGCTTAGAAGCCATCAACATCGTAGGTGTCGTTCATATCTGCGTCGTCGAGGAAGGTGCGATTGTGCAGCGTGTGTCAGTGTTTGTCGGTCTCAGTCGGTTCGGTGCACGCGGAGAATCTTCTGTAAGACCCTGCAGAGGCGAGAGATTCCATCCCAGGACGAGTGTTGGTGAATGCATTGAGTGTAAGTGCTAGGTCGAGGCACAGGCTTACAGCATCCAGATCTTTCTACAGAGTCTCCCCAATGGCGCTGATTAATTCTACGCCCTCTAGCTGAAAGAAGAGATGAACTTCTTCTCAGCATTGGCCACTGCCTTCTTAAACTCCTCGGCCTCCTTCCAGCAATCCAACGTTCTCTCCGGTTGCGACTTGTAGCACTGCACGAGCTTCTCCTGCGCCTCCTTGACGCCGGCGTAGTTGGAGATGTCCTTCTGCTTATTGTACTTGTCGATCTTTCCCCTGAGCTGTTCAAGCTCTTGTCGGAGCACGTTGGAGTTCTTGCCTTCGGATGCGCCGCGGTACTTAGATTCCTTGGCGAGGTTCTCCTTTTCGATGGCCTTTTCGATCTCGGATCGGACGTCGGCCTCCTCTTTGCGTAGACGGTCGAGCTCGGACTTGATCTTGGCTTGGATGGAGGTGTCGAGTGTTGCTTGGCGCGAGGCGTCCGGGCCAGAGACGGTGTCGACGGAGGACTTGTCGAGTTGGTTGAGGAGGGAGCGACCGAACTGAGAGTGTAGCAAGGAAGAGGAGCGAAGGAGAGTACAGAGAAGGCAACGTCAGCCGGATTTGCCTGTCAAAGTGGCCAAACTTCGGCACTGAGATTGTGTCTGTCGTGCCATGGAACCTACCTGAAGATGAGTTGCCTGCTTGTCTTCAGCCGGTGGTGCTGTCGGCGCAGCGGTGTTCTGTTTTGAAGCTGCAGCACCCATGTCTGTATCTGTGTGTAATTGGTCGAAGCAATCCAGGGGTTGGGCAGTAGATCAAGATCTCGAGTCGGCTGAAATGCGAATGCGAGTAGGGTGATCGAGAGCGGTGCTATGTTCAAGACGAGGAGACGAGAAGCAAGATGGCTTCTACTAAAAGTGGAGCGATGTCTGAGCCGGTCGGATTCGGAAGAATTGCGATTCCTCAACAGCAGCGCACACTGCAATCAAGAATGTCAATGTCAAGATCAGTGATGCATCGCTCACAGATCGGCAGTCAGAATGCCTTCCTTTCCCAAAATCACGTGTAAGATTCGCGTCATCATCGGGATGATTCTGCTGAAAATGAATCGGGCACTCAACGCAGAATACCGCGCGACGCGATCCGAGCCTTCGAATGCAAGACCAACACCAAACATTTCCCTCCTCCTCAAAGTGTCATCGTCACCGTCATCTGCCGCGTCTCGACGATATCCTCTGTCGCACTGCCAGAGGCGACCAGAGAAGATGATCACCCAACCCTCCTCTTCACGCAGCAAACTGACTTCGCACGACGATCATCATCTTGTACCGCACTCGATCAGCCTCCGACGACTCCTCTCGCGACTTGACAAGACCGAACTCGTCTCACTCGTCACAAGATGGCTCGACGATGCGGGTCCATCCTACATCCCACCCATGCTGTCGCGGCGTCAACCAAAATTTGGCGAGGACGACCCTGCATCCAATCTTGTGCTCTACCACGCCATCTTGGACCTGAATGAAGAGCGTCGGTGTCGATCCATGGATGAATTGCGACTGCTGTGGACCGGTCCGATGGCAGATCCAAAGGTTCCGAAAGCGAGAGCCTTGGACCGAATCTCGGACGTCGACTGGCCAGAAGGTCTCAGCTACGCCATGGTAGCCGAGCTCGACTTGTTCTACATGAACGCACGACAGCTGTCCAAGACATGGACCACGGTCAAGCTCGAGTACGACGACGAAGTGGATGCTGCTGGACGCGGGTGGGAGAGGCTGAGCGAGGCACAGATTCGAGCGCGGCTGGGGAATGAGTTAGGACACTACTTCGAACATCACATCTACCTCCATCCACGCGCCAAACCGCAATCTCACGATACTGCTAACACTGGCCACTCGTGGACCGATGCCTTCTCCTACTTCCGCGTCGTTCTCGCACCGACACCAAGCGACGTTTGCGGAACCGGGTTGCACATCTTGCACCTTCCACGCACACCTTTCCTGCTTGTCTCGGGCAGTCTAGGGCGCGGCACAGAGAACAGAGAGATGGCGCTGTCCGCCTTTGCATCTGCCGCGGGCGCCACCACGGTCAACTACGCTAAACCTACCGCAGGGTCAGCCGCTGCAAAGAGACTGCTCGCCGAGCTCAATGATGCTGGCGAGGACGCAGCAGGAAACCGGAGGACGTTGGGCGAACTTCGCGGCAAGGGCCCGCTGGCGCTTCGAGAGATTCTGCTGCACGAGTCAGGTCGGGTGTCTTCGACGTCAGACGCGAGTGCAGCTCCCGCCGGTGTAGCAGGAGGAGGCAAAGCGAGACAGATGAAGCTGTCCCAAGGAGGCGGTGGACAAGGTGCGGAAGACGGACCGCTGATCGCACCTCTCAAACGACGACGCGAGGAAGATCTCAGCCTGTTGGGCATCCAACCCCCGACACCGCCTCCCTTCGGATCGGAATGCGACACAGTCTCGCTCTCTTCTGCTTCCACATCCGCACGCCCCACGCAACGCCGACAATCGCTCACGCCCACCTCGCAGACACCGCACGAATCCCACATGCACGCGCAGGAAGCCCTCACCGCTCGAATGCAATCTCAACGCGAAGCCAACGAGCTCTTCGGACCTCAAAGTGCTTCTCCTTCCAGCGATCTACTACCACGCATGGAACGCATCGAGTACGAGCTGCATCTTCCCTTCCCCGCCATGCAGCGCTACAACACGCGCAGCCTCATCGACATGGATGCGTACAACGCCGACCCGGACAAGCCAAAAATCAAGCTCCGGCTCGAGGGTACGCACGTGTTGGCAGGATTGAGAAAGCTCGTTGCTGCAGGCATGGACAGGAGCACGCGCAGACTGGATGCTGGCGAAGGCGAGGACAACGATGCGGCAGAGGAGGGTGTCAAGCTCGATGGATTACCTGGATGGCTGACCGAGATCAGAGGGACAAAGGTGGTCGTTCAGCCACCACCACCTGGTGACGACAGCAGTAGGGATATGTAAGGCGAGTTCTCGAATGCTAGCTTTTGTATTGACCGTGTTCGCGCTCGGGTTTGTATTTGTACTTATTTTTCCTGTTGTAAGATATGTTGCTCTTTGCGAAGCGTCTGTATGCAAAGCTGCGCATGAGAGCGATGTTGCCATGCGTACAGAGGGGATCGCAGCTGAGGAGGCCCACGGAGAGGGTTGAGGGTAGGGTTGCAGATCAAGCTAAGGCTTCTTCCAGGACAAATCGTCGACTGACTCGGCGGTGATACGCAAGTGGGATTTTGTGACTCCATTTGGGCGATAAAAAAGCCGGAAAATCAAGGCGCCACCCGCTATTATCTCGCATTTCTTCCAGGACTCGGGCCACCTTTCAGAACGCTTGCCTCGTCCAAGTTTTCCGCGCTACCACCATCCTCCTCAGTCCCCCAAAGCGACGAGCAAGTAGCGGATCACACACTCACAGCATGATCTCGTCACTCCTGTCCCGGTCCTCTTTCGTTCGAGGTGCAGCCCGCGGCTTCACCTCGTCGGCCGTCTCCCTCGACGCCAGCGCAAAGCTCAACAAACCAGCTCGCTTCGCACAGCCCATCTCGGCCTCGGACATTCCCAAAGGCTTCGTCGTATCCTCCACGTATGCCGGCATCAAAGCTGCCATCTCGCCCAAACCCGTCGATCCCAACACCTCTGCATCATCCGCCGCGACGAGCAACACAAATCCCAAACCAGACCTGGCGCTGATCGTATCGACCGTGCCGGCGGCTGCAGCGGGGACGTTCACGCGGAACGTCTTCAAAGCTGCACCCGTGGTCGTCTCGAACCAAGTGCTTCTGGATGGTGCGAACAAGGAGGAGGGTGCGCGGGTGCAAAGCGTTCTCGTCAACTCAGGGTGCGCAAATGCGGTAACGGGCACGCAGGGTATGCAAGACACCAAATCGTGCGTAGAGCTGGTCAAGAAGCACCTTGCACCGCATCCCGGTTTGGCGCAGAATTCGGAGGGACGTGAAACTCTCCTGCTGTCAACAGGCGTCATCGGCGTCCCGCTCCCCATGCCGGCCATCAAACGATGCATCCCACACCTCTCCAACGGAATGATCCTTCGAAGCGATCCCGAATCGTGGCGCGAAACAGCCCGTGCATTCATGACCACCGACACCTTCCCTAAACTGCGAGCCAAGACGTTCAAGCTCGGTGGGCAGGACGTTCGCATGATCGGGATCGACAAGGGAGCCGGCATGATCCATCCTGCCATGACGGGTCCCGCTGTACCGGCGGCTGTGTCGAGTGGACAGTTGCACGCGACCATGTTGGGTCTGATCGCTACGGATGCTGCCGTCCAGCCGAAAGCGTTGCAGGTGGCGTTGAATCGCGCGGTATCCCGATCGTTCAACTGCATCTCCGTCGACGGTGACATGTCCACCAACGACACCATCATCCTCCTCGCCAACGGTCAATCTTCTCCCACCTCCCACTCCGAGATCGACGAATCCAGCCCTGACTTCGAAGCGTTCGTCACCGAACTCACCGCCTTCTGCCAGGAACTCTCCAAACTCATCGTACGGGATGGAGAAGGAGCCGAAAAGTTCGTCGAGATCACCTGCACCAACGCACCCTCCTACGCTGTCGCCCACGGCCTGCTCTCGCGCCTCGTCACGTCGATGCTCTTCAAATGCGCGATACACGGCCAGGACGCCAACTGGGGTCGAATCCTCGCCTCCGTCGGCGGAGCAGATCCCACTCTGACAAAGGACGTCGATGCTGGCAAGGTCTCGGTCAGCTTTGTCGATCCCAGCGGAGAGTTGGGTGGCGTCACCGTGCTGCAGGACGGCAATCCGGTCAAGGTGGACGAAGCAGAGATCGTCAAGTTGCTCAAGAAGGAGGATATCAAGGTGGTGATCGATCTGAAGAACGGACAGGAGGACTGCACGTACTGGACGTGCGATTTGAGTAGGGAGTATATCGAGATCAATGCCGATTACCGCTCGTGAATGGGAAGCGGCATTGGGTGTCTTGTTGGAAGAAGCAATTACACTATGCCTCTTTTTCACAATCGTTGCACTGCAGAGTGCATGTGGTGTGGTCGTTGGATCCTCTCGAGTACGTCGTCCTCACATTCGATCGTCAGACAGAGTATGAGATACTGTAACTGGCTTGCAATGAAGTAGCCCGCGCATCCTGGAATCGTTCCGCACTTCCTCTTCCTTCGCTACAACTCATCCCCCACTGCACCCTTGACCACCTCCAACCCGCCACCCATCCTCCCCTCCAGAACGCTGTGCAACGTCCTCCTCAACAAATTCCACTCCTCGCCCATCCACCTCACAAACAGCCAGTACAACAACGCCGCCACCCCGACCAACACGGTGTACGGAGCCACCTGGAACGCCTCCCTCACACCCCAAGTCCTCGAGCTCTCGCCCATCCTCCACTTCTCCCACGTCTCGTCCCTCCTTGCGCTGCTCAATCTGCCCATCCTTACGTTCCACTCCAACATCCTTCCGCTTTCCACGTGGTAGATGCACAGGGTGGGAGCGGCGATGATGTTGAGTTTCGCTGCCAGGTGGACTCTGGAAAAGGGACGTAGGTACGCCTCGCCGCTCTTATCCGTATGGCTCAGACTCTCATCGATATCCTGCTCATTCGCGAGCAGGAAATCCTCGTTATTGTACAGCCTCGGAAGTTCGTCCATATCTCCATTCTGGTTGACCGAAACGGTCCGATCCTGTCGCTCGGCAGGCATGCTAGATCCGTCGTTCCACACCATCGAGATCCACGGTTTGTCCTTGACACCTGCCTTGTACCACTGCTCGTCGACATCCACCGAAACGTAGATCGCCTTGAACTCGTGAGGATGTCGACGGCAGAAGTCGGAGATGGCGGAGTGGTACTCTTTGAGCGGTTGACCGGCCCATTGGGAGGCGAAGTAGAAGCCGACGACTTTGGTGTCGCGGAAGGTGGAGCGAAGGTTGACGGGAACGCCGTGGGGGTCGACAAGTCGGAGACGACGGAGCAGCGGGTCCGGGTGCTGGTATTGCGTGGGCGGGGGTAGTCGCTTGTGATCGGCGCCTGGTTTCATGGCGGATTTGAGGACAGAGGTGGGCGGCGACGGGTTGGTGGAGCTTCGTGGTGTACTCGGTTCACCAGACGAGGATGCGGATGAGGAGGACGAGACAGCAGCGTCTGCGTTGGCACCGTTGATGTTGTTGGCAGGGGTGTCGGAGGTAGTGAGTGTGACGGTATCGGACGGACCGAAGGAGACAGTTCGTTTGGGTGTCGAGCCCGGTCGAAGCTCCGTCATGGCCAGTTATGAGGTTTTCAGGAACGATGAGGTGGCACCGATAAGGGTGCTCGAGAAAGACGCTAACGCAATAATCAGAAATTACGGAAGTTGCGCAGAATATATGATGGGGATCAAATGGCCGGGAGGAAAGAGGCTCGGATCGCTTTGGGTTGCGCAAGAATGGCACAAGATCCAGGAGATGTGTGGGTGCAGTCGTACGAAGTAAGATGGCTGACAGAGAGAGGAAGAGAGATAACTTGCCGCTGACCCGCGTGTGCTTTTGTCGGCCAAAAATTGCCGCACGAATGACACTCCTGGCGCTTCTCAAGAAGCAAGCGAAAAGAGAAAAAGAGACGCGTCGTGCGTGGCAACATTGCAACTGGACCCTGGCGCTTCCTCGCCGGTCTTTTGGTCTCTCCACACTCTTAGAGAACGGCCACGTTCCAGCTATCGTGCTCACGGCAGATCGAACTGACACAGCGACGGATAAGGTTTGTGTGGAATGCGACTGGTCTTTCTCATGCTACAACTTGCCGAACAGGGGCGCTTACCGCGTCGGTAGCGACACCTCTTCGTCATCCGAGCCCGTCGAGTCTTCAGCGGCAGTGTTGGCTAGCTCCACCTTGCGACTCTGCAGCGGACGCTGGGCTGTACCCTTATCAGAAGCACTTGCTGCTCCTCCTGCTAAATCAGAGGCATCCCTCTTGCCATATGTCTTTGCCGTCTCTTGAAGCGCTTCCGGCTGTACCCCAGTGGGCAGGATCTTTTGGCGCCAATACATATCCAAATGAGCCTTGAGCTCTGGAAAGAAGCGAAACACCTGACACGTATGATGACTTTCCAGCGGACCTCTCAACAGCCTCTCGTAAGTGCCTTCGCTCTTGGGCAAAGTCTTCTTGCCTTCTCTAACCATATCCTGAACTTTGTCCAACCGCAGAGCAAAGCCGACCGACGGATGGAAGGACAAGTAGTGCTTCTTGTGTTTGAGTCGGTCCGACACCAGATCCATCGATACCACGTGCAGATGCAAATGCTCCATACTGGGCACCGAGTGAAAAGCCCTTTCGACGTCCCACGCCACATCATAGTTTTGCTTCATATCGTCGCGTATGTGTTGCACCACACGCTCGCTTGCTGTCCGTAAAGCTTCGAGCACTTGACCGGCGTAGGGACTGGCCAGAACGCTCGAGATGCTCTTCATGTGACTTGCGGGCACATTGTTGCTGCTGGTAGCTCCAAAGTTGAGCTTCCCATTTGAAGCAGAGAGCGTGGGTGCGCCCTGTTGTGGGATTGAGGCGGACGCGGATAGAGATGGTCTGAAGGGGATGCGTGGGAGCACTAGAAAGTGGTACTGAGCTTTTGCAAACTTGTCATAGATGGTGATTGTGAGATCGTCGTAGAACAGCACCCTGTCGTCTGTGGGAAGAGTGGTCGGATCTTTGGCGGAGGCGATGCGCACCAGAGCCTGGTTCCAAGTGGGCGTCATGACGCCGTTAACGAGCAGCGAGAGCCGAACCACTTTCTTGTCGTCGTAGACCGTCCCGTGAACGTATCACCGTCTGGCGCTTTCTGTGCGTTGATGTGACCTGTTCTTGATCATGGGTACAAGGATCATTCCGTTTGTGCTTGTTCCCTGGTCCCTACTTTATATTCATGCAATCCGTGGGCAAAGAGTCGATCGGCTCAGCATCATGCTCCATCTGCACCTTGCCCGACGTCGGTAATGCTGGTCATTTTTCTCGACACGGCTCGAGGAGATGAAATGAAATGAAGCGCAGCGAGGAAATTCCTGGCAGAAGCGACGGTGCGCTTGGGACCCTTGGTAAAGCGACTTTTGCGGCTGGGGATCAGTCTCGCTGAAAAAGTGTTGGTCTCGGAGAGTCCGTGTGTGCCACTTTTTGGCATGACCAAACACGCTTTCACAGCGACGCCTCTGAAATTGCGCAAAGGCAGCGTCGAACAAGCTTAAAGGGGCGCAGCAGCATGCACACAGTGCATAGACGACACACTCTACGTTCTCTCCGGTATCATACGTGCACCTTCGACACTCCTCTCTCACCGTCGTCACAACGATCATCGCCATAGATTCCGACACGCAGTCACTGATTCAAATCCTTCTCACACTGTCTCTGCTCTGACTTCAGCTTCATAACGGCTTCCGTCCCTCATCCTTCCCTTGGAAGCCTCATTTGATTGGAGAACATCGACAATGCCATCGACATAGAACTTTTTGATGCTCACCTCGCGCGCATCACCAACCACAGTCCCAGTACTCACCATATACCCGCCGTGGAAGTCATCGAGACGCGTAGGAAGGGCGGCTGCTAAGCCCTACTTTGGTCGGCATCATGTTCGCTCCCATGTCCAAAGGAGGCTCCGACGATGCGTGGCAGGCTCAGGATGACGCAGGATCGCTCAAACCTGGACGTTTCCGAGCATATCTTGCCGATCAACTATCAGCACCAGGATCCACAGCCACTTCACCGGCGTCGCGGTCGATTCCGTTCCGCAGGGAGGCAGGTACTGCGACCTCGACCGGTCGACGTGATACCAAGTCCACCGTAGACAAAGGCAAATCAAGAGACGTGGACAGAGTCTTTCTGCCTAGCCTCAACCAGCCTGAAGCCAGCACATCCACCAGCTTGGGCAAACGGCTAGCGACAGGCTTTGGCTTCCGTCAAGCCGCCAACAAACCTAGCAAAGCCGTCGGAGGACCCGGCATCTTGCGTCCAACCGATCCTCGCACATCGGCTTATCCGACCCGCTCCCTCTCTCGTGACGGCCACCTTCCATCGCGAGGCATCTTTGCCAAAAACGCTCAGTCATCAGCAGCGGCACTCGGACCATCACCTTTCCAATCGCCTCCACCTCGCAGACGCAGGGTCACGAGCATACGCGATCGAAACTGGGAAAGGGAACGCGAGAGGGAGAGGCTGCGACCCGATCGCAATTGGCTCAACAACCTCATACGGCCACCACGAGAAATGGTAGAAGAATGGCTCGATAGCTGGTGGAAACGCTGGTTCGCACTTGCCGGTCTGCCGAGTCTGGTGGTGTGGATCTGGTGTGCGGTGCCGTTTCCGAAGACGGACCCGTATGATCCGGACCTGCCTTGGTGCAATCCGGGCGAAGATGGGAGGTCGGGCGATCCGAACAATCCGCCGTGGTGCTATCCGGCCAACATGACCTCTTCGACCCTTGGCACAGCACCAGCGACGTACACATCACTGTCAGCTTCGACAGCCAGTCTGCCGACAGTCTCAGGCTTCGCTTGGAGCATAGCTAACATGCTGTTGTCCAAATTGGCAGTCACATCAGGTTCACCCTCGACAGCGCACCCTCCCATCGGCGACGGCGATCGTCTCACGGTCGACGCCAACTTTTGGTTCTTCCTCATCTTCTACTACGGAATCTACGTCGGCGTCGCACTCATCTACATAACACAGCTGTTCGGCCTGTACAGACTCAACTGGTGGCCAGCGGCGCTTGGTGCAAAGACTTCCTATTCGTTCTTCTGGATCGGCAGTCTTGTCGCCGGCTGGATCTTGCACGAGATGGATCCGCTTGGCACTGAGACTCGGCATCGTCCTGCCGCTGGAGGCGATCCGCCATCTACGTCGTTGCTGTCGCTGCCAAGTGCCGCGAACTTGCAGCAATGGTCCATAGCGGCGACGACGACAACCCTAGTAGACACCAAACCTTCGATCGACGATGCAGACATTCAGTGGCAGCGCAAGACGTTGTGGGTCGGCTTGGCGTTTGCAACTATGGCCATGCCGGCGCTGGTGTGCTTTGTAGGGCTGCGAAGGAGCGGGAGGCAGACGTACAGACACAGCCTGACGGACCATCAAAAGACGTTTTTGGAGCGACAGCTGAATCGACGCATCCCCTCGTCCTACATCCGGTTCCTGTGGTTCATGTCGACCATCGGGATATCGCTGTTTGCGCTCATCGCAGGTCAAGGTTACGCATCGGTGTACCTGTCGACGCTACCGCATACGGGTCTCGATGGTGTCGCCTACGTCTCGTTCTGGACGCTTACGGTGAACGGCTTGGCGCTGGTGTCTCACTGGATCTTGGAATCCAAAGTTCGAAGTCGAGCGTTGGTGTTCGCGTTCAAGTACTACTACTTTTTGGTGTACTTCATCTTCTACCGGAACCTTTTCGCTCGACTCCGATCGTTTGATCAGTTCGCACTGGTTCAGTTGCTCTCTTCGTTCTGGATCTGCATCTGGTATCCGCTCTCGATGTCACGTCTCTGTCACCGAGTTGTGCAGTACTTCAACCCATCGCCTCGTTCTTGGGAGGAGTACGTAGAGTCCATCGGACTTGCATTTTACCTGCGCAATCTGGCACAGAACACCACCATGCTCGCCTTCCTCGGTTGGGTCAGCATTCTGCATTTCGGATCCAACCAGTCGCTCTACCCGTTCTTCGCCTACGACAACAAACACGATCCGTACAACTATCAGCTGACGATGCTGGGAAGTCTGGCGATCTGGGCGAGCGAGTTGGCGAGCAGCTTTGTGGCTAGACAGATCTGCTACTGGGCGTTCAAGGTGGACGTTACGAATCTGGGGCTGGACGAGATGAGGGAGTTCCCGGAGCTGTTGACGACGATCGGGTGGGGGAGCGTGCATACGTTGATGGACATGCTGATGTTTTTGATCAAGCTGAACTTTCGATGACTGACACACACGCAGGAAAGGCGGGGTAGTGGAAGAATGGTTTCGAGATTGATATACCCGGGGATGAATATAGATTGCAACGAGATGACGGTTTGATGTGTGTGTGTGTGAGTTGATTGGACCCTGAATCAGCGGTGAGGAATGGATACACTTTGTTCCGGGACGCGAAGGGAGGGATCGATTTTTGGATTGCCGTCGGCCGTCGACCGGCCAGGGAAGGAAGGGCGGTAGATTGCAAGGTGAAAAACACGGCTTCTCACCGCGGGCTAGCAAGGAATGCCCTGAGGTGCAAACAGATCCCACGAAGACACATGGCAGCTCTGCTTCCACTCGAGTGAGCGCCACAATGAGATGATCAGCTTACGAACGGTTACGCATCATATCGGGGCATGGGTTGAACAGGATGAGAAACGAGTGTGCGCTGGGAAGAAGGGGGAGAGCAGCTTGCGGGGCAAATCTTGTTTCCGCTCGGTCGGACGGAATACGCGGGCCAGACTCGAGAGCTCGAGAGCTCGGTGGAGCAATGCCAATGCGAGGCTAGGCGGAAGAGAGTCACGTCAGCCGCTGTTCTTTTTTTGCGAATAACCGAGTGTGGAATATCTGTCTGTCTGTGACTCTCTCTGTCGACCGCCCCGGCTCGGTCAATGCCCCCCACATTGTCAAGGCAGCCAAGCTAAGCTTCAACTCCGAGGTTCACCACTTGACCTCCGTCCTCGCCCGAGTTCACATCGCTCGGCTGGACTAGATATACCTGTCCTACTCGAGCATTCTTCTCGCTCACTTTTCCCACTACCACCTTTTTCATCTTTGACCCGTTGACAAACATGTTGGCAGCTCTCCGCACGCAGGCATCTGCGACCGTGCCAGCCTCGGCGTTCCTCCGCTCCACGCTCCCCACTCGAACCTTCTCCTCCTCCTCCGCTCGCCTGCTCACCTCCTCCAAGGTCTACCCGTCCGCCGACGAAGCCGTCGCCGACATCAAGTCCGGTTCTACTCTGCTCTCCGCCGGATTCGGTCTCTGCGGCACCCCCGAAACGCTCATCGCCGCCATCTCGCGTCACCCGCACATCAAGGACCTCACCGTCGTCTCCAACAATGCCGGAACGGGCGACTTCGGTCTCGGCAAACTGCTCAGGTCCAGACAGATCAAGAAGATGATCTCGTCGTTCATCGGAGGGAACAAGTACTTTGAATCGCAGTACCTCACCGGACAGGTTTCGCTGCAGCTGACACCGCAGGGTACGCTGGTGGAAAAGTGCAGAGCCGGTGCTTTCGGTATCCCCGCATTCTACACTCCCACGGGGTACGGTACCGCTGTTCAGACCGGTGATCTCGTCGTGAGGTACGAAAAGCGCGAGGAGGGAAGCAAGGAGCCGTTGAAGGCAGCAGAGATGGCCAAGCCGAAAGAGGAGAGGAGCTTCAACGGTAGGAACTACATCCTCGAGGAGGCCATCTACGGCGATGTCGCCATCATCCACGCTTGGAAGGTCGACGAAGCGGGTAACGCGAAATTCCGATACGCGGCCAACAACTTTAGCGCTCCCTTTGGTAAGAACGCCAAGATCACGATTGTGGAGGCCGAGGAGATCGTTCCGGTGGGAACATTGGGGGCGGACGAGATCCATCTGCCGGCGATATTCGTCGACAGGATCGTCAGGAGTCAGCACGAGAAGCAGATCGAGGTCAAGACTGTTTCGGATGCACCCAAGAGCGGCTCGTCGAGCGGTGCAGATGCAGCCAAGCAAGAAGCCAAAGACCGACGTGTTCGCATTGCAAAGCGAGCTGCAAAGGAAGTTCAGGATGGTGACTACATCAATTTGGGCGTCGGAATGCCGTCTCTCGTCCCCAACTACTTGCCCCCGGGAGTCAACGTTGTGCTGCACTCCGAGAACGGAATCCTCGGCATGGGTCCCTACCCCAAGACCTCCGAACTCGACGCCGACATCGTCAACGCCGGCAAGGAGACCGTCACCCTCCTCCCCGGTGCCTCGACGTTCGACTCCTCCGAATCCTTCGGCATGATCCGTGGCGGTCACATCAACGTAACCATGCTCGGAGCCCTCCAAGTCGGTGCCAACGGCGATCTCGCCAACTACATGATCCCCGGCAAAAAGGTCTCTGGTGTAGGTGGTGCGATGGATCTCGTTTCCAACCCCAGCAACACCAAAGTCGTCGTCGTCAGCGATCACGTGGATAAGAACGGAAGGAGCAAGATCGTCGCAGACTGCAAACTGCCCTTGACAGGTTCGAGGTGCGTCAGCAGGATCGTCACCGATCTCTGCGTCTTCGACGTCGATCGTGTCGGCGACCAGGGCTTGACCCTCATCGACCTGCAGGACGGAGTAACGGTTCAGGAGGTTAGGGAGAAAACGGATGCTCCGTTCAAATTGGCACCCGGTATCAAGGAGTGAAGAATCTGCTGGCAAAGCTTTGTACATACACATCCACCTCCGATGGCATTTTCGAACCAATCCATCCTGACCGTGCGCGTACATGTCCCCGCTCGGAGAACAGAGCTGCGAGAACCAATGTAAGCCTGCCACAAAACATCGTCCCGCTCAGTGATCGAGCGACGGCCTCCCTGTGACCATTCCTCCGTGAAGCGTGAGCGACACCCTCAATGCCACAATCTTCCAACAGACAACACAGCGCACGCGCACACACACTTTCGCGAACGAGACTCAGGGGAGGGACAGACCATTCGCATTGGCTTCAACGAACCGCAGCTGGGCGTCGCTCCGGAGGCGTAGGTCGAGACACCTCTGGTGGACGCACCATCTCTGATGCCATTGATCGGAGCGAAAAGGGAACGAAACGATGCGAGACCGACGATGGGATGAGACCTGCGCCGTACAAGGAGACTGGTTCACTGACCCAGTCAACAGAGACTGTGACACAGCCAACTCGGCGAGACTCGTCGTCGTCTTCATCTTCATCGTTGGATGCGATGGATACCGTGGAGAAGGCGAGCGAACGAGTCTGTCGATGGTGGCGGATGCGTCGCAAGGATGGTGCCGCCGCAACCGCGGAGAGGCGTGACGGTCCGGCTTCGGTGGAGGACGAAGACATGGTGATGGATTCGGTCATAGGAAACCCCTCGAAACAAGGGTGAGGTTGTCGCAAAAGTAGAGTGGGAGGGGAAAAGAGTAGAACGAAAGAACGCTAGCGCCAAAAGTGGACTGCGGGCTGGAGGAGTTTGCGAGTCGAGATACGATCGAGACGTGAACCTTGAAAATGCGTCAAGAGAACACGGTATCGAAGAGAACGTGCTGATGCTATCAATGAGAGCGAACGATGCGAGGCATTACGAGCCGATCTTGAACGCAGAGACGAGATTTAGAAACCGTGCACCTTGACGTCAGTCTTGGGGGTGATGCCCTCCTGCACGATGAAAGTGGCGACCTTCTGACGCTGGTCGCCCTGGAGCTGGATAACCTGTCCGAGCTCCTCGTCGTCAACAATGGTACCGTTGCATGCGAATTCCTTCTTGAAAGCCTTCAGGAGCTTCTTCTGGTCATACTCTATCATGGCGGTAGATGCGGCAGGCAGGCAAAAGGCAAAAGATGTTCATGGCGTTAGCAAGCGTTTAGACAGATGATAAATCTCGCCACCCATGATGGCGTGACGTTCACGCATTGAGCCAGCACGTACCTTTAGGCAGTCCCTGAAGAGTGGTGAGGGTCTTTCGTCCGTTTCGCTGCTGGATGCGGATGTGGACGTAGTTCTGGGTCTGTTGCTTCTTGGCAGCCTGGGAGGAGGTAGCGTCTGGCTTGGACTCGTCGCCGAGATCGGCGAAGGGATCGTAACTGGAGAGGTTTTGAATATTCATAAGCTGTTCTTGCGATCGACGGTGAATCAGGAGCAGGACCTGACTTGTGTTGGAGAGATGCGGAAAGGAGAGAGTTTGTGTGGTGTAAAGGTATAAGAAGAGCCAGAGAAACGGAGCCTGAAGAAAAGTGGTGGTGATGGTCGTTTAGAGCGGTGGAGACGAGATGTCACTCGCTCCCGCAAACAACAAACTGACCTCAAAAGTGACTGCGGTGGCTAAGCCCGAATTTTCATGGCACGGCGCGGCGCGAGGGGGATCCATGTGTGCGCTTTGTGTCGTTTGGGCAGCGCTGCGTGCTGCTGCTGCTGCGCTCAGCCACTCACAGGACTGTGCGCAGCAAGCGGCTTATTTCCTGCAAAATGCACGACTGCGCAAGGCGGTCGGCAGAAAGGGGCTTGGTTCTCTCTGCTTCTGCAGCCTGAACACGGGAACAAGTCTCTCTGTCGTCCAATATCTGCGCTCAGTTTCCTGCGCCAGAAAACGCTTCGCATTTCTAATCAGAACCGCGGTCGATACAAATTTTTCGTAATTCGGGATTTGAAAAGCTTCGAATTGCAGTTCAACTGTTGGAATACAACCCTTGTTGAAGGGTGTCGTAGCTGGACTTCTCACACAGACGATGGCGACATTATGACAGGTTGACAGCACAACTTCACGGTGAAAGGGGTCCCGCTTCCTATGGTTGGGTATAGTACAGAGGCGTAGGCGTAGAGTGAAGTGAGAGATTGATCCATCGACAAAGGAGCAAAACACGTTCTGAGCCGAGTCCATGGTATCCGTATATTGTATCAAGCGCCTAGATCAGAAATACAGTGCTGCTACAGAGACAGACGAGGCATGAAGAATGAAGAGAAGAGAGAGAGAGAGAGAGAGAGAGAGATAGAGAGAGAGAGA